GCGATGGTGACGGCGTTGCGGTGTTAGTGGGCCAGGCGAGCGAGTACCAGGATGCCCACCTGCATCGTACATAGATGTATACATAGCTCATGTATAATAGCTATATAAATAACTAGATTTCTATGTGTATCATAGATGCCTGTTCCCTGGTTAGGGTAGAACACCCCGGATATCCATGTACAAGTGGCACGATGGCTACATAAGAGGTGGCATCGAATCTTCATCTGTACCTACATTACCTGCGCGCATGCGTCACTCTGGGAACGCCCGCATTCGGGCCAGAGAGGACACGCCCGCGGTACTGCGCCGCCGGCTAGGACTTCCAGGAAGAGGGAAAAAAGAGGGGATGGGTGGAGGGAGAGAGGGGAGGGAGACGTCCGGCAGGGAGGGTGTCGAGGATGTCATATGAAGGCCCTATACCTGCTCTGGCGTAGAGAGCGCGATGCCGTGCCGCATCACGGTGCGTATTCGCAAGCCGGATATCTCGTCTAGAGAGGCTGGGGCGTGTTGACGGGTTGCTGATGGGTGGATGGATGGGACGGACGTACATGCATACCGAGAGATATCCAGCGATGCCCAGAGGTGACCCTGCGTGAGAGATGCTGGCTGGTAGGGGGGCCGGCAATGGCACACACTGGTGGAGGAAGGGGATTGCTCGGGGCGCAGATGTGTGTGTATCGCGGTCCAGCCATGTGATTAGGCGAGCTTCATGGTAAGGGAGAGGGAAAGGAAAAAAAAAAAAAAAAGGACAGGATCCCTGCGCAGTCGATGGAGGCCGGGTATATTTTCTTTTTCCATGTGGCATGCGGCATGTGACCGTGACGCTACCTTGCTTGTGTGCGTGCGTGTGTGTGTGTGTGTTGTCCAGAGAGGTCGTTGAGAAAGAGACGGAGAGAGAAAGAGAGAGAAGAAAAAAAAATTGGTTGTCTTGTTGAAATCCTGAAATCCTGAAACTTGCCCTCGTATGGACTCTCAACATATTGGCGGACGTGAGCCGGGCCAGACGCAGGCCGCAATGCCGGCAAGCTGTTGAGAAGACTTACATCCAGTCAGTCCCACCCATCCACCTGACAGAAACCTGCCCGAGGCGCGGATATGATCGCGTTGGCCTTGACACGAGCGCGCCAGACAGGTAGAGAGAGACGATGCAGAGTTATCATGCCGCATGCGCGAAATCAAGTCGGTTTCCTGTTTGCCTGTGTCCCTGAGGTCGTGTGATGGCGCTTACGAAGGGGAATGGGGCGGGGAGGAAGGGGGAAGGATGGATATCTACCTAACCGCCAGTATGTCATGTATGATCGTAGCCAAAGGGGGGAGAAGAAAGACGAAAGAGGAAAACAAGAAGAGAGAAAGAAGGAGAGCGAGCTGAGACGATGATAGCATGTACGTGTTGCCCGAAGGGGAGAGGGGGGGTTGTTTTAGGAGCTACGCTTCACAACTCGAGACTTACCCAAACTTGTCATCTGCGCGAGTTGTTGTTCTGGTTTCGACGTCGAGCGCCAACCCCTAACGGAAGACTCATTCGAAGCTGTGCCACGCAGATTACCCGAAGAGACCTACGCAATCTCACGGGACGGACAGCAGGGGAAGGGGATTGGAGTCGGAGGAGAGAGGAAAAAGGGGAGGGACGGGGGAGGGGGAGGCGACACATCCATTTTTGACGTGCAGGGGATGCTATTTGATTATCTTGCTTGTGGCACTCCAGCGTGTAAGATGGCATTCTGAAAAGGGCATTCCTGGCTCAGTGGCGGCACTCTGCCCAGCAAGTTGGCAGCCCGTGGTGCTGTTTACCGGTAACGGGATTCCCCGCCAGCGCGCGCGAGAGAGAGGGAGAGAGAGGGAGAGAGGGAGAGAGAGAGAGAGAGAGAGAAGGAGAGAGAGCTGGCGAGGGCGACAACTTTCTCCTACAACGCTGACTTGCCTTGACTGACAACTTACTACGCTTCGCATCCCACGCGGACCCGATCGTATTTCGTAGCTCACCTCCCGTCTCTCCCGATCGTGTACGGATCTGATTCGAGGCCGTCCTCTGCCGGCATGTCGTCAGCTTATTGCTGCTGGTTGGCTGGCCTTCTGCTAGCGAAAATGACTGCTCGGTATGCATCGATGCCCATCTATCCGCCGTTTTTAGACCTGGTTTCTCTTCTCTCTCTTTTTTTCTCTCTTTCTTTTCGCTCCTTATCCCCTTTACTTTCTTCCCCCGCCTTCTTTTCTTTTCTTATTTGGAGCAGGCAAGAGAACGACTCGCGGAGGGGTGGCGGGGGAAGGCCTCTTATTGGGAGTAGTGGTGATGCTGACGATGCTGACGATGACAACCGTAATGATAACGATGGCAGAGGTGGTGACGCGCATGAATGCGTTGCTCTCTCCACGAGGTCTGGGTGTCCAGATCGTCCTCTTGGCCCTTAGCTCCGGCTAATGGCCAGTAGGACTGGGATTGTCGGAACAGTGCCGTGACTAGCACCACGCGGTCCGGCTGACTGGCCGGTAGAATCCATGGTAGAGGGCTTGGCGACAGCGGCTCTTTTTTGCCCGTATCTTCCATACGAGAGAAAGCCGAGGCACCTGGGAACCGAGTATCGCGATATTATAGCAGGCGAGATAGGGATCACATCTATGTAGGCCGATCTCTGAGCGGCAAGTTCCCGCGAGTGGGTGGATAAGCGAGCGAGGGGGTTGACCGGCTCTATCCCACGTCGGAGGAGGATGAGGAAAGGGAGGGAGAAGCTCTCTTCTCACTCCCCGCCCCCCCAATCGTTCACAAAAAAACATGTTGTACCTGGATGGTGGACAGGGCCGGGGTCGACGAACCCGGCATGATTCGAGCAAGGCAAAACCACATTGTCAATTATTGTCACTTACTGTACTGTTCCCAGAAGCAGTACACCAGCTTATCTTGCCACCGCGACCAGAATAACAAGGGAACTCCCTAAAATGTGAGTGGTAACTTTTCCGACCATGGCTTCCAATATATCCCCCTATCCCGTCCCATGTTGTCCCACGCGTCTAATGCATCTCGCGCCGTCGGAGTGTTGCTGCTATGTATTCCAGGTACCCGTTGTCGACACGCCGCTTAACACCCAATAAATCCTGTCCTGTCCTAGAACTCCGTATCCAGCAGCCCCTTGCTTTTTATTTTTAATCCTTTTTTTTTGTTTCTGTCTTTGGCGAGGTGGGAGAGTGCCGAGGGAAAAGGGAAAAAAAGAAAAAGAAAGAAAAACGAGTCTCGTGGCGGTAAGTTTGCATGATAATACAATCTGAAGTTAAGGAAAAGCCCGTGCTGAGCGTCTAAGCGTGGAGGAAAATCTCGAAATCCAGTGGTGGTATTTTTTAGGAGGGGTTTTAATTAATAAAAAGAAAAGAAAAGAGGGCATCTCGCCAGGCCAGTAGGCGGTTCCGGTCTTCACGGAAGGGCGAGGGAAAATCGGCGGCTTCTTCAGTCTTCTTCAGTTCAGATGTAAGGCGTGGACCTAGGGGATCGTCTAATCATGTGTTCCCATGCCGGCGGTGATCGAGGTCGACAATCAGCTAAGGAGGAGTTAGTAAGGAGCGAAAGACCCCGTCGGCGAAGAGGGTTATTCCATTGGCAGCTGGCAGGGGGGGAAGACGTTGCGCATCGGTTGTACCGTCTGTTTACCAGTTGCATCGGAGGTTGATATGCTGCTGCAACCTGGGGGAGGGTGCCGTACGAAGTGGGGGATTTCCTGGAACGTCGATGGCTACCAGAAGAGGAGGACCCTTGCAGGATCTGCATGGACGAGGGAGTGAGAGGGAAGCTTACAGCACAGTTCATCATGTCTACGTATGAGTTGTTCGTCAGCCCACCGGTTTACGCAAAGCACGTAGTTACGAGACGGGAAGGAAGATAGAGAGATATAGAGAGATAAGAGAGGAGAGGGGGGAGAAGACAGAGAGAGGAGGCGGAGGAAGAGGGGGAAGCGGAGAAGGAGGAAGAGGAGGAGGAGGAGAGAGAGGGAGGGGGGAACTATAACCAACGTACCTTATTTCTAGATGCGTGACATTCGGTGCGCAGACCTTGTTCGTCCGTTCATATACGGAACACCATTTTTGTACTACGAAGCGAAAGTGTTGGCAGCAGTATTCCACCTTGACGGGAATTCGAGTCAGCATCGTCCGCGGGGTCCTGATATCCGCAACGGAGGTGGATCTACCTGAGTATAGTCGCACATATTGTCGACGTGCTTGCTGGCTGGTTTGGAGCTTTCAGGGGGGGTTGTTCTCACGGTGGGAGGTGGATCGGGAGGAAGACGACGAGACAGATTAAGTGTAAGTATAAGTATCGAAAGCAGGGAGACTATGTAAGGGACAGGGTAAAGGACGACAGTGAGAGAGCGAGTGTGAGAGTTGAGCCGCGGTTTTTGTAAGTCACAAGGACCTGCCAATGACAGACCTAAAAGCCCGGGGGGAAGTGATGGGGAGCAAGAGGGGAGGATGTGCTGTAAGAGGTAGGCCAAAGTGCTGGACTCTGTCGTGGGATAGGATCCTAGTAGTAGTGGCAGTGGTGAGTCGTCGTCGTCGTCTCGTCGTCGTCTAGCTTAGAGCAAAGTGGATAGCAGTGAACAAGCCCAAGGTGGGCGGGCACATCTAACTATTTAAACACTTGATTCTGCCGTCGATCGTGCTTGTCAACAACTCAACCCCGAAATAAGTACAGCGCCGGGAACCCTTGACTAGCAGGTGTGCCTGGAATTTCACTATGTAGACCACGCTTCTGTCTTTAAAGGCGCCAAGCCACTTCGCACGTACCCCATCACCAACGATTTTGGATGGGCACCTCGATTCTGTTTGTACCATGATCCTTGCCAGGTGGGAACCATGTAGCGGGTGGATATCGATGTAGGTACTGTGTATGGGATGGGGATGTAAGAGAGGGATGTATGGATGGATGGATGTACCACGAGCCGTATGCGGGCACGCCTCTCTCTCACTCTCTCTCACTCTCTCACTCTCACTCTCTCTTCTCTCTCTTCTCTCTTTTATTTTTATTTTTTATTTCTTATTTCTTATTTTTCAAATATTTTTTTTATCCCGCCCTCTCCTCACCCGTACATATACACATACTTACACGGACTAGGCCTCGACTCGAAATTACTGTAGCAATAGACGCAAGTCTCGGCCTGGATCAACGCGGTGGAGCTGGGAGAGCTGCCGACGACGTATTCCCCCAAGACCCCGTGCCTGCGATTCGCAACCCAGTCGAGGTCGTCTTGCAATGCCTGACAAGGCCGATACACCCCCTTCCCTTCCCCTCCCCCCTCCCTATAATAGACGAATACCATATCCTCCTGGGATCAAAACAACGGACTATTCTCCGGTCCCTATGTATGTAGGTATGTACTTTGTATATAGGTACGTCAGCGACGGTGCTAGGCTGCGTGACGGTGACATTGACGATATTGAGGGAGGGCGGCAGAGAGGGAAAAAGACAAGCTCCATCCCCATCTCTCTCCCACACGCACACATACATACATACACCCATACCAACCCATACCAACCCATAACAACCACAGCCACGCACCCAAGCGACATCGAGACTTGACGAACCCTCCCGACAAGGTTGCGCATCTGATCTAATGCGTCCGTAGACTGCCACTGCGTAGTATAGCAACCTGGCTGCATGGAAGGACGACGCTGCACTCTGCACCCTCTGCATCCACTGCGTAAGGGTCCAATAAGTACTACCGCCTGGCACGGCGAAATCAATAAGCAACACTACCAAGAATCCGGGCCAGGGTCCACACATACCTACGGCCAAAAGAGAGGGAAAAAAGTGCCCGCAGGGAATGACCAGGGAGCTATCACTTGCTGCCGGAAACGAGTCTGTACGCACATGCACCAGCTCTACAAGCTCCTACAGCATACCCACGTAGTTACAAACCTGATAGACGTGCATGTGGCCATGTAGGTATGTCGCGTATTTTTCCGCGGAAGCGCGCGTAAGTGTATGTATGTAAGGATGTCTGTCTGCGTCCAGGTGTCTGTGTGTAGGTATGTGTGTGTGTGGGTGTAGGTATAGGGCCTGAGCGAAGCAGCTGGATCGGTCCATCGTCTACTCTAGAGACTGCAGCAGCAGCAGCAGCAGCAGCAGCAGCAGAGAAACCCTGGCAACAAGTTGTTCTGTTCAATTGGGCACTTGGACGGCGAGAGGAGACGAAATGAGTAGGGTGGGAAGACGGGAAACGGGCTGCTTCGAGAAGCTAACGGTCCGTCTCAACAAACCGAACCAGGCGGAAAGACGAAGAAAAAAAAAAGACGGCGAGTACAAGCTACTAACCAAAGGGACGCCGTCCGCCCATCAGTCTGCTCGTTTACTCAGCGAACTAGGTAATAACACTTGGCGATCTACCGCGTCATGTGTGTGCTTCCATCCAGGTTCCCGGTCGACGGAGGCTTGACGCTTCATACGAGGACCCTCGCCGCAACCGATTTACAGTCAGAGACACTACGCGCGGAGAGAGAGAGAGCGAGAGAGAGAGAGAGAGGGAGGGAGGGAGTTTCTGACTGCGAGAGGCGGACTGAAGGAATTCTGGGACTCCTACAGGCCTGGCCCGGGGTTTCGCAGTGGGCTCACAGCCACCGCTCGCGTGCTGGGGCAGACGATGGTGAATCCCTCCGGGGGTTAGAGCGTCGGCATCACCTACCTGAACCCGTTGGGCGCTGGCCGTCCGCCAATATTGCAAGGCCAGATAGCATCATCGCGATACATCGGGCGATGGCCATTCGCCTACGTACGTGCCTCCCTACGATCACCACACGCGCGCTTCGCGAAGGACACGAGAGAAGCGATGCGCGAGATCTCCCGGCGGCTCCAACGACACAGCTTACCTACGTCGAGTGGCACGCGCTCGCCCGCCCGCTCAATCTCTGTCGAGCAACTACCACCATTGCCGACTTACTCACTGCTCTGTCGATCCGCTCACTCCGACGGGGGGGGGGGGCAGTGACGAGGATCGCGGGAATCCACACTACTTACTCTCTCTCCGTAGGCGGGTTGCGTATGTACATACGTAGGTATCTGTGTCTTGGAGAAGAAGGAAGCCCGACGGTGGACACAGCGCTGCCCAGCGATGGCGCAAGGATTTCGGGATGCCTCCTCGTGTCTCGGCTCTGACGTTTCCTCTGTCTTTCTCGTTCTCGTTCTCGTTCTCCTCTCTCTCCCCCTCTCGCCACCTGCGCCTCTCTCTCTCTGTCTCGAGATCCAGCCCCATATGTCGGGACGGAGAGAAAAGGCAGCGAGAGTCAGAGGGCATCAGCCCCGAGGGTCCGCACGTGGGCCACCCACGGCCACCTGGAATGCTTTGGGCCCTCGATTCGGTGTCGCCAAGCGCTACACCCCTGGCCAGTCCCACGAATGACGGCCGAAATTGGAGCCAACGAAGGCTTCCAGAAGGCCGAACCGATTCCACATCCAGCTATACTGCCGCCTCAAGGGTTCACGGCAGTTTGAAGCGTTTCCTTCTTTCAGTTAGCAGCCTTCGGAACCCACTCGCCTTGCCGACAGACGCTTCGGGAGGACCACCGCCGTCGACTCTCAGGAGAAACTGACATGTCATATTTATCAACTGTCGCACGCAAGGAGAGAGAAAGAAGAAGAAAGAAGCGAGGCGGGAATACGATTGTCCAACATGGCAGCATACCACTCATCGCTGCGCGACTTACACGTTATTCTACGAGGGGACCGCCTTAGGATTTGATATGTTACTGTCCCCCTCTGACGACTTTGTCGCCTCCCGCATCCCGCACATCCCGCATCCCGCCTCTCCCCCTCTCCCCTCCTCTCTCTCTCCCCCATCCTCGGCGGCAAGTAGGCACGCATGTGCATAGATTACATGTGGCTGGCTATTCATAGCTTCATAGCTCTCCTCACCTAGATACGAAGCAGCGTTCGCGTCGCCGTGGACCGATGCTCGTTATTCCCTCCCTCCAACCACGAGGCGGCCCGCATACGGCTTGGGCGCCACTGTCCAGTGAGCGCAGGGGGGGCTATGAATAACTCGAACCCGTCGAGCTCGACGTGAGGCTCCGCGAATCAGCACCTCGCGCGCGCCCGCGATTCGTTTGGTGAGGCTGAGGTGGGAGTAAGGGGAACAAAACGAAGACGATCAATGAGGTCTCGACGACGTGGTTATCGAGCCGGCCACGTGTCTTGGCCGTCCGCACCCGACGAGCATCCCACCCCCCTCTCTTTAGCTGTGTGGATCGGCTTGGGTAGCCCGTCAGAGGCCCGACGCACAAAGCGAGTAGACCACTTACATCACAGGTTACGGAGAACGCGGAGTCGTGCTGTAGCGCGTGCGTATATGTAGGATGTTGTCTAAAACCCAGATCCGATGCCTCTTGATGATTCAGACTTGCGCACACCACCTACCTGCTTTCTCGGGCCCTCACTTGTACCCATCCCTTGACCTTATCCTAGAAATTTGACATGCCCTTTTTTTTTAATCCCTCGCAACCGCGCTCGGTCTTAAGATATTATCCATGCTAAGCCCGTACGGGGAGGGTACCACACGGAAGACTCATCATTACCATGCTTGGTTTCCTTTCCTTTCCTCGTCACCCCCCCTTCTCCCTCTTTGGATATGAGATAGTCATGATGCCGTCGTCCTCCCCCTCCTCGCAGATTGACGTGTGGGCGTGGCGTATCCGGGTTCGACACCGCGCTGAGCTATGATCGGCGGCACCGTCGCCCCGTCACGTCAGCTGGCCTAGCTGTGGGAACAGACCTCTGGGGCCCATTATACCACCGCCGCCACCACCTTCTCGAGTGGGAACTCGAAAGGAGACGACTCGGCATTCGCGAGGGGGGAGAGCCGAACAGAAGGGCTAGAAGCCCGCCAAGTGGTCTCTTCCTTGGGAGACATCGATGCCCAACCAATAATGGCCGACCCAGTGCAGCGTCTCGGGTCGCTTAAAGTTGTGCGAATCCATGTTGCCGGAATGAATATGGCGCGCAAAATCATATAAAGCCGGCTCCACCGCAGGGCAAGGGGGCGGAGTCTTGGACGGAGAGAGAGAGAGAGAGAGGAAGAGGGAGGGAGACGTGCACACACCACGCTCACACAGACGAAAGAGAGTGAGGAAAGCCGGCTATGAAACGAAACACCAAAACCACCCGAGCAAGCCCTCAGCGCCGTTGAACTGGCTAGGCTCACTTGGGAAGCTCCAGCCGTCGTCAAAGGTCCGCATAGTTAGGAATGCCCGGGGACTAAGTCGGGATCGTCGGTGAAGACTCACGATCTGCTTACTACGTAGTAGGTACCTCGCCGCCCCTTTCTCCCTGTTCTACATACCTGCCATCGTCATCATCGTTTGCCTCCGTCTCTGTGCATCTCCCCTGCGGACGCAAGCGTAGCCCGAGGCCAACACACGCCGCAGCGCTGTCCGGTTCCTTTTTGCTCGACGTGAGACAGTCAGGTCGGCACTGCGTGTCTTACGTTCGTAGGCGACTAGGGGCGGCCCGTTCCATTCATAATACCGGCTGCTGAATGACCTGGTGTTTCGGTAGCACGTACAGTACCGTGATATCACCGCCAGGGAATGATGAGATGAACATCCGTACGTACATACATACGCGGACAGGATCAGGGGTTCTCACGTGCATGTTTATTCTCATATCGGCGAGTCAGTACGTAGGCAAGTACGATAGCCATGCTACCTCTGTGTGAGGGTATACCGGGGAGTGTGTGAACTTGTACAGACGAATATACTACATAGTGTGTGTGTGCCCAAACAGCAAGCATCGCCAAGGCCTTTTAAGGGGTTCACCAGTCCGAGTCGAGAGCCGGGTCGCCGACAGGGTAATTTAGAGTAATTTAGTCCGGTGCGAAAAAAAAAAATTGGCAAAAAAAAAGAGATCGAAAATTCCGTCGAAGGTCGTATTTTGAAAATGATTGCCCTTCTTTTTCTCTGGTTCGAGCCGAATCGTGCACTTCCAATATCGAATATAACGCAGAAAATTACCGAATTCGAAGATCTCCCAACCCGCGGAGAAGTACGTAATTGGCTACTAAGACGATGAGATAGATACTCATAGATCCCTGAGAAGACAAGGCGGCAACGGAGACACATACTAATAGTACACACGCAGAGAAAACCCTCCGCCCAGCCATCCTAGCCAACCAAGCCGCAATATTGATCGGCATGGGCCTTATTGACCCAGACAGACAGACAGGCGGCGAGAACAGCAGAGAGAGAAGCAAAAACGGGGCTGCCGAGGCTGTCGCGTTCAAGCTTTCCAAATCATCCCATGGACCGTAGGTACGGGTTATACTGGGATACGCTGCCGTGCCCTGCTGGGACTCCACAATCACGCCTGCGTACCTACGTGAGCGGTTTCGTGGTAGGCCGGGGTAGTGGGAGACGGCTCTGTATGGCCAGACTGCCTCTAGAACCAGCCTCTCTCTCTCTGTTATTCTCTCTTTTCCTCCTTCTCTGCCTCATCCTCCAGTTCCCACGTGCGAGGACCGGGCCCAGCCAGCCAGACGAGCCGGAGCCAGCCAGGGCAGGACAGGATAGCACGGGGCGGCGGGCGAACCTGGGATGTAGCAGAGTGAGTCAGTCCCGGTGCCGTATACCGACGAGACAGGCTCGACGCCTGACTCGAGACATACATACATGCGATAACAGACATATGAGTAGGTAATACGGACATGCATACCGTGTCTACACGTAAGCATGGGTATCTATATACGTGCCACCTTGGTGTTGCATGCTTTAGGGGAAAATAGAGAGAGAAGGGGGGGAAGAGGCCAAGACCAATAACAGGTTAATTATTGCACAACAGCCTCATAAACCCGTGTATGAAACCGGCCCTTTTGAGGACGTCGCAACAACGAAACACAAGCTTCACCTTCATCACCGGCATCATCCTGTTCTTCTTCTTGTTGCTGTTCCTATTCTTGTTCTTCTCCGTTGGTGCCGAGGGCTAGCAGCTAACCAAACAGCTCTCCGGCTCCCCTCTCCTCTCCTCCTCCTCTCTCTCTTACTCCCAACACTGGTTTTTTTTTTTTTTTTCTTCTCGACCCAAACGCGCAGATTACGATTCCACCATTCCCGCTGTCGACCCAACTCGACCTAACCCGGGACTGTTCATTCATCTGGTACGTAGGTATGGGTTATCCGTGCTCACCGCTGTGGGGTATAGGGCGGAAATATTACCGTGCTGTCGATTCCCTCGTTTTGTTTCCGTCTCTCTACTACTATCGATGTAGGTACGGTAGCCGGGTAGCAGCACGGCACAGCATCAGCATCAGCAGCAGCACCTAGTATGTAGCTATTGTCAACTGAAACCCATAATAAGGCCTAGACCTGCGCTGCCCTACCATCACCGTCTTCTTCTTCTTCTCCTCCCTTCCCCTCTCTATCCTTTATTCCCTCGTAGGGGCCAATTCGGCCAGCTAATTCGCACCCAAGAGTTGAATAGTCCAACTTGGCACTGCGACCTCCCAAGGCACGTCGTCACGTGTTGGACCCAGAGTCGTCGCTCCAGTGGTTTTGTGATATCTGACAGCTCCCAAGCTGCCCATTTCCGTTCCTGGCGAGAGGACCCTCGCGATGCTAGTGCAATATTACTCCTCTCTCGCTCTCTCGCTCTCTCTCTAGTTAGCGCGCGTGTTGCCCAAGGTTCGTGTAGGTGCCAGTGCAAGTAGCATGCGTGTTAGTGCGTGCGGGAAGAGGGAGGATTCAGGATTTTTCGCTGTCGTTAGGTTTTGGGAACAGAGGACACCCACGGACGGGATAAGGGCTCCACGACAACGCACTCCAGGATCACCTCCCCCCTCCCCCCCGTTCCCCTACCCTCTGGTTTTCTCGGCATCGCGAGTTGGAGTCGATAACGCACACCATTACCACCGTCACCACCAACCACCAACCACCCCAACCCATGCGAAGAGGAGGTTAGAGATTGGGCACGGAGAGAAAACGAAACCGGCGTGGGGGGGTGAGGGGCGGAGGGGCGCGGACCCATCTAGCAGGGCGATCGCCGTGAGGCTACGGCGCGATCTACAGACCTGCATCCATCACAGGCCTGAGGTGAATGAAGAAGAATGAAGGAGGACTTCTACATACATGAAGCAGTGTAGCATCACAACCTCTCTTGCCCCCCTTTCCCCCCTCCCCCCTTCTACCAACTCGCCTAGCGCCCTTGCGAGCCGCCGTTTTGGTGCCTCGTCCGCGCTGCTTGATTCGCTACCAGAGACGGCCGCGTCAGGGAACCATACCATCTGACCTCCTCCCTCGCACATCGCGCGCGCGCGCAGCGTCGCCAACCCGGGATCGCATGCGCAGCGTCAGAGCCGAAACGAAACACAGGACTGCGAGGGTGCGAGGGCAGAGCGTAGCAGGGCAGGTCGGCATGTCGGCAGCCAGAGCGACTCCCTGCGGCATAGCGGGAATCACGATGTGCGGATCCGTCCGAAATTGGTCGCCCCGAGTTTCCAGGGCTTTGCAGCTTTTCTTTCTTTTTTTTCTTTTTTTTTTCTTTCCCTTCCTCCTCAACTCCATCCAGCTCTGTCTCCTCCGTCCCCTCCGGGCCCTCCTCCCCTACCCATTCGCTTTCTCTTCCTTTTCCATCCTCTGCTCATCTCCTCTTGCTGCCGACACGCCTGCCTCCCTGCGACACATGTGACCGGGGCCTCATTTCTCAGGAAGTCATTTGACGGCCGCATGATGTGAGACCTGGCCTTGGCGGGGGGAGGGGGAGACATGGAGTCACGATATACCCGGCTAGACTTTTTCTTTCTTTATTTCGATTCCTTTTGCTAAATTCAGGGTCCAATAACTGTTAGCTGGGATTCTTTTTTTTCTTCTTCTATTCTCTTTCTTTTCTCTGTCGTGTCCCGCAGAGCGTCACGAGAAAGTCCCGCGCCCTTCTAACCCCCCCCCCCCCTCCCCTCCCCGCGCCCCCCGGCGCGCGCGGAGCAGCTCTCGAGGTCCGATGCGTCATCATCCTATGGAAATGCCCCGGACAGCTCCTGGCCCAGAGCGAGACAGACAGGAGACTGGGGCAAGGCAAGGGGAGAAGGCCGTCACGCAGGGCAGGGCAGGGCAGAGTCGCATCGCAAAGGAGTCCCGGTCGGTCGTAGGATGTGATGCGATGCGGCACGCTGCATACGGATTTCTTGTCGTTGCGCGTCTGAGGCGGGGGAGGAGGAGAGGGGGTAGAGCCTCGGGACCGCCGATAGGCGCGTGCCCTCGCCCATCACCCGTCACCCGCTGCTAGCCAGCGACGTGGGCTGCGTCTGGGGACTGTTTCGCCTGGCCGAATCCGGTGGCGGGTTCGGATCCAGCCAGCCAGCCGAGCGCCGTGGAAAGACCTCGCCTCGTTACGGGGCTATCCTGGGCCTCCCTCCAAGGCGGGCCCGGCTCGGGCAGGCCAGAGAGGAGATCCGCCCTCGTTTATGGTCCGAAAATGCGGCAGGCAGCGGTTCTGCACGGCCTACGTCCGATTCCCTCCTAACCGCAGGTACACCATCTAGGACGTGAGGGTTGATGGAACTCTGTCACTTGGACACCAAGAGAGGGAACTCTTCGAGCCACGGCGGTACGATTCGTCCCCAAGTCGCCTGTTTTTCCTCTTTAGCTCAAGAGACCTGTCACATTTTTCTCTACTTGCCTACTGGTAAGCCACCCGTCTCACCCGCATATTCCTGCCTCGAAGCGGTTGGGAAGGTCTCTAGTCGCCCGTCTACTTGCCTAACAACGGCTAGCTAGGACGGCTAGTAGGATACAGGTAGGATAGCGGCTGGCGCGTTGACTCGAGACCCTAGTTACGTAAATCGAGCTTCGCGATAGAGTCGGGACGGGACGACGTCTAGCGCTCGTCTGGCGGTCAAGACCGGTGTAGGGAGGGTGTGATCCGATGGACATCCGGACAGGAGTAAGTAGGGGTGGAAACACATAGCAAAACACCCATTGGCCATCACGAAGGAGAGGTAACATGCAATAGCTCGGGCTAAGGGACTCAGTCGCCCGGTATACCTACTCGGCGGAGATTTTTAAACTTCCGGCACGGGCAGCCTACTCAGTAGAAGTCGAGTTCCGTAGAGTCACGTTGACTCCATCGATCCCATCTTCCTCAATCGTACTACTACAATACTCGTGAGTGCCACCGGTTTCCGTCCTGGTCTGATGTCAGCGTGATGGGTGCCTATCACGCTCGAAAGGCATACGTGAAGCCGATGTATGGAACTACGATACCACGAGTGATAGGCTCCTACGTCAAGTCGTCGTTCTGTGCATGCGAGGCCCCTCGTTTGAGTCTCTTCATCCATCTCTAATCATGCACCTGTGAGGTGCCGTGGCAACTTGCTCACTTATCAACAGCCAGCCATCCGTCCAGCAGGTGAGTCACTAAGGCCGAAATAGGGGGCACCCTCTGTGGATCTGGGAGCAAGCTAGAGCCGTCCATGGCGTGCGTGGCCATCGCTATTAAATTTACTAAGAGATCATAAGCATGGAGGACGCAGGTTGGACACAACTGTCTTCTGAAACTTATATATCGAGCTGAGGCCTAACCCGAAAGAGAAAGCAGGACAGCCGCCTTTTCACCTACGGAGCATCACTTTAGACGGCACCTCAATTGTCTCACGGAGCCTATCTAATGAGCAAGAACATCTACCCTCGTTTTCTCTCAAGGCTATCCCAATCCTCGCATCTCCCTTTTTCTGGGCTCTTTCGCCGCTCGATCAGTCTCGGCCTTCGGGGCCGAAATCAAGCTCCTCGTAGTAGCGGTAGATACCGTTCGAATAGTCCTGGCGCCTCTTGCTGGCCAGGTACGCCTGGATCCGGGGCCTTTCCTTGACCGCACTGTACAGCTTGAAGACGTGGGCGTACTTGCCCGACTTCTCGGCAGCCGAGGTGGCTTTCCGGAAGGCGAACTTGACGCCGTCGATGCACTGAGGGCTTGTCAGCGTCTGTAGCTGCCTACCGCCCTAGATGTCCCACCACTAATCGCGATGATCATCGTTTCCAGAGGGGTGCGAGAAGGGAGAGTAGGGAGAGGTTACCTGAAATAGCACTAGGTCGGCATAGGTCAGCTGGCCACCGTAGAGCCACGGCCCCTCGCCGCTGGCCTTGCCCTGGAGCACGCGCTCGAAGTAGCCGAGGAACTTGGGAAGGCGGTTCTCGACGTAGTCCTTGCTCCTGCGCTTTGCTTCTTCCTTCTGGTCCTCGTAGTACAGGCTCGAGGCGATAGGGTGGTGGCAGTCGTGGACCTCGTCGCTCAGGCCGTCGAGGGCAGTGAGCGCCAGCCCATTAACCTTGTACAGGGCGTCCGGGTGGGCTTCATCCTCCTCGGACGGCACCAGTCCCAGCCGCGGCCCTAGGTACAGCAGGATGTTGGAGGTCTGGGAGATGAGGAGGTCGCCGTGGCGGAGGATGGGCGGCGCGAGAGGGGGCGGGTTCAGGTCGTCGCCTACGTTGCTTTCGGCGATCTGAGCCGCCACCTCGCTCACACCATTCTCGATTTGTGCCGTGTCCGTGTAGGCAGCGCCAGCCTCCTCGAGGGCTAGACGGACGTGCTCGCCGCGACCCGGGATGCCGGGCCAGTATAGGAGCTCATAAGGCACATCCTTGGCCGACTTCTGGCGCTTGAGAGCGGACATGGCGGGACGATAGAATCGGGGGACAGGCTGGATTCGAGGATATGCCCTGCAGGCGGCTCTGGGGATCAAGCGAGAGGGGAGCAACTGAGGTCTCAGCATAAAGAGTAAGCGGTAGGCAGGAGTGAATTTGTCAGAGTCGACGTCGAGGGAGAGAAGGGATAAGAAGGCAACGAAGGAGGGGAGCTCGAATGATTACACAGCCACCTTACACCCGAGATACACCGCATAAAGGCATACTACCACCCATAGTTGCATGTGGGATGTCGAAGGTAGGGAGAGGTGGGAGGAGCGGGGAGAGGCGGGGGAGCTTCCCACCCTCTCTGGGTGCGTCTATCGTATATAAGTATATATCTATATACCTATACATCTATATACATCTAGCAGATACGCTCGGCCGCCGCGTTAGCCCCGGCATACATCGAGGAGGTACCTGAATAGACGGCGTCGGCATTGGGGTCGGACCGGAGAACGGTACCTTGCATAAGGTGATGTGCATAAGGGGTAACAACAGGTAGGAACCTGGGAAGGATTGTGATCTGCTACCACCTATCCGTTATTATACATCGTTATACCTTATTATACGCAGTGCCTGGTTACAGGTTGCATGGAAGGTCACGGGGGTTACGTACCTGACGTTTCTCGCAGGTCGATTGCAGTATGCCATCACATAAAGGGGCCCATTCTCATACGAGACGGCGAGAGCAATGCGTTTCTCTACCTATATACGATAAGTAGTCATACAAGAAATCTATGTTTCTATAGATATCTACGTGCAAGTGTGCTTAGTTATGCTTATCGAAGTCATTCCATGCGCAGGATTCGCGTTGCCGTCGAATTCGGGCAATGATAATGCTCACCGTCATCTACCTATGATTATATGATTACGATCCTCGTGGTACCAAGCAAAACCTAGGAACCGACAAGTCCATCCCGTCGCCTGCCGATACTACCTATGCCACCTACATACCTAATAGAATAGGGGTATCGTGGGGAGAAAAGGGGGAGAAAGGAAAAAAGGAGACCGATATACAGAGGCGAGCGCGCCCTTCGCAGCAACTGACTCCTCCGCGCGCCGACGGCCCATCGCGCCTACACGGCGACCCCGGGGACCCCGGCAACCCCAGTAACCCCGGCGACCGCGTCCCGGACGATGCTCTCGCACTCCGCCGGGTCCGTGAAGACGTGCCATACGCCCCGCGGTATGTCGTGGAAGGCTTTCTCGAACCGCTCCGGCTCGTTCTTGGCTGCGATGCCCAGCGCCGCGATGTCCTCTACCTTGCGGATCAGGATCAGCCGGACCCAGCCGGGGTGCGCGCGGTAGCTATATGCTGCGGTCAGCCGGTCGCGTCCACGGACAAATAAATGGGCGAGCACGAGAGAGACGAAAAAGAAAAGAAAAAAACAGAATGGCTCAAACTCACATCTCGCCGTACGCCTCCGGGTCCGACTGCGTCGAGTCGCCGACGCAGATCATCTTGCGGCGCGGCAGCCAGCGGCGGATCTTGTTCATCGCCGCCACCTTGTAGTCCTCGGTGCCGACGGTCAGCGTGGTCAGCAGGCCCGGCAGGCTCGTCCAGCTCGCCTCGCGCAGGATGATGGTGCCGTGCGGGAAGTGCTGCTCGCGGAACTCGCGCAGGAACGGGTACAGGTTGTACGGCGACGCCGAGAGGTAGAACCACGGCGGCGGCGAGGGCGACTCGCGCCCGGCGTCGTCGTCGTCCGCCGCCGCGCCCCCGCCCTCGCCGCTGCCCGCTGCCGGCCCCGTCGAGATTGCCGACGCGATCGCGCGGTACAGCTCAGGCATGCCGGGGCAGGCCTCGGGCCGCTCGAGGAAGGTGGTGCGCAGGATACCGACGGGGTCGCTCGTCTGCGTCACCTTGATGGTGTCGTCGATATCGGAGATGACGCCCCAGCCCTCGGGCCCGGCGAAGAAGGTGCGCATCTCGAGGATGCCGTCGGCGCCCTTGGGCACGCGCGCGAACGTCGGCACGAGCGCGCCGGCCCACGCGCCGTCCGGGTCGTCCGGCAGCGTCCGCACGTCGGTGCTGATGCCGTTGCGGCCGCCCGGGCCCAGCTTCAGCGGCGTGCGCCCCGCCTGCAGCACCTTGACGCGCGCGCCCGGCTTGACGTCCCGCACGAACGGGCACACACGCTCCTCCACCGTCGGGTAGTCCGGGTCGTCCTCGCCCAGGCCCACGAGCCTGGCCACCCCCGCCACCGCGTCGACCACGGCGCACGACGCGTGCTGCGAGAAGGCCGCCGCCGTGAACTCAGCCTCCCACCGCCCCGTCCGCGCGTTGCGGTACGCCGTGTTGTCCAGCAGCCACACCGTGTCCTCGGCCGTTATCGGCCGCGGCAGCGGGTTTTTACGCCCCAGGTAGGACAGCAGGTACCGGGCCCGGTCCGAGGGCGACGGCGCGGCCGGCGCGAGCGGCGAGAAGGTCGGCAGCGCCCGCTCCGTCTCGTCGAAGTGGCGCTCCTGTCGCGTGCGGTTCTGCATATCGGTCGCCCCCGTGTACTTCTGGCGTGTCCCCGGCATGTCTGGTTTCCGCGCTCTCTCTCTACTTCGTTTATTTCCTCTCTGGCTCTTCGGAGAAACCGATCGATTTATCTCGCGGGCCCTCGTGTTGATTATACTATTATTATGCCGAACAGCAGCAGCTGTGGTTCTATCCGGTGAGGTATAGGCGATTGACAGGCTCGTGGAAGCCAAGGCGTTGCGAGTTGGTGACGTCGTCGCGTGACCTCGCGACTATGCTCACGAGTCTCTGTAGCAAGCGAGGGGGGAGAGACACCGTGACACGGACGAGAAACCGAGCGAGAGAATGAGGAAATTGATGGGCAGGCCTCTTCCTGGTCTTAAATACTCAGCTAGTGGCTTTGTAGACACGTCGGCAGCGACGACATCTCTCTGGTGGTATACGATGCGAAGGGGGGGTGTGGGCGACTCAGCCCAACCCTCCCTCCGCAGATCGCATCGCCGACTGCCTCCCCGTCTCGTGGCTCCCCTTCCCTCGCCGAAGCTGAGTCGACCTTAGTCGGTGGCAGACAGGGGATGGCGGCAAGTACGTGGACTCGTACGTGGGCTCTCGCAATGCGGAACTTGCCAGCTCATACGTAGCGAAAGAAAAGGAAGGGCTCGGTATTGGCGCATCTCAACATCCGCGACTTCTCTCTAACGGCTTGGCGGGAGAGTTGGTGGACCGGGGCCTGTCGCAGCCACGAACATCTACACCGGCGTGGTAGCGGGCGTGTTTTAGGTACGAGGTGCACTGCGGTGGACCTACGAGGGTGAAGATACGAGAGGAGAAGAAGGGCAAAATACGGACGGATAGGAGCTGCTACTACGTACATACCCACGTAGAAACGGTCGACGATGGTCCTGGCCTGGCGGAGTGGGCGGTGGACGGGGGATAGCAACCAGCTGATGTTTAGCTACGGTGTGCGTAGCAACAAGTGCCTGTGTATGCGAAAGGCCGGATACCTAGCGTTGCCGCGGTTCCTACGGCGCCTTAACCACTCCATGATATTGATCGACGGCAGGGCAAAACGAAGCAAACCGGCAACTGATGCTCGCTTGACTTTGCGGCAGGCCAGCGCATTTTGACGAGATTCGTGAGAAGAACTGGTCTGCGCATTCGCCTACTTCATAAAATAAGTAATCTCTATGTATAAATGCGTAAGCTCGCGTAAATCTGCATATGCAACTAACGAGGTGCTGCGGACAGAAAATGGCAATTACCTAGCCTTGTTCGTCCCACTAGTCATACGAATAATGAAACCCTTCATCAGTAAGTCACCTCGGGGCGACGAAACTCGACTTTTCCTGATGCCCCGTTCACTGCGTTTCGCAGAGCAGGCCGTTGCTGATGCGGCTCAACCGCTGTGGAATGATTTGCTGGAGAGGTAAAGGGCGGCATGGAACGAGACCGTCACCCCCCGACTGGTTGAGATGGAGATTCTTGAGCTCAACGTCGAACCAACATCCCTTCGGCACGAAACATGAGCCAAACCAAGAAGAGGATTTAGAAGTGAAAAATTTCCTTCCTCTGCTTCACCTGAGTTCCTGTCGAGAATGTATCCTTTTGCACCCTTCAACGCTCTCTACCAAGACACGTCCTCATGCCTTCCGAATCCGGTTCAGGACGACAGATCTCGACCGAGACGAATCACTCTCGACGACGGGTGAAGCGTGTCAATCCAAAGCCAAGTCTGTTTGAGCTTGCCATATTCTAGGTACCTAACGGCTGAGGAGAGACGAATTACCTACCCTGCATGCGGCACCGCGAAGCGCAACTCCAAGGTGTCGTCGCTCTCGTCTTGGTTTCGAATCTCTCCTCCCAAGGTCAGCTTAGCTATACCTAGGTAGGTAGAAGTATAGGGCAGGGAGGCAGGTAGGTATCGTCAGATTCAAGACGGCACAATATTCCACCTGTCTACGCGCCCTTGGCCTATACAGAATTACTCATCCACATCGACACGCACGAAGGGCTCCCGCCTCGCGCTCCTTCGGGAACTCGACGCTCGCTTGGTGAATCCGCCATTGGACGCAGTCCTCCGCAAGCAGATCCCACGTCGCATCCCTCCAGCGTCGCTATCCGGCTCCGCTTCCCCCCCTCCTCTCTCAGCATCGGGAATTTGTCATCACGTAGGGGTGCCACTCGCTATCGCGCTCGCGACACCATCGACTATCGCGCGATGCCTGTCGGCTCAGGGTGAACGAGCAGCGCAACACGCCCAAGAGTGCCCATCTCTTCTTCTACTCCACGGCTCTCTCTCCCTCTCTCTCTACTAGGTAACACCCCGGGGCTGCCGACTGGAAATCCGTAGATAAATACCTACCTAGGTATAAATAACATCTGCCTACCTACTTATCTACACTCGAAGCACGCAGCCCCGCTACCATGCTCGAGATCTGGTGCAGCGGCACGCCCCACGAGGTAGGTACCGCTTTTCTGGGGGCAAAATTGTGGCCAGCGTCCCCGTCCCCCCCCTCCCGCGCGGCTTTTCACTATAGCGCATGCTAACCGGGCCCTCTCCAGATCGGCCTCGCGCACGGCCGGCAGGCCAAGGACAAAGTCGCTGGCTCCGTCGCGTTCTACAAGCAGCTGTTCCAGGAGACGTGCGCGCTGGGCTGGGACGAGGCGCTGCGCGAGGCCGAGCGCTACGTAGCCCCGCTGGAGGCGCTGGCGCCGCGGCACCTGGCCGAGATCCGCGGCATCGCCGAGGGCGCCGCGCTGCCGTTCCTCGACGTGCTCGCGCTCAACGTGCGGTCCGAGATCAACTTCGGGCTCTTCACCGACGAGGCTGCCGGCCGCGGCCGCGACGTGCCCAGCGACGGCTGCACCAGCCTCGGCTGGCTCGTGCCCCCCGGCGACGGCGGCGGCGGCGGCGGCGGCGCCTCCTCCTCTTCCTTCCTCAGCCAGAACTGGGACTGGCGCGCCGAGCAGGCCCCCCACCTCGTCGTCTGCCACATCGCCCAGCCCGGCACGGCCATCCCCGACCTCGTCATCGTCACCGAGGCCGGCATCGTCGGCAAGATCGGGCTCAACGCCGCCGGCGTCGGCGTCGGGCTCAACGCGATCCGCTGCCGCGGCGTCGACCGCGCGAAGCTGCCCGTGCACCTGGCGCTGCGCGCGGTGCTGGAGGCGCCGTCGCGCGCCGAGGCGGTGCGCCGCATCCGCGCGGCCGGCGTCGCCGTCGGCGCGCACCTGCTGGTGGGCGACGCGACGGGCGCGACAGGGCTCGAGTGCACGAGCTGGTGGGTGCGCGAGCTGGCCATGGACGCGCGCGGCCGCGTCGCCCACTCGAACCACCTGACGCTGGCGCACCCGGACGTCGAGGAGCCGCCGTGGCTCGCCGACTCGCCCGCGCGCCTGGCCCGCATCCGCGCCCTCACCGCCGCCATCGCCCGCCCCGACGCCGGCGCCCTCTTCGACGTCTACAAGGACCTCGACGGCTACCCCGCCTCCATCAACCGCAAGCAGGAGGGCGTCTCCAAGTCCCAGACCCTGTTCACCATCATCATGAACCTAACGGCCAAGACCGCCCAGGTCACCTTCGGCCGCCCCACCGAGTACAGCACCCGCGTTTTCCTGTCGTTCTAGGATGGGGAAAGGAAGGCTTTGCTGGGCCGGACCGGGGCTGTTGTCGGGTGCGCTGTCTCGTACAGAAATGACGATCTAGGTGTATCGACGCTATCGCGGGTTCCTACCTCTGCGGACACTACGAAAAAAAATTGGTAAGGAGGTGGGTAGGTAGGTAGCGAAGTAGGTAAGGAGGTGGCAGTATGATGGGCGAGGAGCGAGAAGCTAGACAATCACGATATGCTAGCGGTCTCAACCTTGCTGTATCGCCATATAGAGGGGGATGTCTGAGTATATATAGGTTATCGTCATCTTCCGACCACCGTCGTCACCACCGCCACCACCAGTACGATTATCACGGACACCCACAAGCGCCAGGGCAATTGTCTATTAGCGTTATATGTATATATTTTATGTACCTATTCCACAGACACCGGCCTCTATTTCTCATCATCCGCTGGTTCCCTGGGACGCCGAATATCTGCTAGCGCAGGCTGTACCGATACCCTGACGGTATCCAACCGCACGGCGTTTATTTATCTTCCACTGCTCTCCTCCCTCCTTCGTCCCCCTCCCCCCGCGCGTACTGTGAGTCGTAGGAACCACGGTCGTTACAAACTACGATCAATATACATCGGATGCGCTGCCAGAATATATCCCGCGGCCCCCTTTTACTAGTACACCCACATTCTCTCCATCCATGTGCAACCAACCAACCCCTCTCTCCCCCGAGCAGATACAAAGGCGCCGCTTGCCTCCCAAATACCCGCGCGACGTCCGTGTCCGAGCCGGGCAGGTTCCCGCGATGCTCTCTGCGCCCCAAGCCGCCCCCGGCTGCAGTGACAGACCAGCTTAGAAACCGAAGCTGTCTAGCAGCGAATCGGCGTCCGGCTCGACGAAAACGCTCGGCGGCGGCTTGATGGCGCCGTGGCCGCCCGTCTTCATGTCGCCGGGAACCAGCGAACTCATGGGCATGTCCTGCACGACGATCGAGCCGCGGCGCCGGAGCAGCTTTCTGGGGTCGATGTCCCCGTCGATGTTCAGAGCCGCCGGCGGGGCGTGGCGGAGGAACTCCCAGTTGCGAACTGCGCGATAGTCAGCGAACGGAATCTCGCACACGTGGTACCGAGGGAGATGCGAGACGCGATACCCACCTAGGTCGAGGCCGAGGAGATCGCAGCCCATGCGGTCGTACAGCCTCGCGTTGTGCAGTACGAATTCCCACTCCGTCCTAGGCGTCACCTTCGATGCCCCGTGGAGCGTCTGCAGAGTCTTCTGTCGGAGCTGGGAGTACAGCACGATGAGCGCCGGGTCGTCCGTTAGAAACGACTTCGCGTCCAGGCCAGCGGAGGGGGGGGTCTCCAGAAATGTATACACCGGTGTCTTTTTTTCCCCCTCAATTAGCTTTCTGCTTGCTCGTGGAGAGGTCGTAGTGTGAGACGACTTACCACCAGAGCGCGAACTGCGATATCCCGACGCCCTAGCATCCAGAACGCCCACGAAGCAAGCCAACGGTTACCTTCCTGAGCCGCGAGATCAAGCACCTCGTTCTCGAGCAACCTTCTCAGCGTTGGACCGCTGTCTCCTTCATACACCCTCGTAATAGCGATAGCGAGTTGGAGGTCTTTGATCTGGTTCAGACACACGTTCACCGCGTCCTGCAAGTGGCCGGCCAGAAGGAAGAAGGCGGCGGCGTACGCTAGATGTCGTCACATTAGCGCCGTTAACTCCGAGGAATGCCGGGAGACATACCGAAACGACGCTTGCTGAGCAGAGCATACGCATTTTTCAGCGCGGTCGTTTTCCATTTGGGGTCTTCAAAGTTGTTGGCCAGGAGCCTCTGGGTTGCCCCCTGCTCTTTATTCCAAGTTGCCATACGCCACAGCCCTTGAAGGACGGCCTTCCTCTTCAGGGCGAGGTAGAAGAGGCTGCAGTCCACGGGGTTTTTCACATCGTTCTTCGTGTACTCGTTACGAGCCACGATCTCGAACTGTGCTTTCTAGGAATTAGTTAGAGTGGCAGTCCTACTAGAACTATACGTCAAGTCGAACTCACCACGGCTGCTTCGTCCGTGAGCCACATGAACATCCCGCTCTCCCTTGCGTCCTCCCAGAGAATTGTGTTGTGGCACTGACGAGATACGAAATCGACGAGTATATCCTGGCTGATGGAATGGTACGCCCAGTTGATTTCCCTCCACGACATGTGTATTTCGTTAGTTCTCCCCTTTCTCAGCGCGTGCTGTCGGAAGAACAACATGAATCTGGCGCCATTCTCGTCCATCGAGCGACGCTGCTCCTCTACAATCCCTGCGCATTCGACGATATCGAGCAATTGGATCTGTTCATGGCCGGAAAGCTGGGGCACCGTTACTTTCTGAAGCTTCTCGCATATAGACAATGCCACGTCTTCCGTGAAAGCTTCGTCGTTGTCATCGAACGTTGCTTGGGATACGAAAAACGACGAGTGGCCATTATTTGACATGGTTTCCTACGTACTCAGTTAATACAAAATCAAATCGTGATACCAAACCACTCACCGTTTTGCTCATGTAGAGTTCCGCGAGATCGAGGCCTAAATAATCGTCGATGGCTTCTCCCCTTACGTGGTACTTTAGTGTGTGGTTCAAAGCTAGCAGTATACGACGAACGACGGCGTGCTTCCCCGCCACTATGCACTGGCTCAGGAACTGAGGGTGGAAGACTGGCAAGGGGCCGTTCAGTCTTTGGGTGACGTCGAATAAGTCTCGGATCCCATCCCTACGGTGAGGTACGCGCGCGTTCAGGATGAGCCGGTCGGTCGTTTCGAACGTCCTATCGTATAAGAAGAGCTGGTGACCAGCACCGACGACTAGATGGCCGTCGCTAAGCCAGGTGGAGTCTCCGATGGGGTGCGGCGTAAAATCCCGGGTGTTAATCTCGCGAATCAGCGCCCAAGCTGGGCCCTTGTTTAAGTAGTCGAAGCGCAGTTGCGAGAGGAGAATGATGCGATATGGGAAGCCGACGGCAAGCATGGACTGCGAGTCTGGGGTGGATGTCCAGTCGAGATCCTGCACCGTGTTAAGGCTCTCGAAGTCTTGCTTGTACTCCAGACGGGCCCCTCGGATATCCCAGATGGTTAATTCAGAGCGATCGCTGTTCACGAGGGCGGCTATCTTCATCGTACTCCCGCTAACCAAAGCGGGTTCCGACACGCCTGTCTCCATCGAAGATGTCGACAGCCACTCGACTTGGTTTCGCCCTCGAGAAACTCTAGCGGTCCAAAACTCCACGCGGCCCTCGTGCGTATACGAGACCGCAACGTCGCGAGCAAATACGTCGAGGAAGCCGGATATTACGGGCGAGGCGCCGGCCGGGTCCACGGGCAGAACGTAGGCGAGGTCCCCGGCGTCATCCAACTGGAACCTGCAGAACTCCCAGAGGTGTTTCCCGTTGCTATTAGCTGGGGCGTTGGGAGCATTGTCGTTATGCAGCGGTAGATGAAGCTCCCAGACTATTCCTTGTCCTTCCGAAGTGACGGTTGCGAGATGCGCAATGGAGATCTCGTCTACTCTCTCGCGAGGGAGAACGAGGATACACAGAGGCTTGCCACGGATGCTGAACTCACAATCGGCGAGCAACCTATGAGTTGTCGAGGTGCAGTCCCACACCGAGATGCTATCGTGATGCAGGAAGACAACAAACCTGCCGCCCCTAATCAGACATATTCGATGTATATGCCGCTTCTCCGGAATGACGTTGTGGCGCAACAGCTTCATTCGGGAACCTGCGGTGTGTCGCCAGACGATGCCTTCTCCCTGTTCCGTCCTCGATACGATCGCGCGCCCGCTGAAGTTCCGCACAATCTTCTTGATCGAGGCGGAGTGTCCGGACCAAGTGGCGCGGGGAATTAGACGGTGCTTCGCGCCGGGGGTCGGGTCGAGGAAATCGGCGATGCTGCTCTCGAACACCAGCACTTTTCCATCGAAGTGATGGAACAGCATGTGTAGGTTTCCCGCATGTTTATTGCAATACGTGAGGATCTCGACATGCGGTTCGCTCGTCGTCGACCCCAGAAAATCGAAGTCTTTCGACTTGACATCGGCAATGTTATCCACGTTCCCGGCCCCCCTGGACTTGCTGCTCACGTTCTCTAAAGCCCAGGACGACATGCTTCCGTGCCCGTCAAAGACGACGCAGATTTCCGTGTCCCTGTTCGCGATGGAGAGCAGGTACTGGAGAGCGACGTCGTCCTTTTCTTGATCATCCCCCCTTTCTTGAACCGCCCTCTCGGTAGCGCAAGCGAGATCTCGCTGGCCGATGATGAGCGCCCACCTCGACTTGTATGTAGGCGCGCCCGGCTCGTCTCGTATCGCCGTCGTCAGGTTGAGCTTGCCCCATTGGCGCAATGCCTGGCAGCCGAAACTATCAGCGCCGGTCCATACGCGCATGAAATTGTCGACGCAAAACGTGTAGAGGACATTTTCGATCGTCTGGCCGACATGCAGTGGCCGCCGCCATTGTATACTCGTAACCGCTCTCGGGTGTGGTAGGTAACATAATTCGAAATGCGCTTCCTCGGAGCCAAAATTCAGCCGCCGCCACACCTTGACTAGACGATCGTGGTATCCGACCGAAGCAATACACGACGAGTCGTATGAGAGACTCGCCGCTTTCGCGGGGCTGGCCAATTCTTGGTGCCAGCGACAAAAGGCGGGCGTCGAGGCGGTGTCATAGAGGCAGAGGGCGGATCGGCCGACGAGGAGCTCCTCGACGTTTCCCCAGGACAGCGTGGCGGGTGTTGAGCCTTGGCCAACTTCGAAAAATGTTTGTAAAGCCCACTGCGCGCACAATCAGCGATGCGGTATTTCGGAGGGGGCCGGCTTTCTCAGACTAGGGTAAAGCACCTTAGGCGAGTCATCGTCACCGTAACTCAGAGGCCGGTAGATTCTCACGGTCGCACCGGTAGACGCAGCTATCTTGCCCGAGACCTCGTCGAAGGCGACGGCCTCGAGCTTCCGCTCGTCATTGTCATATATCGTCTGGAGGACGGTTTCGGGGCCGGAGAGGATGGCGAGAGCGTTGCCGGTGATATAAACGACGACACGCTTGCTATTCCAATAACCCGTAGACACAGCTTGAAGACTGGCTTCGGGCTGGCCAGGAAGGACTGCCCTCATACTATCGTCGCGAGTCGCTCGATAGGGGGGACATGTCTATCGGAGGGAGGAGAGTCGCGGATCGTCGGTGTCGAGAGGTCTCTCAACCCGAGAGAGAGGGCGCGTGGGTATGGCCCCGGTGGCCCAGGATCCAAAGTCGGTCGGACTCGTATTCTCGAGGGGAGTTTCGACGATGTGCGGTATCGGTGGTGATGGAGAGGAGGGACGGCGGAGAGACGGCGACGACAGTGACAATGGATTGATTTGACAGAGGCGTCTGCGTGTACCAAACCCGGATTAGTCTAATTACCGCAGAGGCGTCGGGGATAAGGGATCGAGGAATAGCTGGCTCTAGTGAGGCCCAAGGTTGGTCTGATTCTCCATACCTGCTGTGCCTTCGTGTTGTAGAGCTAACCAGGTCTGTGGGAGGGAGGAGGGAGGAGGGCGATGCCGTGTCGAAATAGAAAAGGAAATAAATAAAAAAAGGCGTTGGATGGATGGCTTCACCTCCGTGCCGAAATCAGATGCTCGCTCCTGCTGCTGCACCTGCCCGGCAACTTCGCGTCGGTTTGCGACTGCAACATGACGTGAAGCGGGTCCTACAGCTGCCTACGTGTATGCATATAAGAATAACCCCCTCTTGACGCACATCGCCTATCACGGTATTGCGCTATCACACTATACTGAGATTCACAGCGATAGTCATGTGGGTAATATGCAAGTAACGTATATATATATATATATACGTATATACCTATTCTATGATCACGATCGGGGGGTATCCTCGACATCATTCCGCGGCTTGAGCCAACCAACTAACTGGGTATCACCGATCTCCCTCTCCGTATGCAAACCAACACGAATTCCACGCCATATCCCATGCTCTTAGAGTGGATAAGGAAAATATAAATAAAAAGAGAGAATTCACCCGCCGTTCTAGCCAAGTCGACCCGCCAACGCCCACGAAATGCTATCGAAGCCCCGATATTCACTGTGCCCACGACACCCTGAGGTTCCTCCCGGTGCGGCCGATCCGGCTCGCTCTCGCTCCGGGCCCCAGCCCCCTCGTCGCCGTCTCGCTAGCCCGCCAGGTTCGGCTGGGCACCGGCGCCAGCGGCGTAGTCGTCTCCCTGCTACCGAGGGTCCCCAGGAAGATGTGTGGTCTCCCCGGCGTCGGCGCGTAGACCTCTTCCTGGGTCGTTTCTCTCCTATTTCGTGCCGCCGCCATCCGCCAGTGGTCCAGCAGACCTCGCGCTCGGTTTAGCGATGCTTGATGTCGAGCATCTATTATTATTTGATTCACGCCTCCGTAACCACCGCCGGAAAGCTCGACCGGAACCAGGTTGTCTACCGCGAGGCTGTGCCAACTGTCAAAGCTCGCGCGCACCAGCCTCCGGTCCCTCTTCTCCAGCGCGTTCGCGACCATCACTGGCCGATTCGGCACCTGGAGAGAGCGGAGATTCCAGTTCTTCAGCGCTCGAGGCACGGCTACTTGTTTCCAGTGCTCCATGGCTTCGGCACGTGCTCGTCTGTGGTGGGCAGACCGTCCCCTCCATCTTCCGAGCACCTTCTCTTTAACCATCGTGTCGCTCATGAGGTTCATTTCATCCCGCTGCTGCGCCGTCTCGTGCCACGCGCCGAAGGCGTCGGCGGTCCGTCGCCATTCCTGGTCCGCGAAGACATCTTCGAGGATCGCATCCATCGTGTCGTATCGTTCAAGGCTTGGCTGCAGTTTCTCGCGCCATTGTGCGATGCACCGCAGGCCCATCCCTTTCTTCACCAGACGGCGAGTTTCCAAGTGCGCGTCTTTCAACCTCTCCTTGCGCCTTTGCTTAGCAAGACGGTGCCACGTCAATAGCGTTGTCCGAGCCCGGTAATAGTAGTTGGCTCGCCGGGCATAGCGGACGAGCCTCTGTTCTTCGTATTCGGTCACCTTCTGCGTCTGCATTCTCCATATAGGGAGCACTTTCGTAGCGCTATGATAATAATTGGCGCGATCGGCATACAGCTTGAGAATTTCCTGCTGTTTGAAAACCTGGCCGGTTTCACCCCGCCAAAAAGGCAGGCACTTGGTGGCCTTGTAATAGAAATTGGCCCGGGCCGCGTAGCTTTCTAGGAGTTCGTCCTGTCCTTGCACGTCCTCTTGGATCCTCTGTCGCCATGTATGCAGCATTCGTCCGGCATTGTGGCAGTAGTTTACCCTTTCCGCGTTCAGCCTCAGCACCTCTTGTTCCTGGGAAACGTGCTCGGCCTGGGAGCGCCAGATGGGGATGGTGTGAGCAATGCGCTGCTCTTGTTGCTCCGACTTGAAACTCCTCACCCTGTTCACGTTGTCCGCCGTGTACCTCTCCCAAGCATCGTAGAAACGCATGCGGAGGATATGGCGTCGCGCGAGGAGAGTCTTCTCGTCTACCTCGTCGTCCGGGTCGCCGCCATCGTCTCCGGCAGCGACGTTGCTTTCCGCGGGCGCCTCGGGGGTGTCATCTTGGCGAGGGCGGATTGCGAGGGAGGGTGGGGCGGTAGGTTGGACGGAAGGAATATTGCTTTCCGGGTCGTCATGGTTGGGAATAATTCGAGGGGCGTCGCTGGATACCGCGGGACCAGTAGGTGGTGCGCCGGAGGGAGCATTGCGAGCCTCGTCGGCGCAAGCGACTTCGTCAAGGGGGCGGCGAACGCCGAACGCTTTAGATTTCAAGTTTTGTTCATAGACTTGGGTGGCCATCTGTGCCTTCTTCGACTCCTCTTCGAGCCTATTAGACCATTTCACGAAGGCGCGCGACAACATCAGATTCTTGTGCGCCTTTGCGGCGACGCGCTCAAAGGGATCCTCGGAGTCCTCGCCCGTCCGGCGAGGCTTCCGACTCTCTCCTCTAGCACATACCCGCCAGCGCCGAAAAGCGGTCTTGGCCACGTGGATCTCGTGGGCGCGCACGGCAATATCCTCGATTCGCTTCGAGTACACATTGGATGGTATAGCCTCCAGCGGCACCACGTCAACCTCGGCCGCGATGGCTCTCCATGCTTCCAATTTTGCCTCGGCCTCTTCCTCCAAGTCAGCCTGGCGAGCGGCTTCGAACTGCCCACACAAATTGTCGATGAAACTAGACCTCTTCTGCCAATATCGAAAGGTGGCGACGGTAGAAAACTTGTTGTGGTGCTTCTTACGGAAAGCGATAGCGCTGCTTTCGAGGTGCTGTTCGATCCGGGAGAGGTTGGCGGCAGCGTCGCCATTGAACGCGTCTCCGCCAAACTCGTCATAATCTCGGCCTTCGCGATCCTCGGAAGCAATCCATTCACCACTGGCTTCGTCGGTAGTAGATTCGGCGTACCCGCCATTCGTGATTTTAGGCGGTTGTGGATGCGGACCTCTCCGAGGGACGATACCAGCACCTACCGCGTCGCTAGCAACAGAAAAGCCGTCAGATGTGTACGCCGAGTTGGCGTAAGCATCGCCGGCATCGCTTCCCGGTATTTGGGGTTGGTCCATCTGCAGGGTGACGCCAAGGCGAGACATGGCAGTTCTGAACTTCTCCTGGAGCGAATTCGCGTTCTTGACCCCGCCAACCAGGAACACAATCTTACTGAGGTGCTGGTCGTCGTCCGGGTCGATACCATACTCGGGGAGAACCTCGTCATAGGCCTTGAACAAGGCATGGGTCGGCAGGCGGGAAGAAGGCGTGAGTTCGGACAGGATGGCCTCAGCTCGGGTCACAATATTGTGGAGGATGGCGATATCTGCAATGAAGCGTCAAGGTCAGGGACGCCCGAAGCTGCGGCGACAGCGACGGAGGGCAGAAGAGGACGAGCTTACCAGCATCCGTATAGTCGCGGTGATCTATGGCGGGGCCTTGGGGGGACGAGCCAGACGAGGACGGGGCCATGGCGCTGTAATAAGGCACGGAGTCGCGAGAAGATGATTTGTCGAAGGGAGTGGAAGCGGCGGGCGACGGACGGCTAGGTGAGAGGGCCATGATGAAACAGCAGCGACCACGTCACAGTCACAGCAATCGTGAGGCTGCGCATGGTCTTGCTCGAGATGTCGTTCGCGTACCGGCGAAGGCAGGGGTGGTTAAGCGCAAGTCGGACACCAATCGACGCGCATCATCGGAAGCGCGTGGAGGAGTTGGACGCGAGCGAGCGAGAGAGAGAGAAAAGGAGGATATGTTTCGTACGGATCGGCGAAGGTGGTGAAGAGTAGGCGAATGGTGAATGTCTTGCGAATGGGTAGCACGCGCCACTGAGACCTGGATGCTTCGCGACTTGGTTGATTGGGTATGGCGGTAGGGAATTGAATATCGGGGGGGTTTTTTTTTCTTTGGTGTTTAGCAGAAGAGAGCGATAGCTAGACCAGGTTACCTGGGTAGCTGGACTTCTACACAGGCAGGATTAGCTGGCTGGACTGGGAGGAGTCGACAAGGGAGGGTGTGTCGCGCTGCGCGTACGCAGGTAATAGAGGTCGACGTTCCGCCGACAAATGGATCTCCGCTCGGACGCTCCGTTGCGCGACGCACCGGGAACCTAACTCGGGTTATGGAAATATGCCCGTACCGCCTACTTAATATGTGCATATGCATGTATTCAGCATCCCATCCATGTCCATTGTAAATATGAGCGGGACCGGCCGGTGCGGGATGCACTGTGGTTACCGCAACTACCACCCCCTTCTGCCAATCACCCGCGGCGCACAGTGATGTATCTAACCATATTAGGAGGTGCTTCCGAGAAGCGCTTATCTACCAATCTTGCATACGGGATAATGGCATACGTACCTCCTATAGTAATACGGACGGGAGGTGAGGAGGTAATTAGGTACCTACTAAGGCGTGTTTAGAAATCTTGTCAGTTGAAGAGAAGCCGTAGGAAGCATTCGTCCTGTCGAGCAACAGGTCAACATTTGACGAGACTTGCGAAATCCTATCAATCCGCGGAAAAAGGCTTAAGCTCGGCTGCACCAGGACATCCATTCGAGGAAATGCCACCCCGCCCGCGGCCGATTCAGAAATTCGCGACGGCAGCCTCCCAGTGCTCCGCCGAGGTTGTGTTCCCTCTCCCAAGTCGCAGAGCACGGCAGCTAACTGCCCTCGATAGGCGGCCGTGTATGGGAAATGCGTTGTGGCAGACTACAACTCGGTCCACAAGGACAAGTGCCTCGCCGAGTTTCTGAGGCTCAAAGAGTGTTTCGTTGTAAGTGGTCCGCCTCGCTCGCGAATCTGGAGAATGCGCGCTCCCCTTGGGACATGCCCGGGCTCATACAACCCAACAGAAGGCGTCAAAGCGGGGGCGGTGACGGGGAGCTCTCGTGTCTCGCGTGTCATACGCGCGCACATATTCATTCCATAACCTAACAGGGCGCAATAGCATAGCATAGCATTGGGAGGACCGAGCATCTACCTATCTAGTAGGCCTATACACGTGCAGTAGGTCTATATCTAGGTGGATGGATGATGGACTGCATACCTGCGACGCCTTAGACAGATATTTACATAGAAGCTTGATATCCACATAATCTAACGTTGCATTGACCCAGAAATCCAGCCGTGCATGGGCAAGGGGGAGGTGGCCGAGCACGCCGGAGATAGGCGCTAGGTGGTACCTAACCCACTAAACGAATGCCCTACGGCGGATGTACCCATCACGTCTGCGAGCCATACATTCGGTACATCGACCACGCCATAACCCTGGCGGTTGCGGCACCAGATAGCGTGTACTGGGCAGTGATAGGCGCCCTCTACAGGGGGCGGCCTGCTATAACTAAGGATATCACCGCGGGCGGGACCAAGGACAGGCCATGGCAGCGGGCTGACCAGGACCGACATGGACCCCCCGTAAATAAACATCCCGATCCCCCGGATTTACGATAAACAGCAGCCAGCAACAGAGCAACCACCGTCGGCGCATGGCAGCGGGCAGAGGGAGACAACCCCCAAGCCTTTCGGGATAGCGACAGCGGGTATTGCCAGCCAAGGAACGGGACGATGACGACGTCTCCCACCGAGTAGGCGAGAGGCGACCCCAGGATAAAAAGAGCAGAAACGAAGAACCTTCCCACCCACCCACCTACCTACATACATACCACCTACCTCCCTACCTACCTACCTATCTACGGCGTAGCCCATACGCGTGAATAACAGGAGGCCGGCGAGCCAGCACAAGACGCAACTTCACGCACGCCCCTATACACGGGAAATCGAGCACGCACGTCCGCCCTCGATCGAGCCCTACCGCCCATAGTTCCGACTCTCTTCCCACGCCGCTACCGACGGATGGGCAGCGCCGATAGCCAGCTGCAGCCATGTCGTTCCTATTCTCCAGGACCAGGACCAGGACGAACACCATCGACCTGCCCAAGCAAGCGCGGGAGCATGTATTCAAGCTCGACGGCGCCGGCGGCCCCGCAAAGGTAAGAGGGAGAGATAGAGAGGAAAGGGCAAAGAAACCAGCTACATACAAAGCACGCGACAATCTCGCCGTGCGGATGCTAATACGATGGGTGACGTGCGCGCAGCTGACAATCCGTCTTCTAGGCCGAAGAACTAGCCAGGGTGCTCAACCAGATGAAGCTCATCCTCCAAGGGACGCCAGGTAGGTATTCCTACGCCTGCCACCCCCCAGCGCTTCCGCTCCTTCTTCCGGGGGAGGGGGGGGGGGGGGGGGGGGCGCATCCCCGATTCCACCGTTGGCACCCACCCCCAGGCCTCTAGAAACCCCATACTAAGCAAGCCTCCGTCGTCGCAGAAGCCGAGAGTAGTCCCGAGCAGGTGTATCAGCTCGTTACGGGGTTGATCGAGGAGGACATGCTCCTCCTGCTCGCCCAGAACCTGCACCGCCTCCCCTTCGAGTCCCGCAAAGACGTCCAGGTCATATTCTCCTACGTCTTCCGATTCCGGCCTCCGACCGCGTCGCCCAAGACCGACCCCGTCGCGCTCAGTTACGTGGTCAACAATAAGCCCCAGGTGCTGCTGGAGCTTTGCCGGGGATATGACCACAAGGAGAGCGCGACGCCCGCCGGCACCGTGCTACGCGAGGTACTGAAGAGCGAGGCCGCCGCCGCCATCCTGCTCTACGACGACGGCGAGGTGCCGGGCTCGAGCCTGAAGGGGGTGACGGCCATCGACAGGGAGCGGCCCCAGAGCGGTAACGGCGTGTTCTGGCGCTTCTTCGACTGGATCGACAAGAGCTCGTTCGAGGTTGCCGCCGACGCCTTTACCACATTCAGGGTAAGCCTCACACCGTGGCGACACTTTTCGAGACGCGTTGCGACGAAGAACTAACCCTGCCAACTTTGGCGCGCGCGCCCGTGCGCGTGTGCGCCTCCCCCCCTCGGCCCCTCGTGTAGGAACTCCTGACGAAGCACAAAGAGCTCGTGCCGCGGTATCTCTCGATCAACTTCGAGCTCTTCTTCGACCGGTACAACCACGTGCTCGTGCAGTCGAACAGCTACGTGACGAAGCGGCAGTCGATCAAGCTGCTCGGCGAGATACTGCTGGACCGGTCCAACTACAACGTGATGACGGCGTACGTCGACCGCGGCGAGCACCTCAAGATCTGCATGAACCTGCTGCGCAGCGACCGCAAGATGGTGCAGTACGAGGGCTTCCACGTGTTCAAGGTCTTCGTGGCCAACCCCCACAAGTCGGTCGCCGTGCAGAAAATCCTGCTCATGAACCGCGACAAGCTGCTCAACTTCCTGTCGCACTTCCTCGAGGACCGCACCGACGACGAGCAGTTCATCGACGAGCGCGAGTTCCTCATCAAGCAGATCCGCAACATGTCTCCGACCCCCGTCCCGCCGGCGCGGCAGCTCTCGTAGCCGGCGGTGGGGCTGGGAGAGGTGAGGAGGGAGGAGGAGGAGGATGGGAATTTGGGGAGAGGATAGGTAGTATCAAGAAAGGGGGGCGAAGAGGCCACCACATGATACCGGGTAGGAGGAATAGGGTATACAGGGATATTCGCATGTATATTTGTTTTTTTTTTTTTTTTTTGAGGGTCAGATGTCGAGGACGAGAAGTAGACGTACACAGCAGCCATCATGGCAAGCATCATGTGCATGTAGCTAGGCGTTCAGGTTATGCTAACGGGGGACGGGGATCCGATCGCAACGAAGTCGAACTCCCGTCCCCCTCTCCCCCTATTGTTTATCAGCTTCTGTGGCACGTCTCCCGCCCCTATCCCTGGTAGGTCCTCCACACAGCACAGTCCGCGCGGTCGCAGAGTGGCGTGTTCATATACATTCCCCGGTTCGGCAAGCCAGGCCCCGGTTCATAGTGTCTCGGGCACGTACGCACGCGTGGGTGGGACTGCCCCCTTTCGTGGGACTCGGGACATGGGATACATGCTCGCACGCCATCGGAAGCACCAGGGCCTGTCCGTCGGCATCACCATGCGACAGGGACCAGCGTTCGTGCGCAGACACGCCGCGGCGACGGCGACAGTCACGACAAGAAACTACTGCGTATTTTCGGGAGGACCTTGTAGCTAGACACAGCAGCCGTACCTATCCCCTGAGGGGGAGACCACGCCGTCGCCTCCCTTCCCTTCCCCTCCCCCCTCCGGCGAGCCGTGGGCGGCCGCGGGCGACTCGCCCCTAAACCTACGTCTCCACCTCCTTCCACCGCGACCCCGGCCGGAAGCCGAGCGGGCGGGCCGAGCAGCAGGCTCACAAGTCCTTGGCCATCCACGCGGCGAACTCGTCCTTGTACTCGTCGCGCCAGCGGCTCAGCGGCGGGCGGCCCTTGACAGCGTCGTCGGCGGTCCACTAGCGACGGGCGTGGTTGGTCTCCGGTCAGCGCGCATCCGACGGGAGCAGAACTTGCCGAAAAGAGGGGGGGGGGAAGACAACTCACCAGCATCCGCTTGCGGTCGACCTCCTCGCTGACGTCGTAGTCCGGGCAGAGGACCCAGAACCGGCGGGCGCGCACGCGCTCCTCGAGGAACGCGGCGACCTGGGCGGGGGCCCAGGGGCCGGTGCCGGGGGGCGGGCGGGCGGCGCCGGGGGCGCCCGCGCCCGCGAGCTTCGTCCAGGTCCAGCTTTGCGGCGGGGGTCAGCTCCGCTGCGCAGCGCAAAGAGAAAAAAAAAACCACTTACCCCGGCACCAGCAGGTGCACGCCGACCCCAGCGAGCCCGCGCAGCTCGTAGCTGAGCTGCTCGGCGACGGCCTTGACGGCGGCCTTGCTGGCGTTGTAGGCGGGGCTGCCGGGCGGGTTCGTGATGCCCTGCTTGGAGCCGGTGAGGACGAGCGCGGCCTGGTAGTCGTCGTCGTCGGGCGCGCCCGCCGCCGCCGCCGCCGCCGCGCGCGCGCGCACGAGCGGTAGGAGTGCTTCGAGCCCCTCGACGACCCCGAACACGTTCGCGTCGAAGACGCGCCGGAACGCCGCGCTCAGCCCCGTGCCCCCGAACGACGACGCCGCGCCCACGCCTGCGTTCAGCGCGAGGAGGTTGATCTGGCCTGAGGCTTGGTTAGCGCCGGGTCCCGGGGGTGTGCGGGTGTGGGAGGTGAGAAGGTGAGAGAAAGGAGAAAGAGAAGGGGGGGCCCGGGCCTACCACCAAACTCCCTCTCGACCCTGTCCCGCACGCGGGCCCAGTCCTCGGGCTTGCTCACGTCGGCCCGGACGGCGGAGACGCTGCCGGGCGGCAGTGGCGGCTCCTCGTCGTCGTCGTTGGGCTCCGGCGCGACCACCGCCGCCGCTATCGCCGCCTCCTGCCCCTGCTCCTGCTCCTGCTCCTGCTCCTGCGCGCCCTCGGCCGCCGTCCCCGGCACCGCCCAGTCCACCACCAGCACCCGCATCCCGTGGCGCGCCGCGCACCGCCGCGCCAGCGCCCGCCCGATCCCCGACGCCCCGCCCGTGATCACCGCCGTGTTGCCCGGCTGGAAGACGGATGCCATCGCTGCGCGCCGCGTTTGCTTTCTAACCTCTTTTTTTTTCCCCGGGTCGGCGACGCCGGGATGTGAGCCGGATGCGCGGAGCCGAGTGTTGACCCGGGTATGGATGTGATGCGGAAGAGCAGGAACGGTGGTGGTGTAGCACTACTAGTAGTGGTAATAGTAGGTGGATAGGTAGTAGTGGTAGTAGTAGCGGTGGTGATGGTGTTGATTATCACCTTGGCCTACCTGCGTTGCGAGTCAGGGGAGGAAGAGGGGTAGATGGGACAGACACCCGGCAGGACAGGTAGCGAGCGGCCTTTATATCATATATATAGAGAGAGAGAGAGACCAATCGTGTAGACAACTCACCTCCACATGCACACACGGGAATATATCACGGACATGCCCTGCTCTGCGAGTCGTCGGCGTTAAGACCGCAAAGGCCGATCGAACCGTCTCGAGTAGATTACATTTAGCCCACGCATAATAATACATCGTCACCTCTCCGTCAACCGTCGGGCGCCACGACAGCGCCGGTGCTTTGTCGCCCGGAAACGCTCTCGGCAATGATCGTCTCCATTCATTGCCACACACATGTCAGACCTACGGCTCGAACCCCTCTCTCTTCTCGAGACCGGAACCTGTCTTGCCTCCGGGACACACACTAGTACCGTCTACCAACGAGAATTGCAACTTCCTGTGATATACTAAAGGCCGAAATATCCGTGTAGGGGGAGGTAAGATTGTGAGAGTCGAAGCGATGCCGACATAACCTACACACGCCGTGCGCCGTTCCGGACCGCTACCCATATCCGTTCCTCCTGCTTGCGCACCCGTCTTCGTCCGCTCTCTAAGCCGCAGCGGCGGCGCCCTTTCACCGTTGTGGGCGAGCCGGCTGCTTAGACAGCATGACCGTGACGCTCTCGCGAGCGTTGATGGTGGACCAGATGCTATCTTTCCCACCCTTCCTCCACTCGTCACCCGTCGCGTCTTCGCCCTCGCCTCTCATGGCTTCTCCCATGATCACGTCGAGGTCCCGCTTCTGGGAGCTCAACCAATCCCTCACGAACGTGGCCGGATCCTCGCTCATCGATTTCAGGAATGCGTGCTTGGCCTTTGATACGTGGATCGCCTGAACGATGATCGCTAGCTGGTCGTCGAGAGAGGCCACTTCCTTGAGCATATTGGCGTAGCCTGCATTGCTGAGGAACGAAAGCATCTTCTCGCGCAGCGGATCGTCGACGGCGACGCGGACGTCGTAAACGGTAGGCTGAGGGTCCTTGTGGAAATCCTCATCCAGCCGGATGGTGTACGGTAGCCGAACCGGCGGGAGAGGCTTCAGATGCGGCGTGATGTATTCGTGTAGTTTAGGAATCGAGCCCGTCTCGATATTAAACGCCTACATTGCTCGATTAGCCACACAGTCGGCTCTGCCTACTTTCTTCTGCTCCTTTTCGGGGGGAGAAAAAAAAAAAACTCTTACCTTCCTCAGGAGGTCGTCGCAGCGGAAATTGCGCTTCTCCTCGTCCTCTTGTAGCCCCATCAGCTTGATGTACTCCCAAATGCCCATCACGATCTCCTGGCGCGTCGCCTCCGACATGTCGACGATGTCCTCGAGCTCTGGGGTCACAGCGTACCGCTCCGGCTCTTCGTGGCGGTAGAGATGGATAGTAATATTAATATTCTCGTCTCCGCTGCGCTTGAACGTGAGCTCGTCGAAGTCGGCCGCGGCGGAGAGGTTCGACGAAGGGCCGGCACGTTCGGGCTTCTTCCATTCGACGGGCGGGTCGATGCCCTTGCGGTTGCTGGGGAAGTCGACGCTCAGGGCCTTGAAGAAATGGGAGAACCTGTACTTGGACACCCTAGCCGCCTTCGGTTTCGGGTCCTCGTCCATGCGGTTGGGGTCGTCGGACCTGCCCCTCGCATCCTCGCTATCGTCGTCCTGGTCGAGGTCGTCGTCGTCGTCCAGCAGCCGCCCCTCGATCTTGACGCGGTAGTTGGGCTCGAGGTTGGAGCTGAAATCGAAGGTGTCGACGTTGAGGCCGTTACCCTGCCAGACTTGGTCCTCGGCCGTGTTGGTGATCCAGATTCGCAGGGTTTTCCACCGCTACGCCCCACCGTCAGTCGGCTTAAAATCGCTCCCCCCGCTCACGGCCCCATCCTGGACCCATTGAAAAGTTAAAAAAAACGCACCTTGACGCTCCGGTTGACTGAGTCGACAATATCCAGGCGCTTGCGCGTCATGGTGGCGTCCAGCCGCCGCTCAAAGTCCCGAAGATCGCGATACCTCGTGGCCATGTCGCCGACGGTACAGTCGTCGACGTTATCGGGGAGGTTCTTGTCGGTGGGCTTGCGACTCCGGCGCTTCGCCATCTCGACTTGCATGGCGGCGGTCTGCTGCTGCTGCGCGATCTGGGTTTGGGTCAAGGGCACCTGGTGATGGGGGCCGGACGACATCATGGGGCCTGTCTCGCGATGGCAAGGTTAGAAATCTCTGCGATTCTGGCGGGGAGGAGAAGTTGAGGCTTGGTCGGGTCGAGGACGGGATCGGACACTACGCTAAGGGTGGGGAGGAGGCACAGGACGGCGAGGAAAAGAGTGAGGAAACGGTAGGGGGATCCGTGTGCACATATGTAGGAGAGGGAATATCTGCACGGTACCTCCTCGCCATGGTACTTGTGCGCCCATACCCCTGCTCGAGTAGCAGCCCAGGTGTATCCGGTGCGTGTCTAGCAAGGCCTGGCGTGTCTGGCGCGTGTATGGGTACGTGTATGTATATGTACGATGGGTGGGCTGGCGAGGTGAGAATGGGCTAATGGTCGGTGGAGCTGCGCGAAGGCGTGTGGGGTGGGTTTGGGCCGTCCCGCTGGGGTCGCCAACAAATTGCACCACATGGCTGGAGGGGAGTCGATAGAAGAGGGAAAGAGGCAGAAGGGAAGGGGATGCATGGGGCGGTGGTGGTAGCAGTGGTGGTGATGGTAGCAATGGTGTGGTGGTGGTGGTGGTGGTAGTAGTGGTGGTAGTGGTAGTGGTAGTGGTGGCGGTGTTGGTACTGAGGATGGTGATGACGATGACGATGCCGACGATAGACACGCACATCAACAACAGGCAAGGCCGGAGCGGGTGGACGTCATATGTGTATATCCGTGCATATATATGGGTATGTGTGTTGTGGATATGTGTATATATACAGCGTATATGCGCATATATATGTCTAGTGTGCATGTGGGTATGCATGTGGGTATATGTGGGTATGCATGTAGGCATATATGTACGTAGCGTGGTGTACGCAGTATGCAGTCGCTGGGGCGTCTCTCTCGCGCGTCTGAGCCTGTACCTGTGCCATGTGTATATGCGGTGCTATGTACGGGTATATGGGCACGGGTATACGGAGCATAGGGCATCTATATGGGCGACGAGTACAGGATAGGGGAAGAAAAAGAGGAGGAACGTCGAGAGTGATACTACATACCGATTCCGCCTCGTCTCTGCCCACCTGAATGGGGAGTCCGCGGCTGCTGCTGCAGGGGCACCTGTTGCGGCGGGTAAGGGCGGTAGCTGGCCTGCATCTCGACGGTTCCGCAGCGAGGTGCGGTGCGATCGCCCAAGTATGCGTGTGTATTTCGCCGAAGGCCTCGAGGGGTGGATGTGACGCGTCGGCCAAAAAGGAATGCAATCTAACAGAATGCGATGCTATCTGGTGAGCTGGCCGGACACAAGCCCATGTAGCACGTAGCGCGTTTAATGCGTGTAATGCGTATGGTGCGTGTAGTGCGTGTAGTGCGTGTACGTATGATGATGATGTCGATGATGATGGCGACGAGGACGGCAATGGCGGTGATGACGATGGCGGTGATGACGATGGCGATACGACGGCACGTAGTAGGCCTGGCAAAGCAGTCGAGTCGTCAGGCAGCGGCAGCCAAACCCGCGGCGACCTCCTTCGGCCTGCTCCTCTCTACCTCGTCCTTCTCTGTTCTTCTTCTTCTTCTTCCTCTTCGCCCCGTTTCTGGCTGGTTCTGTCGCAGTCGAAACAGCGGGCTGACGATCCCAGGAGGGGGTAGCGAGCCGATGGAAGGACGTATTTGGTGGACCGACACGGACGCGTCTGTCAGTCGATTGCAAGTCACCGGATGAACGGACCAGCTGGCTCTGACCGACGGGCGGGCATCCAAACAATGCGACGACCGCGTTAGGTGATGGCGTGTGGGAGGAGGCGACCGTGGACCCGAGTTGCTGGTTTGCGACGGGAGTTTTGGGTGGTCGTTGATTGAGAACGCGCCTCCGCCTCGTCGCGCTATGTCCGGATCGGAGACCACAATTTCTGGTTTCGAGGATGAGCCGGCTTGGCGCTTTATTGCTCTTTTTTTTTATTAAATAATAATCTCTCTCTCTCTCTTTTTTCTTTTTTTTTTTTTTTCCAAAGAAGCCGAGCGAACCTCCGTACCTGCCTGCGTACCTTCCATAAGTACTAAGGGCCCACATATGCCTGTGGCGCTCTCTGTGGCGGTGGAGGCTGATAGCCTTCGATGTACGTGTAACTATCAGCTATTCTAGGCACCGTCCGACCCTCGTCGCACCATCTTCACACCACAAGCCGACGCCTCCTATCCGGCCGGCCAAAACACGTACAGAAATAAGGGGTTGGAGAAGTGGGAGTAATAAGCTACCTAGGTTTAATAATAGCACTTCTTCCTTCTTCTCTTTCTAGCGCTTGGCTACATACAAAGTTATATACAACACGGCATACCAAAGTAGGCGCAACTTCTCAACTTCAATGTATATGTGACAACAGACCACCGGCCAGAGGGGTGAAAAGGAAAGGGGAGTGGGAGGAGTTGGAAGGGCAAAGGTTACATGGTGTAGACAGATTTCAGACCGAGTTATCCGACCACCTCCAGAGTCGTCTCTAGAATCCCGACGCCACCAACATACTACTGGAGAGAGCATTGGGCTAGCCGCCTGTATATTCTCCAACCTCTTCTTCCATCGCTGCCACTGCCTATAGAAAAACAGGTCTACGCGCCCCCCGCGTGGCAACATCATCCCTCCCGGTTTGGCTACTTAAACAACAGGTCTGCGATCGACACCTGCAACCAACCAGAATCCAACATTCTCCTTCGGCCTCCTTTGCCCCCTTGCCCCCCCATTCCCGTCTTCCTCTCCCCCCTCTTCTCGCCCATCCGTGTGGCCTCCGGGGGACACTCAAGGAGATCTGTGCTGTGATATTATATTAGGGGGTGTCAGGTATAGAGGCATGTGAATGTAACCCTTTCTAATCAACCCATCTAAGTGGGATACCGAGTATGTACCTCGGGAGGACGAGCAGGCTGGTGACAAGGAAACCCCCCCGCGATGCATGTGTTTTGTGTCCTGTTTTGAAACTCCTTGGGAAAGGTCACCAGAAGCTATCAAAGCCTACGCCTCGCTAGAACATGCCGCAGAGAACAAATAGAACGAGAATGGAAAGCTTGTGTCGACCCGGGCGAGCATCAGGCCGTCTACGGCTGGTAATACTACATTAGCCAATGCCTTGCAAACGGCCGGTGTGACGCCGTCATTAGAAGGCCGGTCCTAACCCTTGCTTGGATTGCCGCTTGCTAAATCGGTTGCGCTTCGTACTGGTCGCATCCTCCAGGCTGCCTTGGCTCTTGCTCAGGTGGTTGCGATGAGACCTGTCATTGACGCTGTAAGCGTCGGGACCGAAGGTGCTCGCCGGGCTCGACATAGACGACGACATCTCGCCAAACGCGTTGTCGCTCGTATACGAGCGGGTGAGATTTAAGGAGACGGCAAAGTCCCGCGCCTGCTGTAAACTGTCGAGCCACTCGTCCGGCGTGGCTCGGGGCGGCTCGAGGGAAGACGGGGGCTTGACGTCCTCGAAAGTGTAGTGGACACCAGCCTGCTACCTGTCAGCACACCCGGGAGAGAGAAAGGAAAAAAAGGGAAAAGCGAGGAAAGGGAACCTACCGAGTCCACACACCATACTGTCTGCCCCTTCGCGTCCACCTGGCTTTTCCACGAGCAGTCCGGCGTTAAAAGCGAGATCTCCGACTTCGCCTTCTTCTCTTCGCCTCCGGCCGGCGCCAGGACGATCCTTCCGCTAGACGTGACCATCACTAGCCTTTGCCGCTTTTTCGTCGTGCTACCGCCAAAGAACCGAGAGAATTTTCTGTGTCCCTCGTCGCTCTTACCATGCGGACTATTCGGTATCGGCGCAGACAGGACCATCAAGTCGCCGAGTCGCAATATCCTCTCATTGGTCTTTGTCAGCACTGGCGACCACTCGATGTCCAGCTGGGATGGCGGAGGTATGTCAGTGATAATCCTTCCGGGCGGCCGCGACGAGCCGTTGATGCCGTTCCCCGTCGTCGGGGGTCTAGATGACGAGCCGGGCGGGTGGCTGCTAAGCGTCCCGTTTAGTTGAATGATCTTGGGCTCCTGCGTCGGCGGCACGTATGGCCGTAATCGGGGCGTCTTCGTCCTCCACAAAATCTTACCGAACTGCTGCCCGTCGAAAAATTCGTGGTTCTTGATATGCTCGATCGTTAGTCGCCTCGCGGGATCGAGAACCAGACACCGCTCGACCAAATCTCTTGCCGCCGGCGGAAATCCAGCCGGGAATTCGTATTCGAGGTTGACGATTTTCTGAAAGGTCAAGTACTCGGACCCAGCCTTGAAAGGCGGCCGGCCGGCCAGGAGCTGATAGATGATGCAGCCGAAGGCCCACAGGTCGCTTGCTTTGCAGGCATTCTTATTCGTAAGGAGCTCGGGGCTCACGTACTCAGCCGTGCCCACGAAGGACGCGGCCCGATTGTCATCTTGATCCTTACCCCGGGAGCTGGTCCCCGTATCCTCGAGCCTCGGGGTCGGCTGCGGCGCTCTCGGATCGCTCAGCAACCTTGCAGTGCCGAAGTCGGTAATCTTGACATGTAGTTGGTCGTCGAGGAGGACGTTCTCGGGTTTTAGATCTCTATGGATCACCCCCCGGGAATGCATGTACTCGATCGCATCCAGGATCTGGGCTCCGAAGAACCTGGTGCACTCGACGTCGAAAGTGCCCGTCTTTTTCAGCACGCCGAGGAGCTCGCCGCCGTTGCAGAGATCCAAGACATAGTAGAGGGAGCTCTCGTCCTGGAACGTGTAATAGAGGCGTACGATACCGGGATGCTCCGTCAGGCGATTGAGGGTGTCCTTCTCAATGTTGACGTACTTGATCTTCCTCTCCTTGATGATGTGCTTCTTCTCCAGAACCTTTATCGCGTACTCCTTGAGTGTTTGCCGGTCCGTGGCAAAGTATACTGTGCTGTACGAGCCCTCCCCTAAGATTCTACCAAAAGAGAAATCCCGCACACCCTTCTTGACCGATCTCATGACCGTCTTGCCGTTCGCATCTACCTCCGTCCGTACGGACACGGCTGCCCCCCGGTCCTTCCACTCCTCGCTACTCTGGGACGCGGGCGCATCTGACCCGAGCCCGCGAGGCTCGGCGACCACAGGGACACCAGGGACCGAGGCGTAACCGCCACCCACGCCCTTGGAACTTCTTCTAGGCGGGAGGGGGCCGCTCCCGGGGACACCCTGGAGGTGTCGGTTCGGATTATACGACCGCTCCCGGTGGCTGGGCTCACGAGATGGGATGCTTGGCGTATACTCCGAAGGGGCTCTGGAGTCGGGGTTACTTTGCATATGGTAAGCCGGTGCTCTTGTGGGCTCTGTTCTGAGAATATGGTAAGAGTTTGCAGCCTGATCCCGCTCAGCGGCGGTGGTGGTGCCGTACAGGCCAGAAGGGGGCCGGCCAGAAGGGGCGTTTTGGTATGGCAACGACCCATTCTGAGTATACGCGGAGGGTTGGCCCTGCTGGTCGCCTGGCATGCCACCCGTACCCATTGGCCGTTCCGGCCCATGGGGCCGGCCTTGGTCGACACGCGAGTCGGGACCGGATGCTCTGAAATCAGCGGAGAGCTGGGTCGGAACGGGCGCACCGGAGTCGTCGTCGCCGTCTCGGGCCAGGCCCGTCGTAGCGTCGTCCGGGTTGGCAATGCGTAGGCCGCCCAAGGCCCTCGAGAGGCTGATGTCGTTGCTCATGGCGGCAGCAAACCGGAGGAGCAATGGAGAAGTGGTCTAGATGCTGGCAAGAAATTGACGAGATTGCCAGCTGGTCAAGCCAGCGACAAGGGGGGGGTTGGAATATCAACGTTTAAGTAACCCTGCCAGCTCGTATAGACGATATGGTATTACGAGGCGGTGTCCACAACTTGCTGCCAACGGTCGAGACCATCGAATGTGGTATAGTCAGGTCAGGCCGCTGAGGATCGACCTCTCCGAGCAGGCGCGGTCGAGCGTGCTCGTTCGAGATTCCGGCAAAAGGCGGCCGCGGATAACTGGTAGGCGGTGTCGGGCGCAGCGTGGCTTCGAACTGGACTCCCTAAACTCGATACCATCAGGATATGTCAGGTCCAGAGAGGGGGAGAGGGAGCAGACATCCGGTTGCAAGGTAGCGGCAGGGAGTAGATAGACAGATAGACAGACAGACAGGGTGGGTGTATGGGATGGAGGGAGAGGAGGAGAGAGCGAGGAGAGAGCGAGACAGAGGGAGATACGGCGGCGAGACGAGCCAAGGTGGGCACAGTGGGAAGTTGACTCTCGACAGAAGGCCTACAATAGGTAAATTCGGGCACTGCACCTACCTACGCCTTGCTGCTGCTCGGGACGCAATGTTCGCACGGCTATCGTGCCGTGGGGCGGAAGAGGAGCTGGGGGGGGGGGGGGGGGGGGAGAGCAGAAGGGAGGCGGAGGGAGAAGGGGAGAGAGAGAGGACCAGGACATGCAAAGTCTCATTAACCCAAAGCTACCACCATGCATGGACAAGGGCCCAACAGCGATGAGCAGACGGTCATGCTAGCACACGTACAATACATACATACCTTCGCCGGTAACGCCTGAGGTATGTATGGATTGTCGGCGAGGAGTTGTGCGAACGTCTATGGACGGGACGTGTGTGTGTGTGCCTGTGTGTGGTGCCTGTGTGCGTGCGTGCGTGCGTGTGGGTGGACGGGTAGATGGAAAAGCAGGCCGAGTTGCGCAGGCAGATAGGCAAGGTTAGGTTCCCGTACGCAGGGTGCGCAGGTCGTGTGTACTATAGGGTATATCGTATCGGCGGAGGGACGGACGGATATACGACAGCGATGCAGATGTGTATGCCGGGCGAAGGTGTAAAAACGGGCTGTGGAGGAGGCCGTGAAATAAAATATTAAAAAATGGCCGATGCTAATTTCGAACGAGGTGGCCGGTCAGGCACCTGGGCGTACGAAGGTCTGGGTTGAAGGTCTGAGGTGTCTTCTGCGTCTCCCTTCTGGAAGGCGATTGAGGGGGGAGTGTGGTTATTCGCTTCCGTCGCGGCTACAGGTACCGACGCGTGGCGGGCCAGGTACCTCGCCGCCTAGCGTGCCGGCGTGGGTACCTACACCCGCTCACACATCAGGAGGCAGGTCGGGTACTGGCCACCTACCTTAGGTACCTAGCCTAACCTGCCCAGGTAGGCGTTGGTACCTCCCAGGCGCCGTTGCGTGTCCTGAGGCGAGGTATCAAACCGTTCTGCCTCTATTGGTCCTTAGCCGGTTTTGACAGCTCTCTAGGGCCCAGTGGCTTGCGTTCTCTTCGCGGGCATCGCTTCTCAAAATTGCTCTTAGTGCTGGCCGCGCGCTCGCAGGACCGCCCTGGCCGGATCCCCTGAGTGGCGTCTTGCTCTCGTACTCTGATGGACCCCCCCCCCTTTTTTTTTTTTTTATATAGCAGCATTCCCCTTCATTCCAGGGTCCCGTGTTCGTGGCTTTGAGGCTTGGAGATTGATAATGAGATAGAGTGGGCCTGGCCTTATATATATGTCCACGTCTGCTGCTGCGCAGTACATAATACCGTGAAGAGATGCAGTACTCGTATAATTAGGTGGACACGTCTTGCCTATTGTTGGCTTGCCGCCTATGAAGATTGACGTAGGAAGCTAAGCCACGCCCAGCCGCGGTCCTTGCTTTTAGGAGGCTCGTCCTATCGTCCGAAATTTCACGCTTCACACCGACAGGTGTATATATATACTCATATATGCATGTATATATTGGTATATATAGGGGGTATATATAGAGGTACCTAGGTACCTAGGAGGTGTCTTCTAACCTAGGGAGGAGGTATCTGGTAGCTAAGATTCGTGAGACACCGGCACGGGCAGAAGACAACTTTACCTTCTATTACACAGCCCAGTTATCCCAACATGCACAAAAGGGTACTCGGGAAACTGATCAAGTATGCACGTAATAAACAGCTGGCTACCTCCTATATGTACCTATGCACTTCTTATTACCAATGCCTGCCACCCCCCGGCCTTCTGCCCTATCGTAAAAGGTAATAAGGCGCCTACCTGCATACATATACACCTATATATCTACCAATCCGAACTGAACCGTACCTAGGTATGTATGCACATAACACCTACATGAGGAGTCTTAATAGGGTCGTGTTCGCCTAGGTAATGTGCTCTATTCCTACTCCCTGGGTAGCGATGTTGAGATGAAGCGTGAGCTTGGAGGTAGTGTATACCTTAGATGCACAGAAAAGAATGTGCCTGTGAAATGGAGATTAGAGCCAGCTGATAGGAACCTGCCCGGTATCTAGAAGGTAATGTAAAATGTACCTCCAACTCCTCCGAGGGGGCTCGCTGCCCCCCCAGATCAGTAGGTTACTTAACGAAGGGTAGGTTCGATTCCTAACAGCGCTACTTGGTAGTCTTCGCTATTTAGCTCATCTCCCCCATCCTAATCTCACGTCCCATTACGCCTAGAGGGGGTACCCAGGCACCTACGCCTAGCAGAAGATAGAGGGCCTTAGGTACCTCCTAAGGCGTGTAGGTAGGTAGGTACCTCGCCTAGGTAGGCGCTTGGGCAGGTAGAGGTATGTACCCACCTAACCTACCTCTATGCCCCGTCGACGCCCTCGGAAGCTGACGACGTCCGCGCCAACTACCGCCGCTGTAAGTGTATAGAACAGGCACAAGCATGTCCCGTGGTCTACCTACCTGTTCTTCTCGTCGAAAATATACGAGTACCTACCTCTACCTACCTGTAAGTGGACTCGACTTCTTGACCGGATTACGCAATGTAACATGAGGATGGGCGAGATGAACGGCCTCGAAGTTGGCAACTGCCCAAGATCAAAGCTTGATGTGTGCCACCTGCCTGGTAATAATGAGCCGTCTCTCCACGACCTAGGAAGCAAACCCGTCATCCGCTGCGGCATCCAAATATCCATCGTAAAAATTACCTACCTCCGGCCCACGTCGGTCACCGTCTTCGGCCAATTCTCAACATGCTACGCCTCCCGCCGACCACCCTGTCCTTGACCATGACCGAGGTCAAGGAATTCGAACACCATCTTCGCTTCAAGAGGTATCTCGACCGGGAGGAGCGTCCGGGCCAACTCCCTCTCCGCGCCGAGCGTGAGCGATCGGCCGACCGCCCACCTCACGAATTCGTGCATCAGCCGACGCACCAGCCGACGCACGACGCCGCGCTCGGAAGCCCCGATGGCACAGACGATGAGGAGTGCCCCGAGATTCCAGTTTGTTTACCCTGTTGGTCGCCTGGGTCCGGCCCCACGGACGTGTCGCCTTCTGTGGGCCGAGACAACCTGGTATGGTCTCTCCCCCCACCGTTCTCGAGGGAAGCACGATCCGTATCAGATATACGGTCTCTGCCTTCGGTGCGCCCTCCTCCCTCCCTCTCCCGGAGGCTATGATGGCGTTAACACACCTACCATTAGGCCCAGGCCAGCACGCAAGCGCCGCCTCGACGCGTCGATCGCCGTCGGGAGCCGCCAGCAACGCCCTCTAGGCGATCATCTCTCAGAGACACGCACGCCAATATGGGCCCGGGCCCTTCGGTAAGCCGAAATATTGCCCACATGGGGGCCTGGTTCACTGACCTCGTCATCCTAGGCTCGTAGGGCGGAAGAAGGATCGGCGGCAGACCCCGCCGAGTCTGTTGTCGGTTCTCCTATCCACAGCTCTCCGCCGCTGTTATTGCGCATGGCCCGGCACGATTCGAGGTCGCAAGAGGAGACGGAGCCTGCAGGTGGACAGGAAGTAGGCCAACTCACGATCTATAATGACTTTCTTCCCGCGTCGTCGCAGCCGCAGACGCCCCTGCAGCTTCCAGAGGCTCGTCGCCAGAGCCGCCTTCGTGGGTCGTACACTGCTCCGGTCTTGCATGCGCCCCGGCGACCCGGCCACCAACCGAGCATTGGTACGAGAAGACAGGAGCGTGCCCGTGGCTCATCCGGCTTCGAGGCCCCCAGGCTCGGAGGTCGGCACGGCGGCCGGGAGACTGCTGAGAACTCGGCGTCGTCCGGCGAGACGTCGAGGCGCCGGGGGGAGAATGGGGAGTCCTAATGGTGGCGGCGGAGAGGCGTGCTTTATGATGATATACCTTACCTATATTCAGCCTAGGCCTCGAGCTGTACCGTGGCTGCGTGGCTGCGCAGAAAAGGTTGCGACGAGGGTGGAGCTGGTGATGAAGAAGAACGAAGTCTCGGCTCCAGGTGGACTTCGAAATCGTGTCTAGTAGTGATGGCCATCGCACTTGGTACCTACACACGAGTATCAGGTAGAAGGGATCAGCATGATGAACCGAGTGCATTTGCTGGCCGCCGGTCTCGTCCTGTCTGTTTTGATTTTCTGTCTTCCGGTCGGTAGGTAGGCATGCGTGCGCCCACCTACATGTTAGCATCGGGTAAGATTCGGGAGAGGGACCTATTACATAAGAACCACCTTGTTGCAACAATCGGGTTTCCCACAGATTCTCAGTTGTTGTCGATTCCAGCATGGCGTGCCGCCCCCGACTGCGATCGGCCGCTTTGCTTGCTGCTTACCCTTCGTGCCCCTGCCGTAGGTAGGTACCTAGGTACGGTGTGCTCCGGACATAGCCGGCGGACAAGACGGGTGGGGTATCTTTAATGTACCTTTCTGCGGTTGAACACGGGGTAAAGTACCTGGCAGCTACGCGGCGGATATCCAAGGCCACCTACCTTCGTTTAGACCGTGGCGCCAAGACGCGAGGCTTGGCTGGTATTGGCCTCAGCGTGAAGCCGTGCTACCACCTGGCCAATCATGGCGGGGACGTGGGTTGCGAAAGACCCCACCCCTCCATCCCCTATGCGTTCCCCGATCCTTCCAGGTTTCGACATGATGCTGCCCTGAGCGCCGCAGCCTCTCGACGCACGGCTGCACAATGTACCGCCTCCTGCACGCCACCGTACAACGGGTACTTCTGTTCTCCTGTCAGCTCTCTCACATCTGAGAGCTCTTCCGGCTGCGACGGGATTGGCCCGCTCGTCCCCTCCCATTTGTGGACCGGGTGCTTACCTACATTAGGTACGTACATATATAGGTATACCGAGTAGCACCTACCTACCGAGGTACCGATATATAGTGTGATCTCAGCCCGCCCCCCGTCTTACTCATACGCGTATACTACGCAGAGGTAGGGATGTACCTTAGAGGTAGGTATAGTAGGAGGTAGGTACCTGTATTTCGGTGCAATGGAACTATACCCGTTATAGCCTGAGCTTACCTCACCCAGCCCGCAGACGAGTGGGCGCATGTACCTGGTGTAGGTAGCAGCAGCTGGGCATGTACATGGCAACTTCCATTCGCTTCCTCTTTGCGGCAACCTTGCAGCTGCCCTTCTCTCTTGCCTCGCTCATTGCTACGGTTACCTTTGTGTGTGTATGTACTTCCCACACCTCTCTCCCGCCCAGAAGGTACTTACCATACCCTTCCTACCGCTTTGGCCGTGCGATTCGCACTCCTCGCACTCTCTCCGAGGCCTTCCCGTCTTTCTCCTCCAGAATCGTTGCTGGATGAACCCAGGCCAGAATCCTGGTCTCCTCTCTCTCTCTCTGTCTCTTCGCGTTCTCTCATCCCCATCCCCATCCCCCATCCATCCATCCATCCATCCATCCATATGCGAGCTGTTGCTCTGCCCACACCTACCCTACTTACCTAAGGCTCTTTTTCCCTTTCCTATTTCTTACATGACTCTCCCAACATCCAACCATCCTTGAACCTTTCCGACCTTTCTTCTCTCCCCTCTTCCTCTAGTCACTGTTCACATCACACCTACTTGGAACTTCCTCTCGCCTTGCCTACTAGTAGCCTCTCTCTCCCTCTCTCTCCTCCTCCTCCCATAGAAATAAATACTCGACGTCCTTCCCTCCCTCCGTCCCTGCCAACCCTCTCTCTCCTACCTCTCCTCCTCTTCCTCCTTCCTACCTTGACCTCCCTTCCTGTCCTCCTCCTACCTCAGCTCCGTCTTTATCCTACTTGCTGGCGGTCACCTATACACCAATTCTTTCTCTACCTGCCGCTCGTCTTGAACCTTCCCGTCGTCGAACCGTCTCTCTTATTCTCTCTTAGTACCCTTGTCCACTTTGTTTGGGTCAATTCCTCTTCCTTATTTTGCCTTCTCTTGTCCCGCTAGCCTCGCGCCCTCCGTCGACCCTAACCCCGGTCATCTCTGTCCGCGACGCGTAGCGCATCGTACTTCGGCCCTGAACGCTGGCCTAACGTCAGACATCTAACCAGCTTATTTAAACCTCTCACCTGATATCTAGTGCTAACCAATCCCTAAAAATGGGTTCTTTCGAACGTACTTCGTCCCCAGTCCTTACCATGTCGCCGAGTGCCGCTCACCAAGGCGTGTTCGGCATGCCCTCCTTCTCGCATCAGTCCTCCCCCCTCAGCCGGTCCAAGGCGTTCGGTGCCGCTTCGCTGTGGCCTCAAGCTTCCATGACGGCCCCTTCCACCGCCGGCCGCAAGCGCTCCCGGGACGAGGCAGCCATCAACCTGGACGTCGAGGAGGCCAAGCTCGCAACCATCGAACCGGTCAAGGAGCCCGAAGACGGCTGGGTTTACGGCGAAGGGATGATGCTCATCAAGTCACCCTCGTCGTACGTCGCCGAAGCGGGCAGCCAGTCCGGCACCTGGGTCGAAGAGAAGGCAGCCGCGAAGGAGATCCGCCGCAATGAAGAGGCCCGTGCCATCAACCAACAACACCGGCCATCCCTACGAAGCCACAAGTCGCAACGGCTGGATCTGAACGCTGCCGTCGTATCAGGTCACGAATCGAAAGCCAACCGCCGTAGCCCCGTTCGCGAGATGAACCCCGTCTCTGGCGCGAGCCCGTCCACCACGGACACCAGCAGCCAACCCGTCATCGACAACTTCACACTCCACCTCGGGATCGGATGGCGACGCATCAGCGAGGACGAGCACATCCAGGCGGCCGCTCGCGGCTGGGCGAGATACATCGAAAACCACTTCCCCGTCACCAACGTGCGCGTACAGCTGGAGAGCAAAGGCCTGCAATCCTACCTGATCGAAGCTTCCGAAGGGTTCTTCCTGTTCTCGGAGAATCTACGCCAGGGCCAGCTCGTCAGCCGGGACCTCACCCGGGCGTTCGCCAACCTCAAGACGTCTCCTCCCGTGTTCGACGGCGTCGAGGTGATGACTGCGGCGGAATCGCCCAAGCCGGCCGCCGCCGCGGCCTTTCCCTCGGTCGTGGTGGCCCCGGTAGACGTCGAGATGGACATGAACTGAGCGGCGGCCCCGAGCTGCTTCGGGACCACGGCTGAGCGAGGGAAGAGGGTCACTGATTGCATTTTTGTGGTAGGGCAGGCCGGCGCGAATTGGCGAGAGGCATCTCGGAGTCGGCTGGTATTGACAGGGTGCATCGAATCACCTTGTCGCTTTCTCATCATGCTTATTCTTCAGTTAACGGTTTATTTTCAACGGCTTTCCCTTGATGATTTCGAGCCAGTTCGTATCTGGACTAAAAAGTTTCGCGGGCCTGGAGTCTTGATGCTTTTTTCCCGCCTCGCTCTTGATGGCGTTGTACGCATAGCTTTGTACGATAGAAATCTACACGAGCGACATTCCGCAAACACGAAAACAAGAACTAATGGCGTCTTAACTCATCTACCCATGCTTTGCCCCAGCAGCCGACGCCAATACGATGATGCCGCGATTGACGCCGGGGAACTAACTAGTAAAGTAGGAACGAGGTGAGAAGCACAGGCGAGAAAAGCGGCGAGCGCAGGCGGTTAACGGGATCGCGGGCCACGGCGCAGGGCCAGAGCCAAGTTTCGCGTTGGGGACCATCTAGGTGGGGTTTGGAACTAAGGACGCTCTAGGGCCGGATGTGTGGACGAAAGCAGAGGGAATCAGGGCGGAGGCGAGGGATGGCGAATGGGTGCGATCTTGGTCGGGGGACGGATTAGCGTCCGGGTGGTTGCCAGATGGGGGGGAATTGGGCTAACCAGTTTCGATCTTGGTTGGGGAGGTCGGTCGGCCTATCAGACGGCGCGGATTGACGGGAGCTCGCTTCTGCCCCCGGGCCTGTGTACAATCTGTACATGGGTATATACTTGCATCAGGTACATTAGGTATATTCGGTATACACGCTTGGGAGCTGCGGTTCTCTAGGAGGAGGCAGGTACCTGGGCAGGATCCCAGGGTGAGAGGTAGGTACCGAAGGTAGCGATTCAAGTACCTCCTAGCGGATCCCCCTTTATGGAAGCTAGCACGAGTGGATTCCCTACTACCCTCAGCCCGTGCGCGCTATCTATGAGTATGTCGCATATATATAGCATACAGAAGATACGCAGATGCAGATGCGAGCAGCGGGTTCTAGGAGAGGAGGTAGGTTTGCAAGAGTCGCCAGCCGTCTGGCCAATGGCCCACGTCGTGATGAGGAAATAAGCTACTTAGGTAGGTCGACGCCGGGGGGAAACGGGGTCATGCCCACATAAGTGAGGTCTTGCGTGTAGGTGGCTTAAGGCAAGGTAAGGTGACGATATATAAACACGTACCTAAGGTATATAGTATATCCTCGAGGGAGGGGGCCATGGAGCCGATGGGTGAAAGGTGCGTGCGGGTGCCGCGTCCGCCACCGACAGACCGCACGGGGAGGAGGTACCCCGTCTCGCTGCCCACCTGGCTAGCGTTAGGCTCGTCGGATGATGCATACGTACATACGGAGTACAGACATGCATAATAAAGAGTGCCCCACCAATCTATACGGGGGTGTGCGTGCGTATCGCGCCCCGATAGCAGCCCGCATATGCACGTAGTAAGTAAGAAGTATGTACCTACCTACCTACCTGATGTATTCAGCTCTCCGAAATTTACGTGTACGAAACCTCTTGCTCTCTCTCCTCCCCGCAATTCCTAGGCATTCCTAGCACTCCCATTGGCCGGGGCCTCGCCTTGGCTCCCCTTATTGGCTCCGGTCATGCGACAGAATTGGCGTGTACGTACTATGAGTATAGATAGGTACACAGGTACGTAGTAGCAGCAGGTTACATTAGGAGGTGATCGAGACGGCATGTCATGATGTACATACCCAGTACGTACGTTGCGTGTTTCTATGCAGCCAAGTCTGCGCGTACCTCGTAAGTTGTTTCCGGGTCGTCGAGGTGACGGGCAGACGACTGGCCCTGAGCGCGGCCCCCCCCCCCAGAGCCAGAGACGAGCGATGCGACGCGATGCCTCTCGACGGGCCAGCCATCCCTATCGATAGGCTGTCGCCTGCCGGTTGCGGGCGCCAGATCTATGGGACGGATCCTGCGCCGGAGCCATTCGTTGTCGCCTTATGCTGCTTATCTGTCTACGATAGGCACATGCCTGCCTACCTACCTACCTACCTACTCATACGCAGCCGTAGCCCGTCCGAGTCGGGGCCCCAAGCTGTGTGTGTGCGTGTGTGGGCAGAGCCACAGAGACACGAAGAAGAACACCATGGGAGGGAGGGAGACGAAGGGAGCGAGTGAGTGGACGAGGACGTATAGTGTGTACATGCCTAGATAGTATGCACGCATTGCATTGCATTGCAGCCAGGTATTCTGTATTGCTAGCAGCAGGATGATACGACAGCGACACCTGACAAGCGCAACGGCAAGCATAGACAGACGGCTACCTAGATAACGGATAGACAAAGAGACGGACCGTCCTCGTCGAGTAAAGCGTATGCAGTACTTATGCATCGGCAGCGAGGACGGATTGGACGCTGGAGGCTCGACGTCGCGCGAGGCGGGCTCGAGTGACACATCTCAGAGACACACGAGTCCAGCCGGCAACGCCAGCGAAGCCAGCGAGCTGCCCCCTCCCAGCACGAGACCCGGACGGGGCACGTTTCTGCTCTGGTGCTGATGCGGGCGAGGTAGCACAGCTACACCACGAGCACGAGACGAGACGGACCGCGAAGGATGGTACCGACGGTAGGCAGGCAAGCCATAACAGTAAGTAAGTAAACACATACCGGTCCACGTACATGTAAGTAGGTAGGTTAAGTAAGTAAAGTCGGTCAGCTCTGCCCGTCAAGCCATGGTGCCGTGGTGATAGGTAAACAAGAACGCGACAGATCCCAGCGGGAGCGGGAGCGAGAGGAGGTGCGCGTGCGTATGTGCGTATGTGCATGAGTGAGGGAGAAGAGAGAGGGTAGCCAGGTTAGCTAAGGAGAGATGCGACACGCTCGCGACGTGTTGCGCACATCCAGCGAGCTTATAATATTCCCGTCGCCTTCATCCGTCGCGTTGCTGTTCCCGTTCCCGTTCCCGTTCCCACCTCTCTGGCAACTCTCTCGTCCTTACACGGTCAATATACACCTAGATAGTACCTGATGTAGGAGGTTAGGTAGTTAACGACACCCTCTCTCTCCTCTCTTTCCACGTATTCTCCGCTTCCCTTTCGGCTCTCTCGATTCTGCCCAGTTCTGGAGTGGTTCGCCCTCGACCCCGTTTCTGGAGGCCGCCGACTTGCCATCCGGGAATTCTCGCCGCTACCCTGTTTTTCGATCGTGGTGTGGCGAGAGGGACGCACCGCACGCACGCGATACTTGCATACCTTAACCTATACCAACCTATACTACGACATTCGCCTGCCTACTACCGTCTATCCCTCATTTACAACACCTATAGCCCGTGCCCACGTGTGTGTGTGTATGTGTGTGGTGTATACAGGCATACTTACACCTACCTTACCTACCGACACGGCGACAACGCATCCATACCTCCTCCTACTACTCCCCATCCCCTGCGACAGCTGCTGCGCCACGGCCAGCAACCTGCGTAACAGTTACGGTGACGGCGTCGGCGTCGGTGTCGGTGTTGGTGTCGGCGTCCCAGCAGCGCTAACCCACCGCCACCACCCGCTTTACCGCTACCGCCATTACCGTCGTCGTCGTCGTCGTCGTCTCCAGGCCGAGCTGAACCGCTCCCCGATTCTCCTGGGGAAGAGGAATGCTCGTGGGGCGCGAGAGCGGACACCGGCGGGACTGCGCAGGCCCTTTATTACATCTATAGATACCTCCTATAGATACCTACCTATATATATAAGTACCTACCTAAGGTAGGTGGGTATAGGTATAGGTATCAAGATATAGCATCTAAACGCATAGCACCGGCCGTTCGCATTCGTCTATACATTCATTCATCTACCCACCACCACTCACACCTAGCACCACACCTGACTTACACAGGTCTCCGTCTCCATCTCCGTCTCCATCACCAACCCATCTCCGCCTCCATCTGCATTCCCCATCCTCTTCTCGACATACGCCATTCCTTTCTCCGTAACGACCCTCCCGGATTTCTTGCCTATCCCCGGCTGGCTGCTCTTCTCAATTATCGGCGTTTTTAGCCACCATTGCTGGGCGTGCGCAGAAGGACGACGCCCACGGACGAGGCACGGGAACGAACGAGCGAGCGAACGAGTGAACGAGCGCACGACGATCAGATCGATTTATTTACTTTTTTTTTCTCTTTTCCCTTTGCCTCCTCCACACCCCCGAAATCCTGTTTTTTCCCCTTTTTTACCATCCAACCTCACCCTCCTCTCTCGACTTTCCCCCGACAGGATCGTCCCTCCTCGCTACCGTGCACATCCCGATTGACGATCGACATCCGCTTCGGCTTCAATCTCTATTCGTCCAGAACTCTCCCCGATCGAGCCACCACCACTGCGCCCTTCGCGTCTTCCCGTCGCAGCTCTAAAGAGACGGATCGATCTACGATCTCCCATCGCCTAACCGATCGCGTGCTCAATCGACTCTACCGATTGGTCTAGCGAGGCGACACGGCATCCGAACCCGCCAAGTTCACGTCTGAACAAATCCTGCCCTCTTCGAGTCTTCAAGACGCATATCGACCCTCTTCGCCCCGTCCCGTTCGAGACTCCGGTTCGAGATCGCAGCTACACCACCACCACCACCACCACCACCACCACCACCACCACACCCTCAGCGCCGCCCGTATTCATGGTCTCGCAGCCCGACCCGTCGACTCTCACCCACCGCGGCCCCTCCTCCGTCGTATCGGCGCGCTACTCCTCCCTCTCGTCCCGCCCCCACACCTCGTTGCGCAGCAAGCGGTACAACCGCTCCCACGCGGGCGGGGGCTCGTACGTGCCCCAGAACGAGTTCCCCATCTTTAGCCACTCTGGCGATGTCGAGATCGTCATCCGCGCCGGCGGCCGTGAGAACCGCTACCTGCTGCATCGCCACACCCTGACGCGATGTTCTGGCTTCTTCGAGGCCAGCACCAGCCGCCAGTGGTCCAAGGCCAGCTTTATCCCCGCGTCGCAGCCGCTCCCGCCGTTGCCACCGCCCTCGCCGCCCGAGGTCTCCTCGAGGGAGCTCGCGAGGATAGGCGAGGGGTACTACGCCAACGCCAACAACAACAGCAATACCGGTAGCGAGGACGACGCTAGTGAGCTCGCGGCTAGGCACGGTGCGGACTCCCCCGTGCCACGCAGGCGCTGGCGCTACGAATTAGACCCCGGCGACGGCCGGGATGACATACCGATGCTCGTGCAGAAGGACGCCAGCGAGTCCATGCAACACAGCTCTTCTACCTCCTCCATATTCGGCGGCGGGGGCCCCGCCTCCCACACGACCGCCGCGCGCAGGACCGGCGGTGGACATTCGCACTCGCACTCAACAGGGTCGTTCTTCCGGTCTGTCGCGAACTTATCCCTCGCGCCGGCCAAGTCGGAGCCGCCGCCGCCGCCGCCGCCCCTGTCGCAAGAGGACGCGGACCTGCTGCGGGACTACGACAACCTGTTCCGCATCTTCTACAACTACCCACCCGTGCTGGACGGAGTCAACATCGCGGACGCCTACGTGCAATGCAAATCGCTCCTGACGCTGGCGGACCAGTACGACGCGCTCGCGGTGGTCGGGCCGCGGGTCGACCACCACCTGCTGCAGTTCCGCGGGCGGCTGTGGCGGCAGGTGGCCAAGTACCCGGTCAGCTACCTGCGGCTGGGCTTCCTCAGCCGCAGCAAGGTCATCTTCCAGGAGGCGCTGATCCACGTCGTCGGGCAGTGGCCCGCGGGCGAGCGCAGCATCCGCCAGTCGCTGCCGGTCTCCGTACTCGACCTCATCGAGGACAAGGTCGACGAGCTCGCCGAGGCGGTCGCGCGCGCCGAGGCCCGCCTCTTCCGCCTCAGCCTCGCCGACGCGCGGGGCGCCCGCGTCACGCCGGCCTCCTCGTACCTCGACTGGCTCGCCGTCTCGTTCTTCCGCCAATGGCTCGTCGACAACACCTCACCTCCACCACCATCGCCGCCGCCGCCGCTAGCCCCGTCGCAGTCGCATCATTTGTCGTCACGGAGGCACTCGTCCTCGCGTGCCGGCAACAACAACAGTAGCGGTAGCAACGACGACGACGTGTCGTCGACCTCGTTCGCGGCGCGCGCGAGCACGGCGATCATGGTGGCATCGACGACGGCGGCGCCGAACCTGGCGAGCCTGGGACGGACGTATCGGATCCTGGGGAGCGGCAGCGGGGGCGGCGGCTACCTGGGCCACGACGAGTGCAAGCGGTTCCTCAAGCTGACGCCGGAGCTGTACTCGCGGGAGAACCTGCGGCGGTTCGAGAAGCGGATCGACGAGCTCAAGGGCGCGGCGCGGGAGATCGTGCGGCCGCTGATGGGCAGCGGGCTCGAGCTCGAGACGGAGCGGTGCGGGCCAGCGAGCGCGGGAGCGGTCACGACGACGGCGGCGGGGCGAGGGGTGGCGGCAGGAGGAGGAGGAGGAGCGATGACGAGCTATTTGACGTGCGTCAGGGTGCTGGAGCGGGATCTGCCGTGGGAAGTTGAGGATTAAGAAGGATGGGAAGATGGAAGGGAGGAGGCGGGGAGTGAAAGGACAGGAGGAAGACAGGGAGGAAGAGAGACAACAACATGAGATCTTACGGGACACGAGATGAGATGAGATGTGATGTGACGAAATAAGTAAGGAACGAGCAGCGAAATGAGACAGATGGGATGGGATGGAATGGACATGTATGTACGGGTTGCTTCTCTTCTTTTTTTTAATTTTTTTTCTTCCCCTTCCTCTCCGCCTCCGTCTGTCTCACCCTCACCCTTTTTTTTCTTTCCTTCTTTCTTTCTATCTCTATACATGTAACGGGACGTGGACTTCTATAGGATATACCCACCAATAGCTATTTTCTGTTTTCCTTTTCGTTCTTCTCTCCCTCTTTTTTTTTTCTCGTTTGCTTTGTTCTCTTCTGCGGCCTGCATATAGGTATACACATACATCGGCATCCACATAGGTAGGTATATACATGCATGCGCGCGCGGGATTCGGTACGGTTGATGATCCTGCCCCGCGGGCGCGCGCTGTCTGTGTGGGTTATGCTACTGGTTTGTTACATACGTCTGCCTCTACGTGCCTACATCCGTATATAGTGTGTGTGTGTGTGTGTGTGTGTGTGTGTGTGCCGGTCCGAGTGAGGTGGCCCGACGGGTCTAGAAGGGAGGCGAAGAGGCCTGCGCAGTCGCCGTACCCGCAGCCCGTGCAGAGGAGGGATAGGTTGGGTGAAGGTGTGGGAGGGGATGGCGAGAGGGGATGGGTGTTGGTCAATATCCGACTGTATAAGTATGTAGGTATGTAGGTATGTAGGTATGAGGGTGCCAGGGGGTTCGGAGCTGCCGGTGTCGTATCGGAGGAAATGGGCCGGGTGGTAGAACTGCTCTCGTCCGTTTATCGTAGGCGTTCGGTTCGGAACGAGCCTCTTTACATCGCACTCTGTCCCATCCCTACCTACTGCTCATCCTTGCGGAATTACCTACGACGATTCAGCAGCGGGTTTTCGGGTTACCGATGACATGCGAAATGGCTACAAATTACGTAGAAACATCTACATACCGTATTCATGGAATCTGATTTGCGTGTGTGTGAATGCGGTGCGTGCCTGCACACCTACGTGCTCGCCTCGCATGGCCAAGATCTTCTGGCTTTGGGGTGGACAGGATTTACCTACCTCGCCCACAGCCGGGCGTGGGCGTGTCGATCGCTGCCTGGTGGGTGGGATGGAAGCGGAAGACACACGTAAATTACTGTCATATAATCCACCCAACGGGTAATGCAACGTGTAGGTCTCTGTGCGGGATCGACTTTGCGAGACGCGCGCTCGGGATGTGGTGACATCTCAGCCCCCCCCGTCTCCTCGTCGAAATAGGTATCCCGGGCGTCTGCCAGAGATGAGGCCGAGAACGCACAGCCGCCGCGGGTTCCCCCTTCACCCCCCCCCCCCCGTCTCCCCCCCTTCTCTGCGCCGTCGATCTTTCGTGTCAGGCGGAGACGAGGTTGCCACTGATACTCTGTCCCGCATGCACTTCCCGACCTACACATGCGATTTACCTGCCGACATGCGACGGCGACGGTGACGGCGACGACAACAAGAACAACATCGTGGTGGCCGGCGGGATATATGTACATACCTATTACCCACGTAGGTATTTCACGCCTACACATACATATGTGCGCACGTACATCATATGCATAGGTAGGTATATACCTGCATTCATGCACGCGCCCACGTAGAGAGAGGCAGAGAATGCAGGCCGTTCTGGAACGCGAGAACAGCACAGTCGATACGCGAACACGCAAATCGCATCGTGGGGATGGCCCCATAGTCAGGTCAGGTGTGCGTGTGTGTTTTTTTTTTCTTCCTTCTCTCTCATCCTCTCCCCTCTCCCTTCTCCCCGTCTCTATCTCCCGATCGTAGGACCCTCTCTCTCTCTGCCTGCCTCTCTCTCGTCCTACGATCGGGTATCGACCTGTAGGCGAGCTACGTACCGTGGCCATCTCGACAAACGTAAACCTGCAGTATCGTGATCGACACATTACGTATCCGGGATCTGCTGAGGTCGACCTTACGGCCTCTCGTGGTGCTGTATTAAAGCGGTCGGCCCAGCCCGCCCTTCTCGCGCCTCCGCTGCCCGCTTGCTGGCTGGGTCCGACGCGTCTCGACGTTCTTCTGACATCCTGGCCGATTCACCGCCCGCTTCCCCCCCTCCCACCCGAGAACATCACGCGAACGCTTTCGGGTTGAAAGATTCCACTTTGGGCATATACCTATTTGGGCATATTTTACCTACGGATGCGTTGGATTTGTATGAGAAGATACCTACCGAGGAGTGTATATCTCGTACACACATGCATACGTCCGTACATACACCATACGTACACACGTACATCCATACATCGATCCATCTATATATATAAGCTTGCCTGTATGGGCTGCCCCCGGGCTAGTTGATTACCAGATTCCTTCATCTGACGACGACCTGCGCACGCACAATTGCAGGCTTAACACCAGTACGATACACTTAAACACCGTCTTAACGCAATACCCCGCTAAATAACACTTGGTTCACTTATATGAACACCACCTACTGCTGAACTTGGGCCTAAACCAACCACACCAACCACACCAACCGACACCAACCAAGGGACCTATACTTGTTTCTCACCCTCTCAAAAGGGAGCACGAAATCAAACGCAAAAACAGAAACTCACTACCGGGAAATCAAGCATCAGAAACAGGTAATACATACCTACCATGGACTACGATATCTCCCTGATGATGCTGGGGGCCTTCACCGGCACCAGCAACACTGCCGGCACCGGCTCGGCGAGCCAGGGGAAGAACAGCACCGGCGGCGGCAGCAGTAGCAGCGGCACCCGGCACCGCGGTGCCCTTCTCCTCGACCGGGTGATGGAGGACCACCCAATCTCGCGGCAGGCCAGCGAGGGCAGCAGCCGGCTGCTAGCACTGCCGGCGGAGATCCTGGCGGAGATCCTGGACCTGCTGGCGGGCGACGCGCGGGCGCTGGGGGCGCTGGCGCTGGCGAGCTCCGACTGCCGGCAGCTGGCGCGGTCGCGGCAGTTCGCCGCCGTGCGCTTCGACTACAGCCCGTGGGCCCAGGAGCTGGCGCGCGCGCTGGCCGACGAGCTCGCCGCGCGCGTGCGCGACCGCGACCGCGGCGGGCCCGGTGCCGCCCCGCGCCCCGCCATCGGCGCCTGCGTCCGCTCCTTCGTCATGGCCTCCACCCCGAACTGGCTCGCCGCCCACAACCGCCCGCTCTTCGACTCCGTCTGGGGCACCGCCGCCGAGGCCCCGCTGGCGCCTGCCCCTGCTCCTGCTGCGCCCTCTGACGCTAGCACTGCTGCTACTAGCACGGCCACCGCCGCTCCGTCCTCGGCTTCTTCTCCGCCCTCGTCCGCACCGTCTTCGACGCCATCGGAACCCTACCGCTACCGCCCGGGCATCACGCAGGCCGACCGCGAGCGGCTGCGCGAGGACGCGAACCGCAGCTACGCGCGCGCCCGCAACGTCGTGCAGATGGTGCTCGGCTGCGGGATGCCGCACCTCGAGGCCATAGAGTGGCGCGACGCCCATCCCATCGACGACGTCCGCTTCTTCCGCTTCCTCGCCCGCTCGCCCGCCCGCCACCTGCGCCTGCACCGCCTCGCCGTCGACGCCCGCGCCGCCCGCGCCTTCGTCGATGTGTTCGCGCCGCTCGCCGACGCCGCCGCCGCCTCCGGGTCCGCGTCCGCCGTTTGGCCCCTGCGCTCGCTCGCGCTCGACGTCCGCCTCACCACCAAGTTGCCCGCGGCGGCGGCGAGGGCGAGGGGGCGAGAGCCAGAGCCGGATCCGTCGCCCGACGCGGAACCCCCCGGCTCGCTACCCGACGACGCCGTGCTGCCCCGCTTCTTCGAGACCTTCCTCCGCCTGTGCGCCCCGACGCTCGAGTCCCTCACGTGGGAGCACATGCACTTCCGGAAGGGCGGGGCCGGCGACGGGCCGGAGACGCTCTCGCTCGGCAGCGACGACGACGACGATAAGAACGCCAACGCTACGCAGCGCCCGTGCCTCGCGTTCCCCCGCCTCACCACCCTGCGCCTGCGCTGGATCGACCTATCGACGGCGGCGCTTGGCACGCTCCTGCGCGCGCCCCTGCGACACCTACTACTGCCGCCGCCACCGCCGCAGTCGACGCCCACGCCCGCACAGCTGGCGGACGCCGCGCCCGAGGACCGGCTCGCGGCAGCGCTCGACACAGCGCCGCTGCTGCGCGACCTGCAGACGCTCGTGATCCCGAGCCTACGGCTATCACGCGCCAACGCGGGCCGCGTGGCGCGCTTCGTAGGGCGGCAGGCGGGCGGCCTCGCGCGGCTGTCGGTCGCGGAGCCGATGGAGGCGCGCGGCGCCGACGCGCGGCTCGACGAGTTCATCGTGCCGCTGCTGGCGGCGGGGCCCGACGGCGGCTTCGTGGGCCTACGCTCGCTGTCGCTGGCATGGGGAGGCGGCAGCGTCGGCGCGGACGACGGCGACGGCTGGGGCGGGGGCCGCGCCGTCCGCGTGCCCGCCGCGTCGCTGCGCGCCCTCGGCCGCCTCCCCGCCCTCGAGCAGCTCAGCCTGCGCGCCGGCGTGTCCGTCGGCTGGCGCGCCCAGTGGCTCGTCGACCACGACGCGCTGCGCGCGAGCCTCGCCGGGCTCACGCGGCTGCGGCGGCTGGCGCTCTCGCGCGACACGTACGCGGTGGTGGTTAGCGAGGAGGAAGAGGAGGAAGAGGGAGAGCAGCAGGAGGTCGAGGAGTACTACACGAACCGGCGGGTCGGGGCGCGCGAATTCGCGGACGCGGCGGCGCGGCCGGAGCTAGATGGCGGCGGGGGCTGCGGGGACGGCAACGACGACGACGACGACGACGACGACGCCGTCGCGTACGTCGCCGATGAGGACGACGGCTACATGGTCCGCGCGAGCCTCGGCCGCGTCTGGGAGCGCGCCCACCGCAACCGCATGCTCACCGAGGCCGAGCGCTACGCCGCTGCCCTGCCGAGCCTCGAGTGGGCGTATCTCGGGCAGCGGCCGATGGAGATTGTCGAGGAGCAGGAAATGGAGGGGGGAGGAGAGAGGAGAAAGCGAGCCCGCCCCACGACACGCCACCGCGACGACTGCTACGCGCTCCTCGAGGAGATGTTCGGGATGCCGGCGGAGGCGTGAGGGGGGGGGTCGATACGTGAGAGCTGGGGGGTAGCTTTATTTATACCCGCGGTGGTTGTAACGGGTTGGGATTGGGATTCGGACTGGGACTTGTACGCGCTGAGGGGGGAGGTAATATGAGATGGGCGATATCCTTAGGAAGTCTGCGGACGGAATACATACGGTGTAGGCGTGAGCTTTGGTATTCGACGGTGGCTACGGGGACTCGAGGCGTGAGCAGCGATACGTGCCGAAACGGGTCTGGCTGTCCGGGTGATGGCCGTCGGAAACGGTATAGGGTAAGGGACTGCGAGTATATATTATGTGCGGGTATGTATATATATAGATAGATGGACTTGGGCGGGAAACACAAGCTCTCCCTTTCGACGACCGCCTGCTAACTGTGTTTCTCGCGTCTCTATTATGCACAATGTCACGTACATACGGGAACAGCCCTCATAAGCCTACATCCGTAAGTCGTAGAATGCAGGCGTCTACGTTTTACGCAACATACGAGCAAATGGAGTATGTCGGTGATGAATTGCTTGCTTGCCGACGAAGTGCTTGCTAAACCCCCCAACCCGTAGGTCATCCTTACCCTCGAGGCGAGACTTACAAGGCTACGTTGCAGACGGACCCTCTCGTCTTCATCCACCCTTTACAAAAGTCGCTCCGCTCGCTTTGGGAAACATGCCCGTCTATTCTATACAGCCAACGTCTATCTCTTCCTCCTGTAGCTAGCTACACGTCTCTCCCCGCCATATAAACACACGAATGCTGCCCCCGAGCGCAGGCCCTCCCAAGCCTCTATAGATGCCATCCCCCTTCTCCCTCTCCCTCCCCCTCCTCCAAGACCAACGATACTCGACCGCTAACACGCGCCATCTAACTAACCTCCGCGCCGCAGGCCAGCCGATCAATCAATCAATCAATCAATCAATCAATTAGCGTCCGTCAAGTCGATGCACGCGACGTCGCTGCACTTCCACACCGCCACCGTCGTTGTGGTTGTCAGCACCGCCCTCGAGCGGCCGCGGCCCTCTTTCCGCGCGCCGCCCGCGGCAGCCCGCTCCGCCAGCAGGGCGTCGGCCTCGGCGGCCGCGACCTCGACCTCGCGGACGAAGCCGGGCGCGCCCCGGCTCAGGACGTACATCCTGGTCGTCGGCCCCGCGGGCGCCGCCGCGTCCTCCTCGAAGACGGCGCTGTCTTCGCGCGCGCGGTCCGGCGTGCCGGCGCCGCGCGGCGGGCGTTTTTTCTCGCTCGGCTGCGGCGGCGTGCCCCGACGCCTCGTCCTGGGGGGCCGAGACGCCCCCTCGTCTTCCTCGCCTCCCCTAGTCGGAGACCGCGCCGGCGAGACGGAGCGGTGCTTTGGAGGGCTTGAGGGCGGTGGCGATCGAGACGCCGATCTTGGAGGGCTGGCATCTCCCGCGCCCGGGGTCCCGGGGCCCCGTGCTACAGGGGCACGCCGATCCGCAGGAGGCGACGCAGGGGGGCTGGAGGATATGATAATCGCCTCGGCGGCCTTTGCCAGCCGGGTAACCCTAGGACTGACCTGTGAGCCGGCGATAGTCCACGGGTTGGTGCTGGCGTCCGGCCTCGATGCTGGTGATGCACGTCGCGCGGGTTTAGGTTTGGATTGCTTACTGGATCTCGTCGCGCGCGTCTTCTGCGATGCTTGGATAGGCGAGGGGAGCAGGAGCAAGCTCTGCGAGGGCACCGCGGAAACGCAGAGGGGATCGCAGAGCCGGACGGGCGACGGGCGACGGGCGACGTCTTTGCCGAAATCTCCGCCTTGCGGGATGTTCTTCGTGACCCTGGTGATCTGATCCAAGGTGGCAGCAGCGGCGCCCTTACCAGCGTCGCCCTTAGCTTTCGCCTTCCGCTTCGCAGCCGCTGGCTTCCGACGGCTCGCCACCTTGGCACGCTCCGACTCTTCCCAGTCTTCGACCATGACAGGTATCCCGAGCTTCGCTACCGTCTCTGGTATCCAGAATAAATCCGGTTCGGTCGGGTCGAACGGTTTCTTGCTGGCACCCCTTGCGATGGATTCCGCGCCGTCGTCGCCGGCCGCGTCTTCGAACTCGTCGTCGCTGTTCAGAGCTATGCCGGACCGCCCGTACTCGACGACCTCGTCCGGCTCGTCCTGAAAGTCGTAACCGACGATCTGGGTCGGTATGAAGGACACGCGCAGCTCTGGTGTGCCGTCGGTGCTGGCGTGCGCGCGCCGGGTTTTGATCGCTTTGACCAATTCCGACTCCTCCTTCTCCAACAGCTCGACGGGTTTCTCGCCATTGTCGGGGAGCTCGCGGCGAGATATCATCTTCCGTACGAGTAAGCATGGGGCCAACACCTTGATGAACTTGATAGCCCCTATTCGGTAGCTCCAGTTGAACGTATCTCTTGCGAAGTCGCGCAGCCCTTGCACATCCACCGGCATGTCCCAATCTTGACTCCGTAGCCTGTCGACAACAGCGTCGGGTGATACGACAGGATGGGTGTAATACCCGAGGACTTCGAGGTTAGGAAAGTCTTCAGGTATGGACAAGGCTTTATGTCTCCTCTTGAAGAACTGGCTCTCGTTGTGTTGCAGCTCGAAGGCCAACCACTCTTTCCAGCTGGCCAGCTCGGAGACGTCGGCCCTCTTCAACTTACAAAGCCATTTCCCGAAGCTGGCTCGGGCGGCCTCGCAGGCCACCTTGATGCCGGCCCCCGGGATACCCTCCGGGAGATAATCGCCGCCGCTCATGAGAGCAACCAGGACCATCCCCTCGCGGTCGAGTCCGGACCCGCCCTCGCGCAGATAGTCGGTGTCGTACACGGAGACGTGCGTCGGCGTCTTCCCTTTGACGCCCTCCGAGGACCAGTTCCTCAGGGTGCAGGTGGAGCCAAACATGATGGTATCGACATCCTCGCTCAGCACGGCGTCGACGACGCCGGTTTGCTGCAGGAACGCGCACTCGGCCTCCGCTTCTCCGGGGGCGTCGTGGGTCAGGAAGCCGAACAGCTTGATCAGTCTCTTGGCCATGGACGACGCAACGCCGTCGCCGCGGCCAGAGCGCTTGTTCCGCTTGAAGGCAGGCTTGTTGGGGCCGTCAAACACGAAGATGGGCTGTATTGATAAGCCGAGGAGCCGGAGCAGGCGGTAGAATAGCGTCCGGATGGCCGGGTTGGTGCCGCCTAGGACAGCGGTCAGCAGGTCATTTACTATCTGAGCGTTCTCAGGGCGGCATTCGTTCCGCGATTCGTACCTCTAGCGGCTTGAGTCTGGAACTGCCATATTGAGATGTCTATGGCTAGGCGCAAGGGCCGACCAGTTTCCTCGAGGGTGTCGACGGCGAGTTTGGTCAGGGATACCCGCCTGCCAGAGCCGATTTCTTTGTATATTCTGCCCGGGACATCGTCAGCAAATCCATCATGTCTCGAGAGCCCGTGGGTCATCTGGTTGGAGATCAGGGGGATTTTCAGATACGAACCCCCGGATTCCCATAGCGAAGAATGGCAGGCAGCATTATGGTTGGCCATCCAAGGCCAAGCGGGGCCGGCTCTGGCTAGTTAGGGAGGGGAGCAACCCGGCGGCTCCCGTAGACGGTAGCTTTGCAGAGCAAGGGGAGAGGAGTGAGGTAGTAATGAGGGTAATTTTGATGGTGGGTGTGCAAGAGAGCAACTAGAACTCAAAAATAGCGAGTTAAGGAGCGATGCGGTGAGGAAGCAAGTATCCGAAGCAACAGGGAGGCATGTGTTGTAGCAGACGGTGACCTCAGCTTGAGGCGGCGCACGACGCACTAGGCAGCAGGATGCACAATGGAATGGGCCATGTCGAGTTTGCAGCTCATCCGCCGGGAATTTCAATATTGATGGGGATCTGGTCGTATCCATTGGCAACGGTTGGGTCTAGGGGTGGGGTGCGTGGGTACATGTGTATATCGATAAGATAAGATACGGCTCGTTATCGCCCAAGGCGTACTCAGCCAGGTACCTGGGCACATTCAGGGACTGGCACGCTTCACAACACACAACACCACCTGGCCGCCGACCTGCTCTCCCGGCTTCTTCCACCGGCTTGCCATCCCATCGAGGCCGATAGGGGCTGTCTCTTGCGTTTGGCGAACTATGTCTCCCACGCGCTGAGCGCCTTTTAGTATTGCTGCATGCAGACGCGCGCGCAGTCATGTCGTCCGGCACAGCGCCCAGCCTGCCCCATCGGACTATATCGACCATCCGCGCTGGCGGCCAGTCGACCACCCACGGACTGCCCACCACTCCCCATACGCCCACGCGAACCGTGGTCCCCTCGGCCTTCGGCTCGCCCTCGACCTTGCGCGCTGATGACGAGGTCATCGTCATCGAGCTGGGTTCCCGCAGACTGCGTCTCGGCTTCGCTGGCGATCCCGCGCCCAAGAGGATCGTGTCCTTTTGCCCCGAGCAGCAGAGGCGTGCTGGCGACTTCCGGGACTGGGACGTCGGCTACCAGAATGAGTGGCGCAAGAGAGCGGCCGGCAAGCCGTGGGGGAGCGACCACGAGCTGTGGCAGCTAGATGTGAGGGGCCAGGACCTTGCTCTGGTCGGCGATAAGCTGGAGCGTGAGCTCAGAGACGCCTTTACCAAGTAGGCGAGCCCATTTCGCGTAGATAGCTCGGCTTAGTGTGGGTATTGTCTGACTGACTGACTGACTGGTCACCTCCAGGTATCTACTCATCGACTCGCGCCCGAGGCGGGTGACCCTAGTCCTCCCCCCGACCATACCCATACCGCTCATCTCCTCCGTTCTAGACACGCTCTTCAACCGCTTTCAGGCCCCCTCGGTGTCTCTCCTCTCGTCGCCCGTTATGGCAGCTATGGCTGCAGGTATGCGAGCGGCCCTAGTTATCGACCTGGGCTGGCACGAGACAACCGTTACTGCGGTCTACGAGTTCCGCGAGGTGCAGACTTGGAGGACGATCCGGGCCGGCAAGTTGTTGGTCGAGGAGACGTACGAGTTTCTAACGAATGCTATCGATGGGCGGCCGACCGCCGGCCGCGGCGAACGTACCGAGGACAAATTGGACAGCAGCGCGCTGAGCTTCGAGGAATGCGAAGACTTCGCGACGCGCATGCTGTGGTGCAAGAGGACCTCGAGGGAGCCGATACAGCAACCGGTCGAGGGTCTGCCTACGTTGCACGAACAGGATGAGTCCGAGACGACAGCGCCGCCTGAAGATGGCTCGCTTACGAAGATAACCCTCACCTCTTGCATCCCGCCCAAGACGGTGGAAATACCGTTTGCCGAGCTGGCTGAACCGTGCGAGGCCGTGTTCTTCGAAACCCGCCTGTCGCCGAGCTGCTTCGACGACCACGAGATCCCGGTACATCTGTTAGCCTACCGGGCGCTGCTGCAGCTGCCGTTGGATGTTCGCGCAGTCTGCATGTCGCGTATCATCTTCACCGGCGGCTGCTCGAATATCATCGGGCTGAGAGGGCGGATCTTTGACGAGGTCTCGCTCCTGGCTAAGGAGCGGGGCTGGGACCCGGTCCGAGGCAAGGGGGCCGACCAGTATAAAGCGAACCCGAAATTACGGCGGAACAGCAGCAGACAGTCTAGCGAAGGGCCGGTCCCCGTCCCTGCGGCTCCGGATGTCCCGGCAACGGTTCCCGCTGAGAATAGTAGTAGCAGCAACGCAGAGGGGGGTGAGGCGGCGGCGGCGGTCAACCCGGCGCATGCGCCTCCCGAAGCGGATCACGTCGAGGAATTGATCAAGAAGGACAAGAACTACAAGCCACTGGTGCAGGGCGCGCTCCGCGTACTAGATTCGCTGGGTCCGTGGTGCGGAGCTAGCCTGGCGGCGCAGCTCAAGATCCCGGCACTAGCGACGGTCGACCGCGAGCTCTGGCTGCACCAGGGCGTCCACGGGGCGTGCCGACCCAGCGAGGTGGATGTCAAGGCGCAGCAGAGGCAGAGCGTGGGCGGCGGGAGCCTGATCCGAGGCCAGGGATCACAAGCCATCGTCAACTGGACCCTGGGCGTGTGGGGTACGCTCTAGACGGACCTAGATAAGGTGACGGACGGGTCGAGCAAGGGCGAACACCGGCGATGCTCCGAGTTTTGGTCGTAGAGAGATACCCGTTCAGACACTACACGCGCCACTGGCGCCAGCTCCCGAGACTCCGCCGTGCTGTTGCCGTGCTGCCGTTTATATACCTAGGTATGCCTTTGGAGGTTCTCCATACTTCCGGCCGCCCTTTGTTGAAGCTATTCCCAAGGGGTTTACGGAGTACCTGCACAGGCTTGAGGTGGGTTGCTCTGGTCTCAGGTGCTTGGGGGGTACCTGTGTCGGTATCTAGGAGGTAGGGAGGTAAGATACATAAGGTACCTCTTGTTTACGTAGGACGTGGGTACGCGAGATATGTAGATATACATGTGGTGACGGAGGCTAGGAAGGGGAAGGTGCGAGTTTGCCTGAAGCTGGTCGAAGCTACCCTTGCGGATCTACGGCACTACGGCGGCAGGTGGGACCCGGAATCTCCCTTTTGCCTCCTTCCCCTCCAACAATTCCACCCGAAAAAAAAAATTGAATAAAAAATATCGCCAAGTCGGACGACTCGATCGGACAACCTCTTCATTTCTCCTTCACCATCATCCATACACACGCACATACACACAAGTACACTCACCTACCTGTCGCCCATCTCCCGCCACCCCTTGACGACGAGGACGCGGTAGCCAGATTCAACCAGGCCGGCCCTCTTCAAGCAACCCTCCACCGATACAGAAGGGGATATCCCGTTGGCCGAATAGCGCCGTCACCATGGCTAAGCTAGTGAGCCCGCCTTTCGTGTGCCTTCGGTGCCGCCTCGCCCGGCCGCGAAGACCGCAGCGTTTCTTCCCAGGTTCTACCTTATCGCGGCTGGCCTCGACTTCTAGCGCTAGCTCTATACCGACCTCGGGCGACGCCAACGACCTTCCCATCACGTCGCGGCCTACCACCGCCCCCAAGCCCAACATTGACACCAAACACATCCGCCAGAACGTCTCGTTATACGAACAGAACTCCCTCGAGAGGAACTACAAGGCCCAGAGTGCGTACCCTGCTCGCATCGCCGAGCTATTCGCCCAATGGCAAGCCCGGCAGAGAGACGGCCGTACCTTGCGCGAACGAGGTAACTACCTACGCCGACAGATCGCAAACCCGACTAGCATCCAACACGAGGACGAAGACGAAGCAGCAGAGTCCCGGGGCGGCCAATCCACCGCAGAGTCGAAAGCAGGCGACACCGGCATCGCCGCGGGACCAGATACAAAGACCATGACAAAAGCCCAGCTCATCGAGGAGGCACGTGTCGTCAAGGAAAGGCTTTCGAGTATCGAGCAAGATGAAACGCATCTCGAGGCTCAGATCGCGGAGCTCTCCCTAGCCATCCCGAACCTGACAAGCGCCGAGACGCCCCGCGGCGACGAACCTCGCGTCCTGAGGTACATAAACGAGCAGCCGGTGTTGGAATCGTCGTCGTCGTCAGATCCCGTATGGAGATCGCACGTACACATCGGGTCAGAGCTCGGAATCCTCGACTTTGCTGCCGCGGCTACGACGTCGGGCTGGGGGTGGTACTACCTGCTGGACGCGGGCGCGCAGCTGGAGCAGGCGCTGATCAGCTACGCGCTCCACACGGTGGCGAGTAGGAAGTCGGGCTGGCGGCAGGTCGCGCCGCCTAGCATCGTCTACAGCCACATCGCCGCCGCCTGCGGGTTCCAGCCGCGCGACCAGCACGGCGAGCAGCAGGTGTACGGGCTGGCGCGGTCGGCCGCCGACGCGCAGCATAGCAAGCCCGAGCTCTGCCTCTCGGGCACCGCGGAGATCCCGCTAGCGGGCCTCAAGGCCAACACCGTGATCGAGGAAGCCGAGCTGCCCATCAAGCGCGTCGCCGTGTCGCGGTGCTACCGCGCCGAGGCGGGCGGGCGCGGGGCCGACACGAAAGGCCTGTACCGCGTGCACGAGTTCACCAAGGTCGAGATGTTCGCGTGGACGCCGCCCGACGAGGGCGCGACGGCGGCCGTGTTCGACGAGATCCTCGACATCCAGACGCAGATCCTGCGCGAGCTCGGGCTGCACTGCCGCGTGCTCGAGATGCCGAGCACCGACCTCGGCGCGTCGGCGTACCGCAAGTGCGACATCGAGGCCTTCTTCCCGAGCCGGCGCCAGCCCCAGCGCGGCGACGAGGGCTGGGGCGAGGTGACGAGCGCGAGCATCTGCACCGACTACCAGGCGCGGCGGCTCGCGACGCGCCTGCGGCCCTCGGCGCCCACCGCCTCGGGCGCCAAGACGGCGTACCCCTGGACCGTGAACGGTACCGCGCTCGCTGTGCCTCGCGTCCTGGCCGCGGTGCTGGAGAAGGGGTGGGACGAGGAGGAGAAGACGGTCGCGATCCCCGACTGCCTCGTGCCGTGGATGGGGGGCAAGAAGGAGATTGGCGTGAAGGACTGGCAGCAGTAGGGGAGACCGAGCAAGGGGAAGAAATATAGAGGGAGAGAAAAAAAAGGCAACTGAAGAAAGCTTCACTCTAGTTGTATGAACCGGACAAGGTGGTGTCTAGCCCCGTCGGCGGGACTGCCGTTGGGTAGGGGGATAGCGACTTGTCCTACCGCACCCAGGCGGAGTGCAATAAGTAGTTAAGGGAGGGTCAGGGGAGAGGGGGGCGCGGGCACGTATGCGTAGCAATCTAGATGGGGATCCGCGCAAGCGTCGGGAAGAACCCGCGGCGAGCCCGAAGGGGGGCTGAATAGAGCTCGGATGGGGACGCTTGTATGTTTTGCTTCGGTCGTCGGTTCGTCCGTCTGTCTGTCAGATCTTATGTACCTATTATCTAGCAATACCCAAACCGCCCGCGCGTGCGAGACCTTGCCCCGGCCCTCTTGCTGCTGCTTGCTGCTCCTGCTTGAATCCCACTCTCTTCTCCGGCGGCGCGCACGGCACTTGTGGTGTGTCCCGCGAAGCTGGCACGGTGACGATAACATACCGAGTTATGGCAACGGAGACACGTTACGCCCCTTTCTTTGTCATTATATAGGGGGCGGGGGTAACTAACTTGCGATTGGGGGGATTTCGTTGCTAGAAAGACAGAGGAGAGAGGGGAAAAAAGAGGTGTGGGTTTGACGGCAGTAGTCTGCGTACCGTGGTAAGGTGGAAGAAGCTATATACAGATATCTGTATGGGATATACCTTATTTATCTATGCAACCTGGAGATAAACGCCCGAATACCCACGCAAGGAGCGCAAATGTCTACGTCCACGTCCACGTCTGTCTCCTCCTCTCGCGATATCAACGGATCAGGCACTTCCCTACTTCCTCGCTCGGACCGCCCACACCCGCGACAAGCAGATTCATTCATTACACAACTATCTCATTGTATTCCAAACACGTCCTCCCCCATTATGAGCGCGAGGGTGCGAGGGCGGGCGCAGGCCCCCCTGACTACACCCCGGGCGTAAAGCCCAAACTAGGTACCTAGTCTATCTAGTCTACGTTATCCCGCAGAAACGACAGCGACAGCGACAGCGGGGTTTGTTTATACCAAGGCGCGGGGAAGAGCGGAAGAGACAGGCGAGAGAGATGGAAGTTTTGTATTGTTTGGTTTTTTTTTTTGGTTTGTTTTAATCTTTTTTTTTAAAAAAAAATAGAGAAAGAAAGGAAGAAGAGCAGCGAGAGAACCAGCCCCCTTCTCCTACGCCTTCCCTCTCCGCCCCTGCTGCTTAGCTCTAGCCAATGTGCTCCCCAACCCGTATCCCAGCCTCCCTTGAACCTCCGTAGACAGACAGACAGACAGACGCCTTCGCCTTCGCCGTCCGAGCCGAGAGGACGGCTTGGGGGGGGGGGGGGGGCAGCTTAGAGAAGACAGCGGGATAGCGGATGGTGGCGGCGGGGGGTATCAAAACATGTAAACACAGAGCGCACAGCCCATTCAACTAACCGACTCACTCATCCGTCCGCACCAAAAGTCCTCCTTGCAATGAGCCGTGAAGCGTAATACCTATCATTAAAAACAGAAAAGGGGGCGCGCGGGGGGGGGGGGGGGGGGGGATTGTTCTCTTTCCTCTCTCCTTCTCTTCGTGTGTGTGTGTGTGTTGTGTGTGTATGCCCCTGCTCTCTCCTCCCGTCCTCTCTGTCCATCTCACCATCAGATACCATAGCTACCGAGACGCGGGATTCGATCGAGACAAGAAAACAAAACAGTGACGGTAATGAAACAACAGAACAATCAAAAAAGGGGGAGACGAACCCAACCACCTCGTCACCTTCATTGATACTCCCCCAACTCCGCCCGACTCGAATGACTCCCATCGCATCCGTTGAACCATCGATCATTCACTACAAATGATCGTTGATTCTCCCTTCTCCTTCCTTCCCTACCCCTTTCCATAACCCCTCCCGATACCGCCGGGCAGGCTGAAGGGGGGCGGGGGGGTATAATATTCGGTGCGAAGTAACCCCCCCCGCCTCTTCTTCTTTCTTCTTACTACTCCTCCTCCCTAAGCAGCATCGTAAACCAGCACCTCGCCCTCGCCGGTGATGCTATCCGTGTCGGCGATGCTCTCCGATATGACGCTGTCCGTGCCGAAGGCGCTCTCGGCCCACTCACTGTGATGGTCCCGCGTCTCCTCGTCGTATTCACCATAGCTTCCCTCCGTCTCCGCACCCGTATGCATCGTCGCACTATCGACGCTCGACCGCCTCGCGTCCGCAGCCTCTTTGCCTTCGTCCACGGGCGGTTTGCTGCCGGGGCCTTCGACCACTACGGTCTCGTCGTCGACGGGCGTCGTTGTCTCGGACCCTGATTCGAGCGCGGGCGAGCCGTCGTGAGCTTCTTCGTCGGCCTCGCGCACCGAATCCACGTTCTCCTTGTTCAGGTCTCCGTACCCCTTCCCAGCCCGATTTTTGCCCGGCGCCCAGCTGTTCTTCCGCTGCCCTGCGTTCGCCGGCGTGCGCACGCTCTGGCTACGTTTCATGTTGCTGGTGGGGACGTTGTTCGTGATCTGGTTGAGGCTTAGGATTCGGCGACCGGTGCCCGCGGAATTCTGCGAGACAAGGCTGGCTCTGTTGCCATTCACCGCCATGTTGACCCCGGAGCGGGTCTTGGCTGCCTGCTTTCCGGACGAGTTGGGGTCGTGGGCGGTCCCTAAAGTGGAACTGGCCCCGGGGACACGCTTGCGACTCATAGCCTCACGACCCTTGGCGCCGGATTTGGTCATGAGGAGCGCGCGAGAATGGTCGAGGACACCCTCGAGTATCCTGCGTTCTAAGCCCTCGGCCCGAGCATCCATCGCCTGGAGTTCCTCGCGGCGCAGATGTAGGGCTGTCTCAAGCGAAGACACGTCCGCGGTCAACCGGGTCTTCTGCCGGATCATGGATTCTTGCTCGGACCTTAGCGCCAGAATCGTCTCGCGCATCTGAAGCTCTTCGTCTCGTAAAGCTACTAGATTGGCTTCGATCTGCTCCCTCTCTGCCCTCCGGCGCTCTAGTTGGATAGTCGTCTCCTGCAGCGTCTTCTCAAGGTTTTCATTCTCGGTCTCCATGCGCACCTTTTGCGACGAGAGTAATTCCGAGATATCAGCAGCAGTCTTCACAACTTGTTGGTGCACCTTGTCGAGGGTATCGAGCTGGGCGTGTGCCCGATCCGCAGAGTACGTGTGGTCGACGATCCTGTCTAGTTTGGTATGGATGTCGCGATTCAACTTGTCCAGCTTCGCTTGCACCTCGGTGTCGTCGTACTTTTCGACAGGAGGTGGCAACTGTAGAGGCTCAGGTTTAGAGTCTTCGATCTTCTTGAGAATGCCCGTCTCCGAATTCTTGGAATGCTCATAGTGCTGGCCAACAATAAGAAGCACTTCCTTAATCGAATCAAGGATCTTCGGTTGAAAGTCTCCCACATGACCCTGGAGGCCCTCGACGGCACTGATCGCTTGCTTAACGTGGTCGCGTGTCATCTGATGCTCGTTCTTACCATCCGCGTAGGTCTCCTCGGACTTGCTATATAGCGTTTCGACCTTTTCAAAGACCGTCTTAGATGCCTCTTCCATCTTCTCGAGGGAATCCGTAACAGTCGAGCCAAGAGTATCGATCAAGACCTTCAGCTCCTCGGCGATCGTCTTCGTGTCAGTTACTGCAGCGTCCACCGCTATATCTCGAGCCTCCGAAGCCTTGGTCCGGTTCTCCGTAGCAACTTGGAATTCGTCGTATTTCGCGAGAAGCTCGCCGATCTTCTCGTCGACCTTGCTCCCGAGGGTCTCTGCAGTTTCCTTGAGCTTCTCGTCGGTGTCCATCTTCGACACGAGCACTGCGGTTTTCGATTCTTCGAATTCGGATTTGACCAGCTCGAGCATTTCTTTGAGGTTACTGCCGACGTCAGCGTTCCGGTGCACCGTTTCGCTAATGCCTTCCAGAACTTTGCTGAGCGATTCGACGGCGTTACCGCCGGCGTGAAGTCTCTCCTTGACCAAGCTGTGAAACTCAGTCAGGAATGCTCTGGCTTCCGAGACTCGCTCGCCCACGTCAACAGCCTCCGCTTGCCGCTTCTCGAGTGCTTTCGTGCTGGCTTCGGTCTGGGCTTCCGTGTTCTCCTTGAGTTCCTTGATGAGCTGCTCAAGGCTCGAGAAGTCATCTTTGGAAGGGAGCACTGCGATGTCGGTCTTGATCATCTGATCGATGATCGACTTCACCTCGACGACGGCTTCTCCGACGGCATGAACGTCTTGCTTGGTCACCTTCTCGGGATCCTCGAGGGACTTTTCCGCGCGCTCCTTCATCTCGTCCAGAGACGTTGTGAGCTGAGCAACGAGGGACAAGACAGAAGCCACGTCTTCTTTTCGGGAAAAGGTCTCCAGTTGGCCCCCCAGAGTCCCAAGAGCATCTTTTGTTTGAAGGACAAGTGCCTCGATGGCGTCGACGTGATCTTTCCGCACGGCTTGCTCTCCGTCAGCAAGTTCGTCCAAGCGAGCTTTGGTATTGCGAAGGATGGTTTCGATGGCGTGCGCGTCTTCTCTCGTGGCTGGGTCGTCCGGATTTATCGGTGCTGTAGAAGCAGGAATATCGCCGTCCCTGGTCCACCTGCCCGGCATCGATTCCTGCATACTGCGTAGCATCTCCTCCATCTCGCGTAGGTCCTCTTTGGACAGGCCGTTGCGGAGCATCTCTTCCATCTCTGCCAAGTCGTCCTTCGAGAGGCCTCCCTCCGCAGGCGGAGGCGGCGGCGCCGGCGGCGGCGGCTCTATAGCCTCCATCTTAACCCTAAGCTGTGTCATCATGACTTCGAGGTTCTTGATGTCGTCATGTCTGACTAGGTCGGCGGGGATGAGGGCGTCGCTACGGACCGCATCTATGGTGGCGATCGCGTTTTCGTTAGGGTTATGGTCGCGGAGGGAGTCGATGTTGGTACGGACACCGTCCAGGCCGCACTTGAGGGCGTCGAGGATTTCGTCGTTGGCGGTTAGATCCGCTGGCCGGTCTCCCACCTTCTCGATGGCTATTCGCAAGTCGCTGAAGCCTTCGTGGAGAGCATCGAGGATATCCGTGGTTCCAGCATGGGGACGGAGCAACTCGGCCCGTATTCTCTCGATGCTGTCGCGAATAGCCTCTAGAACGTCCCTGTTGTCGCTCATGTGCGGCACGTGAGGGACGAGAGAGGAATTGACGGTGTCTCGAAGGGACTCGATCTCCTTTTGGATAATGTCCCGGGAGCCATCCGAAGCCTTTGCGACGAGCTCGGAAACCTCTTCTCGGAATAGGTCGAAGCTGCTGACAACGTTGGTCATGAGTTCCTCTTGGTTGGCGGTCCCGGCAGCTTTATCGACGTAGCCTTCCATGTGTTTTCGCAGGTCGTCAAAATTGCTGGTAAGAGTCTCTATCAGCTGCCCCTGACCAGGGCCGCCGCCGGATCCTTTCCCCGCATAACTCTCCATGTGCTCGCGCAATTGATCAAGGCCTTTCGAGATATTAGCCATCAAGTCGCCGTGGCCGGAGGCGTTGGACGCCCTATCGACGAATTCTTCCATCTGTTGTCGGACTTGTTCGAATCCGTGGTCAAGGCTACCCAGGACCTCCTCGTGGTTAGCAGCCTCGATAGCCTTGTCGACGTAGCGCTCCATGTGCACTCGCAACTGGTCTAGGCCGTCTTTGGTGGCATCCAAGACTTGCTCGGTGTCTCTCCCGCTTGCGGCGACATTCTGCTTGGCCTCTTCGGAGACGGCCTTGAACTCGCTACGCATATACTGCATGATATCGTGGAGGCGCTTCATGACTTCCGAGGTATCGCCGCCGTGGGGGACGAGGGCGGTGCTCTGCGTCGAGTGCAAGCCCTCCTTAACAGCGTCCACGACGTCGTCGCGGGTCAGCTCATTGTTCGGGGGAACCATCGGGAATTCGAAATCCTCAAGGCACTCCCTAACGGCTTCGAGGACCTCGTCTCGCGAGAGACTGGCAGGAGTGTCTACTTGAGGCGGCGTGAAGTGCTTCAGCCCCTCGACGACGGCCTTGAACATCTCCTCTCTCGTCGCTCCGGGGGGGCCTTCGTTGCGTGGTGCGTGCTGCTGCAGCCCTTCCTTTAGGCACTCGAGAACTTCGTCCCGCTCCAAGCCGATCTGCTGTACCTCGATTTCGGGCTTGTAATTCTCCCAAGCGTCCTTCACGGCCTCGATGACATCTTCTCTGCTTAGCTTGGGCTCCTGGGACTGAGTTGCCTGCGAGTCGCTGAGGGCGCTTCTCATGGCATTGTAAATCTCCTGGTAGTCGACTACCGACTTTGTCGACTCGGTCGATACTCGCCTATGATCCCGGAGGCGCTGCGCCATGTAGACTCGTATCTGCTCCAGCCCTTCCTCGACGATCCTGGCCAGCTCGGCCCTGCTCGCCGTTTCGCTCTTGCTGGGGCTCTTTCCGTGCCACTCGTCGAGTTTCCTGCTAAGCTCTCGGCCCATCCCGAGAACTTCCCCGCGGAGCTCCCGAACGAGGGCCTTGACTTCGGCTGTCATGCCTCCCCCTTGGGCAACGCTGTCTTTGACAGAGCGGATGATCTTCATTACATCGTCGTTAAGGACCTCGTGTGGTCGGGTCGTAACCGAGGCTGAAGCTCGTCGGGTTTCTTTCCCGTTAAGTAATTTCTCGACTCTCTGGTTCACGATCCCGTTGCGGTGGCTCTGATCGGGTTCCTTCATTTTCGACGAGTCGTCGCTCGAGAGGCTCATGGCTCGCGGCCGGGTCGAATCGACGCTTGTCAAGGAGAGACTGGATTGGTCGTTCGTCATCCTCAGGTGGTGGATGAGTTCCTCAACCTTACCGGCCGAGGCCATGCCGGCCAGTTTTTCGGCCAGCTCGGATAGGCGAGCCACAATAGTATCCTGATTGTCCTTCGTCCCCATATCTCGGATGATCCTCTCTAGTAATGCCATCGTAGCGGGTGTGTCCCCCACGAGTGACGGCGTGCTCATCGTCGACTCCCTATCGATCGAGGCCGCGAAACTATTCGGCGACGGAATCCTCGGTAGGGAGATGGGTCGGCCAATCTTGGACCCGGCAGACATGTTGTTGAAGGGCTTATTGTCGAGATACAAACCGCCCGTATAGGAGTCGCGATGGATCCGTGCGGGGTCCACGTTCAGGGCCAATTCCCGCAGGCTCTTGCGGATGTCTTCGTCGCGGGCATGCGTGGCCTCTTTGAGGCTCATAAGGTCGGTGGCATTGTCCCTGCTTCGGCGACTGAGCTGGGACATTTCTTTCTGGAGGGCGGTGGCAATGTTGGTGAGGGTGAGGAGTTGGTTAGAGAGGTGTTCGGCGGACAGAGGGATCTTCATCGACGAGTGGGAGTGGTTTGTCACGTTGGCTAACGGCGGCCCGCCCTCTCGCGTCGACGCGGTGCCCATACTCTGCAAAGCCAGCATGGTAGCCGACTGGGGCGGCGTGTTCTCGCTGAGGATGCTCTGCGGCGGCCGCCTCACCGAGGGGCGGACGGCGGAGGGTACGCCCGGCATGGGGGTAGGCGTGCCGGGGCCGGCGTTCTCTTTCTCTGGCGGCTTAGAATCTCTGTCGTGATCCCAGCCACGAACCGGCGTAGAGGGTCTCGGGTACCTTTCCTTCTCGGGGGAGCCCCGGGGCGTCGAACCGGCCGAGTCTCGGGAGTGCTCGATCATGAGGCTCATGTCCCGCACGCTACCAGGTTGCATAGATTGCATGCGCTTGTGGGGGCTTGGTCCTCGCTGGGCGACAGAGCGCTCGGGCGACACGTCGTTGCCTCGTTTCGCGAAGGAGGGGACGAGGGCGTTTTCCCGCGCCTTCTCGGTCAGGGCAGCATGCGCAGACTGAATGGCCAGCGATGTGCCGCTCCGTGACGGGCCGACGCCGGGCGACTGGGGGTTCATGGGCAGAGGCGGCGGCGCCCGCTCTGGATCGGAGCTATCCCACCTAGAATTCAGAGTCAGTCGACGGTAGAACGACATTGCCAATCCGTCTCGGCGCTGGGGAAGAATGATACTAGTTATCCTGGTGGGGGAGGGGAGGGGGGACATACATCGGGATGATGGAGTTGACGGAGGAGGAATGTTGGTGTCTTAAGGGTCGGTCTGCGGGAGGGGTGTCACGCTCGATCGATGGCATTGCGAGAGCGCTATGCAGTGGGTGAAATGATGTGTCTCTGGATCCGCAGCTGGAGCAGCGAGTCTCTCTTCTTTTTCTGTTTTTTGGCTGGATGGATACTCCAGAAATTGTGGGATTGTGGAATCGTAGGTAGTATAGCTAGGTGTCGAGGTATAGATATGTGGGCGGGGAATGGAGCCGCTCGGTGGGTTCGCTGCCTTGGAGGCTAGAGAGAGGATCGATGTGGTTTTCGGTCAGATACGACTGTTGAAGGCGGACTTCTTCATCATCATCACCACCACCATGCCAGTGCTGACGGTTAGACAAAGACAAGGAAAACGGAGCACGGATGTGCGTCGGGGGCGCTCCTTGGTATGTAATATGTGTGGATGTGGTCTTGTGGTGTGTGCCCTGGCGGGAGCGGGAATGGGGGAGTGGGAATGGTGGTGATGGATTATTGTGGATTATTATTATGATTAGTCGCTGCGGGAGGGAACGAAGCAGCGGAAAGGTGCCACCCGATGTGGATAAACAATTCGCTTCTGCCCAATCCTGAGCCCACTCGGCAACGTCACACGTCGCTGCCGGGGCAACCGAAGAAGCTCGGGCCACTCATATATGTGTGTCACACTTGTGCTTATCCGATAGGCGGTGGTACCTCCTCCAGGTGTCCAGGTACATTGGGAACGTAATATTTGTATGAGATAGGTAGGTACCTATACATCCGCTGACCCGTGCTCGCATGTTGCCAACAGGTACCTCCTAACGCCACAGGTATAGAGCTATATATCCCCACTAGGTGCATATATGATATACCTACCTAATCGATAGTGTGTGTCCACCTACGATTGCGTGCCCCCACATATATATACATGCACATACATGCATATGCGCGCAGACAATCCCCTCCACACCCTTAGTAGAAGGTACCAATGGTCAGGTCTACCAACCTAGGTACCTGGGTACCTGTAGGTGTACCTGATAAGGCCGATCGTCCACTGCCGCTCCCATCACCAGCACCGCCACGTCCACCACCACCACCATCACCACCACTGCTACCTATAGCCTACACGGTATAGCCAACTCCTAGCCCGACAACCTCCTCTATATGTACACTTCGCAGATCCCGCCTCGTCTTCTCTCTGGTTCCCCTCCGCCGGCACGCCCGTGGGCCTTCTCTTATACCCTATCACTTGGGCACTTGTTGCCCCCATCTCTGGTCTGGCTACCGCATATCCCCGGCGACAGAGTAGCTTCGCTTTTATATTAATTGCTTCGTCTGGCCTGCCCGTTCCAACAAATCGTGGCCCCCGTTCTCACACCCTGGTCCACACGAGCTCTACCACTTCGTCCGCCTCGTCCGCCTCTCGGTTGCCCCGCCAGACGTACAGCTGTCTCATCGTGTCGCCGGATATCTGCGCGTGCGCGAGCTTGTAGCTTTTCTTCTCCTCCCGTCCAAGCTTCTCCCGCAGGGGGCCGAGTGCGAAGGTGTACTCGGGATTTACGTCTGGGTACCGCTGGTTCCACGTCTGCTCCGTCTTGTCCAGGTCGACCCCCTCCAGGCCGCCGCGGTAGGTGGCGATGGAGTACCCGTTGGACAGAACCGTGTCTCTGCCGAACTGGAAACGCTGGAGGAAACAATTCCTACCGTCGCCGCCGTCCGTTAGCCGTGGGCGCCCGGACACTCGAGGAGCCGGCGAGACGCTTTTGGTAGGTACAACAAATTATGAAATGTCCCTACTCACCCGCAGAACTTGGCGGCCACCGCCATCCTCGGGACGGGCTCGTGGTACCAGCTCTTCCAATGGTGCAAGTTTATCGGCTCTACGCCAGATTCGAAGAAGCCGCTCGTGTCGCCCTCGAGGTCCTGCTGGTATCTTTCCGCATCGTCTGTCAGCCAAGTCTCGCGTCTACCGGTGGATTAGCCGCTCTCACTCACAGCCCCGGGAGGATCGTCAGTCTCGACTTGGAGTGGCGATAAACGCAGTCCCTGACGATGATGTCGCCCCATTCCACCGACGACTCCCGTACGCAAACCGCCGCCTGTTCCGGCGCTCCTAGCTTCCTCGCGAGGGTGCTAGATAGGTAAGCGCCGGCGCCACCGTAAGCCATGAGCCCAAAGTTCCGGATGGAGCCGAAGTCTTCAGCCAACGTGCCAACGTAGAGGTCGGTCGTGTGGTCGAGTTGCCCCAGCGCGTCCGATAAGGGCTTGAGATGGGGGAAGAAGGTGTCGTCGTCCAACAAGCCGAACCACCGGGTGTCCTGTCCGCTCTCCTTCACCATCTCGGTCAGGACCATAAAGTGGGACTGCGAGACAGTGTGTGCGGCGTCGAGCGGCTTGATGAAGCTGGCCCGGATGCCGCCATCTCGGTATTCCTGCTGGAGCAGCGAGATGTTCGCCGCTCGTTCGTCCCAGTTGCTGACGATGACGATTAGCTTGGCATCGCGATGGGAACACCAGTGCGCGATGGACTCGAAGGACTCGCGTAACCTCTCATAAGAAGTAGCCAGGCCGAAGATGAGGTGAGGAAACATCTCGGCCGCAGGGTACGGCTCGGGAACTTGGAGCTTGATGGACTGGCAGCGAGGAATGGCTACGCTTGGGGTTTTCCATGGGTCGAGCTGTAGAGTCGCCTGGTCTGCGATAAGCGGCCGCGATATGTTGGCGACCTCGCGTCGTGGGGCCAGGGGGGTTAGACGGGCCTCGATGCATGCTCGTGAGTACTTGATGGTGGGCGACAGGTCGAGCGGCAGTTCCCTCCTGGCTTGGTCGAGGAAATCTAGACTCGTACTCTGGCTGAAGAAGCTGGCGAGGACGGGGCGGCTCCTCTCGCTACGCAGCAGAAAACACCAGAGCACGAGCACCAGGGCGGCGCCCCCGATGAAGGCCGTCCGAAGGGGGAGGAGTCGCATGATCGTCGCTTCGGATGGAAGGGAGATGTGGCTGATGGGGCCGAACGAGAAATATGCAGGTCTTCTCAACCCGTCGGTGAGCGCGGCGGCAGCATTGGACGGGTGGTCCGGACGGCGTATCTCAGGGGCGGGTATATTCCTGGAGAGGCAAAGCGGAAGCCGAAGCCGGGCGAGAAAAAAAGAGGTGAGCTTGCGAACAATGAACAATGACGGGAGGGCGGATAGGCAAGGAGGCACATCATTTTCCTACTGTAGGTCGACAGCGGACAGCAAGCACCTGTTGTGGCGCCTGTCTTAGGACGTGGTTGGTCCAAGGCCGGATCGACATTAGTACTGAGGTCACCAGAATCGAGGCTCGGTGGGTTTGTCGTTTTTTTAATGCCTGACAGGTCGATTACTACTAAACATCTGATTGCAGCTTAGAAGCGTAGGTATATCGACGTTGGCTGCAGGGCTAATTTGGCGGTAATGGCGTCGAGGAGGGTGGGCTGCAATTAACTGACTGGTGTGAACTACGCTTTTCACTGCCACACCCGGGGGTTTTTCTCTTGGGAGGCATGTACGTAGCTATACCAAACCACACTGTTTGAGATGTCAACACTGCTCTGGTCTCGGATCTCCCTCTCCCCCCCCCTCTCTCTCAACCCCCTCCCTCTCTCCCTCTCTCTGATATAAACCGCACCACTCCCCCCCCCCCTCAAACAGCTCGCAGGCCCCGGCACCAAGCTCCCGGGTTTTCCCTGCGCAGGCATGCCTGGCTACGCGCGTACTATACATTTGGGTAAGCGGCGAAGAAACAAGTCGACGGATTTGGCGGGCGGCCTGGGCATCTCGCAAACCCGAAGCTAGGGAGAAGGGGGGGCAAGAGTTACAAGGCCCCCCCCCCTCGCCTCCTGCCCCACCTCTTGGTTACGTCGACCCCGGGCTGGGCTTACGTCGCCCAGCGGGCGCGCACGGATAAGACGGCTGGGACGGGCATTGGCGGCGAGCGCGCGCGTTCGCGCACTGTCGCGCTAGGGAGGGGCGAAGCAGACTGCGGGCGGCGCCTGGGTGGTACGTCGCACGAGTGATGAGAAGGGGGGGGCGAGAAGTTGCTGCGTCGGAAATACCTAGAGCCAGGGCGGGTGGTGCGATGGCCGGGAGGGGGGTGTGTGGGTGGAAAGGGAGGAGGTCTAGGTAAGGTAGGGAGACGGATAATACCACGGGGTGTGCGGCGCAGAGAAGAAGAACGGGCCCTCGCAACCCTAGCGGAGCAGCACACGCCTGTGCGATGCCCCCGCGGAGACGGACAAGTGCGTGCGCACCGCCGGCGGCGGCGTATTCTTAGCGTGCGTATCACCTACCGACCTAGACATTAGGTACCCACCCAATCGTTCCCGTTACCCAACCAGGGCGGCGGTGCGACCGCGCGAGCAGGGACAAGGCGAGAAGCCGGGGCCAGCGACCCGGTGCACCGGGGTGCCGGGAGGGGCAGGGCGCGTTCCACGCAGCTCCGAGGTTCCGCAGCGGCGGGTCGGCCGCGGCGAGAGGGGTGGGACCCTTCAGGCGAGAACGTGATCGCAGCCCTTTGGCACGGTCGCCGCGAGAGCTTTAACCACGGGCAAAACCCCCCAGGCTACCTAGAACAGGCAAAGCAGGGCTCGAGAGCGCTGCCGCTAGGTCCGGTGCCCAAGACAGCAGTGAGGAGTCGAGTTCTTTTCTTCTTCTTCTTCTTCTTCTTCTTCTTCTTCTTCTTGTATGTCTCCCCGCCCTCTGTCCCCCTCTGCACCTCCTCCCCGGGCCCCGTCGCGGTAGCGAGGCAGGCCTGCGCGAGGGTCTATGCAGGGCCCCCCCTTATCTGCCGACCGGCCCAGCTAGCCCCCTCTTACCCCCTCCCCCCTTTTCCTATCTATCTATCTATAATAGATAGATCGATAAGTTATACGTCGCCCTCTCTCTCTTCCTCAGACAGGCAACGGCGCAAAATAGAGGGGGGATTTGTCCGAGCCGCGAGAAGAGAAACAACGTCAGATCCCCGCCCTCCCCCCGTCCGTCCATATAGGTATACCTACACACATACGTACATAACACGCACGCACGAACGCATACATCATCGAGTCGGTACGTTGCGCGAGCGGTCCCATTGACGCCGAACCCCGTCCCATCTATAGTAGTACACGTCTAGCCAGCCTCACTGACCAGCTGCTCGACTCCTCTTCTCTCTCTCTCTCTCTCTCTCTCCTTTCCCTCTTGCTTCCTATTCCTTCATCTCCTTCTATTTAACCATCAAGGGGAGTTTGTTTTCTCTTGCGCCTTTTTTTTTATTTTTAATCTATCAACCCGCCCTCTCTATTTCAGCATCGTGTCGAAAGCGGGGATGAGCGTCTGCGCGAGCCAGAAGGAGAAGACGAGCTTGGGGCCGGTCATGAGGAGCTGCGATCGCGGAATTCGTCAGCGAGATGAAGGCTTTTTTTAAAAAAAAAGGGGTGGGAGAATAAAAAGAGAAAAAAAGTCCACTCACCTTCGGCACGAGCCCCTTGAAGAAGCTCGTGAGGCCCTCGTTCCGGGCCATGTTGGTCAGGATGCGGAAGCCGCTCTCGGGGTTCTCGAAGTTGCGGTTCTGGATGCGCGTCTTGATGACGTCCAGCGGCGCCGAGACGACGAGCGACGCCGACGCGCCCGCGATCGACGCGATGAAGTTCTGGAACCACGACGCCTTGTTGTAGTCGCTCAGCGCGAACACGTACTCCTTGGTGAAGGCCGAGCCGCCGAAGAGCTGTCCGCCAGAGACGAGGGAAGGTAGGCGTTAGCTGACTGCTTTTCGGCAGAAGAGAGAGAGGAAGAGAGAGAGGAAGAGAGAGAGGAAGAGAGAGAGGAAGAGAGAGAGAGAGAGAGAGAGAGAGAGGAAATTGGCCCCCCTGCTAGGTATATAAACCTACCGCAAACGAGCCGGGCGCATTCCGGGCCGCGGTCCACCCCCAGCCCCTGTACAACCCGAACCCCTCGTCGGCGACGATCTTGAACACGCCTCGGCCTCGGAACGCATCCGGGTTCGTCTGGCGCTTGATCTTGAGGACGTCCAGGGGGAGCAGGACGACCTCGCCGATGCCGATCAGACTATTTTTAAGGAGAATGTCGTTAGAAGGACAGGCAGACCAGATCGATTGTTAAAGCCGTAACGTAGGGGCCACGGGGGTAGGGGTGCTCACCTGCCGGCCGCCGAGTGCATGATGGCCTTACCCGTCTTCTTGCCGAAGGCGCTCTCGAAATCCTTGCTGTAGTGCAATGCGAGGTAGTCGCGCGCGATCGGCTGGCCACCGTACTTGTATATTCTTTGCAGGATCTGCCACCGACGTTTAGCCCGCCCGTGAGCTTATCGCGTGCCTATGCAAGCCGGGCACTTGCTGGGTCTCGTCCCCCCCTGGTCTGGCCCGGTCCGGGCGTCGGAGACTGCGACTGACCTTGTATCCCGCTGCGTATCCCAGGCCCGGGAAGAGGGAGAAGAACTTGCGGCCAAAGGGCGCATCCGCCTTTTCCTTGAAGATGACCTTGTTGAGCGCGCTGAGGTTCGTAACCTGCAACGTTTTTTTTAACTTGGTTATTACCTCCGAGCGCGACGGGAGAGGGGCCCACAGCTTAGCCGGCTACGGGGACAGCTAAGGTAGGCCCCCGGGGGAGTTCGGCGCACCCTTGTCTGGTTGCTCATCAATCGCTTCGCGATGGTGTCGACCTGTTTCCGGACCGGTCAGAGGTGCGGCGCAAGCACAAAGGCATAGGAGGGTAGAGAGAGAGAGAGAGGGAGGAGCGGAGCAACGCACGGGGTGGAAGACGGCCAATTCGGAGATGCCAGCGGTGCCTGCGCCATTAATTCGTCGATGAGCGGTTATACGGAGCAAATTGGGGCAATGCGATCACGTTGCGCCGCGGGTGAACCCACCTGAACCCAGTAGTCGGGCGAGGTTTGATTCATGCTCTTTGCTTGCGGCTATGGGTGCCATTGCGATGTAGGTGTATAGCGGGCGAGGCTATGGTGGGGTGAGAGCAGTCGACGAGACCTTGGGAGAGTACCTAGCGGTTGGCCAGGGGAGAGTAGACCTCTCTAACCAGATACCCGGAAGTGCGGGAGGCGAGGAGGAGGAGGAGGAGGAGGAGGAGGAGAAGGAGTTACAAGAGGACGGAATAGGCAAAGGAGGGAGGGAAAAGAGAGGGAAGTGTTTGTTGGTGGACTCCAAGGGACAAATGGGTGAGTTGAGGGAGCACACGAGTTAGTACGTCGACGATAAGGAGGAAAGAAAAAAAAATTCATCTGCGATAATGGAAAAAAAAAAAAGATATAAAAAAATGCATCGCACTAGCGGGGAAGAGAGCAGAGAGCGCAGAGCTAGAGTGGAGAGCTCCCTTTGCATTATCGTCCAGGGTCCCCGCACCAAAAGGCTTATCGCTGATGTAGAGCAATATGATAAGATCTGATGAGATACTTGATAAAAGGTAGGTAGGTAATTTCACATTAACACCACCACACATTCTCAGTATGTGTCGCTACCAAGAAGAGCCTATCTTCTATAAAGAACCACATCCAACATAGAGACGGCCCCAAATAAATACCAGACTTGACGCCGTCCTATATATATATGCCTGTGCCATGCAACTTTTAGGTGCCCTCCAGCTGGAATTGTACATGTCCGCAAACCAACGCCGCCCATGCAATGCCAACCTTGCCAATTACACCCAGCATCTCCTCCTCCTCTGCCTCCTCCTAAACGTAGGTAGTGATGATGATTAGTAGTCCCGCAAGACCGCCACCAGGTCATCCAGTCTCCCTACTTGCCCCACCAACCTCTTTTCCAACTCGAGAAACTCGACGTATTCCTTGTACACGTCCCCCCGCAGCTTCTCCTCCTCCATCCCCTGCACGTCCTTGCGTTCCGCCACCGCCAGCACGTTCTTCTTCTTGGCCCGCTCCACGTCCAGCCGCTGCAGGCACCGCACCATCGACTTGTACGTGTTGTCCAGCGTCCGCTGCAGCGTCCGCTCCAGGTCGAAGAACCAGAAGAAGATCGTTCGGGACGCCGCCCGGTTGTTGTCCCGAGGCACTTCCTGCACGTCCAGGAAACCGGCCATCTCCATCTCCGCCATCTTGACGTGCACGTCCGGCTTCTTCATGAGAGCCATCGTCGGCAGCGTCTTGTCGTCGATCTTGCCCTTCTCCCTCAGTATCCGGGTGAGCCGCAGACCCTGCCGGCCAAATCGGTTCTCGATCAGCGTGTCGAGCTCGGTATGCTTGAGATATTGTATCAGCGGCTCGAAATCGACCGTCCACTCGCCAAAGTCCCGGCTGCCGCAGTGGCGCACAAAGCCCTGCCGACTCTCGGCAAGCACAAGTAAATGCTGCCGCATCTGGTGCAACCGCTGCATGCCCGTCGGGACACCGTCCTTCGCCTTCGTCTTGACCTCGCCCGACCCATTTGGGCCGGGCATGACGTCGGATGACCCGTGTAGTCCCGAGTTGAAAGCGCCCTGCCCGCTGTAGTCGTAGTCTTCGTCGTCGGATCCCACAATCTCTTCCCCCTCCTCCAAGGTATCCTTCAATGTCGAACCCTGAAGCCGCGGGGGGTATTTGTGAATCCTCTCCGCAAGTCGAAAGTCGACAACATCCCCGCGGCTCGGCATCCCGATCCCGGACGAGACGTCGATCGAGGAACTCAGCTGCTCAAACACCTCCTGCGTTGTGACGCGAGGCCCCCCGTGCAGGTCGCCGTGCTCGTCGTCGGCCTCGACGGGGTCGTCACCCTGACAACGAGAGATCTTAGTACCGAGCACGGCGAGTAGCGTCGCATAAACCTGCGCCGTGGTCTCGCCGATCGCGTCTTCGGCATATCGTTCGAGTTTCAGGTTGCGAAGCTCGACTGTGCACTTGTCGTAGTTTACCCGGACGGCGGTGTCGAGCTGAGAGTGAAGTTAGCTCTCCCCTCTCGAAATCATCTGCACCGCAACCTACTTCTTCTTGCAAGAGAAACCTCGCTTCGGCGCCGCCGAATCCGCGCGACGTGGAGCCATTTGCCAGCCTCCGGCGCTTGGAACTGGGTCCGGCCCCGAAATAGCCTTCTAGTTTCCTCTTCAGCTTTGTGCTTGCGCTCTGGATGGCTCTCAGCTGCTCTAGAACTTTCTTGTCGAATTCGTCCTTCTGCCTGGACCCTCGAATGCCAATCGGGTAGTCGGCCATGACTTCCTGCTCGATGGCGCTGCGTAGGTCCTGCGACGGCTGATACATTGTCGGCGAAAGAGGCTCGAGGATACCGGCGGCCAGAAGCTGCGCGAGGGTGTCCCAGGGAAGGTCACTCGGATCGACGTTCCGATCGTCCGCCTCTACACCTTTCGCGCCGTTGGTGAGACCATTCCCGGTGACGTGGCTGTGGCTGTTGTGAGAGCTGCCGTTGGGGGCTTCCTTCGAGGCAGCGCGGTTAGCCTCCCACGCTTCAACCAGCTCCGAAATTCTCATGTGGCCGTTGAGGAGGACCTCGTGCACGAGTGCGTGCGCGTGCTGTCCGTATTTGCTGCGAACCATATCGAGAATCTTGCCCGTGCGGGCGAGGTTGTAGGCAGCGCGAGGATTGGCCTCATAGTGAGTGACGCCCGAGTCCGCGTCGGTGTAATGGAAGACGAGGTTCAGCTGGATAAGCACCACGATGCCGTGGCGCACCTGGCGTTGATTCAGGGAGGTGTGCTGCGCTAGTTGCGCGACGGTTGACCTGCCTCTGGAGAGGAGGTCTGCGAATATGCGCTAGGGAGTGATGCTCGTCAGCCCTGTTCCCGGAGGGAGGGGGGAGGGCGGCGTGAGTGGAGAGCGAAAAGGGGGACATACGGACGGGAGCTGTCCGTAGAGCTCGTTAATTAGCAGAACGCATAGCTCTGCGGCATTCTTGGTCTGCGACATTATGGATACCGTCGTCAGCATTCCGTCCAATAGGATGAGAGAAAGCATTTAAAAGTCGCGAAAGCGCGTGTAATCGCGACAGGCCGTGGGCATTCAGAGGGGACAGGGGACGTTGGTTGACTCACCACTAGCATGATTTAGATGACGAATCGAATGGCGGGCCGGGCGGAAAAGGCTCGAATGCTGCAGCAGCTAGGCTGGATGGACCGGTAAGGCTACGCGCGACGAGTTGGGGGGGAACTTGGCTTCTAGAGATCCTCTCACTATCTCTAGAGCTGCCACGATTACTACCGTGGCTTCATTGAAGGCCAGGTAGAGGGAGAGGGGGGAGGGGAGGGGAGAAGCCGAGTTCTCCTGCGGGACGTGAAGTCGGTCGCAGAAGAATAGGAGGTCGGCGTGGGAGGAGGGTGGGAGATTGGGAGCAGTGGTGATGTTTGGCTACTGAGCAGTAATAGTCAGAGGAGGAGGAGAAGCAGGAGACGAAGAATGCGAGGGAAAATGATGAAGAGCTGCGATAACTGATGGATAGCAACGCAGTGAAATTGGGAGGAAAAAAAATATAAATTTTAAAGGTGCTGGCTGCTCTTTTGGGATAGCGGGGAACCCAAATCGGCCGCCCGGTTGGCTGGTCTGCAGCTTCCACTTTATTACCTAGGTACCGGTAGGTACCGGAGGAGGTACCGCAGACGGTTCAGATGCTCGTAGTGGATACCTCTTGCGGAGCTGTGTTGTGTTAGGTAGGCAGGTACCTAACCTAACCTATAACCTACTGTACCTAACCTACAGCTTAGGTGCCTTTAGGTCACCTCGAATGTAGTTGGACAGGTACTGTTACCTATACTACCTGCCTGTCGTATTGCGCAATGAGCCCCCATGTTACGTCAGCAGGCGCGGCCTGTCCCTTCCCCCGTGTCCCCTCTTCGCAGCTTCCTCCCCGCCGCCCGCCCCTCCCCGAGACTTTTTTTCTTTCTTTCTCTCTTTCGGCCAATCACGCCCGCCGGCTTGTGGCTGACCACGATCTAACCAGATTCATTCGCCCACGTACCCAAGTATCGCGTGCGTAACCGAGAATTTACCGGAATTGACCTTTTTTTGCTTGAACTTACGATATGGATATGGGAATACTTCGAAAGCTGCCTCTAATCTGCGCGCCTCCATCCCGCTTCCTACTGTCGTCGCAGACTCCAATCGCTAGTTGTCGCCGACGGCATCCAGCCTCCCTCTAGATAATGTTATTCAGATCGGCCGTCTCCCGAGGTGCCCGGCTTGCCGCCCGCAGGCAAGGCCGTCCGCAGCTGGCCCAGCGTTTGGGTTATGCCTCTGCCGCTTCTCCCCCAGCCCAATCCTCCCTCACCTACGAGACCGCCGACATTACCGGCGTCAAGGTCGCCACCCGCGACTCCCGCGGACCCACCACAAAGCTCGCCCTAGTCGCCCCCGGAGGCACCCGGTATCAACCTGCTCCCGGCCTCACCGTCGGCCTCGAGGAGTTCGCCTTTAAGGTGCGGCCCGTGTCCCCGCGACCCCCCCCCCCCCCGTATTTCCCTCCGGGTGCCGCCGTCGTGAGCTAATCAGCCGTCTCTGCTGCAGAACACCCAGAAGCGATCCGCCCTACGCATCGTACGAGAAGCCGAGCTCCTCGGCGGCCAATTGGCCGCGTACCATACCCGAGAGGCATTAGTTCTCGAGGCGAGCTTCCTGCGCGAGGACATCCCGTACTTTACCGAGTTGCTGGCCGAGGTCATATCCGAGACCAGGTATACCAGTGAGCTATGTCGGGCCATTGGTTCGTGATGGCATGCTTATATATGATATTTTCTCCCTAGCCTTCGAGTATCACGAGGATGTTGAGAGGGTCCTGCATGTGAAGCAGTCCAAGCTGGCCGGCGACGTTTCCGCCCAGGCTCTCGACTTGGCGCACTCGGTCGCCTTCCATTCCGGCCTCGGCGCACCCCTATACCCGACGACCTCGACGCCCCTGGGAGGTTACCTCTCCGAACACTCCATTGTCGACTACGCCGCCGCCGTTTACGCCAAGTCGAAGATCGCCATCGTCGCAGACGGGGCCACGCCGGCCGCCCTACACAGGTGGACGGAACAATTTTTCAAGACCGTACCCGCGCAGCCGTCCGGCCCCCTCGCGCTCAATACCAAGCCCACGACGTACTATGGCGGCGAGCAACGCACGCCCCACACGGCCGGGAACTCGCTGGTCATCGCCTTCCCCGGTTCCAGCTTCAAAGCCTTCCGGCCCGAGATCGCCGTGCTAGCGGCATTACTCGGTGGCCAACCCAACGTCAAGTGGTCGCCCGGGTTCACCATACTATCCAAGGCCGCGGCAGGCATCACCGGCCTGACGGCTTCGGGAACTAACTTCACGTACTCGGACTCGGGGTTGCTCGTCATCCAAGTGACCGGCCCTGCCGCATCCGTCCGCAAAGTCGGCGAAGAAGCGGTCAAGGCTCTCAAGAGCATCGCCGGGGGCACCATCGGCGAGAAGGACGTAACCAAGGCGGTTTCGAAGGCGAAATTCGACGCGCTAGAGGCTAGCCAATCGCGCGCGCAAGCGCTGCTATCCGCCGGATCGGGTCTGATCCACACGGGCAAACCCTTCCAGGTCGCCGAGACAGCCCAGTCCATCAGCGGCGTCACGGCAGACAAGCTCAAGGCAGTACGCATACACCCTCTCCCTCTCTCTCTCCCTCTCGCGCTCTCTCTATTCCCGTCAAGAAACAAAAAGGAGAAGAAAAAGAAAGACAGAAAACACGGCGACACGTGCTAACAGCACTTACAGGCGGCGAAGTCTCTCGTGGACGGCAAGGCTACGGTGGTGGCGGTCGGCGACCTTCACGTATTGCCGTACGCGGAGGAGCTTGGCCTGAGGGTATAGACGGGAAAATTTTGGGAAATCGGAGCATACCAATAGATCAACCCACTGATGTAGAGTTGAGAGAGGAAGGGAGGGGGAGACGCAGCATCTGTGCATATAGTAAAAATCCCCTAGAGTTTTCATTCTATCCTCGCCGACCTCCCCTTTGCCCCCCCTCTCTACCCGATCTCCGTATATCTACTCAGGTAGCGCGACCGCTCGGACCGCAGCGCGTGATTCTGGCATACAGGCTAAACCAGCGGAGGCGGGGACTCGCTTGACCGATATCTCTGATATTTGTACTATTATGTATGTACCTAACTACTAACCTCATAAACCTATCTAGATTAGGTACCTAAGGTACCTACCTGGTGTACCTCCCAGACCTCTCTCATTACGTACACACATAGACAGACCTATTTGTACGTAGGTACAGAGGCGGGAGGGGTTTTTGTAGGTAGCAGGTAGTTAGGTATACAGTGGCACGATGCCAACACAACATAGACATATTCTTCAAAGGGGGGTCTCTTCTGGGCGGAATTCTCGGGTTGTGTGCGAGGCTATGCGAGAGTCACGTGAGAGTTTAGACCACCATTGGCAGCATCCATTTGGTTTAGCGTGCTTTCTCGGCTTTGAGGTTCTGCGACTTGCCTGCTCAGCACTACTACGGCTGCCTTCTCTCTCTCAATCTCCCCGAACCTCGAAGCAACGAATACTCAATTGGGGCCCGAAACCCGCCCGACACATCCTCGAGCCGCCGTCAAGATGACTTTCGCATGGAAGACCGCCGGTCTGACGTAAGTCCCCTTCACGTATCCCCGCGAGAGAGACGGAGAGAGAGGAGGGAAAGGAAAAAAAAAAAGACGCACGGGGTGGATAGAAGGAACCTTGGGAGCAAGGACAGCAGGCTTCCTTTGCTAACTCGCGCGTGCGCCCGACCTAGCTACAACCGCTACCTCGCCGTGGCAGCGCGCGCGGTGCGCCGAAGCCTCAAGGAGGACAAGAGGCTGCTCGCCGAGCGACGAGGGGAGATGGACCTGCGATTCGCCAAGTGGGAGGTGAGTTGGTCGGTTGTCACCCTGCATCGCACGCGAGGAGGGGAGCGAGATGGGGGGATCGAAGGCGCTAACCGCGGCATCTCGCAACGTAGAACGGCAAGATGGGCGACTTGAGGCCTCTGGCCGAAGCCAACGCCGCCCCGGCAGCCCAATCTACCTCGAGCAGCTCCTCGTAGACTTACCTCGAGAACGGAGTGCGCCGGGACTGCGCGATGAGGGAGGTCTCTCTCGACTAGCGAGCCGACGAGGGCTCTAGCTATATACCGTCTACCTAACTTAGAGGGAGGGAGGGGGTTCGCGAAGGGATGGGTGCGAGTGGAGGATGGTGCACGACGCATTGTACAGCTGTATTAAAATAAAATAAAAAGGAATGCAGGCAGACCTGGTTCGAGCAGGATGCAACTTGCGCGTGGTGACATGACATAGAACCAAGGCGTCGTCCAAGCCGATCAGAGCCGATTCGACATAACGAAAGACACAAGGGGGCGGGGAGGATGCCGTCCATAGGCGTGCTCGTGGTAGGTATGACATTCTGACCGGTGTATTGGTGTCTCAGACGTAGCCTAGCCGCCTTCGAGTCCTACATAGGGGCGCCCAACCGACGGCCTTGACGCATGGTGTTGGCTATGAAGCAGCTGGATGGGTGGTGCGTTGCGTAGGAGGGTGTGGTACGGAGGTTGATGTGTTAGGTACCTTGCCAAGCTGGACTTGTGGGAGGTACCAGGTAGGCAGTAGGTACTTGTGTTACCTAGGTAGGTAGGTACCACTAGGAGGCCCCTAAGGCGGGTGTGCCCTACCTCCAGCAGCTTGGCTCCTGACCTCCCACACCTCTTTAGGGAGGTACCTATAGGTATTCAATGTACCTACCTATCTGTAGGTACCTCTCTAGGAGGGGTACCTGGAATGGACGCGCTGAGGCTTCTTCGCTCTTCGCCGCTTGGCCTCGCAGGCGAGATTAGGAGAGGAAGACGTGCCCGAGGATGATGGGTTTTGACGAGGCAGAGGGATGTCTCGAGCTTGAGAGAAGACCGTCGGGATCCATTGCCCAACCCGCTATAACTTTCACCACCCCTTTTCTCTCTCTCTCTCTCTCTTTCTCTCTCTCTCCTCCTCCTCTCTCTGTTCCTCTCGTGCTTCACCCTCCATCTAGGTACAACTTCGAATCCGAAAAGGCTGGCCTTACCCACCCCCGCTGGCCGAACAAACCCCGCCCTACGGCGCACTCGGAGCCCCAGCGCCGTTCTGCCTATCTCTGGGGTATCGAGCTGCACAGCGGATTCCGCTCCTTTAAAATAAAATAAAACCCCCCTGCGCCAATCGCAGTACTTACCATATTCACATTATCGCGGTTAAAACATACCTGCGCAGACCTAAGCCTCCAGCCGGTCTCGTGCACGACGACGTCTCTCCCCGTTTCTTTACCACACCACTCGTTAGTATACCCAGTCGCTATTTTTTTCTTCCTGGGGGGGTTTTTTTCCCTCCATTCTTCATACCACCGTACCCGTCATCCCGCACGTGGTACCTACGTTGCGCCAAGGTCACCTAGGTATACACCTACCTGTTAGCCACCTAGAAAGACCTGAACCCTCTTCTACACCTAAGGTCGGGCAGGTTGGTGTGTGCGCAACCTGACAAGCAGGTGAGGGCCCGACGCTATCCACGTGCCTGTGCTTCCTGCGCATCCGGCTTCAGATGATCGAGAAGACGACCTCCCTCGGCCGGACCTAGACGCTCCTGTTTATTGATAGGTACTTACCGACTAGGCTACGATCTGTGTCTACCGAGTCGCGCGGCCACACATCCCTTTTCCGACCTAAAGGGGGGGGGGGGCTGCGCCGCATATATCCGCATCGATATATATAGCCAAGTGCCTACCTGCCCGAGTAGTCGAGATGCTACAACCTGATTCGTTGCCGCCTCCTCCGACCATCTCACACCCCGGAGTGACGGCCACCGATATCACCGCCCGGTTCGCCTCTGCCGTGAAGAGTATGTGCCTACCTGGCCTGTCGTTGCCTCGCCTGGAAAATGCGGCTTGCTGACCGCGTCGGACAGCCTTGCCGCCTGGCGAGCTGGTAAGAGATGACCAGTTCACGCTCTTCGACTCGGTCGCTGCTCTGGAGGTGAGCCTCCTATGCCGTGCTCTGGCGCTGCACGACCAAAGCAATGTCTTGGGATCCGGATGCTAAAGCGGCACAACTCTAGATCATGGATTCCAAGATGGACAGCGGCGTCTTGAAGGAAGGCGAGTCTCTCGACGAGGAGTATGACGTCTCGCGCGATCTGCTGCCGGAGGAAGTCCTTGGTATCATCGACCAATTGCTTTGCCTCGAGGTACGTTCCACGTCTGCGCCCGGCAATTCGGCTACACACACCGTTCTCGATTCTCAACGTGCTAACTACGCGGCGCGATGGCTAGATGGCCTGGCATCTCGGCTACCCGCTCTCCCAGAACCTCTTCACGAGCGTCTACGTCGAGGCTCTCATGAACCCTCTTCCGACCCACGTTGAGGAGGCCGACTTCATGAGAGATTCTCTGGATCACGAGAACCAGCCAAAACTTCTCTTCGTGCTGCGCGCCTACTGCCTTGGGCTTCTCAAAGCATGCTACCATGTCAATGAGTTGGTAAAAGATGAGCTGTATTATGAGGTTAGCGTGATCGATGTCGATGTCCGCCACAACGTTTCGCCGGACTGATATCACGTATGCAGGAGGAAGACTTTGTCACTAACACGTATGATCGCCATCTGCTCGTCGGGATACCAGACGAGTCCATAAACAACGCGCTTCAGAAGGCCCGGAACGACCTTCGATCCATCAACCACGTTTCCAAGGACGTGGCTACGGCTCTTGACCTCCGGCTTGAGCTCCGACTGGCATTTCTGAGGGCGATTGACCTCTCCACCCTGCGAAAAGCCCACCCGGACTCGTTGAAGATGCCCTGGATCGAGATGAAGGGCTTGCTTGAGCACATCAAGAGGCAGCACCCGCTGGGGAAACCGGTTCCCGAGGCGTTCAGTACTAAGCTGCAGCGGAGGCTGGCCAGTACGATGCCACCACGGCCTATCGTCCAGCCCAGCTTCGAGGAATGCTACGACCTTTTCAAGCGCTTCTTTCAGGACGGCATCGACGTCATGGATGTCTTGAAGTATTCCGAGCCACAGAGCCTCTTGGTGAGTACTGTTTGGGGGAAGGAAAAAGTGACCAGGTTAACGGCATCGCTAAGAAATATCTCTCTCCCTGTAGACATTTGTCTCGCTCTTTCAAGCGCGGAAACCCCAGCCCCTGGTTTACAACAGGGTCTTGCTTCAGAATTTGCTTTTTAGAGAAATGGTAGTTCTGGGCAACTATAGCATCCGACAGATACTCGACCACGACCTCTCGATCGTAGTCCTACCTTGCGCTCAGCAGATAGACCCCGCTAACGATAACATCGAGATGCCGAATGACCCTCGCCACCGGGTGGCAATCCAGATGGAGATGTTTCGACAGCGAGTGGCCGAGTGCTACTTGGATGTCTTCAAAATTTTCTGCCAAAATAGATGCAGAGTCCGACGGACGCTATGCCACAGCATCCAAGAATGGGACATACTCCAGGGAGATGTCGAGGAGATCGACCAGGAAATCCAAGTTATCCTCGACGAGAAGCCTCTCTCCCGGGACGGAGACGACGTCAATCTAGACTACCCCCTACCCCTCTCGTCGTGGACATACCTCTATAAGCTCCGACAGATGGAATGGATCGTTCAGCTCGGATTCGAACTCGACATCTACCAGCCGGACGAACTAGCCGGCATGTATTGGTACCTGAACTATTTGGCTAAGACGCGCGCGCAGCACGGCGACCGCATCAAGCGGTTTACGATGCGTAGCTTGGACCAGGCACGCCACGGCGGCGGCGACTCGAGCGCCGCCAAGCGGCGACCGCAGCCAGCGCAATATACGACGGCCAAGGAGCGCGAATACATGACATCGTTAGCGTACCTGCGCGTGACGATGCTTGATGCGGCGTGCACGTGGGAGTTCGCGGACGGGCTGTGCTGTTTATACACGGCACTGGCGCGGTTAGGACTCGTGAAGCCACGGCCGCGGCCGTACGGGTCGGACGCGCTCCGATACGAGCTCCGGATGAAGCCGTTCCAGAACATCGCCCTGCCGCAGCTGCCGACGTTGGAGGAGTTCACGCGCGCGGTTGTGCAGCCCAAGACGCCGCTGACGGACCTGCTCCGCTATGCAGAAAACGCGGTCGGTGGCGCGCGGAAAGGGTACGAGGCCCTGGCTAAGCTGCCAGACACGCAGGCCTTCGCCGTCAACGCCCACGCGCGCTGGGTGGGCAACGTCCGCGACTGCCTGCGCGCGTCCATCGCGGCCGGGATAGCGGTGTCGACGCTGCAGCGGGCCGTCGAGAAGGTGAACAGCAGCAGCAACGGCGGCGGCGGCAGCGGCGGCGACGACGACGACGACGTCTTCTGCGACCAGGACGGCGACGCGAAGCCGAAGCTTAAGCTAAGGGTCGAGCTGCCGCCGTCGGGCAAGGGGTACCATGACTGGTGGATCGTACCCAAACTCGTCCCGACGGCGTAAGCTGGTTTTTTTTTTTTTTTTTTGCCCGCGCGCATATGCATACTTGGGGTATACGTCCGGAGGGGGGGCGGCGTAGCGTTTATTGTATATGCGTTAATAGAACGAGAGGCTTGCGGAAAGGATATCCGTACGAAGGAGCATCCGCCTCCTCGGCGGTCAAGTGAGTCGGCCGGCCTTTTCTAGGCGCTGCGGGTTGAGCGAGAAGGGACAGCGGTGATGGTTGGGACGGAACAGGGTAGATGGCCGTGGTCGGGCCGAGTCAGGCCAAGGTAAATAGACGTGTACCTATCTGAACTGCCCGTACGGCAGAGCATGCGAGTCGGCATCGTGCCTCGACCTTGTACAGCTATCCCCTATCGCCGCGGCGTCGCAGCGGTGTGTATATGCATGTATATAGTGTTCTATTCTGGGGCACCTCGCCGTCTACCACATACCTCGGTCGTCAATCCCGTTGCTGAGACGATAACCTAGGTACCTATATTAGTTGCACTCTCTTCTCCCCCCTCTCCTTCGACGCCTCTCTGCGCCCTCCCTGGCCCCTTTCTAGTACTCACCGCACCGCTACGAGCTACTCGTGGCTGCTTTTATTTATACTACCGGCATTAGGACAGCGCAGAGACCCCGCAATCTGTAACATGACGCGAGGTGTGTAAATGGGGAGGGCAAGGGGGGATAATCGTGGTTATTTTCTTAGACGCGGTATCGAAAATGCCATTTTTTGACAGATTTCTGGTATATATACATTTCTACCAGGTATACTCCTCCCCTCTGCCAGACCAGCCGGAACGGCGACGGCTGAGCAAGATATAATCTGGTACCTGGTGAGGTTGCGTATCGTGCCGGGTCGGCAGAGGGGGTAGATGCTTGTCGTTCCCGAAGCCCCCCCCCTCTTCTCTCTCATTTTCTCTCTCTTTCCACAAAGCGAGGCCGGCCCCAAAGTTACGCCGCCTTGATGGCCCGCCGGGCGACGGCGCCCCGCAGCCGGATCGTCTGCTCGTACAGCACGTCCTTGAAGGCGAACAGGAAGGCGGCCGTCAGCACGCTCTGCGTGACCTTGGGCCCGATGCCTGGGGCCGCGCGGGTTTGTTAGCGGGATTGCCTCTCGACTGAGTAGAATAGCGTGATATTTCCGCTTGGGGGGGGAGGGGGGGGGGGGTGGTTACGAAAAAAAGAAGAGGGAGGAAGAGAAAGAAAAAAAAAACGACATACCCTTATACAACCCCGCGTAGCCTTCCTCCCTGATGACGCGGCCGAGGGCAGCCATCATGCCGTCGGGGCGGCGGCCGTCGGCGGTGGCAGCGGCGGCGTCGGCGACGTGCATGCGGCTCTTGACGACGATGTAGGGGTAGGTGATGGTGGTGGCGAAGAGCTTGCCGAGCGCGCCGAGCACGAAGGCGACGGCCGGCGTGGCCGACCGCCGCCGCCGCCGCTCGTACGCGTTGCGCAGCTGCTCGAACAGCGTGTACTGCAGGATCGGGTTCGCCACCAGCACCAGCGCCGGCACCACCCCGCGGAACAGCGCCTGCGGGCCCTCCTCGCGCAGCAGCGCCAGCAGCGTCCCGAGCGTCGTCGTCGGGCGCGGCGGGCGCTTCGCCTCGCTCTTCTCTCCGACCTCGGCCTCGGCCTCAGGTGCGCTCGCCGCCGCGTCGGATTCCTCGGCGCCGTCGGCCGCGGGCGCGGGATCGGCGTCGTGGTCCGCGGCGCGGCGCGTCGTCATGCGCGTGTTGACGACCCAGATGGGGTTGGTCAGCACGACGGTGGCGGAGCCGGCGAGCGCGCCGGCGACCATGGCCTCGACGGCGGTCAGCTTGCGCGACGCGCGGCCGGCCCGCCGCGCGGCCGCCTCGAACACGCCCCGCGTCCACTCGTACCAGTAGTAGTACACGAAGTTGGTCACGCTGATGCCGAGCACGGCGCTGCCCAGCCCCGCGTACAGCCCCGCGACGCCCTCGCGCGCCACCAGCGCCCGCACCGCCGCCAGGAACGCCGTCTCGCCCCGCCGCGACTCGACCTGCGCCCGCGTCGAGAGCGTGATCAGGGGGTAGCTTGGCCGCGGGTTAGCAGCTTGCGTCTCTCTCTCTCTCTCTCTTCTTTGTTTTTCTTCTTCTTGAAGGGGGGAGGGGGGACCTACGTTAGCACCATGGAGAGGATGCCGCCGCCGGCGCCGGCGAGGGCGTGCGCGACGTTGTCATTCTGCGGCAGGGGCACGACCGGCTTCGCGGAGGGAGAGGGGGCGGCCATGGTGCCCGTCGCGGTTGGCGGTCGTCTCGGTTCGGGGGGGGGGGGGTCGGGTCGGTGCGGAGAGGACCGTATTGATACGTTGTCGTCGTCGTCGACGTCGATAGGCGTCCAGAGTAGGTTGCGTGTGCGCCGAGTGAAGCGAGGGTTACGGACAGTTGGTTATACGCGTGCAGGGATGGAGTGCGTAGAGAGGAGGAGAATGTGAGCGGCGCAGGGAGAAAAGAGAAGACGTCTCTTTCTTTCTCTCTCCGAGGTTGTTTTTGTCTCAGAAGCGTTAGCCGGCGTTAATTGCTGCGGCGGCGAACTCGGGATCCGGGACGGATTAGATCTACATGACGGTGACAAGACAATTCAACGAAGCTGGGAGGCGTGCGGAGGTAGGTAAGTAAGAGGCGAGCTGACAGGGCGGATGACGGCGGAGGAGGGAGACGACCCTCGTCGATGGATGGATGATGGATGGGGTCGGGATGCCGAGGTCCGATTGCATCACACTGCCGTCCTGCGGCTCGCCTTTCCCCAGCATTTCCTCTCCTCTTTTCCCACGGTACCTTGACTGTACCTAGGTAGGCAGGTAGGTAGGTACCTACCCGTGTCATTACTCGCCTGGGAGGGGCTGCCCCGTAGTGAGCCACCGCGGTTCTCTCCAGTGGGCTTTCAGCGGGCTTCAGTGGATAACCGCCCTTCCCCGTCCCCTCCCCCGCTTCGCATCGGTACCTACACCTGATGTAGGTGCCGTACCTAGGTAGGTAGGTACCTGTACCTCTTAGTATTCGTTCCTATCCCTCCCCCGGGTTCATCCTCCCCCCCCCGCATTCTTTCTGGCCTGCTTACCTCCTACCAACCTCAGGTACACGCATCCGGTACTGTTTCGACTTTCACATGCCGTCAGAGGGGCATACCCGGACGCTCACGTGTCGCTGGGAGTCTGTCGGGTACCCGAGCCGACGGAGGCCCTCCCAACGAATATCTGGTAAATTACTGCGCGACGATCGCCTCCTCTCTCTCTCTCTCCTTTGTCGTGACCTTCGCTTCCCTTTCACCTTCGCTCTCACCACCTCGCTACAGTGCGCACTGCTCCCCGGAGAACGCAGATTACTTAATTACCCATCCCCGTCCGCCGTGCCTCGCCCCACTCCGCAGCTCAACCCTCTGCAACCATGGGCGCCAGGGAACACCGCCATGGACAGGCGACGCCTTGCAGGAGTCATGATCGGGGCTCTATGAGTAAGCTTTTATAGCTTCGGCAGTTTATCGCCTCCTCCTCCTCCCCCCCTCGGTCTCTCCCTCTCTCTGTTCTTTTATTTTTTTTCTTCCTCATTTTTCTCATTTTTTCATATGCATTATTTTTATTTTTATTTTTAGACCCGGGGGCGGAGAGGGCGACGTGAGCGGTGTAACTATACCTGCCTTGCCTTTTAATGCGATCCCATCCCTCGCCCGCTTGCGTGCTCACGCACTCGCGCGCTGCTCCCTCTGCTGGCTAGCCGACATAACGTAGCTGCATCAGTTCTTTCGATGAGCGGGCAACGGGACGCGTGGGGAGGGTACGTAATAAGTGAGGCAGCCTCGCCGGCCGGCCAGCCCGCCCTGTATTCGAGACAGCGCCGATCAGCGCCGATCAGGGCGAAATGCCCAGGGTCGGGAAGGGGGGAGGGGTTTCACACCTGCGACGAGAGAGACGGTGACGGTGATGAGAGCGCCCCCTCCAGGGCTGCTGCCAAGTAGGTGCAGTCGTATGAAATTGCACCGTGCCGCCACCGTATCTGTATCATACAGAGGTATGCGTGTAGCTAAGACAGCGTGTCTGCCCAATGAGGCGAGCGGCGGCAGCATGCAGTCACCTTCGGCCTCCTGCATCTCTCCTCTCGCGCCTCACGAGCCACCGCGCGTTGGGGTTGATACCTGACTGACGTTACATCCCGCGTGGAGCTCGCTCCCAGGCTGTTTAACCATCACCAAGGGGGAAAAAAAGGGAGGGTAAGTTCTGTTCCTTTTAGGGGGGGGGGGGACTCCTCTCTACTCATAGGTAGGTACATCGTCGGATATATTACAGGCCTGCCATTCCTGGTCGAATCTGCGTATTTGGGATTCGCCCATACTGCAGCAGCAGCAATGCTACCATGACGCCAGGAAATACAGAGTATCACCACGAACGCATTCATTACCCACGGTAGGGAAGAGAAGGGGGGTGGAAGATCTTTTGGGGGGTAATTGGGGGCCGGTGCCGTGTTATAATACAACACAACACAGAGAGGAGAAGGCGGCCGTCACGTGGGAGCACCCTTCTAAAAATAGGTACCTCCGTGGGAACCTACCTACACCTGCTAGGCACCTGTTGGGCACCTCTCGCCGAAGTTGGCCGGGTGTTGATGGAGCTGGCGGCGGTGGCGGGCACGGGCGCGTAGGTACTTACCTAGGGTATAAATACCTACCCAGGTACCTCGCCTTGGGTGCTTGACGGTAGGCACACCCGGTACATCCGGGGGGTTACATACATGTAGGTACCTCTACTACGCGGTAAAACGAGCAGCCGTGCGCACCTGTGGCGCACCGGCCTCCACCTGGCAGTCACGGCAACATGGAAACGTTGCTGACCTCCCAAAATAGATACTGGGGCCATTGGCGATGTGTCGCCGTCCAAGTGCGGAAAGCTTCGAACACGAATTACCTACCTCCATAACTCGATATCCTGCTTCGTCCCGTCGCATCTATCCCATCCCATCCCATCCCATCCCACACCGTCCTCTCAGCCTTTCCTGGATACCGATAGACGATACACTGCCGAACATCGACTGCCGGCCTGTTTATTGTGTTGATTTGCCTCTATTATTGGGTGGCAGGTAGCGAAGGTATGCACATAGCCTACTACGGCTACGATACTTACATACATAATTCCTACTACACCTCCTCGATCGCTCCGTCATTCCCTTCCTCTGTCTGTATACATACATGCCGACCTCCATGTCTCCCACCTACACCACCAACCACGCAGCATCCCGTCCCCCTCTCTTGCCTCTCCGTCTTCTTCCCTCCGTCTTCGTCTCTCTCTCCGTCCGTCTCCCTCTCCTTCACGCACACACGCACACGCACTCTCTCCCTCGCTCGCTCTCACCGACATATCCCTAACCCAACCCCATCACGTCTGCGCGCCCACCACCCACTTACACCCACACGCACATCCACGCACAGTCTATCGACCTAGTTTCGGTGACCCGAGGAACGCTTTTGCCAGCATACCCGCACGGCTCCATCTTACTCTGGCCAGCCGCCGATCAGCCTGCTAGCCGTTGCCTATACACGGCTTCGCTCCCTCTCACGTCTAGCCTAGACTATACTCACACCTACACCTATCGCCTACCTATCTCATCTACCTGCCTGCCCAAGCTACACACCACACACACCCACACCTACACCTACCCACCCACACACACGCACCCACACGACGCCCAGAATCTGACGTGAGAGCCCGTTCAGCCCCGTGGATGCCACTGTTGTATCCGTCGCGTACGGCATGAGTCCGGAATTCCAGCCAGCGCGTGTATATTTATAAGTCCAATGAATGGGGCGCCTCTTATTCGCCAATTAAGCCACCGAGACCGAGGCCGAGCCCAGCCAGCCAGTCCGTCCGCCCGTTCTCTCTCAGCATCCTTCACGTCCACCGCGCGCGAGGGCCGTCGCCTGGACGCCCGGCTACTGCCAGGCGATCTGCCGCGCCTATAAGCACCGCTCTTCGGCTGCTCATGGGGATCGTCGCGCGCCTCGCTGTCTTATGATGCTAAGATGGCGCTATCTACGCCCACCAGCAGCGCTTCCCGTCGCTTCAACCCTCTCTCCTCCCCCAGCAAAAACGATACGCCTCAACCCGTCGTCCTGGTCAGGCCGATCCTCCCTCAGAAGGCCGTCACCGACGCATCCATCGAGGAAGCCTACGTGAATTTTATCCTCTACTGCAACCCGGCCGTGCCTCTGGAGACCGACACCGCCGCGCTCAGGGAGGCCTTCCGCACCCCCCCAAGAAGCGAGGGCAAGAGCTTCAGCACCTTCGCCCTCTTCGAACTTATCAAGCAGCTGCATGCCAAGGAGCTCAAGACCTGGGCCGACCTGGCCCTGAAGTTGGGCGTCGAGCCGCCCGACCACGACAAGGGCCAGAGCTCCCAGAAGATACAGCAGTATGCTGTCCGATTAAAGGTATTGAAATAAAATTAAAAATGCCCCACGCACGATAACATGGCGGCCATGCGCGGCCATGGACTTGTCCCCCGGCCGCAGCGCCGCTAACTTCTGCCAGCGGTGGATGCATTCCATGCACATCGATGCCTTCTTCGACTACCTGATGGACAACCCGCATACCTACTGGACTCACATCCCCACCGACCCGAACCCCGTATGCGAGGACGGCCGGGACGGCGTCGCCGCCCAAGACGACATGGCTTTGCGTGCGCTGTTGCCTCACATCCGGCCCCGTCGGGGTCGGAAACGGCCCGAAGAAGACGGCTTCAGCAAATCCCCCTCGCAGAGGCCCCGGTTGGGCTCCCCGTCGTTCAACCGGCCTCGGCCGGATTCCCTCGACCCCTGGACCGCCCATCCGGACGGCAGAAGCGCCTTCATGTTTCCGCAGTCAGACCCGAGATCGAGCTTGCTGCCGGAAGCGGCCTCAGCCTTTCCCTGGAACCACGACGCCTCTCGGGAACCGATGTCGGCGTATCCTCAATCGGCCATGACACCCTCGACGAGAGGGACGTTTTGGGGCGATCCGTCGGAGCCTCGCTCGGCCGTCAGCCCGCCGAAAGTCAAATCCCTCGGCCGCCGCCACGGAGCTAAGGTGGTCTCCTCGGCTTGGAGAAGCAGCGGCGCGTTCACGACCGGTAGGCCCCGCGGCCGGCCACCAACCAGCCGCCCCAACGAGAGCTCTCTGTCGGCAGTCCTCGACGGCCCCGCGCCTCCTCTCGAACCTACTACCACACCCCAGTCAGCGACACCAACATCCTCGCCCATGCCACCTCCCGACCCGACGCCGAGCTCAGCCGGTCCAACATCTACGCCTACCACGCGTCCTACCCGACCCGGCCGTCTATCGCTCCAAGTACCCGAAAGAGCCAGCGCACCGGTTAGACTCGCGACCCCGCCGCCGCCACTGCCGCCGCCACCTCCTCCCGCTGTCATGGTAAACGGAAAAGCCGCGATAAACGGGGACCCCGGCGTCGCCACTACTCCCACCACCAACGGCACGAACGGAGTGGCCACTCCCAACCACGGCAGCACCCGGTTCGCGGGGGACGCGTTCACAGTATTCGACCGGACCTCGGCCTTGTTTACGGCGGTGCCGGCGGATGGCGGGGCTAACGGGAGCTCGGCAATGCTGCGATTTGACCCGCAACGCGGCGGCGGCGACGACGACGACGACGACGGGATAGGATTCGGGGCGGGGGGCGACCGGACAAATTGTGAGGAGATCGAAGCGCTTTTCGTGGCGGACCTGCTCGAAGGATCATGGCTGGACGCGGACATGCAGCCCGGGCCGCCGGGCACGATCGACGAGGCGCTCGCGCTCGTGCGTGCCGTCATCGCGAGCATCTCGCGCCAGGCGCTTACCAAGGAGGCCTTCCTCATCAACCTGTCGGCGCTCGCCGGCGTAAAGTACATGATGCGCCGCGGCAGCAGCTGGGTGCAGCGCATCGAGGTCGGGCCCGACCGCACGCGCTACCAGTGCTCGTGGGGGCTCCGGTACGGCGCCGTCAGCGGCACCTTCAGGCTCACCGAGACGGTGGCGCACGCGCGGTGGAAGGGAGCGCCGGGGGGAGGAGGAGCAGGAGGAGCAGGAGCAAGCGTGGTGGACGTGCCGCCGTGCGGGGACGCGGCCGCCGAGTTCTGGCGCGCAAGGTATGCGGGGCTCGCGCGCGCGGTGAACCGGCGCGGGTGGGACGCGGACGGTGACATGCACGAGGAGCCGGGGAACGGGGGTGGGAACGGGACTGGGAGTGGGGCCGCGGTGAGGGACGGGCCGAAGGGGACGTAGGCTTAAAGAGGCGGGTTACGGTGACGAGGATGGGCCGCGCGAGAAGAGGACCCAGGGTTCCCGCCGGAGACGCTTCTTCTCCTGCTCCGGCTGGCGGCCCCCCGTGTGCTTGTATTTCTATGTGGTTTGTCTATTCGGCTGTTTTGTCTGTCCCGTTCTGCTCTGTTTTTTTTGTTTCTTTGAAACTTCCGAAAGATACCCCCTGGAACTGCTTTATATCCTGTATACACGCATCGAAGAGGAGGGGACCGGAGGTCAAGGCGTAACTACGTACGGGTACGGAGGCGGGTAGGTAGAGGTAAGGCACCTACGGTGAGGGACAAGTCCTCCCCCTCCCCCCAGGGACGGAGCGAGAGGGGAGAGGGAGAAGAATGAGGGCTACAATGTATCGGTTCAAGACGCGTATCTACGACTGTATAGTACGGACATATATGTGCGCAGCGGCGGCGGAAAAGGAGGCGCCGCGGAGGAGGAGGTCAGCGAGTTGAGAAAAAAAAAGTCGGAGATAGCCCCGGGGAGACAGGGTTGTATTATGTGCCAGAGCGAGGAATACGAGATGATGCTCTCTTCGCCAGCGTTGTTCTTGTTTACTGCTGCTGCTGCTGCTGCCGCTGCTAATGGCCGCATGTCTCCTGCCACTTACTCCCGTGCTATCTTTGCCTGCACGGGGTCCAAGACCGAGACGGAAACAGAGAGCGGGCCTGAGACTCTGAGAGAGAGAGAGAGAGAGAGAGAGAGAGAGAGAGAGAGACGCGTACTACTGTTCTCTCTGCCGGCTCGCCTGACTAAGTGACGAGTTATCGAGCGTGCGTGTGGATATCAAGAATTTTGTCTACACTACGACGCGGCACACACCTACCTATGTCTTACGCTTAGCATCCTAGCAACCCTGCTATGGATCCATATACGTGGGTAGGTAGGTAAGTAGGTGCCTTAGTATGTCGGTCGGTCAGCGGAATTCTTACACGGGCCAAAGAATCAAATTAGGTAGGTATTTTTTTTTGTGATATGCAAGAAACCTGTTCACCCGCAAAGGTCTAGAACAGGAGGAGCGGCACGTTTTCTTTTCTCCCCTTTCCTTCCCTGGTCCCGGCCAAGGGTGATGAGGATCGGCGCGCGGTGGCTTGGAGCCGGCGCTGCAGGCGCTCGGAGCCGGCGTCGTGGCGGGTGGGGAGGGAGGGGAAGAAAACCCCCAACGACTACGGTTTCGGAGGGTCTGCGATGGGGCAGCAAGGCGAGAGTTGGCAGTTAGAGAGAGAGAGAGAGCTGCGCGTGGGAGCGGCCATACGTAGGGTAAGGACATAGGTATGTATCTCGTCGTGGGTTTACGCTTCGACGCCGGCACATAGGTACGTTGCTTTTTTTTTGCTTCTTCTTTTCTGCGCCCGAGCTGCTCGGCTGGGAGACAGGCCGAAGGAGAGGATCGACTTGCCACTTCGTCTCGCACGTAGGTAGGTATCGTGTCGTGGCGCGGCGCGTCGTGTGCCGGGGAGGGAGGGGAGACACCCTGCGTAGCATACCTACATACATCTGTATGTCTGTATGTGTGTGTGTGTGTGTGTGGTGTGTGATACGTCTAGTTATGTGTGTATCGGACTGGATCTGAGATCTGCGATCTAGTCCGTGCGACATGTCCCCTCTCCCTCGACCGAGGAAGCGCTTCTGTGGGTGGTGGGTTTTGCTGGATATTCCGCCGCGCCACGACGGCTACCGCCATCTCGCCTCTCCGCTGGCGGCGTGCCCTCGACCTCGATCCCCTCTCCGCCACTAGGTAAAACAGGCCGTTGGCTTAGATCGCGTCTTTTTTTCTTTCTCCGCGGGCGAAATTCATCAGGAAGATACGCTCGGCTACTAGGGTAGGCATGGAGTCGACACATGCCTAGGTAGGTACCTAGGCGCACTCGCTGCGTACGAGTGTAGTTTGCGCGATGGGGCGATCTGGTCTAGAACCACCCTCCTCCACCAGGTAAGGCGGTCTTGTCTCCGCGCGTTTGTAGATAAGACACCCGCGATCGAATACATGAGAGGCGTGCGTTCGCTGATGTAGGTAGGAAAAGGTAGTAGGCGCAGCGGTGGTGGTGGTAGTAGTGGTGGTGGTGGTAGTAGTGGTGGTGGTGGTAGTAGTGGTGGTGGTGGTAGTAGTGGTGGTGGTGGTAGTAGTGGTGGTGGTGGTGGTGTGGGAAGAGACGATACGAGACATGATTAGGGCAGCGCGCTATTTGCCCGCTACATGGTATTACTACCTACTTACTTGCCGACTTCCTGTACCGCCGATGGAGGAGAAAGAATTCTGCCCATGCACACTGTCGACATTCTCGACGGCGGCTCCGCGGCCACCCGCAAGTTAGTTAGTTAGCTAGTTAGTTCCTCGTCTTCTGCCGGCGCGTTGTTCGTTTTCGGGGTGGCTTTGCGGGCTTCGCTGCTCGTCGTATTGTGCTAATTATAGGTAGGTGGGCGCCCGCCCGGCTTAGACACCACCTGGACTAACAACAATGCTATAGTATGTTGGGTGTTGTGCCTAGCCTACTCATATGTATGGCCTCCCCCTTTTCTTGTAAGCCAAGCGGCTCTAGGAACGGCGTAGGGGTCTCTCTTCTTTGACTGCCACGCACACCTCGCCAGCTCGAACAACCCGGCGGCGCAGACTAACACGGACAAAGACTAGGGCTACGGGGGCGAGTTGGCACCGGTTGGTCGAGTTTTCCATGTTTCGACTTTTCTGAAACAAAGGAAAAACCTGTCTCGGCCGCCGCTACGTGGGATGGCGAGCGCGCCGTCTTTCTCGTTGGGGACTAACGCTGTCGCCCGGAAAACACCCCTGGACCCGGCGAGGCCAGGGTGCGTTCGTTCCGGCGTCGATTAGTAGGCTAAGCACGCCCTCGCACACCATCTCCAAACGTCGACAGCGTGCCAACCTGCCTAACGTATTCTGGAGGCACTTGTATGTCCCCCCTGCATACCGTTGACGACGCACCGAACCACTCCTACATATGTCTATGCACGCACGCACACCGCGCGCGTCTCGGCGGCTCTGTGGGTGCTGTCCACGGCAGCGCGATCGTCACCCAGCTCGACGATGGGGGGACTGAGACCACCTAGCTTACACGGGCACCGAGACGGCAGATCGCCATTGCGAAGATATTAACGAACACTATAGTAAATCAGTATTACCTCGAAGGCATACTGGCACCGGCAGAGAGGCGCAAAGAGACCACACACACACACACAGGTTAGGTAGGTATATATATCTCCGTGACAGGTGTTGGACAAGGCACGGCTTTCACCAGGTGTATTTATAGGAGTTGGTATGTATGTTTACCTGGCAATCCTTTGTCGTCCGGATCGCACGTTTCTTCCCTTTTCCTTCGGGGCACCATCTCTATACGTACCTCTACCTAGGTAGGTACCTATTTACCTACTCAGCCTGCCTACCGCACCAACAAACCCGCCAAGACACGTCGGATATCTGGCCTAGGTAACTCGCCATCAAGGGTACATCCTAATGTGTGTACGGACGCATGGAAATAGAGGTACCGAATGCAGGGGGGGGACATTACCTACCTGGGTAAGGGTCCCTTAGGAAGGGTGGGAGGTTTGCGGAGGGAAACCAGTCCTGAGTTGCGCCTGCCAACGAGTCATAACTGCGCCAATGGGTCTCATCCTAGGCGGGAGGCACGCAATTGGAGGCAGGCACAAACGAACGAACGGACGGACGAATGTACCTACTGATAAATATAGGTACTGTTCTTCGGATATCGTTGTGCCGTCTACATTAGGTAGTGGCGCGAGCCGAGTACCTACGTAGGTAGTTTTAGGTACAAGTCCCTGCCAGATTGAGTGGAAGGGTACCTACGTCGAGGTGTAATATACCTTAGTCATCTTGTATCTTAGGTGGGTTCGAGATACCTAAGATATATAAGCAGGTACCTACCTCTTCCCACCCAACGCAGTACACCCAGCGAACTGGCAGCCAGTAGGAGGAAGCAGGTACCTGCAGCCTGCCGACCGAGCCTACCCTTGCCCCAAGCCACATGAGGTAGGTAGGTAGGTACGATCCCATGCGAGAAATCCACCCAGGTACGTACTGAGATAGATTCGCGATCTCGACACACACCTCTCTCTCTCTCTCTCTCTTTTTTCCCTCGCCTTTCTCTTCTCAGACCCAGTCCCCTCCCTCCCCTCCAGGATCCCGTTGTTTTTATTATTATTATTATTCCATTTTCTCCTTTTCATTCTCTCCCCCCTCCCCAGCATTATCATTGCTTCCAGTCTTTCAGCAGAGGCTGCCCTCTGTTCGATAGCAGCCTTTCGTTCTTAATTATCCTCTCCATCCCCTCCCCTCAATCCCTGGCCGAGTTCTCGTTCTCGGGAAATCCCTTCAGAGGCTTCGATCGACCCGACTCGACTTATCATCCTTACTATCTTCGTCTTCCTCGGTCTGTTCTTTAGACCACGCCACTCTCTCTCAGCACCGTTGCCCTTCCAGTTGGTCGATCGCCTGGTGCTATCCCGAAGGAGGTATTGGTATTGTGCGTGTGTCTGCGTACTTGCAAAATTCCATTCACTTCTGTATCCTCTTCGTCAGCACTATAAAAGAGAGATCCCGTACGAGCCCGGGCCATATTCGAACGTTGTCACACCCACTCTACCAGCAGATCCTCCCCAAGCTCCACCATGTCGATCCGCTCCCCGAGGGGCTTCGTGCAGCTGGGCCCTTCGCGATCCGACCCAGAGAACGACATTCCCCTAACCCAGGTACGCAGCAATGCTAGCTCGACCGGCGCCCGGAAGCCCAACCAGGGCGTCCCCGACTCCGGCTCCGATGGCCAGGACGGCTCCGACGGAAACGAGAAGCACGGCTTCTTCCATCGCGGCCGGAGGAGGGCCAATAAAGAAGCCGCCTCCGACTCGGGCGACGATCTGACTTCCGAAGAGACGTCTCTGAACGCCATGGGCAGGTTCTATAATAAGATTATGGGCGCCTCCGTCTTCACGCGATATCTCATCTATATCATCCCCGTCGCCGTACTCCTCGCCGTCCCCTTGATTGTCCTCACGGCCACTCAGAACAGGTACAACATCCCCGTCGGCTTTGCCAGGGTATCTGATGACCCCCTGACCTTTGAGGGTGGGCCGCCACTGTTCGACCTCTTCCTCTGGATAGAGCTCGCTTGGCTAAGCTTGTGGGTCGGTAAGGTTGTCGCCCACCTGCTGCCGCCCGTCTTCATGTTCTTCACTGGTGTCGTGAGCGCCGGGACCCGAAAGTACGCCATCGTCATCCGCGCCCTCGAGATCCCCCTCTCGCTATTCTTCTGGGCCCTGGCCACCTACCTCATCTTCACTGCCATAATCAACACCAGATACGACGATATCAACTGGGTCATCGTCATCCGGAGGATATTGGGGGCGCTCTTTGCTTCCTCCGCCGTCTTTCTCGGCGAGAAGGCCATCGTCCAACTCATCAGCATAACCTACCACCAGCGGTCCTTTGCCAACCGGATCAACGACTCGAAGCGGGAGGTGTACCTGCTGGGATTGATGTACGACGCGTCTAGGCAGCTGTTTCCCATGTACTGCCCCGAGTTCGCCGAAGAGGATGAGCTCATCAACGACAGCATCGAGATCATGCTGGCTGGAGGCAAGAAGAGCCGGAAAGGCCGAAGGGCCGGAGTAGGCGCGCCTATGAGGCTAATTGGCGGCGTCGGGCGCATCGGCGACAAGGTCACGTCCGTCTTCGGGAACCTCGCGTCCGAGATCACCGGCAAGCAAGTGTTCAACCCAAATTCGGCCCACTCCATCGTCGTCGAGGCCCTGGAGAAGATTCGGACCTCGGAGGCTCTCGCGAAGCGCATCTGGATGTCGTTTGTCGTGGAGGGCAAAGAAGCTCTATACGTCGACGACATCGTCGAAGTGCTCGGCCCGGCACATCGCGACGAAGCAGAGGAGTGCTTCGGAGCCGTCGACGCGGACGGCAACGGAGACATCAGTCTCGACGAGATGATCCGGAAGGTTGTCGAGGTAGGCAAGGAGAGGAAGGCGATAGGGAACAGCATGAAGGATATCGGTCAAGCCTTGGCCGTGTTCGACCAGGTGCTCCTCTTTATCGTCCTCCTGATTGTTGTTTTCATCTTCCGTAAGTGCCCGACCGTCGAAATGATTACTTATGGTGTGGACCTCACGGACGCTAACCATCCCTCCTCGCAGTGGCTTTCTTCCAGAGTTCCTTCATTACGACCCTCACGACGGCTGGTACGACGTTGCTATCGCTGTCGTTCATCTTCGCCGTTACGGCGCAAGAATTTTTGGGCTCTTGCATTTTCCTATTCGTCAAGCACCCCTACGACGTCGGAGACAGGGTCGACGTTACGGGACCGGAGAAGGAGCAGCTCGTCGTCGAGAAGATATCTCTGCTCTACACCGTCTTCAACCGCATCGACAAGATGCAAGTCGTCCAGGTGCCGAACATCGTCTTGAACAATCTCTGGATCGAGAACGTGACCCGGAGTAAGGCCATGAAGGAAGTTATCGACGTGAATGTCTCGTTTGACACCAGCTTCGAGGACATCGAGCTCCTGAGGGTCGAGATGGAGAAGTTCGTACGAGCGCCCGAGAACTCACGAGACTTCCAGCCGGATCTCTCCATCGGCGTCGGCGGCTTTGGCGACTTGGATAAGCTCCAGCTCAAGGTTGCCATCAAGCATAAATCGAACTGGCACAACGACGCCGTCCGCGCCGCCCGACGCTCCAAATTCATGTGCGCGCTTACGCTTGCCCTGAAGAAGGTACCCATCTACGCGCCGGGCGGCGGCTCCGAGCCGCTAGGCGGGCCAACCAACCCAACCTACTCGGTCGCCGTCTCGGACTCGGATGCCATCGCGGCCCGTGACAAGGCTAGCAAGGACAAGGAAGCTCTGCGTATGGCGCCGACACCACCGCAGCGGAACCCTTCGACGACGAACAGGCGCGGTGGTGGTGGAGGCGGCAGCGGCGACAATGACCGCGAAGCGAAGGCGGCCCAGGGCCTCAACACGATCGACCCCGTGAGAGCGGCGGCCGACGACTGGGGCTACAACCGTGACGACTCGCCGGGCGGCGCGGGCCGCGGCGATTCGATCGACGCGGACCCGTACGGCGGGCGCTCCAGCATGCAGAAGCAGGGAAGCCAGCGCGCAGGGCGTCGCAGGGCAGGCGAGACGCTGCCTCCGCTCTCGTTCGGCGACGGGAACGATGCGCCTAGCCTGCAGGTGACCCAGCATCTAGGTCCGTACGATGAGGAGGCTCAGGTGGGCGGCCCGCGTCCGTACGGCGGCGCCGCTGGTACCACCCAGCAGGGCGGTAGCGTGCCGATGTATCCGCAGAATTCGAGCCGGGGCAATCAGCCCCCTTCCTCGGGGGCGGGCGGGGGAGCGGGAGCAGGCCTGCAGAGCACATCGTATCAGCGGCAATAACGAGGTGATGTACACCCTTAGTTAGTGCTTAGGGTATTTATTTCTTGATTTCTTTTTCTCATTCCTGCAATCTCCCGGGTAGATGTAGGTATAGATTAGGCCAATATGTATGAATTCATTTCGGGCAGGCGTTTAGAGGAAGTGGGCAATGTGGAAAGGAGAAGGGGGGAGTGGTTCAATCGGCTGGATAGCCCAGGGAGATGACTCGGTTCAGCCTTTTCTCTGTGATGGGAGATATCACGTCTGCGGGAAGGAAAGGGCGGGAAAGAAAAGGGGGATGAGGCTTAGGGGTGCACTATCCGCCCGGCGGCGTAACGGCGAGCCCATTGTATAACTGAATCGCGATTGCGAATGACTACGCATCGCCATCTTCGCTGCTATTAGGATTATCGTCGTGAATGTGAATGCGAGGGTCTGTGTAAATTGTGTGTGTCACTAGCCGACTAGTTAGTACTATCGATGTCGCCTCCCTTACTGCGTCCGCTGTCGGTTCGTCCATCCTTTGGCACCTTTTCTCTTGGAAGAAAGGAAGGAGGAGGAAAGGTGAGAGAGACGAGAGGGTTGGGAGAGATGCGAGAGGAGAGAAACCGAGTTTTATTCGAGGAGGGCGCGCGAGTCAGTTTTCGAGTCTGGCGCGGGGGTGTAAGCCGTAATTACCACCACCAGCCGGCGCGCTTATTATGGCCTTTCCGGGGGAGGGAGAGGACACGGACAACGGAGGAGACGGGGGGGGGTATTTGTATATTTGAAGGTAGATAAGTCCAGGCCTCGTAAGGTATAATAGGGGAGGGTGGGTTACGCAAGATGAGGCGCCTACGGTTGAAACGGCCTGGGCTTGCTCGATGGCTTTTCGGGGGGGTCTGGGACTTGGAGGTGGGCTTAACTCCATCTACGTGTCTACCCAACCTACGTAGGTTGCCTAGCTGGTAACCTTGAGGCTGCTACTACTGTGCAAGAGTATCGTGGGTAGGCAGGTATCTTGAGGGATAGGTACGGCACGATACGGGGAATACACATGCCTGTCTTTTTTCCCCCTCTTTTATAGACATAAGTATAGATACGTAGACATATATATATATATATATACCTATGTATACCCGGCGGAGTATTGTGGGAGAGGCGGGGGAGGACGGCGAGACAAGTACGGCAGCGGAGGAAGAAAGGAAGGCGGAGGGCGGAGAGAAAGGGGGGGACGTAGAAGTAGAGGGCACAGGGCGTAGTGTGAGAAAGAGGAAGTGAGGAAGAAAAAAAGAGGTTGCACGGCGTGCTTACGTCCCGAGCGCAGGATCACAGGAACGGCGAACACGACATGGGGCAGCAAAATGCGTGGATTTCTACGGCATGCGCAGCAGGTGGGTAGGTGGGTAGAGAGGGATCGAGGGAGGCTCGTTGCTAACTAACTAACTAACCCTGCAGCCACCGGGCCGTCTCTTCTTCGTTTATTACATCGGGGATCCCCTCCTCTCTCTCTCTCTCTCTCTATAGCAACGAGGAGGGAACCACTTCTAAAGCCCTCTCACCGCAGCGCCCACGTCTGCTCCCGCGCGCCCCCGTCCCACGCCACCCGGATCGAGAGGCCGCGGGCGTGGTCCTCGAGCGGCGCGAAGCTGATCTGGCCCGCGACCTCGCGGCCTTTGGGCAGCGGCGCGCCCGGCGTCTGGGCCTGGGCCTCCTCCTCCTGCTTCTCCTCCTCCTCCGCTTGTCTCGTCCCGCTCGCCTCCCGCGCCTCCTCCTCCTCCGCCGGCTTCACGAGCAGCAGCCCCTGCTTCCAGTGCGTCGGCGCGCCGTGCGGCCCCGTCGTGAACGCCGCGCGGTTCTGCTGGTCCGCGCGCGCCCACGCCGCCGCCGACGCGTCGAGCTCGACCACTGCCTTCGCGGACGGGGAGGCGGCCGCCGCCCCCTTGCCGCCGCGGCGCCGCCCCTCCGCCGAGAAGAAGATATCGAACCAGACGAGGAACCCGTCGAGCGCGTCGACGTCGCGCGACAGCGCGCTCGCGAAGGGCGCCGTGAAGGCGAGGTCTGCTGCCGTCGTCTCGTACAGGTCGAACAGCTTGAAGGCGGTCGGGGCGCCGGCGAGGACCGCGGCGTCTTCTGCTCCTCCTCCTCCTCCTCCGGCGGCGGGCGCGGCCGAGCCCGAGCCCGAGCCCGAGCTCGGGCCGTCCCAGCGCAGCACGCGGGCCTCGTCGTAGATGCCGGCCTGCATGGCGCGCATGTCGAAGCCGTAGACGTGGCGCCAGAAGCCGACGGTGTCGGCGACGAAGTCGGGGTCGGCGACGGGGGCGAGCCAGAGGCTGGCGTGGGAGGGCACGAGCAGGCCGCCGGGGGCGAGGTAGCGGTCGCGGGCCCAGAGCACGGACGGCAGCATCGCCTCGAACAGCAGGCAGTAGCCCATCCACTCGCTGACGATCACGTCGACCTCGGCGACCGGCAGCGCCACCTCCTCCACCCGCCCCGACAGGCAGACCACCGTCGACGCCAGCCCGTTCCGCTGCACGTTCTCCCGCGCCTTGCTGATGATGGCGCTCGCGTCGACGGCGAACACGCGCGACGCGCCCGCCCGCGCGCAGAACATGCTCAGGATGCCTAAGATCGGAAGAGAAAAAGTTCGTCGTTAGTCGTCTGGACGGTTTGCTCTCGCTAAAAGGGGAGCAGAGGAAATACGAACCCGTGCCGCACCCTACGTCCAGCACCGTCTTGCCCGCGAACAGGTGCTTGTTGTTGTAGATGAAGTCGCGGTACGCGTCGGTGCGCACCGTGTCCTTGAGCATCTCCTCGTGGATTTCTTCGGGCGACCTGGCCCATCAGCAGCTACCCCGAACGCGAACATGGAGGGCGCCTTAATGAAAAAAAAAACAAGTGCCAGCTCTCACGCACCTGGTCCGCCGTACGAGTCCCAGTAGTACTTGGACTCGTCCTCCTTGTCGGCCGGTTTGCGCGCGGCCGGCTCGGCGAGGACGGACGCCTCGGCGTCGCCGAGGCGCTCGTCGAGGGTCTTCTGGACGGCGGCGCGGTAACTGTCGAACTGGGCGCGGACGCGGGCGAGCTCGTCCTGCAGCTCGCCGTTGCGGCGCAGCAGGTCGTCGACGAGCGCAGCGTCGTCGTCGGCAGCGGCGGCGGCGCCTGCGCCCGCACCCGCGCCGTTCCGCGTCGGCCGCACCTCGGGCAGGTCGAAGAGCCCCAGGATCACGGCGTCGTCGTCGAGCACCGGCTTCAGGTACTGCTCGTGGTCGATGTCGGCCCACGAGATGTCCTCCGTCACCGGCAGGCCCTCATGCACGCGCTGGCGGACTGCGCATTTGGGGGGGGGGACGGGTTAGCGATGGTTAGGGAGGCGAGTAGGGCAATTAATGAATGAATGAACGAATCATCTCATATGCGCCGGAAGCGACACAACACGACGAGCAGGAGAGCCAGTAAGTATTCTCAAGAATGCTTACTCCCTCCCCCTCTTTCGTATCTTTAATTTTTATACGAAATAGAAGTGGACAGAAATAGGTAGAATAAAACAACAAGCTGGAAAAACTGACTGAAGTTGACGAGCTTGACGCAGCCGTGGAAGTCGAGCTGCAGGCGCTGGCGGACGCTGAGGAAGTCGAAGTGGTGCTTCTGGCGGCAGTGGGCGAGCATGGACAGGACGTCGGGGAAGACGCGGTCGTCGAGCAGCGAGATAACCTCGGGGGCCTCGTCGTCGTCGTCTGCCTCCTCCTGCTCCCCGCCGCCCTCGCTCCAGTCCGAGTCGTCCTCGGAGTCAGAGTCGTCCGGGTCGCCGCGCGGTCGAGGCGGCCGGCGCGGGCCCCCGTCGTCGGCGGCGTTGCTCGGGCCGGCGGGACTCATGGCCGAATCGGTATAGCCGGGGTTATTTTTTTTGGACAATGTATATATATTTTTTCAGTAAAGGAGGCTCTATCGTAATCTGCGTTCTGGAAGGGGTGGAGAACTTTTAGGTAGGTAGGTAGTATCTGGAGGACGGGGAGTTGGTGGCGCGTAGGGGGGTGGGAAAAAAAAAAAAGGGGAGAGGAAGAAGGGCGTTGCTGGTGGGTGGCGGGGTGGAGGGGTAGCAAAGAGGGGCGCCGTCAAGAGGAATAAATACATGTGTACCTGCATGCGTTAGGTACCTAATATTATATACCTGACTATACAGGTATATACCTACCTACCTATAGGTGTATATAAGGTGAGTGTGCTATGCGTGAAGTACTTCGCTGTATTATACGAGGTAGTATAGGCACCTAAATGCAATATAACAGTAGGAGGGTGTAGACGGGTACACGTAGGTCCAAGTAAAATACAAAAAGATGTCGCCGACCCCTTGTTCAACGTGGCCTTATATTACCTAGGTAAATATACACCGAGAGTACATCAATCATATAGACAGGTATATATCAACAGTATATATATAATATACAGTATATAGGTATATATTTCAGCGAATAGTATATATGTGTGAACAGGATATGTGTGTGTATACCGTATAGGCATTTGCCAAGTCGATCGCCGTTCGCTCGAGGCGCTCGTGTCCCTCCACATCGCGATGCTCGTATACATTGTACTGCCTCGTCTCCCTCTCTATCTCTGACTCTAGGTCGTTAACACCCCAAGTCGGAATCCTGCTCGACCAGGAAATGGGCAACTAGCAGAGGCGACACCTTCGCATAAGCATCTATGCGTCTCTCGTAACGCACCCGTCGCCTCCGATCCCCCCTCCTACGTGTTCGTGCCGGCCTGCTATATGTTTGTAGAGAGCCCAGCTTCGAGCAGCATTCGGCGACGTGTTCACTTGCCTGCGAGACGGGCCCTATAGTATAGGCGTGCCGGGAGGAGGCATATCAAGACCTCCCGGGGTTGGCCTGACATACAATTTCCGTCTTTATACCGGTGTAACGAGACGACCCGCAGCAGGAGTGGCTGGAGACGTCTTGTCTAATCCACGCCGTCCGTCTTAGAGTCGTCGTCCTCATCGTCGTCGTCGCTGCCTTCTTCCTCTTCGTTCTCTTCCTCGCCATCCGACACGCTCTCGCCTGCCTCGATGAGTCGTTTCTGGAAAAAAAAAAAGCTTCGTTTAGTACTCTGAAAAACCACCCCCCAAACCAATTTTATGGTCGAATTATGACGAACCTTGTATTTCTCCACTTTCTCCTCTAGGTCGCCGAATACCATGAGAAGGTCGTCGAGCTCGCCTTGCGTCGCCGATCTTTGCTCCTCCTTTTCTCGGACTTGCGACTGGCACTGTTGCCGGAAAGTCAGACAGTCAGTATCCTTGTAAGCTAGGTCTGGGACAGCGCTTGAGGTACCTCTTTCAACTCTTTATCCCTCTGCGACAGCTGCTTCTCGACATCCAAGCGCCGCTTCTCGGCCGCCTTCGTCTTCGACTCCTCCTCTGACAGCTTGGCTGTCGATTCCTTCCGAGCAGCTTGAAGTTCTTCTGTCTTGGCTTTATTCGCCTACTCGCCGTTAGCACACACACGCAAATAAGCATAATGGGGGAGTCGGGGGGGTCCCCATCCACTCACTTTCATGAGGTCGACCTCGAGGCGGCTGATGGTGGCGCGAAGGTCCGCCATCTCGGCATCCCATCGCCGCTGAGCACGCGCGGCCTCGGTTTCGGCACTCTTGCGAACCTGCTCGAGTTGCCTTTGCGCCTCTGCCTCCTTGGCACGGTACTCGGCGTGGATTGCCTCCGCGGCTGCTGACGCTTCTTTTTGAACCGTCTTTAGCTGTTGTTGATACGCCTCGTTCTTCAACCGTTGCTGCGCCTCGATTTCCCTGCTCGTATTAGCCCGAAGGACCTCGCTTCGGTTTTCGTGAGACGGTGGGCCTTACTTGATCTCTTGCTCGTGGTGTTGTTGGATAGCTTCGTTGACGTTCCGTATCCGCGCCAGCTCGGCCGCGGAGGCTTCCTTGGTTCTCCGATGGTCGGCCTGTTCTTGGCCAAGCTTCCCGTTTAGCGAAGCTATATCGCCCAATGCCCCCTGTAGCGCTCGCTCTTTCTCGTCGAGCTGTGCCCGCAGCGAGTCCACCATTTCGCGGGATATCCCCTTTTGGATACCATTTGCCACCACCGAGATCTCCATGCCGGGGTCGCGGTCGATAGCCCTAACCATGCGGCTGTAATTATCCTTGAAAAAATCCACGAATGTCGCATCAAAGTACACGTCTGGCAGATTGCCCGCGCCGTCCGACTTCTGCGGGAGGACTTCAAAATCCCTCATAAGAGGATCGCTTCGCAACTGAGCGAGGCTGTCGATGTACTTGTCTCGGCCCATCCGGGTCGCGAGAACCGAGTGCAAGGTAGACCGAGGAATCGGCGAATCCTTCGTAGAGAACTCGTAGACGACCCCGAGGAGCATAGCACATAGCCCTCGGACAATACTGCTGCTGGGGTTGTGCCGCACAGCCTCTTGCGCTAGAACTTGTATATTGCTGCCCTCACCGAGGAAATCGTTGACCCCGTCGAGGTCCTCATATAGCCATCCTATCAACAGCATCAAATAGCCTACGGATATCCGCTCGTCACCTACCCTGGCTAACCCGCTGATAAGATGGGCGGCAACGGTTTGGATACTGGTCACCACTTCTTCGCCACTCTTCGCATCGCCTTCCGTCACCTCCATGGCGAGCGCCTTCGCTTCGGCGTTGTCGAACAAGAGATGGAAGAGGATGACGGCCGCGAACCAATGGCGATACGGGTCGACCGGACTCCGGTCGTTGGATGGCCGAAGCAACGTCGTCAGCACATTCGCCGTCTCGTCCACGCCGGACTCGTGGCCGTCGATGGCTCGTCGCAGGAAATGGAGGCGGACTTGAGGGTGATTGTAGAAGTAGGCCTTGATACATTGGCACGCGGCCAGCCGTAGGTCGAATGCCTGCACTGTGGGTACGCTCAGGGTCAGGTCGAGAAGGCCGTCGATTACGTAGACGGCTGGTATGCTATCCGCCTTGCCCACCTGTCCGTTGGCGGCGGCGGCGGCGGCGGGCGGGACCTCGTCTAAAACCGAAGGGACCTGCAGTTGGGCAAAGGTCTCCTGCAGCTTGGCATTACCTCTGATAGTATCGGCGCACGCCGTCAGAGCCTACGTCACACGTGTAAACAAGCCTTGCACGATACCTAGTAAGATGGGGAGTCCGAACCTCTGCTCTGATGGTCATCTCGGCATCATGGCTAAAAGCGAGCTGCAAGGCGTGGTAGAGGACGCCGTGCTGCCAGAAAGCCGCCTGATTCTGCGGGGTGCCAACGGCGCCAGGCACGAGGAAGAGCCGGATTACGGCTAGAAGTGCGTATATATTCCTGTTGCGCTGTTCCTGCGCCCAGAGGGCCACGTCCTCCTCCCCTCCCTTCCCGCTATGATATGTGCTCTCTAGCAGCTTCGCTAGGTGTGGTATGTAGCCTTCCTCACGGAAAAGAGACTGGTTTGACGGGTTGAGGCGGAGGAGGTTTGCGAGCAGGATCAGGCAGTCCTCGACTACTCTATCGCCCTCGGACAGGGACCCCTCGGCGGCGATTATGGCAAAGACACGCCCAAATACGTTGGAGAAGGCCACCAGCTTCTGGATATCGGGAGAGGAGGGAGTCAGGTAGGTCAAGAGGGTAAGGGCCTCATTGCGGACGGCGTCTCTCCGGTCGTCGAGGGCGGACACGAGCCTCGAGATCCCCAGGGGGGCGGTGAAGACACATATCTCGGTCCTCTCGGTGCGGGCGGAGTGGATGGCGAGGAGGAGCTGGAGGGAATAGAGCCGCGAGTAGAAGTCGTTGGTCTCGAGGAAGTCGAGGAGCAGGGTGATGTTCTCCTGCCGCTGGGTGAACTCGTCGGCCAGCCAGAGGGCGATCTCTTCGGACGCTTCGGGGCTGTCCTGGTTGGGGCTGAACAGCATCAGCAGGGTCTCGAGGACGACCTTGACGGTGTCGACATCCTCGCCGTCCTTGGACAAGCTGCCGATGAGACTCCTCAGAGCGCCCGAGGCGACGGAGGCGGGGTACTCTTTCGCGAAGCTCCGCAGGCCGAGGATGGCGGCGCGGCGGTCTTCGAGGAGGGTGGCAGAGCTGAGGCGGCCGCTGAGGACGGTTATGGTCTCGCCGACGGACTGCTTGGCCGGCGCAGCGGTGATGGTCGAGAACATGGTGGCTCGTGGTGGGGCTGGCGGGATAGGCTGCTGCGTGTCAAGTCCATTTGGCAGAAGCGGCGGCTACCGACCTAGGCGCATCGTAGTTGTCGGCGCGACGGGGACTGGATGGAGGTGTGTAAGAGAGTTGCTGTTGGAGGTTATAGGTGGTGATGGGCGAAGATGGGTGGAGTTTAGTACGTAGCATGCAAGTTCTGGCCAGGTAACGTAGGTACATCCTATGGAGCTCCCGGTGTCTGGTGTGTGCGACATGCCTATAGTACATGATGCATAGGGCATGCCTTAGGTACCTCTACCTACCTACATAGGTACAACTATGTACCTAACTACCTGTATTGCACTTACATATAGTCTGTCTCCTAGCCCCACCTACCTCTTAACTTTAGGTACCTTAGGGGCCTATCTAGGTACCTGTTGGCCTGAGGGGGGCCATCTACTGCATAGGTACCTAGGTAGGTACCTACCTAGGTACCTACCTGTGCCTACAGATACCTAATCCTAGGGTGTGCATCTAAGGAGGTATTAGGCATAGTAATATAGGCGTAAGAGGGAATGCCTTAGTAGAGTGCCTACGAAGTACCTAAGTACTTCCATTACACTATTGGCCTGTGCACCTGCACTCGTAGGGCACCTGGACGATAAGTACTGGGTACGTATCGAGCAGTGTGTAGGGGGGGCTGAGCATACGGACACAACAATGTACTGTGTACTTCCTCCGCCGCCACTCGCCGCAAGCTCGCGCCGTGTGCAACCAGGGCTTTTTCGTGTCGGCTGCAATTGCGACTTGACCTGAATTTCGCGCCGCCAAATGCAGCTTCAGCCCATTTTCTTCCACATGCAGATGTCATGTAGTCCTTTGTGTTGTCGCCATTCCCACGTCTTTCACCCGCCCAACGTCCGCCTCGTCGTGCCATTGTCCCTACACCTCCTCCTTCGGACTGGAGCCGTCTTCGAGGCCTTGGTAGGCAAATCCGGACTAAGGCGTGAGTGTCCACTCGCCGAGCGATCGCGACGACATTTCCGTACATAGCTTCGTCATCACCACCCCTTCAACCATCCATCATCATCGTCGAGCCGTCAGCCCGCCCGGCCTCGTCCTTCGCTTCGCTGTATCAGTCCTTTTAAGCCGCCTCGCGTGCCCCCGGGCGTGGAAAGATCTGTGAGCTCAAGACTTACCTCTCGTTCTTCCCGACGTCCGACCCGGCTTTGGTTTGGTCGCCGGCTAACGCTGTCCAGATAGATAGTCTCATCATCTAGACCCGCGGTGTCCCATGCGCTCGATACTCGTGCAATCTATCCCTCTTTTTCTTCCTATCCACCCACTCTCCCCGAAACGTCGATATTCGATATTTAGCCCAGGCTAAATCGGTCTCCTCGCAACCCCCCAGCTGCTTCCCTGCCGTCCCTCGCAAACTTGATCGCTGTAGGTTGGGGACATCCAAACCGCCATCATGGGTATTCCCGCTGCTTTCCGGTGGCTTTCCAACAAGTATCCGAAGATCATATCCCCTGTTGTAGAGGACCGGCCGATCGAGATGGACGATGGCACTGTCATTCCCGTCGACACCACCCGTCCGAATCCGAACGGCGAGGAGTTTGATAACCTGTACCTGGATATGAACGGCATCGTGCATCCTTGCTCGCATCCCGAGGACAAACCTGCCCCGAAAGACGAGGAGGAGATGATGCTTGAGATCTTCAAGTACACTGACCGCGTAGTGAACATGGTTCGCCCGAGAAAGTTGCTCATGATTGCCATTGGTAAGTCTCGTCGCCTTTAGGCGCTATCTTCTGGAGCTATTTTTATCTGTTTTTCTCGCTAACATTGATTCCCAGACGGTGTCGCGCCCCGCGCTAAGATGAACCAGCAGCGATCCCGGCGGTTCCGTTCCGCCCAGGAGGCCAAGGAGAAGCAGGCGGACAAGGAGGAGCTGTTGAATATGATCAAGAAGCAAAATGGCGGCGAACTGCCTCCCGAGACTCTCGAGGAAGTAAACAAGAAGGCTTTCGACTCAAACACTATCACACCCGGTACACCTTTCATGGATATTCTGGCGGCAAGCTTGAGGTATTGGTGTGCTTATAAGCTCAACACTGACCCTGGCTGGGCCAATATGAAGATCATCATCTCCGATGCTACGGTGCCCGGCGAGGGCGAGCATAAGATCATGAATTTCATCCGATCCCAGAGAACCTCTCCTGACCATGATCCCAATTCGAGACACGTTATCTACGGGTTAGACGCCGACTTGATCATGCTCGGGCTTGCTACCCACGAGCCCCACTTCCGTGTCCTGCGAGAAGATGTCTTCTTCCAGGAGGGCAAGGCTAGGATGTGCAAAATTTGCGGCCAGAAGGGGCACGATGCGCAGAATTGCCGAGGTACCGCCAAAGAGAAGCAGGGCGAATTTGATGAGAAGGACAAGGCTGTCTCTCTGAAGCCCTTCATCTGGCTCCATGTTTCAGTCTTGAGAGAATATCTTGCTGTCGAGCTCGACGTGCCTGGCCTGCCGTTTCGCTTTGATATCGAACGCGCCATCGATGACTGGGTATTCATGTGCTCCTTTGTTGGCAACGATTTCCTGCCCCATCTTCCGGCTTTGGAAATTCGCGAAAACGGCATTGATACGCTGACTGCTATCTGGAGAGACAACCTGCCCGCCATGGGCGGTTTTCTTACGAAAGACGGTCACGTTAATCTCGAGAGGGCCCAGTACATTCTCAACGGCCTAGCGAAACAGGAGGACGCCATTTTCCGGCGACGAAGAGAAGTCGAGGAGCGAAGGGAAGCTAGTGCCAAGAGACGGAAGCTGCAGGACCAAAGAAGTGGACGTGGCGGCGGTCAATATGGACGGGGCGCGGATAACAGTCCCGGTGGTGCTCTTCCGTCTGGCCTCTCAAAGACCCTCACCCACGACATGATCGTGAACCGGGGGGCCGGCCAAGATGCTAACGTAGCGAACAAGAGCGCTGCTGCAGTGCTCAAAAGCCGGATCCAGGCGCTTCAGTCCGAGGCCGCCGAGGGTAGCTCTGAAACCAAAAATTCCGATCCGTCAACACCACCTTCCGCACTCGGTAAACGTAAGGCGTCCATGGTAGAAGAGGAGAGCGCAAGCACCCCCGGAAGTAGTTCAGCTGCCAGCGACGAGCCGGAAGACCCGGTCCGGCTCTGGGAAGAGGGCTACGCCGACAGGTACTACGAACAAAAGTTTCACGTCGATCGGAAAGATATCGCATTCAGGCGCGAGGTTGCTCGGGCCTACGTCGAAGGCCTCGCTTGGGTGCTAAGGTACTACTTCCAAGGATGCCCGTCGTGGGAATGGTTCTACCCCTATCATTACGCACCCTTCGCTCAAGACTTCGTCGACATCGCCAAAATAGAGATCAATTTCGAGAAGGGTCGCATCGCCAGGCCCTTCGAGCAGCTGATGAGCGTTCAGCCGGCCGCCTCCCGCCACGTGCTGCCGGAGGTCTTCCACGACCTCATGACCGACTCGAATAGCCCGATCATCGACTTCTACCCCGAAGAATTCGAAATCGATCTCAACGGGAAGAAAATGGCCTGGCAGGGGGTGGCACTCCTTCCGTTCATCGAGATGCCCCGGCTACTCGCTGCTATCGAGGAGAAGTACCCGCTGCTGAGCGAGGCAGATGCGGCGCGCAATGGCGTCGGCAGAGAGGTGCTACTGCTGTCCGAGGCTAACCAGGATCTATACGACGACATATCAACGCATTTCTACTCCAAGAAGCAAGGCTCCCCAAAATATAAACTCGACCCCCGTCTCAGCCGGGGTCTATCCGGAAAGATTGAGAAGATGCCCGACTATTTACCCCACGGAAGTTTGGACTATCCCCTGGAAAGGAAGGGTATGCCCGACTTGGAGGATGACCGCTCGTTGACGTAAGTTTTGAAGTTCCGTGTTTCATTTGCGAATGCCTCCTCGGGGTTTCTAACGTCACTGTAGGGTTTACTATGAAATACCGATGGTCTCGAGCAATCACAAGTCGATGCTTTTGAGGGGTGCCCAGATGCCGACACCGGCACTCAATCGCAGCGACATAGAAGAATTGAAGGGGAAGATGAGAAACTCAGGACGAAGCCACGGAGGCGCGCCTCTAGGTCGCCAGAGTTTCGACGGAAACCGAAGGGAGAGGATCAACTACGGGCCGGATTCTTGGCGAGATAGGTCAGGCCGGCCGCCGCATCAAAACGGTTATAATTCGTACTCGGCGCCTCCCCAAGCTCCACCTCCGGGATGGATACCGCCGCCACCGGGATTTCCCGGGTTCGGGAACGGGTATCCGCCACCGCCACCTCCAGCGTACGCCGGCGGCGGGCGGGACGGCTTCGGGAACCCGTACGGCGGCAGTAACGGGGGCAATTACGGAGGGAACCATGGAGGAAGCCACGGAGGAAACTGGAGAGGAAATCCAGGGGGAAATCAAGGGTACGGCAGAGGAGGAGGAGGAGGGGGAGGAGGAGGGGGGGGGAGAGGAGGAAGAGGAGGATACGCTCCGCCGCCGCAAGGCGGTTACAACGGACAGTTTGCTCGGCCGCCGGCAGCTCACGACCATCACGATCGTCGATCGTATGGCGACCGGGGCGGCTACCGAGGTAATAATTCTCGCGGACGTGGGTATAGGTAATAGGCCGAGGGAGACGTAAGCGAGGATAGCGCCGCGCAGGTTCTCGTCTTGAGGCAATGTTAATGTCATGGACTCTGACGGACACAGTCTAGAGCCATATGTAGTAGTGGGGTTGGAGTTCGGTTTGGTATGTGGGTTTTAGACGGCCGTATCCTATCAATTTGATGATACCACCTACTGATTTGCTCCGCCTCAAGAGGGCGGTGGGATCTTACGTTTTTCCCGCCGTCTCTTAGGTTGATCGATATGCAATTGCGATATATTTTTATTTACTGGGTACCTACCTACCTAGGTACGTAGGCACCCACTACACGCATACATATACACGTACCATATTCATACACGTATATGCATAGGGGTTTCGCTTACTCGGCGCCATGGCCGGGGCAACCTACGTTACCGTCGAGTTCCTACAGAAAGGGATATTTTCTAGAATGGGGTGACGAACTCGCTAGCTGGTAGCTCGCGCTCGGGCGGCATGGACAAGGCAAGGAAAAGTTTTCCCTTCGGTTTCCACCACGCTGGCAGACACGACGTGCATGACGGACACGACAAAGAAGAAACAAGGGGTCGGCCCGTAGCGGGTTCTGTAGTTGGCGAAAAGAGGAGGTGTGCGTACCCTCTCATAGTCGGAGGTTGTATAGCTGGCGTGAATACGTACCTACGAGGTAGGCATACTCATAAATATTATATATAAATATATACACGCAGGTATGTGTTATTCCTATGATAAATACTCATACATATAACGCAGTCATGAGTAACAAACGGCACGGGTAAATGTGTTGTAAGCTGACGGGATACCTCTCGCGGGTTCGGGTGGGAAAATAAAATAAAACCAGAATAAAACTAGATAATTACCTACGTAGCCTTCTACGCAGTAGACATACCGTAGTACGATGTTTGTTCCCGACCACGACATGAAAATCGATACGGCGAAGTGAGAAGGGAATTGGGCAAAAAGGCGGGAAGTCGAGAGAGCGAGCTACGAAAGCAAGGGAAGTGTCTAACCTCTCTCTCTCTCTGCTCCCTCTCCCTCCCCCTTCGGCGCGCGCGCGGTGGCTCGCAGCAGCAGCCAACGAACCAGGTTGTAGTACAGTAGGGGGGGGGGGAATGGATGCGGGACTCGGCTGGGGGACTTGGGACTTGGACGACGACAACGGGACGGCTTTTTTCAGGGGTGCGCGATGGCCTTTCTCGGGATCAACGGTCCAAGCGATAGGAGGCGTGGCATGGGTTACCCCGCCAAAACGGGCCCACGACCAATTCCCAGCTTTTGGGGGCAGCGCAGGCTTCGAGCGGGCTAAGCCTGTCCGAGAGGCCAGGAGCCGCTGGGGCCACCGCGTTTCAGCGACGATAAGAGGGCGGGTCGGCAGGGAGAAGGACGATTGCGCGACGGGCCAGGGTTATTTTTATTTTTTATTTTTTTATTTTTTTGCTCTCGCGCCGCTCACGGCTCCTGGCTTAGCCGTCTGCCCGCTATCCATGGGTCTCCCGTCGCTGGCGCTGGCGCTGGCGTAGGTGCGTAGTAGTAGCAGCAGGACGGCAGGCGACGCTGGCTGGGTGGGCGGCGGAAGAGAGTCCGGCGGCAGCAGCGGCGGGCGCTGGTCGAGGCGGCCGGGGGGGAGGAGGAGGGAGGCCAGCGTGGGTGGTGCGCGCGCCTCTGGCAAGGTGTGTGTGCCTGTATCGGTGGAGGGATCGGCGTTGGCGGCGATGGGCCATAATAAGCCATACCCAGGAGACGGCTCGCGTTTGTTCAATGCGTGCGTGTGCGCATGCGTGCTGGGTCCCCGTAGGCAGGTAGCGACAGCGCAGAGCGGTGCGGGAACTTCCATGGCACGGCGAGACGAGACCCTCCTTCGCCTCGCGGCCCGTGGTTTGTGGCCCTTCTCGCTCGTCTAACCTCATGTATGTAGGTTGTTGTATGTGCTACGTAGTATGGCATGGCATGGGCATGGCGTCGGCATGGGCATGTATATGTATATGCCTATGGTATGTGTATGTGCGGTCAACGATTCCCGACTGATGCTGGCCGGAGGCGTTCGAATCCTACTATTACACCCTAACATCCTGCCTATGTGCATATTTTCATTGTCCCCCCGGCCTGTCGTGGGATTCGTCTCTCGTCTTCCTCGTAGCATTGCCTACTCGTACATTGCCGATGACCACCCCAACGGGGCACCGCCTGTGAGTATTGCCATGACGTTTGCCGTCCCTGGCTAACATGGAGACACACACACACACACACACACACACACACACACACATATATATATATATATGTCTACATCTACCTACACCCGTCGGTCGGCCCGTCCGTCCGTCTCCATAACAGGCTGACGGATGCCCCGAATGGATTATGATGTCGACCATAATATAGGCATGTAATTTGCATCGCACGCCCTCAGGACCTGCCAATAGTTAGGTGAATAGACCAGTCCACACCGGCCCACCCTGCCAGGCATTGGTAGTGGTCATGCCTGCATTACATTGCATACATGGCATATAATATAGGAGGTGGTATAGTATAGGTGGTGTTGCACCCTGCCTCGACAGCGGAACAACCGCCCCCCCCAATCCCCCTCCCTGGCCGGGCTCCCCATCCTTTCCCCATCGCGGCCCTGGCCTTTTTTACCTAGCTCGGTTGGACTTGTTTGCTCGCAGAGGGCCGGCCACCTTGTCTAGTTTGTTGTTGTTATTGTCGTGCCTGCGTGGTCGAGCTCCCATCACGTTGTCATACCATACACCAACCCGGCAGAGTGCGCCATGCCAGGGGGGAGGGGGGAACAGAGGATGGGATGGTGATGCTGGTGCTGAATGCTGGTTGCCGTGCGCGTGGGTTGTATATGTATTATATATATATGTGTGTGTGTGTGTGGATTTATACCTGTATCCACTATATATATATATATATATATATATATATATATATATATACACATATATATGCTTACATGCATACGTACCTAAGGTAGGGTGCTTCGAGGTAGTACCTCCTAAGATAGAGCTCTAGGTACCTAACCTACCTAGGTACCTGAGGAATATGCGTATATTTATATGTGTATTTACCTGACCTACTAATGCGTGCATGTATATATGACTCTATAGGGATTATCGGGCGTCCCGCTGCTCTTCTCCAGAGCATATTACCTACGAGTAATCTCGTCGGCCCATAGTATGAGTACCCACGCATTGCATAGAGGCAAATGTAGTATAGCTGCATATTGTACCGCGCCGTACCTATTCGACCTACCTGCCGAACCAGACCAAAACGAGACCAGACCACATGCAGAGAACTCTTTCCTCTGTCCGAGACAGCATAATCAGATTGGGGGTTTTTTCTTCTTCTTCTTCTTCTTCTTATTGTTTTAGTCTTTTTTTTCCTTTTTCTTTTTTTTTTTTTTTATGTCAAGCCTTCTTCCTAGAGCTGTCCTATTCCCATATACACATTCTCTCTCTCTCTCTTCCACCACCGTAACCTCGTCCTCGCTCACCACCCCAGTCCCCAGTCCAAGTCCCCCCCCAGTCCCGCCGTATCCTACAATACCACCACTTATCGACGGGGCCCTATCGAAATCGAACGACGGCGCTGTCGCGAACCTCGAATTCTGTTCCACCGGACCCCAGCTCCTATATCTGCATCTGTTAAGGCGATACCCCCCCCCTCTCCCCGAAAAGCCCTCTCCGGGTTAGGAATCCCTCGAGAACAGCACACCTGCGCACACAAAACCTCATTGTAGTGCCTTCGTCTGTCTGGGTGTGCCTACTTACCCAATTCATTCTTCTCCCCTCCCCTCCCCAAGAACTCCCCCCCCCCAAGAACTCCCCGGTATTCGGTATACTGCGTGGCGGTAGTCCTCCTCCGTATTCTGCTTGGGACGGTCTTTTTTGAGAATCCGAGCTGTCGTTCTCGGAGGAGGGTAGGACAGTTCTGTTGCACAGCCGACCTCTCTCGTTCTTGGATATCGACCGGACATTTGCAACGAGCTACTCGACCAGCTTCTTGCACCGGCCGGTTGTGCTCCATGACGACGTCACAATGTTGAGAAGACCATCAATCGCGACCCGACGGTATACGAGCACAAGATGAACGGTGATGCAGGCCTCGTCGCATGCTTGGTCGAAAGACTCACAGCTAGGGTAACAACCGCAGCCTCTCTCCCCCTTCTCTCCCCCTCTCTCTTCCTGTCTCTGTCTCTGTCTCTCTCTGTCTTCTTCCTCTCTTACCTCCCTCCTTCCCTGTTCTCCTCGCTCCTCGTCTCTCCCGCCCTCTCTCGCCTCTACATGCGTAGCCTTGTCCGACAGTAGTACCATGCTTAGCTGTGTGTATATATATATATCGTGTCGTATGCGTGCGTATGTGTGCGTATGTGTATGTGAGCATATATGCATACGTACCCTACGTATGTCCGTTTCCTGCCACGCTGCCTAGTTTTATACCACCCGGTGCGAATATCGTCGACGTCGTGGCTAATCAACCTTTCTGCGCTCCAGCTTCCCCATCGCACCGGCACTGCGGGACACGGCCTCGACCACGACGATGTTGCTGTCATCACGCGCGCGACCCTCGTAAGAATTAGTGCAACTTCGATAGCGGCCGTGCTGGAACCGCTGGTCACGCTCCTGCAAGAATTGGCTCGCCCCTACAAGACGTTCGCGAGCCACCCGCACCACGTCCTCCTGTCAGAGGTCTACATCTTATCACTGACCGCCGACTGCTGCACCGCCCACTGGCAAGCCATCGGCAATGCCAGCAACGTCGGCGCTTTCGTCGTTCCCGTCCCCGGGACCAAGGGGCTCGAGCCGCTAGACGACGGACTCGTCAGCAGGATCTTCGACCATCTCAAGCTCCTCGTGGAGCCGCTGCCGGACAACTATGTCTTGCCCGCTCGGATGCTGCTAGACGAGAAGGCTGCCGCTGACATCTTCGACCCCCGTTTCGGTGACCCGACGTCCAGGGCCACCTCTTCGAACGGGTCCTACGACTCCCGCGAGGGCAGCAGGTCGATGGGCCAGAACGATATCGAGGACGTCGAGCCCTACGTCAAGGTCATAATTCAGTTCATAACCGCCGCAAACTGGCAGGCTTCCTTCGAGTACGCGCGGACTATCATCTTCGGCATTCGGGCTACCGACACCGCCCACGTCCACGCCGGCACAGCCCCGGCGATGTCCGAAGAGGAGAGGAGCGGCCTGGTCATGGTCCGCTTCCTCTCCTACACTTGGGTCGACGGCCAGAAGCTCGGATTCGTCATACAGGAGCTCGGGTCTAGCTTCCTCCATTTCCGGAGGACGTACCAGAATTCGGTGGCCACCGTCATGGCTATCTTGATCATCCGCTGGATCGAACACTACCCCGCCGATTTCGTCAAGATGCACAACCAACACAGGAAGCTAGATGGCGGACCCGACACCCTCTTCGACATGACAAACACCATGTCCGACGCCGCCAAGAGGCGATCAACCCTGTACCCCTTGCAGGTGGCCCTGCTCATGCTTATCCCCGACGTGTTCGAGGTGGCGAGCAACCTGCGGGATGCCAAGACCAGCGGCATGGCCAAGAAGGTCGCCTTTCTCGAGGGGTTGAGGAAGTCGCTCAGGAACAAGAATGATTCGGCCGGGTACTGCCTAGTTAGCCTCCTCCGGGCCGCCCGCCATTTCGACGAGAACGACGACAGCGATGCTGCCATTGTGAGCTACGCCATGGATGTCCAAGATGAAGTCCGAGATGCCGTCTTTCGCCGATACCATCCCAACGGGGACGGGGTCCTGTTCGACCAGGACTTGACCACCACGGCGTTCATCAGTCTCGCCCACCTTAATTTCGACGTCGAATCCTTGACGCAGTCGTGCCTTGATCCTTCCGCGCCCATATCTTTCAAGATCGCAATTATCCAAGCCTGCTCCTACTTTGCGAGACAGCCTAACGCTGCCGAATATCGCCGCCTGTTTACCGAGGCGGCCGGCTTTATACAGGCCCAGCTCAAGGTGAGATTTCGCGCAGGAGAACGCATCCGTACGCGGATGACGGAGATAGCGAAGCATGCTAACCTCAACAGACGATGTCTGCGACTTCCGCCGATATGTATATGGGAGATCGCCATTCGAAGCGCAAGGCATCCGAAACAAGCGCGTCGACGTCCCTGCTGATATGCAACACGCTGAACTTTCTCGACGCCTCTCCCACCACCCTCTTCGATTGCGCTCCGTCAGACCCCGCCGAGGCGAGCCAGTTCTACAAAGAAATCTTCGAGTCCTTCGCCTCTTGCCTCGTGACGGCAAACGACACCGTGAGGGACCTCGCTAGCTCCGTGGCTAAGAAGCTACTCGCTCCCGATGGCATTATCCCCTCGCTGCGGAAATCGGAGCTCCTCGACTCGCACAGCTTCAGTATCAAATTTTGGAAATTAACGTGGGTGAAATAAAATAAAAACTCCGAGTCGAGAGAGGCGCCTTGTTGCTGACGGGTGGGCTGTGTAGGTCGCTCGTTCTTATGGAGTTGTGCGAGAAGCAGGCGCATTACGGTCACGAAGCGTTGCTGCGGTCCATCCGCGGGTATCTCGAGTCGCGTCTATTGCTTCTCAGTTCCATCCAGGTTAGACGACGCGAAGCCCACGGTAGTCTGGCATCGCGACTTTGCTAACAAACTCGTAGGAGCTGTCCGTCGTCACGGAGGACGTCCCGGAACGCACCGCCGCTTCGACGAAACTCGAAACCCTATTCCTCATATCGCTGTGCTCGCCAGACATCGAAACGTGCCAACTCGTAACGGCTTGCATGGGGCTCTTCAACGAGGAATGCCGTCTGTTGGATTCGAAGGCCGGCGTCGCTAAGACGGCGAATCTCCTGTTACGAAATAGCGAGATCTTCAGCGAAATCGCCTCCCCCAACTTCAGATTCACGGGGATGATGGCTTTCCAGAAGCGGATTCGCGGGCTCTTGAGACGTATGAAGTACCCGAGCTTGGGCATCCTCGAGGCTTGGGAACTGGCTTTCGACAAGTGGATCCACCTGTCCAAGGATGTGTCGACGACGTCCGTGGAGAGCATCGACGAGAGGAAATTCTCCGAGTGGAGGAATTTCTCCGGGTTCCTCGCGTCGCTCGGCGGCATCTGCACGGCTGAGCAAGCCTACATCCTCGAGGAGCCTGCCGCTGGTGGTCTTAAATGGATCGACCGACTTTCTTCCGAGAACGATGAGGAAGCCCTCCTCAACAGATACCTCCGACTCAGCACTCAACTGCTCGAGTGTACCAACCTACGAGTCCGGGAGACCACGCGAGAAGTTCTGTCGATCGACATATCGCCGGCCCTCTACCAGCCCCTATTCAAGGCCCTCGAGTCGGAGCTCGAGGTGCTCTTTGCCGGCGCCCTCGAAGCGTCCGGCAAAGGCCCGGACGTGGAGATTATATTCGCCGAGCAGGCGGCGTCGTTATTGAAGTCATTGGTGGAACGGCTTGAAACACCCTACGAATTGGGAGCGGCGTCGTCGGTCCACTTCAGCTCGCTCGCCTTGAGCTTTGCCAAGTTCCTCGACGGTGTCGCCGATAATGTCGCCAGCTTGCGGGTTAAGATAAAAATCTGCCAACTATGCGAGTCCGTCAACAGGAAAAAGGAGCATCTAAACCTTCGCGACGATGTGAGGAAGCGCAACCAGCTCCTCGAATACATATTCAGCTGGATTGCCCGGCCGCATTCGCCGCCGTCGGAGGGCGGCTATTCGCAACTTCGTCAGGACGACGCCACGCGAGTTCAGAGAGACCTCGACAAAGCCTCTCTCCGTTGCCTCGCCGAACTCACGTACAGATTACCGTTACAGCCAGGAGATGGCCAGAGCGACGTCGGGACCAGTGAGATGAAGTCGCAAATGTTCCGCACCTATTTCAGCCGATTTCTTTCGCTGCTAAACCACGAATCGTCGGACAGTATTAGAGGGGACGTGGGCTCTTTGGTGAACCGCGACGAGGCCGGATCGACTGACCTCGCCATCACCATCCTCTCTAACCTGTTGAGCGCAAACATCGACGTCGGCCTGAAATACTCTCTCAACATCGGGTACAACGAAAATATTGAGATCCGCACTGCTTTCGTTAAAGTGCTTTATAACATCCTGGTGCAAGGGACCGAGTTCAACAACCTCTCCGACAAAGCGGTAAATGAGAAGTACGACGAGCTGCTTGAGGTAATGATTGTTAAACTCTCGGGGGATGCGGTCGCTTCGCTAACTTGGACTACCTAGCTTCTAACCCATGATATGAATCTCGCCGTCGCTATTAGCACTGTTTGCCCTAGCGGTGACGTCGAGGAACTCACTATTTCGATGCTGAATATCTTCGAATCTCGAGGGCTTACCTTCGACCTCATGGAGGCATTGATTAAGCAGGAGATCGAGGAAACGGGTAAGTTTGGCACTGCCGGCCTAATTTGCTCTCTTCCCCGCGACTAATTCACGCCGTCTTAGAAAATGAGTCTGAGATACTCCGTCGTAACTGTGTCGCCACCAAGATGCTCTCCATCTACGCGAAGTGGCAGGGCGCTGATTACCTCAAGGCGACCCTCCAGAAAGTCGTCGAGAGGTTAATGCTAACCTCGAAGGACCTAGATCTAGAACTAGATCCGACGCGGATATCGTCCCAAGAAGAGCTGGAGAAGAATGCTCTGCAACTACGGATTGTCGCCAAGGTGTTCATCGACGATATCTGTGCATCTTCCGTCAATATACCTCCTTCGTTTAGGAAGATCTGCAGCATAGTAAGTGTGGCTGGCATAGCACCTCGTACGATAACGCCGCTGTTGACACCGCACTAGATATCCGCGGCCGTGACGCCCAGGTTCCAGGAGGCCAAATACACGGCTGTCGGCGCCTTCATATTTCTGAGATTTTTCTGCCCCGCCATCGTGGCGCCGGAGGCGGACAATCTCGTAGACGTGCCGCCGTCTAAGGAGATGCGACGCGGTCTTCTCCTGATCGCCAAGGTCATCCAAAATTTAGCAAATAACGTTTTGTTCGGAGCGAAGGAGCCGTACATGTATCCCCTAAACAAATTCTTAGCGCAGAACATCTACCGCGTTACCACATTCCTCAGGGAGATCTCGGTAAGTGTTGCAATGTCGGCTTACGCTTCGATGTCTGTTAACACCCCCTACCCAGGTTCCCCCGACTCAGCTTGACGCGCCCCTAGTGGATGGCGAGCCCTTCGAGTTCGGCTCCTGCGTCGCGCTCCACAGGTTCTTATACGACCACTGGGACCACGTCCGGCAGCGGCTCATGTCTCAGGAGAGGCGAGAGCACGTCCGCTCTCCTAACGAGTTGACCCGCGGCCGATCACCCGTACTGGAGCCATTGCGGGCTCTCATAACTAACCTCGGACCGCCGCCCCTAGCGGTGACTTGGAACCGCCCTCAGGTCACCATGAATAGCCCTCTCGCTTACTCCAGATTCCAACATTTCATGCTTCGCAATGCCTTCCGAAGTACCGATTCTTTTATGACATCTCGCGCTATTTACGACGGCGGCGAGAGTAGGGTGCGTTAACGCGAATTCTCTATTGTGTGGATGTCCCTCCTCGGGGTTGCTAACGGACAATTAATCTTATAGGATGGACTGTCCGTCATTTGCGTGATTCTTCGTCACATCGATCAAGATTCTATAGACTATGATACCCTTTTGTATTGCTACTTGAAGGTAAGCCTCTCCCGTGTCCCCGCATCTTCCCTTTCCCCCTTCGCTGTATCTCGACTCTGCCTAACGGGTGTATAGATCGCAAGTCGGCTATGGCACAAACCCTTCGGCATACTCATCGACGCGACGTGCTATGACGGTCAAAACGAGCCACCGGACGAGCTGTTCAAGAAATTAGAGCTGCTCAGCCCGACCGAGTTGTCTCGGCAGCTATCTAGGATTTATATCTACAACATGAATAGCACTTTTAGGTAGGATGATCCTAGAAACAGCACTGCTTACCTCACATCACTAACGGGATCAGGAAATGCCTTCGACGTGTCCTCCGCGTGGCGACAAAGAGCGAGACGAACTCGCTGAATCCCGCCAACGTGGAATACCAACTATTCGGCAACCTTCCCGAGCTTCAGGCGCATTTCCATCTCAGCCAACTTAACCTGCCGAAGGAGACCATCAGCATGGTCACCGACACCCGATACACCTTCCAACCCGTCACGCGGCTCTCTAAGACGAAGGGAAATATCGAGGTTCAGCTGAAGGTTGGCGGCCAATTCGTTCAGGTCACTACTGTGAAGAAACAGGAAGTTCATCCAGGTTTTCGTCTGAGCGCAGTCGTCAACGATATTTTCCGCCTCGCGGACTTAGATGAGCCGCCGTCCCCCATCCCCGAAGACGAGACCACCTTTGGGATACGCGCAGATAACGGCAAGATCGTGTTGTATTTCCAGAGCGCCAAGAAGGCGGACGTGCTTCAGTCTATCCGGGGGGCCAAAGCCAAGTTGGGGAAGGATCCCAGGTCCTTGAAGTCGTTCGATAGGCTCATCCGGCCCCAGGACGTCCCCGGAACGCTGCTAAACCTCGCGTTGACGAACCTTTCCTCATCCGACCCCACGCTTCGGGTCGCGTCCTACAATCTCCTTGGCGCCCTCTGCCGCGCGTTCAAGTTCAAGGCAGCTTCGAAGTTTATGTGCCTCAATGGTCAGTGTCCCCTCACCCCGCGAACCGTTTCTGTCTTGACCTTGTCGACTAACCTCGCGTGTATAGACATCTCCATCCCGTTGGACCCCACCCAATTCATTATCAACGTCAGCAAGACGCTGGCTCAAGAGGAACCGCAGCTCACGGCCGACTTCTTGAACGAGTTCTTCTCCGGATGGGAGAGCTTCTCGGAGGACCAGAAGCCGCTAAGCCTGGCCTACATGGCGCCGTGGATACCGTGCCTACGCACGTCACTCCTGCCAGACGAAGCCGACAGCGAGAAGGCGAGGGAGAAGATTGCTTCGATCTTTAGAAAGCTGATAGACGTGACGATGACGGAGCCTTCGCTAGCTCTGACCCTCGAGTACACGGTCTGGCCGGCTATCTACAAGGATGAGGTCCTGCTGGACATCTTCCTCGACGAGATCGTCAAGGCGGCGATAGCAATGGGCCCATACGACGAGCATAGCCAGGCATTGGCGTCGATCGTGACGGTCATCGGCACGATAACACTCCGCGGCAAGATCATCTCGAGGCTTCGGAAGGCGCTGAATAGGTCGTCGCTCCGGCCGACGAAACTCCTCCCCGACAACGCCGTCTGGACTGAGATTTGCGTCCTGCTTCAGTTCTGCGTCTCCCTCTCGTTCGACTGCGGCGTTCAGTCGCAGCTCTACCTGCCCGAGATTTTCCACATAGTTACCATGTTGTCGAACACCGGCACCTACGATGTCCGAACGGTAGTCCATCGGCTACTCATAAATTCGATCCACGCTGCCTGCACCTCGTTCAAACTGGAGGACACGAAATTGTCGAAGCTTCGTAGCACGCTCGAAATTCTGTCCGAGCCAAGGGCGGAGGTCCTTTCCGCCCCCGTGGCTGTAGTGCGGGACGGGACCTCGATCTCGACGACACAAGAGGCGGGACTGTCTCTCTCGGCGACGGAGCACCTGGCCACTCTTCTATTCGAGACGTGCGCTGTGGCGGCACCGTCCGTCGACATGGCTAACGCGTGGCGGTCCAGATGGATGAGCCTAGTAGCCAGCACCGCGTTCCAGAATAACCCGGCGATCCAGCCGCGGGCATTCACCGTGATGGGATGCCTAGCGCGCGAGGAGGTGGACGACGACCTGCTCTACCAGGTCCTCGTAGCACTGCGCAATAGTGTCGGCCGCTTTGGCGAGGACGGCGGTAGCGACATGCTCGTCTCGATAGTCACGTCGCTGTCTAAGATGATCTCCAAGCTCACCTCGCCCTCTCGCTACGGCCCACAGCTGTTCTGGCTGGCGATCTCGCTAATCCGGCTCGTGCCGAGCGCCCTATTTAACTGCACGGCGCTGTTCCTCGAGGCTGTGCTGACGAATATCGGCACGACGGCCGAGCTGCGGAGCAACAAGATGTCGCAGCACCTCCTGCAGGGGCGGGCGCAGCTCGAGGATGCAGCACTCGCGCTCGACGACGCGTACGGGGTTCACTTTTCGCCCGAGCGATTCCACTTCGCGGTGTGCGTGTGCCTCTCGCGGGGACTGACAGACCCGGCAACGAAGGGGCCGGCGCTGCGGGTGCTGTCGACGCTGCTCGAGATGACGACGGACAGCTTCGGAGGGCCGGGCGCGGCTGCCGGTTCGCTGCCAGGGTCGTTCCACGCGTCGCCGTACCTAGCGTTGATCCAGGCGCGCGCCATCACGCCGGAGGACCTCAAGGAGTGTCTCTGGAGCGCGGGTATCAATCCGGTGGGCGTGGCGAACCTGGGGCCGACGCGCAGCCTACGGGACCTCGAGGACGTCAAGGATAAGGACCTGCTGCTCAACACGGCGATCACACTCGTCGACTTCCAGGTGCTCGATGACACAGTGCAGACGCATACGCTCACGTGGCTAAACGAGTTGGCTACGGGGCGGCCGGCGGTGGTGCTGCATCTGTAAGGCTTTCTTTTCTTCCTGTTCCCCTCACCATGACCTCGTCGTATTCGGGTAAAACGCCATGAGAGAAGTTGCTAATGACGTATATGATAGGTGCCCGAAGATCGCGTCGTTCCTAGACGAAATCCTGCTGCACGGACAGACGCCGTCTGTGCTGGTAGCGGCGCACGCGCTGCTCCGGACGCTGTCGGCAAACATCAAGTTCGCGAGCGCGCTGGAGAGCAACGGCGTACTCAACGAGATCCTCGAGGATATGGGGTTCGAGGGGCTGTGGCAATCGGGCTCGTCGTTTACCATCACCAGCTTCCAGGACGTCGACAAGCAGTGCTCGGTGCTGACGGAGAAACTAATCGAGGTACGTTTTTAGACGTCTCCGTCTGAACCGCGGTCGTACAGTGCTGCGAGAAAGACAGTGGCTAACTCAGTGTACGTATAGCTCATAATTGTCTGAAGAAAGGCGGGCGGGGTGAAGCATAGCGGGGATCTTTATATTTTATTTTAAAGGGCGGGTAAGGAGGAAAAAGCCATGTCGGTGCCGAGGGTGGGCAAGGCGAGGAGCGGGGGATTGGGAGTGAATTTCCAAATCGAAGCAGCGGAGCAAAGAGCCAAGGGGGATTTCTCACGATACTTAATCTCTCGAGCAGGGGAAAGACAAACGCGTAGCTAAACGGCGGGGGAACCCAAAAAATACGTGGCTGGTATATCATACGTCCAAGTAGTGTTTCATTTTGCCCTTCTCCTCCTGGGCCATCCGTCATCGTCGCGAACGGCGGGTGGAATGGGACGAAAGGGTGGTGAGTAGGGACGGGGAGGAGGAGAAGGATGGGTGAGATGTGTTCGCATATATGCCGAATAATCAATCGCTCGGCGGCGGAGGGGCAAAAGGGTGGGGGGAAGAGAGGAGGGCAGGGAGAGCAGGGCAGAGAGAGGAAGAGAGGTCTGGGTACGGTTAAGCGGCGCGTATATTGGTCCAATACATACCTAGATGCGTGCATGCCTGCATACGCAACAGGTACAGGGGCGTTGCGCATGGGCGTCATGCGCGCGTGTGCTTAAATCACGGTTTTTTTTCTCTTCAGTCTCTCTCCCTCTCCCGTTCTTTGTCGAGGGGGGAGACTGGGGGAGAGCTGGATGGACGTAAATACGGCGTGGGTTGCTCTCCGTACTCACGCGACGGACATCCCCTCTTGTAAGGCGTCTTTGCCTGGAGAGGGGAGGCGAGATGAAAACAGGATAGGAGGAGGGGAGGGAGGGGAAAGGGACAGGGGGTAAAAAGGGGGAGGCGAACGGCTCGGTTGCGGCACGGGGCGGGGATGGGACGAGATTGGGCGGGGAGGGGGGGGGATGCGTGATGGGTGTGATGGGCGTGATGATGCGTGGTGATGTTGTGACGAGGAAGAAGGAGAAGAAGGGGAGTTCTGGGAACGCAGGTACGTGTACGTACGTAGGCGACGGCACGGGATGAGAGAGACACGCGCGGCCCGAGTGGACTGGAGTGGATGCTCGGGCCGGCTCGAGGAAGATAGGTAGATGGTCGGGAGGGGGACTTGCCGTACCGTACTGATAGTCTACGGGCCGATCCAGAGAGAAGACTTCTGGATCTGGCGACGACGGGGCGGGTGGCTGGGAGGCGACTGGGAGGGAGGCAGCGGGCTGGTTGGGCTACAGAGGCCAGGTAGAGATACCTAGGTAGATTGACTGCCGCAGGAGTAAGAAGACTTGGGTGCCTACCTCTAGATGCGTGTGAGGTGTGTAGATGTGAGGTGTATATGTGCCTAGATGTGAGCGTATGTATGTATGTATGTATAACGTCTACGTGTCGGGAAGAGGCGACGCGCGTCGAGTCCCCATGCCCCCGCCGCCCTCCCTGCTAGGTACCTACGATTAATGAACACACTATCCCCCCTCGAAGACATGCTTCCTCTTATTCTTCTTCTTCCTCCTCCTCTTCTCCTGGTAGAGGCGGCGGTGTGGAATGGCATGCGAATGCCCTCGCAAAGGCCACACCTATCTGCTCCCTGGTTCGGGCGATGAGCCGTGGCTGGTTACGTAATTGTGCCTAGTTATAGGCGGGCAGGTAATATTTGGAGGCAGTCGCCGGGGAGGGTAGCAGCAACCGCTCTGTTCGGTGCCTGAGGCGCCCGAGCCGCCTCTCTGCTGCCTCAGGTATCCGGCCTGCCTTGCCCTGCCTCGAAGACACCCTCTTCGGCGCTTCATGTCAGGTTGGGTATCCAAGCAGGCCGCCACGGCAATCCTCCGAAACGATTAATTCTTCCTCCTTCTCCATCCATATCGAGATCGTACCCTTGGCCGCCGCCCCTCCGACCGTTCTCCTGCCCCCCACCTCTCCCTCCTCTCCCACCTCTCCCCGCGTTGGGCCACCCTCTCGCTCGTCTCTCTAGTGCCGGAGATCCACCACCCGTAGTCACAACAGCATCCAGGGTCTCGCACTGTAGCACTGTAAATTGTAACCGGCATAGTCGTCCTCTCTGATCCCCTCTCGACCCAGTGCCCATGGCGCCAAGCGTTCGTGCTAGACTGAAGAGGGCCTTCAGCAGTCGCGCCAAAGCCGACGGCGACTATCGCCCTACCACGGCCAACTCTCCAGACACTTCGTCTGCTTCCACGAGGCCCGAGGCTTTGCCTCTAACTCCAACTACACCGTCCGTCGCCGAGCCGCTCTCGCTCGAATCGCCCGCCGTCGCCAGGTCACCGGCGCAATCGGAGATCACTGCATCGTCGCTTTGGGATCGCGCCTACGACCGCCTCAGAGCCGAGGATGCGCAGTTGGCGGCGGAGTACGAGCAACTGCTCTCCGACGAGCTGCTGGAGACGGGTACGTCCTATCGTGTGATCATCGCCGTTCCCACTCCGAATCCTCACACCTTAATACATCGTAGCAGAGTCAGGCGCGACGGTTCAGGCAGCCGGCGACGCTCACCATAGTTGCCGGATTGACCATGAAAACCCCGGAAACCGCAAAGAACAGCTAAAGATGATAGTCGACCGCGCCCTGCTGCGTATAGACGAGAACAGGACAGACTACACCCTCTTCGGCCGCCGGTTCGTCCTGCCGATCCAGCACGCGCATCCCCCTACGGGAATCGAAGATATCAAATCCCTTCTTAGCTACGCGGTTAGCGCGTCGCCTGAAGCCTCCTGGGCTTGGGCAGGTGTCTGCGCCGCTCTCCCTATCCTCGCATATCATGGCGCCGCCGAACAGGCCAACCGTGACGGGTTCGCCTACGTCGCCACCCGCATGCGCCTCCATGCTGAGCTAGAGAACCAGCTGAGGCCGGCGATCTTGACGTCGTCCCCGGAGCAGAGATGGGAGCTCGAGGGTCTACTTATAGATCTCTATCGCCGTATCCTCAACTTCCAGCTCAGGAGCGTGTTGCGTCTCTATCGGACATGGCTTGTGGGGCGCGAAGGCGACGACTCTCCGCACGAAGATTGGAAGAGGATGCTATCCACGATCAAAGACCTAGAGGCGGCTCTTTACGACGTTCTTAAGACTGGACGGGGTCTGGTCTCGGGAGAAGAGTTAGAAAGGCTAATCCGGGATGCGGATCAATCAGCCGAGATTCTGTCCTCGTTCTTGTCGGTGTCTGAGCCACCGCCACCCGACCCCCCCGAAGAAGAGCAGGAACCTTTAGAAGAGACCGCTCTACCGACGCAAATCGTGAGGTATGCCGCTCGCCCGATTCCCCGGCCCCATTTACGTAGTCTGATGTCAAAAGCAGTGAACCCCTGGTGGAAGTGCACGACGCCGATCCGGCGCCCGTCGACCTTCCGACGGTAGATGATGCACGTTACGACAGCGCCGAGGTTCAGGACATTCCGAAGTGCTACGAAGCCACGGCGGCTAGCGTACGGGAGAGGATCGTCGAATGGACGAAGCAAGGAGCAGGGGAACCCATCTTCTGGCTCTCTGGCCCCGTAGGCACTGGCAAGACCACCGTCGCCCGCGCTCTCGTGGACTCCCTCGCCGCCGAGGGCTGGCTGGCTGCTAGTTATTTCTTCGACAGGGGAAGGGGAGGCTTCCGCAATGGCACCGCTCGCTTCTTCTCCACCATCGCCAGCCAACTGCGCGACACAATTCCACGGTTCGATGGCCATCTACGAAAGTCTCTAGGCGGCCTCGGGAGGGGTGCGTTAGAGAAGAGGGCCCTCGAAGATCAATTCAAGAAGGTTATCCTGGATCCCCTCACACATCTCTCCGAGGAGCCCGGTGGCATGGCAAGGGCCATGGTCATCGTCATTGACGCCCTAGACGAATGTGCACGACACGAACACGTAACCCGCATCCTTCACCTTCTGTCGCAGATCCAGACGCTTCGCACCATAGTTTTACGCGTACTCATTACTAGCAGGGATGTGGATCATATCGCCGACGCCTTCCAAAATCTCAGGACCGGCGGTATCGTCTATCGCCACTCGGACCTGCACCGGGATTTCCACGACGAGACGAAAGCCGATGTTTCCGCTTATTTAAGAGGGACCTTGGCGGTGATTAAGACTAAGAGGCATATTCTGGCATCTTGGCCCGACCCCGAAGATATCGATCGGCTCGTCGACTTAGCTTCGGACCCGTCACCGTTGTTCGTTTACGCGTCGGCCCTGTGTCGCTTTATAGACGGGGTGTTACCCAAGAAGCGGCTCCAGCTTTGGTTTCGGCAGTGTGACAACAACGTTTCGCAACTAGGTAGCGTTTACCTGCCTATATTTCAAGACTTCTTCAATGGCGTCGAAGATGAGATGAGAAAGGACGCGTTGCGAGTCCTCGGATCCGTCGTCCTCGTCGCTCGTCCCCTCTCAGCTCGAACTTTAGCCGCTCTGCTTAGCATGGACGAAGACGAAGTTTACGATCTCCTCTGGCGTTTTCGTCTCGTGCTGGCCGTGACTGCTGACCGTGACGCCCCCGTGCGGCCGTTGCACAAGTCTTTCGGTGACTTCGTGTGCGGCAAAGCACCCTCCGACCTAGACAGCCCCCAGGTGGGCGCCGCGGAAACACATGGAATGCTCGCATCCAAGTGCATCGACCGGATGAAGAGCAAGGAGAACGGACTCCGCAAAGATATGTGCAACCTCGGAGACTACGGGAAGCCGAGAGAAGAAATCGACCCGGCCACCATTGCCGAAGCTATTCCACCCGATCTTGAGTATGCCTGTGTCCATTGGGTGCACCATCTGCGCCGCTCCGGCCGTTTTGCTCTCCCAAAAGGTGTTATTTTTGATTTTCTCGCGTGTTACTTCCTATACTGGCTTGAGGTCCTCAACCTGATAGGGGCCGCGGACGAGAGTCTTCCCCTGATCCATGTCTTGCAGTCCCTGTTCGAGGTGAGTAACAACGAGAAGTGGACCGAGACTCAACAGCTGATACCTATATATTAATTCGCGTCTCCGTAGGGAGAGGAAAGGACTCGCTTTGGACAATTTCTGGACGGCGCGACCTCATTCATCCGACATAGTCAAGGGATAGCCAAGCGTGTACCGCTTCAGCTCTACGCTTCGGGGGTTTTGCTGGTCCCGGAACCTAGCACGATAGGGAGCATATTCTATCACGAGAAGCCTGGCAGAGTTTCCGTTGGGCCGTACCCGCCGCCTAGCCGTAGCCTCGAGACACAAGTGCTTGAAGGTTACGCTGCCGGAATTTACGCGCTCAGCTTTTCTGCTGATAAGAAGCTCCTAGCAGGGGTATCGGACGACGGCAGGATCACGGTATGGGATATAGCGAGCGGGCGCGCGATACAGCAGATGGGAAACCGTACCACCGAGTGGGAACAGACCAGGGTCAGCAGGATCGCGTTATCCCCCGACGGGGAGCTCCTAGCGTCGGCAACGTGTTCTGGTATCATCAGCCTCTGGAAACTGAGAACGGGAGAGATGCTACGAGAATTCGCAGGACACGCCGACAAAGTTTCTGCTCTTGCTTTTTTTTCCGAGCAGCTGATAGCATCGGGGTCGGCCGATCGGACGATTGCGCTATGGGACCCCATGACGGGGAAGGAGTTGCGGAGACTCAAAAGCCACACGGCAGCGGTTACAAGCCTTGCCCTCTCTCCTCGACGGAATCTCCTAGTATCGGCGTCGAACGGCGGGACGGTCCTGCTATGGGACCTAGCGAATGGAGGCGAGCCAAGGGAGGTAGACGGCCTTAACGGCAATAAGAACGCTATCGCCTTTTCCGCCGATGGTGAGATATTGGCGACGCAGTTGGATGACCGGTCTATCAAACTACGGGATGTCAAGACGGGGAGCACGCTCTGGGCTTTTATAGGCTACCGCGACGCGACGACTACCGCCTTTTCGTCGGATGGAAAATGGCTAGCAACGCCAGGCAGCGGAACGATCACCCTATGGAGTCTACAGACGGGAAAGGAAGACATCAAAAGCTATGGTCAGGCCGTCACGGCGGTGAAAATTTCGCCAGATGGCAAGTTAGCATTAACAGTAGTGGGCCGTCGCGGGATTGTAATCTGGGGTCTACGAATAGAATTCCAACAGCTAAGACTCAACTTCTCTACGGATATTTTAGCCGCCGCCTTCTCGCCGGATAGCCAGCTCCTAGCAGTAGCGTTGGGGGAACGGAAAGTTGTGCTATGGAACATAATAACAGGGGGTGAGCAACAGAGTCTCGACGCACATCACCGAACTAAACGGCGCCTGATGGAAGGAGATATTGTCTTCTCCCCGGATGGGACGGTATTGGCATTGGCATTGCCTCGCAGCCCGATACTGCTGTGGGATGTTGAGACGGGACACGCGCTACATAAACTTGGAGTTGGGTTCACATCTAATATCGCTTTTTCACTAGACGGCGCGATGCTAGCTTCGACGTCGGTGGATAACGCAGGGTCAATCGCCGGGCTGTGGGATCTCCGGACAGCGGGTAGTGAAAGGAAGCTCCAAGGTCACCACAGAGAAGTGAACTGTCTGGCGTTTTCCCACAATCACAAACTCGCATCGGCGTCTCAGGACTGGACGGTCAGGATATGGGATCCGGCGACGGAGAACCAGGAGCTAGAACTCTTCCACTGCGGGGTTCGGGCTGTCGCCTTCTCGCCGGACGGCACGCTGCTGGCGTCGGCGTCCAACTGCACCGTCAAGCTGTGGGACCTCGCGACGGGGGAGGCGCGGCGCGAGTTCGAGATTGACGGCGTCAAGGCGTTAGCCTTCTCTACCCAGAAGCCCTTCCTGGAAACGAACAGAGGTATCTTCAACATCGAAAGCTACTATGTGCCGGCCGGGTTTTCAGCGCGGACGAGCGCGATCACGACCGAAGTGACGATTCGGGATGAATGGATCGTTCGGGATTCGGAGCGCCTCGTCTGGCTCCCTCCCGAGTACAGACCCCGATGTTCCGCCGTGAGCGGCGATCGCTTCGTGCTGGGGTGCGCCTCTGGGATGGTGGTATTCGTGAATTTTGATCTGACAAGCGACGGCGAGCGAAATGAGCTTGTGTAGCATCCCCCTCCCGTACCACGAGATGAGAAGGGGGGCGCGTCGTGTAGGCTGCGGCGGCGGGTTAGGCACGGTGATATCGCGATCCTGTGGGAAGTAGGGTAGTCGAAGGTGCGGGTCTGGAAAAGGGGCGAGTACGCACTCCCACGGAACTGAATACCGCGATGAGGAGAGGGATAGCTGTAGGAAACGGCGGGGGCTTCTCATGTATATCTAAGAGTTTAAGTGGAGGAATCGCTTCTGGGAATAACGAGTTACGATAGGGGGGTTAGGTCTATACTCATCGAGAGTAACAAGCACCTAGTGATCTCCAGGCGTGTTCTTCTAGGTACCTACTTTAATGCAGACACCATCCATCTCTACATTAGGTTAGATACCTAGGTACTTATGCACGGGATACCTGGCATAAATTACATACCTAGTTACTCCAATCCCGAGTTCTCGGATTAGAGGAAAAAGGTTAACTTAAAAGCTCTCGTTGCCTGGAAGTTTAAAATAAGGTTATTCCTCTGAGGAAAGAGATACCGACAGAGAAACGAGGACTCTTATATAACGGCGCACTAACCAGAAATGGAAGTATCGAGGTACGTACCTTAGCCAGGGATCTCTTAAGATTGGCATCAACATCTTCGATGCATCATCTATTTCCGCTGTTTGGTTCCTACATCTGTATTTTAATACCTCCTACAGCGGTTGTTTTATTTATTTATTCCCGATTACTTCTCCATTTCTCCATTTCTCCTATCCACGCCCAGAAACAACCGGGGGGGATCAATACCCCCGTCTTCGCGCGATACGATGCGACGCTCGTCGCGGATCGCGGCGCGGGACCAGCAGCATCAGGGCCCGAGTCTAGTTTCGAGCTCACCTCTAATTCCACCATCAAAAAATGTCAAAGATGCCACAACGGCCCGGCTCGACGCGCCCCGGCTCGCCGTATCAGCCGGGGCCGGGGGAACGAAGAGGAAGAAGAGGCGCAGGGAGAGCAGTGACGCGTCGGACTACAACGCCACCGCCGACGACGACGCGACGGAGTCTGCCCGCGCGGCCAAGAGGCGCAAACCACGCCCATCACCACTCCCAACAGGGGCGGCCAGACGTCCCATCGACGACGCCAACGCCAGGACGCGCAAGAAAGCAGCGCGGGTCGACGAGCAACTCCTGCACGCGCGCATCTTCGGCAGACCACCACGCGCGCACCTCCCCGCGCCGGGCGGCGACCGCGCACGCCACAGCCTCGCGTACCACCGGCCGCTGCTGCTCGGCGACGGCGGGGCGCGGGAGGCGCTGCTGGCGTGGTTCGACGGGGTGAGCGGGGCGCGGGCGATGCCGTGGCGGAAGGCGTGGGTGGACCCGGGGGGCATCGGGGCCGGTAGCGGAAGGGGCTCGGACGCGGAGCAGGAGGGGGAGGAGCTGCGCGAGCGGGTGGCGCGGCGCGCGTACGAGGTCTGGATCAGCGAGGTGATGCTGCAGCAGACGCGGGCGGCGACGGCGGCGCCGTACTGGCGGCGGTGGACGGCACGGTGGCCGACGGTGGGCGCGCTGGCGGCGGCGCGGCCGGACGAGGTAGCGGCGGCGTGGCGCGGGCTCGGCTACTACGGCCGCGCGCGCCGCGCCCACGCCGCCGCGCGCCTGGTCGCGGCCGACCCGGAGCTGCGCGGCCTGCTGCCCGCGCGCGCGCGCGACCTCGCCCGCCGCGTCCCCGGCGTCGGCCGCTACACCGCCGGTGCCGTCTCGGCGATCGCGTTCGGCCGCGCCGCGCCCCTCGTCGACGGCAACGTCCTGCGCGTCCTCGGCCGCCAGACGGCGCTGCGCGCCGACGTCAAGGCCGACCGCGCCGCCGCCGAGGTCCTGTGGGCCGCCGCCGCGCGGCTCGTCCGCGTCGTCGCCGCCGGGCAGGCCGGAGCAGCCGCCGCCGACGACGGCGACGAGGACAGGGACGAGGACGACTTGCCCTTAAGCGACCGCCCCGGCCGCTGGGGCCAGGCCCTCATGGAGCTCGGGAGCACCGTCTGCACGCCGTTGCCCCGCTGCGGCGCCTGCCCCGTCACCGCGACCTGCCGCGCTTACGCGGAGGGCCTGCGCCGCGCGCGCCGCGCGATCGGGGGCCGGAAGGCGGCGAAGGGGAAGGGACCCGGCGCTGCTGCGTCGCGGCGGAAACAGCATCGGCAAGTCATCAGCGTTGACATCGAGGACGCGTGTACGCTGTGTACGCCGCTCGAGGACGAAGAGGAGGAGGAGGAGGAGGGAGGGGGAGGGGCCGACGTGGACCCGAGCGCATCTCCCCCGCGCGAGACCCAGTCCTCGGTCACGTCGAGGGCACCGTCCGCATCGACGGACCGGATCCGGGCGGCGCTGCGGCCCTTCGCGTTCGCGTTCGCGTCCGCGCCGACGGGGAAGCGAGGAACAGCCGACGCAGAACAAGAACAGCAAGGAGCAGAAGATGAAAAGGATGAAGAAGAAGAGCAGAAGATACCCGACGCCGCGACGCTGCGTGCCATCGCGGCCTACGCGCGCGGGTTCCCGGCGCCGGCGGCGAAGAAGGCGGTGCGCGAGGAGGAGACGGTGGTGTGCGTGATCTCCAGACGGCGACGGCGGGGCGGTGAGGGGCTAGAAGGAGGAGAAGAGGAGGAGGGAGATGGTGGAGGAGGAGAGCGCCAGTTCCTGATCCGTCGGCGGCCGCTGAAGGGCTTGCTGGCTGGCATGTGGGAGATGCCGAGCTGCACGCTGCCGGCGGTGGCGGGGGGCGAGGACGGGGAGGAGAGCGGAGAGGGTGAGGGTGAGGGGAAGGAGGACGGGGACGGGGACAGCGACCGAGATGAGAGCGCGGATGCGAGATCGCCTGGGAGAGGAGGAGGAGGGAGGAAGCGTGGGAGGGGCGTTCAGAAGAAAAAGAGGGAGAAGAAGGGGAAGGGCAGCAGCAGCAGCGCCCACACGCCCGAGGCGCGCGGCCGCGCGGCCCGGCGCTACGCGGCGGAGACGCTGCGGCTGGCGGCGGGGTCGCGGTCGGCGCTGGCGCACGCCGGCGAGCTGGCCAGCGTGCCGTGGCAGTTCTCGCACCTCAGGCTGACGATGCACGTGCACCTGTTCGAGCTGCGGGGGCGGGCGGGTGACGATAACGCAGAAGATGATGGAGAGGGGGACGCGGGAAGCACGGCGCAGAGCCGCTGGGCCGACGCCGCCGCCCTCGACGCCGAGACCATGGGCTCCGGCATGCGCAAGTGCTGGGCCCTGGCCAAGGAGGCGTGCGGGATCCGCGATTAGGAGGGCTCCGGGAGGAGAGGGGCTGCTACGGGTGCGGGGGAGAGGTGGCGCGGCGGATGCGCCGTTAATTATCTACCTGCCATGCCATCGCCGATGTCTGTCTCCTTACGCGGTGGCGCGCGTGTCCGTAAGCTAACTCGCTCGCTTTATTTCTGTAAACGTCGCGGCCGCGTACTGAATACGAGGAGCTCTCCTCGAACAGCAGCATAGCCGGCCTTCTAGTCTATGGTAGAGTAGGAAAAGGAGCCTCGGGCCGTAGGTGTTGGGTCGTTCTCACATACTCAATCTACTCCTCTAACAATAGGCTACTACTCGTCTACGGATAGGTACGCATTATACCCGGTTCAGTAGGCTGGGTAAATCTATTCTTCTCGTTGCAACTGTCCGCATCTCCAAGGCTCTGGGGTTGGTGTCCTACAGACATCACATGGCGACTGAATAAATAGGGGCGTCTGGTATATCCCCTTCTTATGTCCAAGGGGCCTGGGCTAACCTGGATTCACTGACATGGTCTCGCTTTCGTCTCGCTTCTTTCCGTCATAATTTCCCACCTCCGCGGATGATAGACGCAGCACTTGCTAAAGAGGCGCTGCCCGCCCGGCTGGCGAGACAGATACGGCGCGGTGACCGAGCCGAGACGACGGATCTCATCATATCCTCGCTGTCGGGCCATGGAAGCATTAGGATGGGGCACGTCTTCACCGCGGGTAGCTATCTAAGAGAGGTAGTAATATACGAGTTCGCTGGCCACACATAGAACGTCGAGGTACACTGTAGTGCTTTGCACACGCATGTGAATCAACCTTAAGGAGGGTGCATCCTTTATTTTCTCTTCTAGCCTTGTTTCTTCTTCTCCCAGTCTATCCAAGGTCTCGTCCCAAGAATCTTTTTCGGTGTTGCTCGGCCTACCGTAGTGTCCTTAGCCGGATATCTCCCGCAATCCGTACGTAGCCCACCTACCCACACAGCGACTATTCTCGACCGACGCCCATCCATCGATATCACGCCGCTCCGTAGATCCAAGCCTACTTGGCTGGGGGGGTCTACATATTCACTCCCCCCTCCCGCCGCCGCTGCGGGCCGTGGTATCACACGTGCGCTAGGACCTCACAAGCGCAAGCCGGCCTGGACGAAGGCGGTCATGACGATGATCATGTTGACGAACCAGACGATGGTCCGGGCCGGGTACATGCGCCGGTTCTCCTGGCCCCAGATGTACACCCAGGTGTAGAGCGCGCGCGTGGCGAGGTAGCCGAGCGACAGCGCGTTCATGGTCGCGGCCGGGACGCCCGCCGCGTTGCCCGCCGTCACCGCCGCCGCGTACAGCCCCAGCGTCTCGAAGGCGTTGGCGCCCGCCGCCTCGGCGCGCTGCAGCCGCTGCCGGACCTGGTGGCACGGGGCGCGCGCGTTAGCAAGGGGGGGTTGGCTCTTTCTCTCTTGGTCTTTTCTCTCTTTGCCGCTTCTTACTGCCCCCACTCTCTTCTCCCCAGCCGACTCGCATGCACACTCTGAGGGGGAGGGGGGGGGGGGGGGGGGGATTCAAGAACTAGTGCTTACCCGCTTGTCGAGGTCGGAGCTCTCGAGCCTGGCGGTGAAGTTGCGCGGGTTCGAGCGGTCGAAGAACTGCTTGCCAGGGCCGCTGAGACCGGCGTAGAACCTCGGCAGCAAGGCCTGCGACGCAATGGATGGGTCAGTCGACGTGCTCTCATCGGGGCGGCTACTAGCTCTCGGTCCGAGACTAAGAGCGTCTTTTCCCCCGTCGTCCGCCCCGGACTTGGGCGGGGATTCCCGGGGTGACTTGCCATGAAGAGGGCGGCCGGGACCTGCGCGGATAGGTTAGCACGGACGTCCCGAGATGGGGCTTCTGAGGGGTTGGTGCTCGACTTACGGTCCAGTAGGAGATGTTCTTGTCGAACCCGAGGCCGGAACTGAGGCCGAGATAGGAAGCCATCGCGGTTATTGTGTGGGAGAGGGCACGCGCGCGGACGGTTTCGGGGGGCTCGGCTTACTTTCTCGGGTTGCAAATCGTCCGAGCTGCGGAAGTTGTAGGTCGTTAGTATCAGCGAGGCGTGCGAGGCATACGAAGTAGGGAGGGCATCGCTTTATATACGATGGAGAGAGGATTTCTATGGGTTTATGCGTACGCCGGCACATTGCCTACCCATGTACTTACCACGCATAGTTAAATACCTAGTATATATCTGCATATCGCGATGCTTGTTTTCCGCGTCGGAGATGGCCAAGCCAAGCCGCCGAACCCTACTAACTGCATAACCTCGGGCTCCGCTGAATGCGAATGCGAATGCGCGAGAGGCCGCCCTGAACGAATCCTTCCTAACGGGGCGACTAGTCGGTAATGAGTAGGTGTCTTGTTCCCATTCCTTCACAATGTTGGGTATAGGGAGCTTCGCTAGAACTCCTTTGTGTCGTTGGTCGTCGTTGTGGCTACCGGGCCCCATGCCGTCTGCGTCGGCCGTTTCATCCCGGCCCCGCTGCCGTGACAAAAGATCCCGGATGTTATTTATCATGGAGCATTAGCATTACTAATTATCCCTCGTAGTAGCCGTCGATCGATTCCGTCCGCTTCCATTCACTACCTAGGTGCACACCGCCCCGAAGCCATGGGCTGTATGGGCTGCCAAACTGGCGACCTGAGTCAACCCATCGTGAGCTTCGTTACGCCTATACAGGATACAGGGTACCTACCTCTCAGTCTCTAATAGGGCCTGTTCCTGTTCTACATCTACGGTGTTTACCTCCCGTTTGCCAGCGCTACGAGGTCCCCCTCCCCCCCCCTCCACCCCCGGCCGGTATGCCATAGCCACGCCCACTAGGATAGCCTACCCGTAGGCAGTATTCGGTTTTGATTAGACACAACAGCGAAGTAATCATAGGCCGTCGTTAGTCGAGATTGGTCAGCCAAAATCCGACAGCTAGGTAGATGCTGTCATCTCGATGCCAAGAGACGCCCACGTGGAATTGATTTCTAACACCTATCTGCCGGGTCGTGAGATCCTACATGGGTAGGTAGGTAATGTTATCGGAACTCGTATTATTGCTTGTCATCCCCCCCGTTCCGCCAGGCCGTTGCTTGCCTCTCCGATTTTACAACTCGGTATCCGCTACCCAAGCAAATGTCGGCAAACTCCTGTCGGCTAGCCGTTCGCTGCCTGTATACCCAGGCTTCTCGCAGCAATATCTCAAATGCAAACAGTCCCTTCCTTTGCTGAAACCAGCTCCGTGTCCAACCACCATCAGATCGAACGACACCTCGTATACCGCATCTTGCCGTCCAGCAGCCTATGTGCCGAGCCATCATAACCGTTCGCTGCGCAAGTCGCCCGGTACAAAAGGCTTATCCGCGGCTATTCCTGCCCTTCGCGCTTACACTTCCGCATACAACGGTTCGGATCCCGGGCCCCGTACGAACAAACCAGTTAAGGTCCGGAGACTGAGAGCAGTTTCATCGACACCAGCAAGAGCCCACAGGCGGAGAGGAGCGGGTTCGTCTCGCGACGACGGAGGGGGGAGTAGTCGAAATACAAACCCAAGCCCCTCCATAGAATACATGTCTTAACGCCAGACGGCTATTACCATTAAAAAGCTGACCATTGCGCCGACCGGGATCGTAACCCGGCACACCGGGACGGTTCGGCGTCACTACACCTCTGCCCCGGTTGCAACTCGGTATTTTGACGTAGGTGGCGTACGGACTGGCGCTCGAATCGTTGGACAGGTTGCCTGACGTTGGTAGGTTCGGTAGACACTCGAATCGCGTACTGTGCCCATTTCGCATCTGGAAGGCAGATCGTAGTAGCCACCTTTGCGGGAGGTTTAGGTGCGGTGAAATGCTTCCTGGATGGGTGCCCCTTCGCGCAACACGCCGGCAATAAACCAGGGCAAGTAGAGATGCGTGAAACCGGTGCAAATCGCATCGCCCGAGCCAGTCCGAACCGGCCCGAGAGGGATAGAGAAACGCGGGTGGCCCAGGAACGAATCCGATACCAAATAGTAAAATATACTACAGCGCCATGTCGTCTCACGTAAATTCAGTTCCTGTCCAATCTCCCCACAAGTCCGTCACGTCGGAACCGAGCATGTCGAAGTTGAAGTCGGGATTGGAAACGGGTATCGCGCCAGAATCGGAGGATGGCGGGATTGTCCAAGGCATCGAGATCGGCATCCCGTCTCGTTGATACGGGGTGGTTGCCATCGGGACCGCGGGCGTCGGGTCTAACGGGAACGGAGTAATAGACTAGATCGATAATCAGCCATATGCATCACATGATATATATATATGTGTGTGTGTGTGTGTGCGCGCGCGCGCGTGTGCGCGGAGGTGGATCTAGACGTACTTTGGCTCGACTGACCGGGTCGACAACCGTCTGCGGCGTGTCCGCGTGCGACTGCGGCTGCTGGTTGTGGTAAGGGGGGATCTGAAACGCGAGCAGCTTGTAATGCAGGCTGATGAACCGCTCCGCTGCCGCTGCTTTGGCGGCTTCCGATGTTTTGATACCCATGTGTGTCTCCAAGAGGCCGAAGGCCGCGCACATGGACGAGTACCCCCACGGATCGTTATTGCCGCATCTCAGCACTCGGTCCTCCTTCATCGCAATGCACTTCTCAACCAGTTTTAGCGTCTCGTGCGCGTTCGACATGATGAGGCTCGTCGAATCTAGAACGGAGACTGTCAGCGTCGTGCCCGGATAGGGGAACCGCAAAAAAAAAAAAAGCTCATGTCCAATTCCCTGTTTTCGGTTAACCTTACCTTTGGGTTGGTGAAGTGTTACGTTGCAGAGATTGATGACCGAATTCATAGTATCTTCGCGGAGGAAATACAGGGTTCGAATCCCCTTTTGGTAAAGACAATCGTGCATCATGACAATATCTCGGGCGGCAGTGTAGTATATGAGCTCAGCGACTTGGTACTTGGAGTTGAATTTTCGCAGCTTGAGGTACGGCTGGTGGAGCGGAATGAGGTACTGCCTCAGTTGGATGTGCAGCAACGTGCTCGCTAAGATGGGCTTTTGAGAATACTCGCCGTTCCTTCCTGTATCCGAATCCCACGACGGTAGCTGGTCGATCTCGTGGGTAATCATATCGCTATACTGGAGGACTTGCTCCCATTCGAGATCCGTCGGCGGGCCGGTAAGCAACTTGGTCAGCTCGAGGCGAAGCGACAGACTTCGACGGCTGATATGCTGGTAGGACGAGCACGTGTACTCGTTCGCCGGGCGGGAGATGGGGAGGTGCTGCGAGTTCTCGTCGAACGAGTCGTCGTCGATGTTCTTAGGCGCATCTACGTCGTTGTGCACCGCGCCTAGGAGGGTGGGATGCCCTTGGTCGAAGGCCGCCTGGACGTCAAACTCGACCATCGTGGCCCATAAGCGCCGCCGCATCTCCGCAAAGTAGGGCGAGATCTGCGCCGTTACGTGGTCGGGATCTTGGTGGAGCCCCACGGTGATGCCATCGCGGATCATCGCGCCCGACGTGGTCCAAAATCTCTTCTTCTTGACGATGTTGACCCTCTTGGCGAGGTAGAGCAGACACGAAATCTGATAGTGGACTAGCTTGCGGTGTTTCTGGCTTTGTCGCTGGTGCCACTCGTCACATGCCCGGACGCACCTCTCGGCCATTTGGATCGAGCTCGACTTGACGCCCACGAATTTGCTGGATGCCTGCATGTCGAGACTGCACGACACGGAAATCATGGAGAGGAGGAGTGCCGTGAATGCGGCGTTCTTCGTCTTTGCCGGGTCCCAGAATGCCTCGTACTCGGCCTTGAAGGTGGGTACGTGGATGATGCGGTGGATCTGTTCGAACTGGTCCAGGTATACGGCAACGAGGGAATCCGTCTCCTCCTTGGGGGGGAGCAGTGACTCCAAGAGAAGGTCCGGTTCTCTGAACTTCTTCTCCCGCTCTTCCTTCCGCCTCCCGCGGTCCTTCTTCTGGATATTGAGGGGTTGAAGCCATTCCTCGGCCGTCTCTCTCATGAAGTGGTATATGCCCGTCAGTTCCTGCAGCGACGACCAAGCGTTATGTGGGCCAACATATTTTGTCTTGAAGTCATGCCCGCGTAGGTTTTGAAACTCAGACACCTCCGGATTCTCTCGAGGAGTGAATGCTGGGTTGGAGCGCACAGAGTGACCGTCCCTGACCGAATCCTTTAGCGTCGCTGGTGAGGCTACTATGGTGCTGCCGTCTATCGAGGCTTGCTTCGAGAGTGTATTTTTGAGCTGGGTGACCTCGAGCTCGAGGCGCCTCAGCCTCTCCTGATCGCGAGCGACATCCCTAGACACGGGGAGGTCAACCTCGCGGCGCGTCGACGGCGGGTTTGCGGCCGGGCGACGAATTTCTGCTCCGTATGTCACCGGTGCCCCGGGCGGAGCAAAAGGGGCTCTATCGCCGGCCGGGATGGTCATGGAGCCGGGCCGCGCTTCGTAACTACACCTCTCGGGCGTACCAGACTTGATACAGCGGTCGCAAGGAAGCTCTCGCGAGCAAGACAGCTTCCGACGGCGACATTCCAGACAGGAGAGCCGGACCCTCTGACGCTTCCTGGCGGGGCCTTGCTGGTGGTCATCATGCTCGTGTTCGAGCTCATCGTCCTCGGGCGGCGGATGGGCGGTACTGCTGCTGCTGCCGCCGCCGCCGTCGCTTTTACTGCTGGCTTGAGCGTCTGCCATGGTCCCAGAGGGGAAGCGGAAGCTGGGGCGGTACTGTATGGCAGGCAGATGGGCCAGGCCTCGCGATGGGACGTAGCTGGAAGATTGATAAGATCAGCCGAGAGAACCAAGCAAAACTAAGTAAGTGGGTAGCTGCATACCTCGACATCGGAGACAAACAGAAGGAATGGCTGAGACTTGTTGACTAGCAAAGGCGAGGTAGCTCGGTGAAAGACTCGGAGATCCGAGCAACCCCTCGGAAATCGGATTTAGAGAGTGGCTCCAGCAAACGCGACGCGCGGCATCAAGCCATGGCGTGGCAAGCCAGGGCGGGTCTTAGCGAATATCGACTAATTATCGTGCTCGATGCCGAAAGGTAACCAACAGCTTGCCGCCGGCATCTGGCCGCCTAGACATGTTCGGTCGAGGGAGGGGAGAGAGGAAGACGAGGAGGAAAGTTGTGGGATGGGGTGACGACGATCCCGCTGACCCAGCGGATATGGCGTCACGTGGTTTGCGCCTTATCGAGCGGCTTATCTTCGTCTGTAATATAGCGAAGACCTCTTCGTGTCAGATCTATCATTTTCGTTCGAAGTCGGGATGATCCCCAGGCCGAGATGAGAAATCGAGGTCGAAGATGAGATGTATACGATGCTACATCGTGGTAGGAGTGGAAGCTAGGGATGTACATGTGTAGGTACCTAAGGTGGTGCGGAGTACATGGAGCACCTACACGTACCTATATCGGAGAGGAAGAGGAGGAAGAGGAGGAAGCTTGTCGAACCCCACTATGTGGCGGTATTTGTGGCTTCATGATACGGTCTCCACCATCTGTGGCTCATTGCCTGAGGTCGAAAATTGGACACACACCTTTTAAGAATTGTGCTGATCTATTATTAGGTCGACGCATTAGGTAAGCCCGTCGCGGCGCCACCTCTATGTGTACTCATAGTCGCGGACAAGCGAGGGTCCAACTTGTCCCGTGTCAAATCCGGTGCATAAGGAGTTCATCCTACGTCCCCTTGCTCGCTTCGTTTCGTATCACGGGCGCCCATCCGCCGTCGCAATGTGTTGAGCATACATAAGCCGTACCTGTACACGCGCACGCTGTAATTAACGTCTGCCGGGAACACCAGTAGGCGGTTGTGATCTGCAGCCAGAGACTCACCTCATCAGAAATGACTTGGTCGTCATGTTGCTACTACCCGTCGTAAGCCTGCTGGGCTTTGGGGCGTATTCCGCCCACGCTGCCGCTGTCGTGCCCGGGAAATCCTTTGATAGGTTCATCAGCATCTGGCTAGAGAACCAGGTACGTAGATAGGCAACACGCACTCCGCCTTTTTTTCTTTTTTCCCCCTTCTGTTTACGCGCCGACTAGCACTGACGATCATGACCGAGTGTGCTAGGATTTCACAAAGGTCGTTGCCGATCCCGACTTCGCCGACTTGAAGCGACTGGGTATCCTCCAAACCCGTTACTACGCCCATACCCATCCCAGCCAGGTGAGTCGCCCCGCGCGAAGACTCCCTCCTTCGAGCCGCGTGACCGGGCTGATCCTCCCATTGCCCACAGCCGAATTACCTGGCCGCCGTGGGGGGAGACTACTTCGGCCTAGATCATGACGATGTCATCCGCATCCCGTCCAACGTTTCTACCATCGTCGATCTCCTAGACACAAAGGGTATATCATGGAAGGGGTATTTCGAAGGGATGCCCGGCCCCGGATACATGGCCGAGGCGAGCATCGACACGCACGGGACCTGGGATTATGTTAGGAAGCACAAGTCAGTGCTCGTACGCAACGTCTGGTTGTTTGGCCTAATGGGACTAATATTGGGAACAGTCCGTTCGTTTCGTACGACTCGGTCAACACGAACGGTAGCCGGCTGCTGAACCTGTTATCCTTCAGAGACTTCCAGCGAGATCTGGCAGCCGGCACCGTGCCGCAGTTTGTCATGATGTCGCCCGATATGCTGAATGACGGCCACAACACTACGCTAGACTACGCGACCAAGTGGGCCCGCGGGTTCCTGCTCCCCTTGCTGGAGGAGGGCGTTTTCCAGGAGAGAACGCTGATCCAGCTCACGTACGACGAGACCGAGGATTACTCCGAGCCGAATCGTATCGTATCGCTCTTGCTCGGCAACGCCGTGCCCGAAAACCTGAAGGGTTCCGAGGACGACACGTTTTATACGCACTTCTCGATCCTGTCGACGGTCGAGAACAACTGGGAGTTGGCCAATTTGGGCCGATTCGACGTCGGCGCCAACGTGTTCAAGCTAGTCGCGGAGTCGACCGGCTACGTCAACAAAGACCCGCCGAACGTTGGGACCGTGAACAACTCGGTGTCGTATCCCGGGGTGTATAACGTGGACCACATCATCAAGAAGAAGACCATCCCGCCGCCGAACCTGAAGCTCATCGGAGCCGGCGGGCTCCCGGTGCTCCAGTCGATCCGCGAGACATGGAAGGACACGGCGAAGGACAAGTCGCCGTATGATGGGAGCGGCAGCGTGTACGACGGCACGCATCTCCCTATATATAAAACGCAAAAGAAGAATGGCGAGTAGGAGAGAGGCGCCGTCGGTTCGGGCCCACCTCGACAAGCGCGCTCGGGTGCTGGCCGCACGATAGACGCGTCGAATTTCGTCTACGCATAGAGGAAACCTAGCCCCTGTCCCATCGTAATTTGCACATCACATTCTGCCATTTGAGCTGGCAATCTTGGTCATCGGGACAGTAAAATGGGGGACTAGAGTAGGAATAGGCGCAATGAATGGTTTGGGGAGTATTTCTAGAGAGCGCTGCCAGGTTTTCTATGTAGGAAGAGGGAAAAAACAGAAACAAACAAAGCAATTTCGTCCGCCTCCTCCGTTCCATCATCCAAACGCCATAACGCCTCCTCCCCGCCCTTCTACATCTCGGGAGCGTTGATCATGGTGCCTTCTTGGGTATCGTCCTTGTTACACCGTCCCGATGTGGGTGGCTGTCATCGACATCATGTAATTCACCGCTGTCCTGGGCGCGTTCTCGTCGGCCGCGCCACTCGACAATGCGTAGGCGTGCGTCCGGTCCACTCTCCATACTGGCAGGCGAGGAGAGTCGGCCGCGTAGTCGGGCGCCTCCCGTTACGTAAGCTTCAGCGGGCAGCTCCGTGACCATACTAATGTCAACAGGAGGTTGGATCTTCTATAAAAGGTAGATCCGCTGCTCCCGTCACTAGACAATCTTTTTCTGTCTTTCCTCGACGTGTATGCAGCAACCGAACTTCAGCCACGGCATGCTCCACAGCGGCTGGGCCATGTCCCGTCACCTACTAACACACAGTCCTCCCGGTTCTAGCTTGCGATGACGCCCGCGACGGCTTGCACGATCTTGCAGCGGGGTGAGCTCCGACTCCGACAGATTTTCGCATGTTCTCAATTTTCCCTCGACCGATCATGCAGGTATGTGGTGGTGTCGTGATGTACCACACTGTCCTGGGGGGTAGCAAGCACGCCGCATCATCCACCTCACTCTACATCTCTCTTACACAATCTCCCTTGCTCATCTCTCTTGCTCAGCCCCCTTATCTCTTGTTTTCTTTCCCCTTCCCCCCCCTCCAATTTCCGGGACAGCAGGTGTCCAGCCAGATCCCGAAGGTCGCACGCGCCAGACATGCCCAGGTGATAGGCTCGCGAGCCAGCCGGAGGCTTAGGCCCGGCCGGCTGTCAGTGGAAACCGGCGGCTCGCCACGGTACATGGGACATGGGACATGTGACATGGCGCAATGGCGTCGGTGTCAATCTGGAAGGCGGTGCCCTTGTGCGTTTCTCTTATTAACCGGTTATCGGCCACGGGCGCCCCGTCAATCAGCGGCGGCGGTCGCGCACCCCCTTCCCCTCCCCCCCGGCCTGCGGGCAGGCACTGACATCATCCGTACGCGCGGCGGGTTGCGACTGACGTGAACGGGCTCGTGTTTGCTGCCGGCGCACGGTGATCGAGGAAAGCACCACCCATCGCCGCTAAGGCCCTGGGACCGTCCCTGCTTTCTGCGGATGCGCAGCACACGTAATGGTGACGTGCCCGGCGTTGCCTCGCATTTACTATTCGCCCCCCCTGGTGTGGCTTGCACCTGCTCGACCGCCCGATAGCCTGCAGGGAGCGAGCCATAAAGGAAGACGGCGCTCGGAGCTTTACCTCCAGCCCCTCTCTCCAGATCCCTAATCCGTTTACGATGGGCTTTTATTTTAGGCTTGCGCGATAAAAGAGAAGAGATCTCAGTAAAAGACAATCCCATCCCGATCCCTCTCTCGCCATTTCCCCATCTCCCCATTGCCATCCTGTCAGATACCCCATATCGTCATCCTTTTACCGCCTGCCGCCCTTCCGCTACGACAAGCCTGCGAACCTGCGAACCTGCGAACCTGCAAGCCTGCTGAGATCCGATCGATCTGCGCAATAATCGACGGGTCGACCAGGTTCGACAGACCTACCAGCTCCTATTTACCGTTCCTTGCCCCACACGCTTACCTCATCGTTACCCGTCCACCTCTGCTGAGAGAACCAACTTCGCCGAGAGAGATTCGGTGCCAAGAACGATGGCCTGCGATACCGACCCGCTGGGCTTATACGACCCCGGCAGCGATCCCAGCAATCCTACTTTCCCAGAGTCAGATCCGGACGCCGTCCCACAGAGCTTCACCTTCCCGAATCACCCCCAACAGCTGTCATGGGACCCTTACGCGCCGGAGAAGATGCCCGCGGGCGAAGGGTATCTTGATCAGTCGAGATCCATTCTTGACGTCGACCTCGTAATACAACCCTCCCGCCCCCCACTCCCTCGTCCTTTTCCTTCCTCTTTTCTTATGCACGTCTGGTTTCGGTACTGAACGAATGCTGAAATAGTGCCTAGGACGGCTACAGCCTAGCCGCGATGAGCGGAAACCTCATCTCTCCGCCATCATGGAAACCTCCTTCCGGTTCGCCGGCCAGGAGGTCTACCTGCGACGCCCACGGTTGCCGGGAGATCTCGGAAACGCACGACGCGAGACATCGGGATAAGCGCAGGCGCAGAGACTCCAAGTCAAGTACGTCATCTCTGTCACTTCACGACGATGACGGCGGCGGCGGCGACGCCGCCAGCCAGAGACACCACCACCGGCTCGAGAAGAACCGGGTCGCGGCGAGCAAGTGCCGACAGAAAAAGAAACGGGAGACGGCCATCCTCCAGGAGCGGGAGCGGGGCCTGGCAGCCCAGCGACAGTCACTCAAGTTGGCCGCAGACTCGCTCCGCGACGAGGTGGTCGGGCTGAGGAACGAGGTCTTGAAGCACGGCATGTGCGACTGCTCGGTAATCCAACGATATATAATGGAGACGGCGAGGCAGGTCGCTTGAATCGCTGCAGATGATGTACGATGTCAGTGTGTGGCCTCCGGCGTACCTATCGGGACCAGCGCTTGCTTTTCCTCGGCGCGTAGCTAGCTAGGATCGGCCACGATCCGTAAAAGTAATATTCGCGAAAGGGAAAAAAGGGGGGACTGGAAGGTTGTCCTAGAAGATTGGCCACTGTAGAGATTGACCACCGCTGAGGCCAGTCAACATCGATCGAGGAGGGAAGATCTTAACCACGGAAATGCCGTTGCTTTCGGCGTAATAGGACTAGAGATCTGTAGCTCACTCGATGGGGCAAACCCCAGACAATACAACATCCTGAAACCTCGAATGCCATACCCGCCCTCGGGAGTATTCCTAGCGGGTTTCCGTGATCACCTCTCACCACTTGTCAGTAGGAGGAGATTTCATTCCAGCCAAAAAAAGGGCATATGGGCCTGTACTGTACTATGTAGTATATAAGTCATCGCAGGCCGACAGCTGTAACTGGCTGTGCATATGCCTGTCGATCTTATGAATCTAGGACTTCGCAGTCCGTCGACAGCCGCCACGGCGCGGCACAAAAAACAAGCTAACGTAGCACCATATTATGTCTTCCTCTCGAAAATGATCACATATCCGCGCCGTTCTCTATTTTTCTCCAACATCTTCCCCCTTTTACAACTGAACAATCCCGTTTGCCTCCTCCCTCTCCGGCTACACACCACCTCGCACCAACTGGGCCGGCGATGGCGGCGAGGAGCGTCGGCGTCGGCGGCGTCTTCGCGGCGCTGATCCGGACGCACCACATCACGAGTCGGAAGAAGCTGGGGCGGGTGCGGCGCGCCGCGGCGCAGCACGGGCTGCGGCGGCTGCTGGTCCGCAGCGGCGGGTCGCCGGGGCTCATGTATGGCGAGGCGGCGAGCGCGGCCGCCGTCGCCGCCTGGGTCGCCGCTGTCCAGGCCCTGCGGTACAAGGACTTCCAGTGCGCGCGGCGGCCCGGCGACGCCGCCCCCCTGGTCCGGCCCGAGGGCGACGAGGGGGGTAGGGGTGGGGGTGGTGGCGCCGCGTTCGAGGAGGTCGCGTCCGTGGCCGAGTTCGCGGCCCGCATGGAGCGCCGCGGGCTGGGCACCTGGTGGCGCGTGGGAAGTGAGTGTCTCCCTCGGCGTGGAACTGGTCTGCTTTCGGTGGCTGCGCGCCGTCACGGCACGCGGTTAGAAGCCGTCGGTGGATGGGGCGTGCCCCGGTTTATCACGGCCCAGAGCTACCTCCCTCGGAGCCTCGACCGACACGAAGTACTAATTGCTAACTTGGATGCCGCAGTGGGCTACGAGGCGTCTGAGTGACAGCGGGACTAGCCGCGCGGAGGCATTTTCTGCAAGCCGCTCCGTCGCCGATGGGACGCTGCGGAAGTTGCTGAGCAGCATGGTTCGCCTCGCGACATTAATACCGCCAATGATCCTTGCTAGTCTGGCGGTCTAGCCCTGGAGTCCTCCTTATTACCGTATCTGGCCATCTACCGAGAGACGAGTTGGTACGCGAGAACTCGGCTGAGAGCTCATCGTCGTTATTTAAACACCGTGCTCGCAGTTTACTCGTCCCTGAATCACCAACATCCGAAGCTGCAACGCTTCGAGCTGACTGGCCTCATCTATCAGTTTCTTACCTTCGCCTGCTATCACGGAAACCAGGTCCTCCATCCGCACCCATCGTTTGGTCGATCAAGTCTCCGGCCAGAAGGCTCGGGTTTTCGCCTGGCGCTCATGCGGCCACAGTAAGGGCTAAATATAGGGCGGCAACAAATGACTCGGCTCATGCGCTTCGTCCCTCTACGCGCCGTCACATTGCCGACAGACCGGGGGGACATCTTCCAATACGACGCTGGCACCCAACGAGCAAGTTGTGGGGAGAAAATCTGGGGGATGAATTCATCCGCATGCTGGATAACCGGCGGGCCAATGAGACGTGTCGGGTGTATTAGGTTGCCTCTATGCATATTAAAAAAGCTGGACTGATTCTACCTCGCGGAATGTGTCGATCCTTAGTTCTTACGAGCACGATGTGCTCTCGGCCTCTCGACGAGGGCGTGGTCCTGGGAACATAAAAAACCAGGTCGTCCGCGGCCTGGATCGTCGGCCAGCTTGGCTCTATCCCCGACCCAGAACCACCACCAGACGTCACCACTGCTGCTGGTAGCACTCGAATCTCCCGACAGCTTAGCACAATGAGGTACTCGCTCTGCGCCGTGCTTGCCGGCATGGCTGCCACCAAGGCGGCCGGCCACGCTCTCTTCCAGGCCCTCTGGGTCGACGGCGTCGACATGATAAGTCTCACCCTGGGCACACACGCTTCCACCACCCCCTTGGGCTCGGCAGCAGCAGCAGACTGACCCACCTAGCACGGCCGCCAATGCGTTCGGATGCCTGCGTCCAACAGCCCCGTTACCAATGTCAACAGCGCCGACATACGCTGCAACGCGGGCGGCACTAGGGGCGTCTCGGGCAAGTGCGCCGTCCAGGCCGGCTCCACGGTGACCATCGAGATGCACCAGGTAAGCCTGGTGCGCACGAGCGCTCCCCAGACCTCTACGTGCGCCTGCGCGTGCATGCCCCGCGGCTCTGTCTAACCGGCGCGGATCTTTCTAGCAACCGGGCGACCGCTCGTGCGGCTCGGAGGCGATCGGCGGCGCGCACTACGGGCCGGTCAACGTGTACCTGAGCCAGGTGGCGGACGCGACGACGGCGGACGGGTCCGGGTCGTGGTACAAGATCTTCGCGGACTCGTGGTCGGCCAAGGGGTCGGTCGGCGACGCTGACAACTGGGGCACCAACGACCTCAACGCGTGCTGCGGCAAGATGGACGTGCCGCTGCCCGCCGACACGCCCGACGGCGACTACCTGCTGCGCGCCGAGGTCATCGCCCTGCACACGGCCGGGTCCGCCGGCGGCGCCCAGTTCTACATCTCGTGCTACCAGCTCAGCGTGCGCGGGGGGCAGACGCGGCCCGCATCCCTGCCCGCCGGCGTCAAGCTGCCCGGCGCGCTCAAGGCCAGCGACCCCGGCATCCAGATCAACATCCACGCCCGCGTGGCCAACTACGTCAACCCGGGCCCGGCCGTCGTGGCCGGCGGCACCACCAAGACGGCCGGGTCGGCGTGCGCTGCCGGCTGCGCGAAGACGTGCGCGGTCGGGTCCGGTCCCGTCGGCACCGCCATCGGCGGCGCCCTGCCCCAGCCCACCGGCGGCGGCCAGGCCGGCTGCGCTCAGGCCCGGTACCAGCAGTGCGGCGGCCAGGGGTACACGGGCTGCACCGCGTGCGCCGACGGCCTGACGTGCCAGGACGTGTCGGCGCCGTACTACTCGCAGTGCAACTAGGCGAAGGCGGGGGACGCGAAGGGGGGTTAGGAAGAAGAAGAGGCCGGGGGTAGGGCGACCTGTAGATACAATGTCAGCCCGTCCGTCAACTTGCCTACCTGCCTGTCCTAGTACCATAGCACGTATACCTATGTTACCTGGCGCGGCGCCTCGAGTCGCAGCCGGAATAGGAACTCGGTTAATACCTAGGTACCTCCTCTCTGCACGCCCACGCTCACGTCTAGGGCGCAAGTAGCCACGTCGACGTGGAATTCTCCAACGGGAGGCGGGCTTTGGCGTATCTATATCTAGGTTATCACATGCCCTGGTGCCTATGCGTCTTAAGCATAACAGCTCTCCAGTAGTCTGCATAAGCATAGGTATGCGGTAGATAACGTACCTCGATATGAAGCCCCTTTTGCTCTTTGGTTTCCTCATCTTCCTCCCCAGAGCCGCGCAGTCTCAGCTATGCTTCTCCCTGCCTCCCCCCAGGCCACAGCCTCATCGCACGTGTAGACATTTTGCCCACACGCACACACGCACGCATATACCTAGGTACCTACGTCGCACCCCAAATCTGACTCGCTATGCACTTATCGGGGCTAGGTATATCACATCCCCCTAACTCCTTATGTCGTCATTGCTTTACCTACCTAAGCGTCTCCGACGGCCTTCCGAGGTCCCTGTCCTTCCGATGGTCGCTCCGGTTCTGCTCTTTTTCTCCAACGCAGACCTCTCTTCCAAGTTGGTCGGCGCCTTTGGGTTTGTCCGTCTCTTCGTCCGTCGCTGGACCCCTTCTGACGACCTGCCTTTTCTTGCCTCTTGCCTTACCACCTGCCTGTCGCGTCCTTGCCATAGCTGCCTTGGAAATTAGGACCCTTTTTGTTGTTGATTTTCCTTGGCAGAAGACCTCTCTGTGCCTCGGCGCCGATGCTTGCCAAGAGGTGACAACTCGCGACGCTCGCAGGATCCAATCAGAGACATCCGCGGCATCCGCGAGCTCGTTCCTCTTCGTCGCTGGCTTCTAAATACTGTCCCAATCCCCCCATTGAGCAGGTAACTAGAGATTGCCAATTCATCTTAACTTCCCTCCCGATTATCTTATCAATCCGATCAACCTCCCTGCCCAGCCATGGCTGCCGTCACCATCGACCCGGCTCATAAGGACCGCATCATCTCGCACATGAACGCGGACCACTCGCGGGAGCTCGAACATTACCTGCGCGCCTACAATGGCCTGTCCGCGTCGGCCGCCCGAGGCGCGCAGCTCGCGGACCTCAAGCTCGACGCCATGATCATCACCACGCCGTCCCCCAAGAAGACGCACAGCGTCGCCATCAACCCTCCCCTGGGTTCCGCCTCTGACGCCCGCATCCGCCTCGTCGAGATGGCGTACGCGGCGCTACCTATCCTCGGCCTCAGCGACGTCCGCATCTCAGCCTGGACCTGGCCCCGCGGTGCCGGCCTCGTGTCGTTCCCCGGCGTCTTTCTGTACTTCCTCTGCGCGGGAACGCTGCCGCTCGTGCAGCCTGGCACGGCGGCGTGGGAATTCATCGACGCCAAGTTCCCGTCGTATGCGGGCGTATTCTCATCCTCTCTCGTGTCCTCGCTCCGCGCCGACGCCGGGATCGGGATCGGCGGGGCGCTGACCTACGTCTGGCTTGTGAAGGCCATCTTCCTACCTGTGTTGCTGATCCATATCGGGGAGGCGTGGTGGGTCGCGCGCTCGCGGCTGCGCCCCCACGGCGTCGACACTGGATCTGGCCTCTGGTGGCTCTGGGTCGTGAATACCTTCTTCGAGGGCCTTCCGGCCATAAAGCGGTTTGACGGCCTGGTCGCGGCCGAGCGACAGAAGAAGGAGGCCACAAAGCATTGATGATTCATGGCCTGCTCTCATCCATCCCCTTCTTTAGCAGTTGGTAGGAAAGGAGGATAAGTCGGTTAAGTGGCCATTCGAGGAGTGGTAGGGAAATGGTTCGGCTTAGTGACGTCGGTATTGGTGTTTGTTTTGATGCCGGCGAATCTGTCTCAATTACTATTGTTATTTTTCTTCGATGGGTGCGGACGGAGAACGGAGCCTCCGGATGAGAGGATTGGAGGTCAGAGGAGGACTGAACGCATCAATTGATATTGGTAGTTGGTTCCATTTCATTCCAAGGCCTTTCGCTCGGGGACTTTGGGGGACATGTCGACAGCTGGACCCTCCTACTATGAGGCTATTTATCGTTTAATATGCTCTCCCGATAGTCTATTCTTTGTAGAATGTGTGCAATGAGAAGGATCTCGCCGATCTCTGCGAGCCCGAAGAGCCCCATGAAAGTCTTGGACGGTCAACCGCCCTCCTGTGTATGGGGTTTTAAGTTCAGTTAGGTTTGGTACTATCACATCACTCGCTGTACGGTGTGCAACTAATACGCGGCTCAGAAGTAAAGCCTGCTGTGTGATAACTCGAGAGCCGGACTCGAGGGAATGTAATACTTGATAATATCACTATGTGTTTTCCACCACTTTGATATAAGGAAAGAGATGACAACGCGTAGTGAGAGCTCGTCCTAACTGGGAACTGGAATGTGGGTTCTCGTAGCAAGCGAAAAGGGGCAGAATCCACGGTGGTGGCTGGGTTTGAAGCCGCCTGGATTCTTGCTGTAACCCATGGCGAAGTAAAGAGGGTCATTAGGGAAACTAAGGGGGCCGGCCGTAACAAGGGGATGGATATGCTGCTAGGAGGTAGAGCTGTGTTCCACCCTCTTGCTGGAGCAAGCGGCGAATGCAACTGTGCATTCGTATTCAGCGTCGGGGGTCCGACGTGCCTAGGCAAGGAGTCGGACAGGACTTTGGCGACCTCGACGGTTGTTATCCCGGCCATGCTAGCAATTTCGTGCGTCAGAAAGGAATCTTTGTCGGTCTGTTGTCTGGCGTGTAGGCGGGATCTAGGGAGAGACGTGTGCTTGGTAGGCGTGAGGGGAGTAGGAGTAGGGAGGGATGCTGAAGGACGCAGAAGGCAGTGATTAGGAGAGGAAGTTAGGTTAGGTAGGTAGGTAATTAGGTGCCCAGATGGGAGGAGTGGAATGAGGTATACGTCACGGTGCTAGCCCAAGAGGACTCGACTCGCACTTCCCTCGTGTTCGTACTCACCTCCTTGAGCCCTCGCCAACTTGAAGGCATTCTGAAGACATTCCGCATTCGGACAGCCAGCAGAATACCTCTACCTACCTACAGGTATAGGTACCGCCAGGTGCTCAGTTTCGTATATCCAAAGTAGGTACCTGTCCTGCATTATTCTTACGAAGAAGTACCTCTCTCCCTCCTACTCGTAATGCAGCAGCTACATAACGCCGATGCCTGCCGCCGCAGCCGAGCGCGGGCAGAGGGAAGCCGTAGCTGCTGGGCCGCGTGGGGCGGAGGCAGGAGCTGCTAACGCCGGTGGGTCATACCCCTTAGGTAGGTACCTACCTATGTATGTATGTACGTAGCATGTACGTAGCACATACGCGGCACGTACGTGGAATTTACGTGATATAGGAGGTACCAACATAGTAATAGCCCGTGGTACGATCGGGACACGATCGGCTAGTTCGTCCGTCCCGCGGTTTCCTATATTACCTAGTATTTGACCCCGGGTGAGGCAACGCCACGGGAGGTGCCGACAGCCACGGGCCGTACAGAGATAAACAGATAGGAGAGATTTGGCCACCTCTGTGTCCGTTGGTACATATCATTACCTATAGCCCTCCCCGGGCATCCCTCGTGCGGAGAGAGAGAGAGAGAGAGAGAGAGGGAGAGAGAGCACGAAGTAATAGGGCACGTATTAGTCATTAGTCGAGCGTGTTACCACAAAGGGGGCCACATGGATTTCTCGACATGTCAACTTACCCGGTTTTCTGGCGGATGGGACTCCAACCTTGCAAAATCTCGAAGACTGCCCGTGGTGGGGAGATCGTGACCCCTCCAAGTTCTCCCGACCTAGAAGCGCAAGGGGAGAAACGTTGCGAGCGTCAACGCGCCTGCGCATACGTAACTGGGAATACGTAACTGCTGGAATAGCTGGGGGTTGCTTAGCATGAGCCAGCGGAGAATATTATAGCGGTAGGGCGATATAATACCACCTTGTTGGAAACATGCTCCACTCAGCATTATAGCGACGAAACTACCACGACTATTAATAGTCGGCTTGAGGGCCCAGCCTAGGGGGTCCCACAGTGCAATCCCCACGAGCGTGGCTCAATCTGCTCGTAACGTACGGCAGAGAAGCCTATCTGATATCGTACCCTTCTAGAATGCGTAATGCCGTGACGTGGCGTCTACCGACCCCAACATTGTGCCGTCCTGGTCATCGAGAGCCTCTAGCCCCAGCCAGTTACGGCGTTGCAAACCGGCCTCCACCCACCCTAGCAGACGAAGACCCCGGACGGGGATCACGGCACCCCGTGCTATGCTAAGCCCTCTTAGCCGCACGGGACATGCAGCTAAAGCTTATCATCGGGAGGGAGAAGAAGACCTCGGCGCACGTAATGCAATGCGAGCCTTCCGCAAGGATCCTGGATTGCCGGAGCTATTAACTGCTTGGGATCTTGGCACGTCGCTCTGTGGGGATGGCGGACAGGCTGTGAAACAGGGGGGGCGGTGTTGAAGGGGTTTTGACAGCTCGTTAAAGCCGGATCGGGAAATGGCTTCGCGGGGGGTTGTCCCGGGTTGTCCCAGCATCGCAGCTCGGCGGGAAACAACTTTGCAGCCCGAGTTGCGCCGGATGCAACGTCAGATATCAAACGCCCACCGAGAACTGGCTGGCTTCGCCCTGGAGGCTGAGACAGGGGCCAGGCGATGGCATCGCTTGCGGCTGGCACGCCGACAACCGCCTACGCGTCGCCGCCGTCGGGCGGGATATTCAACTATGTATAAGAATACTCCATCCCGCTAGCTTATGTTGACAATTTCCTCTTCTTGCTCAACCAGACGTCGACGTTCCGTGTTCAAAGACTCTTTTACTTCTATTCTCACCGCGATACTTTGAACTCATCTGCTGCGCAGATTTCACTTGTCCTTCGCCTCCGTCCCCTCATCTACATCCCTCATAACAGAAACCCTCGGCAACATGAAGGCCTTTTTCGCCCTGTCTCTCCTTGCCTCGCAAGTTCTCGCGCAGAACGGGTAAGCATCCTCTGGCTATTCTAGGGCCAGCCGGCCCCTTTCCCGCGACCAAGACTCGCTGACAAGTGAATAGCTGTGGCTTCCCTGATGGCCCCGACTGCGTGTCTCTTGGCAAGGGGGCCAACGGCCTCGAGCAATTCGCCGACCCGGATGGCTGCTGTTTACTCCCCTTGCGCTGCGGCAACGGCGACGGTGGCGAACGATGTGAACGTGTAAGCGGCAATGCTGGCACTGGTAATAACGCCGGCGGCAACAACAACAACGGCAATACGGGCAACAATAACAACGGCAACACGGGTAATACGGGCAACAGAAACAGTCCTCGCACCCCTGCCGGCAATAACAACAATGCTAATACGGGCAATAACGCCGGTACTGGCAAAGCTACCAACAACAACGCTAACACGGGCAACAATAATAACAATGCTGGCATCGCTGGCGGTAACAACGGCAATGCCAACCCGGGTAATGCGGGCAACAATGTCAACCCGGCTGACCCGGGTAATAACGTCAACCCGAACCCGAACCCGAACCCGAACCCGGACCCGAATGACCCGGGCAACAACAACAACAATCCCAACCCGGGTAACAATGGCAACAACCCCAACCCAGGTAACGTTGGCAACAACGCCGGTGCGGGCAAAGCTGGTAGCGCTGGAAAAACTATTAGGAGCCCTGTCAACACCGGCAAAGCTACCGGAGACGCCGGCAACACTGGCGAAGCTACCGGCAATGCCGGCGAAGCTGCTGGCAATGCCGGCAGCGTTGGCGACGACAAGGCCGGCGACGACGCCGTGGCAGCCGACCCGAGCTGCAGCGCCAACGAGCCCGACTGCTCGTCGCTGGGCAAGGGCGCGGACGGGCAGGAGCAGTTCGCCGACGACGGGTGCTGCGTGCTGCCGCTGCGCTGCAGCAACGGCGACGAGCGGTGCGAGCGCGTGGCCGGCGGCGCGGCGCGGCGCGCGCGCAGGGCCGCCCGCCGGGCGCCGGTCGCGCCCACCCGGTTCTAAAGAAAGAGGGGATTTGATTGATCAATGCTCGGCGGGAGGGAGAGAGACGGCGACGGAGAGGGACGGAAAAGAGGCGTGAGGAGGAGCGGTGGCGGCAACGATTGAACCCAGACGGAGGCGTGCTTCTCCGGTCGGCCTAGTACTACCTATGTACCTACAGGTAACCTCTCCAAAGAGGTTGAGAGAGACAGAGATAGCGAGAGAGATAGACAGACAGATATCCACCCGCGCGCAGCCGCCCCGCCTAGCAATGCCATCTGATTCCGAAGGTCAACACACCGAGCCCGGCCTCCGGGCAGCGTGGCTCATTTGCTCTGTAGTCTTAGAACCTCGCATTTGATTTCTGCGACGGACGTCTGGTATGGTGCGGTCGTCGGCAGCACACTTTCACGTGATGGGCTGGATGGTCCGACGACCACCTACGTGTAGTTATGCATAATTACCTACGTATGCGTGCGCATCGCATTAATCCACATCCCTACCCATGTAGGCACCACACACACACGTAGCGTCATCTCTCCACCCCAGTCAGTCCAAAAAAAAAAAACATCCGTCAAACCACGCGCTCGTCAGCCCTGCCCTACTACTACTCGCATCGGCGCTGCACGCAATGAAGGGAACTCCTCGCTTCCCCTGGCGTCGCGGCCATCTTTCCAGAACGCGCCAGTCCCTACGGACCAGGCTTACGGGGGGGGAGGGAGGGCAAGGGAGCCGTGGCGATCCTAAAACAGGGGTCCCTCTCACAGCGGCGCCCCGAGCCCTTAAGCCCTAGAGGTATTAGCGTGGGACAGGGGTGACCCGTGGTGGACTCGGCGGCCGGGGGTTGTTGCGGGGGGGGGGTTCGTCTTTCGTGTTTTATATGTAGTTGCCAGTGTCCCTAAGGTATATGTGTAGAGGTGAATATGTAAATGCGCGGCCCAGTATACCTATACCTACCTGCCTGCCTGCAAACACGCGCCAGGCGATCTCTGTCCCCCCCTTTCAGAAACGTAACGACGCAGATGGACCCTCGGTGTAGTTGGGTTTGGTTTCGTCTCGCCAGCGGGTAATGATACTACCGACCCTAGGTAGTAGTGAAGGAGTCAGCGGATCCGCGCCTCAAGATCATGGCCTCAAGATCATCCTGTGTTATTGAAAGAGGCTACGTGCATTATGGACCTTAGGCAGGCATAGCTGCCCACCTGACCGACTATTACAAGTTCCTGTCGGCTGTCGGGAGTTGAGTCGTGGTAAAAGACCCCAGATTTACCGAGTTCGCGCAAGACTATCTCAGCCCGCCCCGCCGGGGAGGGAAACCCCCCTCTTCCTCCACAACTCCCTAAGGCAGGTTGGTACAAATTATATAATACCAAGCAGCACTTATATAGACACCTAGGCAAAACAACACAATCGGATTCCTTCTCGATAGACCCCCCTCCAGCGAATCGGAGTTCGCGCCGTGTTCCCATTCAGCATTCGCTATTCGCCTAGATTGCGCTTACTCCAGCACCCACCACACTTCGGGACCGCCGACTCTGTTACGTGACCTGTGGCAAGTTGCAGACTCTTCCTCTTCTCGTCCTGTCGTTTACTTCATCATATGTGTTGCCGTAGCTCTTCTGTAGAAGTTTTTGCCTCACTACTTCCGGGCCTGCTTCTGGCTTGCCTCCCCACCCAAGCGTGTCTGCATATATCTGAGACCTCCAATTCCGTGCCGTCCTTCCCCTCTGCGGACGCCTTCCGCCTCAAGAACAGACTGGACGCGGTAGATTTAGAAAGACTCCCGATAAACCAACTAACGAGAGTAGCTGCCACTGGCGGTTAAGCCCAGTCGTTCTGCTCGCTTCCCAGGTTCGACGGCTCGAGCCGGGGTCGGCTCGGCCCCTCCTCTAGGGCCCTGTGTTCTCGACGACCAACACCGGGCTCGTCCCCGCCGCGCTCAGCCCCGGTACTGGCCTCCTCGTCATCCGTACCATCCTCGATCAGGCGCCCTCTGGGGTTGGTAGCGACGCTGTCAAATTTTCGTCTGTACTCGGCCCCGGAGCCGCCTCCGTTGGCGCGGCGGAGCCGGAAGAGAACGAGGTGGACGAGCTGGAAAAGGCCGAGGACGAGGGCGATGGTGAGCTCGAAGCCGGCGGCGCGTTGGGCGGATTCCTGCCAGGGCGCGAGGCAGGAGTTGGCTCGGTTGTACAGTTTGGTGCAGGGGATTTCCCCCCTCTTCGGCCAGGCGCGGTCTACGGGTGAGCGCAGGCCGCAGCAGTTGAACGCGTTCTGGATACGCTCGATATCCTGACCGTCATTTGCGCTCCACATGCGCTGCCAGTTTCCCTCGAGCCCGCATCCCAGCGTGCGCCCCGGGGTGACGCGCTCGGCCGCGAGCGTCGCCACTACAACGGTCAGCACGCCCTGGAGCAGCTGCAGGGCGGCGGGGAGGAACTGCACTAGCGCCGCGAGGGACGCGAGCGAGCGGGGCAATGACTGCGAGGGAGAGGAGGAGGAAGAACCAGTCCGCGCGCCGACCGGGACGCGACGGGCAGCGGATGTGAGAAAGAGGTTTCCAGCGGCGAAGAAAGGCAGCAGGATGGCAAGCACGGTGGTGCCCGTGGCGAGGGGTAGGGCGAGCGTGCTAGAGGTGACTTGGACGTAACTGAGAGGGTAGAGGTTAACTAGGGTGACACGGCCCGGCGAGCGAAGGAGACCAGACAAAGGAGGGATGGATGGAGGAGTGGTGCGTGTCTCACATCGCGAAGCCTGCCGCCACGAGGAGCAGCTAAATATTCAACAGTGCGTCAGTCCACGGTACAATCCTGGCCACTAACACGAAAACTAGGGATAGATGAGCCTACTTACTCCAGGATACACTAGCGCCAAGTTGGCGAGGTTGACCATGGTGGCAGCGGGGGGGTTGTGGGCTGGGTGCTGGCGAGTTGAATCAATGGTACACTCATTCGCCGGGAAGTCCCCCGTGGGCGATCGCGGGATATGGGCTAGTTGGGGCTAGCTGGCTCTTGGGGAGGTGCGCGGGTTGGTATGGCGATGGGCTTATTTGGTGGTGAGGATGGAGAAGCTGGAGAAGACGGAGAAGAAGATGCTGAGGACGACGAGGACGGTGAGGGCGAGAGTGTTGGCAAGGGAAGAGGAGACCCCTCTTTCTGCGAGGTGAGATGGCAAGGAGGCTGCGAGTTGCCGACATGAACAGGCGACGTACCGCGGGTACCTGCATAACGCCGCTCGAGTACTTGACGTAGCTTGCCAAACATATGCTTCCGACGTGTACCTAACCATGATATTGTAGGTATGCCGGTGGGGGTAAATACCTAAGGCACCAAGGTTTCCATAGCCCCTCTTTCCGATCAGCGTCCAACCTCGTCCAACCTCGTCCGCTCCTTCCTCTCGTCGCGGTGACGGGCGACGAGGCCGGGAAGTGTGCACGGTTTCCATCGTTACCGGGTCAATGAGATGTCTGTTACGGGTCGGACGTCCTCTGACGTTTCCAAATCTCGAAGCGGCCTCGTAACCAACAGATCTCGTAGCCTACCTACCTGTTGTTACCTGGGAGACCTTCCGCCGTACTCATATTAGGTAGGTACCTAGGTACCTAGATATCTCGACCAGCGCCAACGAGCCGATGCAGAGCTTGACCTCTCAAGACCGGCGCTTCGACAGCCTGATTAAGGATTCGGTTTGTCCGTTCATTGCTAAATCTACCTACCTAATACCAGCGGGCATATTCGTTCCCTCCCATTCTCACAGACGATGTGTCAGATGTGCAAAAAAAAAAAAAAAGGAAGAAGAAGCCTCCCTCTAGCCAACAACTTGCCTATTCCTCCGTAACCTCTTCTGACACCTATATTAACCTAGTCACTTGGTCTCTCGTAGTGCCTTAGCCCTCCAGCACTGTCCCGATAGTGTCTCGCCCTCCAGCGCTGTTCCCCAGTGCGACTTCTCGTTGCCCGTTGCGCCGTGCCGCAGAGCGAGTAAGAACGTCTTGAGGAACGGGACTGGACTCGACTGGAACGCCGACGCCCTCCCGACCGACCCCGGAGCTATGAACCCGTCCGGCTCGATAGTTATCGGACTACCGCCGTTGGAGGACGGAGGTTGTGTCGATAAGCCTAGAGGCTCGCACATCGCCGTGTAGTCCTCGTACGATGAGAAGTAGAGCTGCCTCGCGAAGAGGCCGAGGAGCTGCCGCTGCCGCTGCGACGGCTGGTACGCCGCCGACCCCGCGCCCGCGCGCGGCACGACGTACAGCTGCAAGTGGTCGAGGGCCTGGTGCGTGGGGCTCGGCAGCGGCGCGTACAGGTGCAGGCGGACGTGCTCGGACCGGGCGATCTCGTCCATGAGCTCTTGGGCCTCGAAGGGGCTGATGATGATAAGCGGGCTGCGACGCTTCTATTGCTGCCGCTCCCCCTCCTCACTCTCTAGTCTTTCTCCTCCGGGTAGTAGGACTAGGGTCACCACCCACTGTACGGGGCGTAGGTACAAGTCGGCGTAAGCGCCGTACCCGTCGAGCCGGACGGTACGCGCGAAGTCCTTGGTCACGAGGACTTCTTCGCCCTTATCGTTGGGGAACCATGACAACTCGAAGGCACGTCCCGCGGCTGTATTGTCTAAGGCCGCGAACGCGGCGCGGAATGGGGGCGCGTCGTCAGGCGGCTGCCGCTTGAAGGTACCCTCTCTAACGAGCATAGCGAGCGCCGGGTCTACCTCGTGCTTCTTTAGCCTCACCTGTGCCGGCCGCTCGATTTGTCGTTCTTGTACGATCTCGGGCGATAGCTCGCGCTCCTGCTCCTCCGCTAGGAGCGACGAGCTGGGGTCCGTCGCGCCAAAGGCCACGCAGCGCCGTTCTATTTCGGCCAGTCGCCCTGCTATCGGCGGGTCGCCGCGTATCGTCGATTCGTGTCGTCCCGTATTTCGCTTTTTCGGTCTATACCTATGCTCGAGTGTCAGCGCCTCGTCCTCGAGGAACCGCTTGGCTGCTTCGGGCGACAGCGCTATCCCGCCGTTTTGCGTGACCGCCGCTTCCCACAGCTTCCGGTGATGCTCGAACCGCCGGCCCTGTACGGCCCACAGCGGGATGCTACGTCGCAGGTCGGCGAAGGTCTGGTCGATCGCCCACGCCAAGACGTCGCGCGTCTGGATGTTGCCACTGTCCTCGGCGGCGTCTTTCAGAGATTGGATCTGCGCTTCAATCTTCTCGGACACGCAGAAGACAACCGATTGGCCATGTTCGAGTTTCCGCATCCGCATGCAGGCTAGTGGTAATCGCACGTGTCAGACCGACTCTGCGGGTAAGAAGAAAAGAAGAGATGAACGGGAGAAGGAAAAGCTTCTTTTGCTTACCTTGTACGAGACGGTGTTTGGTCAGCCCGGCACCGAGAGTGACGGCTGCTCTGTAATCGGATGGGAGCTTCAAGTCGGTCCCTCGCGTGTGGGCTTCGTCCAAGAAGACCAGGCAGCGGTCGAGCTGGGCGTTATAGGGCGAGGTCTGGAACTTTTCGGTCCGGCCCTGGCGGTCGACGACACAGAGGTTGTCGTAGTCGTCGAAGAAGATGGCCGCTTGCTTCCGCTCAGGGCCCGAGGGGAAGGAGGAAGCTATCTCTTCGAGCTACTTCTCGGTCACCTGGGAGTTGGTTAGTTCAAGGATCTGCGCGCCGACGTCCAGAATAACCTGGACCGGCCGGTCGCGCATCTAGCTAACGAGATCTAGCAGCTCCTCGCCGTTCCGGCGTTTCGTAAGCTCGACCGAGTTCTCTGATCGTAGTAAGTACTCGGCGACCATGGCGTTCGTATGACGCTGCGTGTCGAGGTCGTGGTGCGTTATGTCCAAGGGTAACAGCTGGCGCGAGTCATAGGTTCCGCTGAACCCGGTCGTGGGATGCGCCTTTGCCTGGCCTAGGTCCCAGCCCAAGGCGGCCAGCTTCTCGGGGAACTCCTTCATCTCCTTTGAGAAGACGATGTTCGACAGGAAGTAGTCGATGGTGCGCTTCGCCCAGCGGAAGTGCGGGAAGATTTCCTCGGTCAGCTGCCGGTGGTCCTTCATCGACACCCCTCCTAGGTTGTGGTACGATCGGGGAAGCTCAGGCACGTCACCCACCCAGCCTTGGTAATGGGCATCAGGCTGGCCAGACTTGATCAGGTGCTCGAACGTAGCGAGGAGGTCGTCATTTGATAGACCTTCGTAATAGTAGCTTAGATAAGTCAGAAGCACGACAACGTCCGGATGGCTGAATTCGGATCTTGCCGTAGGGTGGTCCTTGGCGCGGTAGGGGACAGCAAGTCTAGTCTCAGGAACCCGGCCAGGGTCCAACCCGTAATTCACCTTCCACCTCTTCTGTCGAAAGGCAAATCCCAACACTCCGCCTGCGAATAGATCTCGGATGAGGAGCAGTTGGCTTTTCGTGGACGGTGTGGAGAAACCGGATCGGTCTTCGACATTGGTTATGTTCTCGCTAGTCAAGTTCTCGCCGAGAATGTAGGTTCGTACGGCGTTCCTAACCCATGTTTGTTGTCTATGTATAGGAAACCCCTGAAATCCAGTGTTGCAGATCGTTGTGGCCACGGTTTCTAGCAGCCTCTCTTCGGCCCCCTGTCCAAGAAGACGTATTCTCAGGAATTGCGCGGTGCTGTTAGTGGTAGTGATCTCTATCGATCTCGGGAATTCCTGTCCCACCTCACCCACGTTATCCTTAACGAAATCAAGAATGCGCTAAATGAACGTCCAGCGCTCAGAGTTCAACTCGACGGGCCTTTGGGTGCCCATGGTGTAGATAAGTTCGAATTTTACGCTGAAATTCTCATCGCTCTCATCGACTAGGTCGCGCAAGCAGGTATTGAAGTAACTTTGCGTCTCGAGGAGGGTCCGGGAGACTTCAGGCTGGGAGTTATTAAGCTGGTATTCGATCCCCATCAGCTGAAAGGAGAGGATATGTTCTGGCAGCATGAGAAGAACGCCGCCCTCTTTCGCACATTCTTCCGATAGTTCCAGCACTTTAGCAGCCTTCGACGCGTCTGGTTTAAGCAAACGGGAAAATGGCATGTGGTAGATCCGACGGTTTATTAACCCCCCGAGCTTGGAAATAAGCATTCGGAGCAACTCCTTGGAGTTTAGCGACGATGACACGCACGAGCCTCTTTCCGTCCTCCAGGTGCGCTGCGACGATGGGCACGATGACGGACGACTTGCCCTCACCCATATTTAGCTACATGACTGTGTTCCTGTTCTCCGGCGGCTGCCTCATCTTTCCCGCAATCTCTTCCTGAACTTCGCGAATCATAATGCCGCTCTCGACCTCTAGCAACAGCGACTCGGGATATTCCATCGGTTCCCAGTTGGTATGGCCCGGGTTCCGAAGGTCTCGGAGGAGCTCCATTTCTTCATTCAAAGAGCAGCAGGACATACACTCGGCTCGCTATACCGCGGCGGGCGATCTTATATACGCGACGATCGCCTCCATCCAACCTCGAGAAAGTCGACCCCACCGCGCTCGAGAAAGTTGGCCTAGGAAGAATGTAGGTGAGACCCTAGGCACCATGCAACGATCTAAAACTAACTCTTTAGAGCATCCTCTTGTCGTGAAGCCAACAGCGCGCTTTAGAGAGTTGTACGCCTTCTCGACCTCTGCCTCGCAGTTTGACAGATGCTCCTTCAGTGCCGAGTCGAGGGCCGTCCTCTTGATAGCAAGCGTATTATAATATCGGCTACCGGAGCGCTCATGACACTTCCCGCTACTCCCCAAGTCGCTTATATAGTCGGTCTCAAATCCCGGAGACGCTCTCTCCCGGAGGAAGCTTACCAGCATATTTAAACCGTCCATTCTATTCACGAGCTTATCGTCCAGGAGCTTATTACACACGAGCTTATTGTCGAGAACCGGGTAGCCGTCTAGCTTAGGTACTGGGTTACCAAACAAATCCTCGTCGTCGAGGAACGGTTTTTGATCCACTAAGCCTGGTAGCGAAAGAGGAGGTGGCATATGATCTAAACTCGATATTTCCCGCACTTTAACTAGTCGTAGGGAATCGACGACCTCCTTAAGATACTGGAGGAGGCGGTCGTTTTCAACCCATTTTCTCCAATCGGTACGGATATTTCCCAAAATAACTTCCTTATTATAGTAGCGATCATAAAAGTCCTAATGAGGCACTAGCGGTTCCTTACATATCCATTCCTTACGGAAAACGACGACGAGGCTGCTAATAGCGCATTCTTAGTTATCTCTAAACTTCCTCTCTCTTTCATCATATTCACTCTCGCCTTATTAGCGCGGAATCTATACCTCTTGACTAGAACTAAATAGGGAAAGGTACTCTCGAATAACATAGGTAAGCCTGGATGCGTCAAATTCGTAACCACATCTCGTAGAGACGTTATCAACGCTTGGGATCTCAATACTTCCGATCCGGCCTATGTTTACGCAGGCAGCCAGTACTTGAATAGGACCCATATCACAGCCTCTCGAATACGCCAACGTAGCTAGACAAAACATCACCCGGAATCGGCGCGGACGCGTACCACCGCTCCCGTAGGCACGGTAAAACCGACACCACATCTTACGGAAGAACAGATCGGGTTCTGATAGCCATTCGGAATTTGTCACGTAGTAATTGAACCAGCCTATATAAGCCTACATACCGCAAAGCGTGAATGTAGGCGTCTACGTTTTACGCGACAGAATTATAGCCGACTTCTCCGCCGTGCAACGCCTGGGTTAGGCCCTCTATCTCGCCAACTCTTTTTAAAAGATCCCATAGAGAATCGTAGAAATGTTCCGGTATAGCATCGTGGAGGGTTGTCCTTTCTTCAACCACCATCGTCGCAATCTTAAATGCTTTCTACGCCCTATCCGCACGAGTCTCCGGGTCTCTCCCTTTATAGACTTCATCGTAGGATGTAGTAAATCGTTCGGCATCGAGCCCCGAAACACGAAAAGTCGATGCTCTGGCTACATGTCGGTCGCTGAGGACTTCGTCTATGTATTAGAGCTTCGGCGGGGTAGGGGAAGAGTCCCCATGAAAGAAGTTAGTGGACTTGATCTCGTTAAAAATCGATTGGACTTCGGCATGGAAGTCCCCGTGCTAGGATAGAAAGCTAAGCAAGTTATCCCACATGGTTGTCTCCATGACGGCGAAGTAGCCAGGGTAGTAGGCTCTCGCCGGAGACAGGCCAGCGATCAAGGCAAGAATATCGAGGTCTTCTTACGAAAACTACTAGGACGATCTTATCGCCGCGGACTTGAGGATGGACAGGCATACCTCCGTCCCCGTCTTAGCGGTAAGCTTATCCGGCAGACAGCCCGAGGTGAGCGCGTAGAGATAGGCGAGTGTAAGCTTGCTCGCCAAGCTACCATTATCCACAAGACGTCCCAACCTAGTATCTATGTCGTATGGATGAATCCGCGTCGAGGTTCCGTACTTAATACGAACCGTAGCCCGTTGCGACGAGCGCTGGTGCGTGACGTGGCCGTTTGGGATTAGGATTTTACGGTTATGGTTATCATCACGCAATGCCAACTTACTATCCAACCCAATCAAAGTCTCGATCCCTTGGCTCCCATCGACGTACATCCCACGAAACTGCCCACAATGAAGCTGCGAGCATCCAGGCTGCAGGGAGAAGTTGAGTCCAAGTCTCGGTAGATCGACTTTAATCTCCCTACTGGTGCCATTAGAGGTCATCTGGATGTGACTCATCTCTTCGAGGGCGTTCGGAATATCTCTGAGTCGCCGTACCATAGGACTAGTATGATGGAGCAGCACTTCTTCTTCCCCTTCCTCTCCTCCTCTTCCTCGCCTCTTTAAGGTCCACGACAGCTCTTCTTTACTAAAACCAATGTTCAGCGGAAAAGGTCCAAGGGTTTTCCTTTGGAACGAATTCGACTTCTTTGGACCGGCAATTATACCAGTAAACATAGCCGTCAACAAAGCACGTCGGGAGGGAATTCTCGAATACTCTTAGGGGTATCAGCTCCAGAGTACGGATAGGATCTTCATCGCGAGCGGAAAGAAAGTCGACGCCTCCCGACGTATCCAACCCAAATGGTAGCTCGTATCCGTGGTATATCCTGGTGGCGGTGAACCGCTTCTCGGGAGTATAAGCAGGCAGCACCTCTACTATCGCCCTACCAAATAAGGTCCCGAAGCTGGAGTGGCGTTCGTACTCTTCGGGTAAACGTGATGGAGGCAAGCCGTTTACAAGAAACTCTCCGGTCAAGAGGTTGACCTAGATAGTCGTAAGGCTTGCTCCCCCATTCACAGCATTTCCGGCCTCTAGCCAGTAAGACTCTAGTATCCCCGACAACCGCACCCACGTACGCGACTATATATAGGACGGTATAAATCTTCCTACCGCGTCGTCAAGACACGGGCTATTGTTTTCTAGGACTACCGAAATCAGAGAGAAGTGAGCCTTATATAGGACACGGTTAGCTTACAAGACTAAGCCCGTATGGATCTGGCCCCTTAGCTCCCCAACCCTATGGGGCAGAAACTTGACGATCATGGCGCAATGGATGAGGACACTAGCTTGTTAATCGTGGTCCCACATAATTCTTCCCAGGAGATTCCCGTCAACGTCGAACGAAGCAATGCAGATAAGTACTATCTGGGACGTAATAAGGACAAATTCGTCCCTCTGCTTATCGTCTCCCGCCTCCTGCGCCCCCGAGGCCTTCTCTTGCATGAAACGAATCCATTCCATGGCAACCGAGAGACACCGCTTCAGGAATAAACAGAACGAGTCGACAAGATAAGAAGACGGATTCAGGTTAAGCGCCTTGATAGCAATGGGGATAAACCCTTTCAGTGATATATACGACTCCCAATTTTGTTCCACCGCCTCCAACCGAAGTTTAATACCATCGACAAGCTTCTAAAGAAACTCTTCGTCCTATAGCTACCAGTGGCCTGCCCGGTATATGGCAGTGTCCCCGGGTGGCCCGGCCTGATGAATAGCCTGTGACACTATTAGGATAGTATCTGGCTCGCCGAAGTCAATCGTTGGGTTGAATAACTGGACGAGGATGTTGGATCATTGTAGACGATATTCAAGAGGTAGCGTGGCCATGGCCTTGAACGCCTCTAGCGTGAGCCCCCGAGGGCAGCAGAATTGCTGCGACAGAACATGATTAGGCGGGGGACCAGAGCTATTCTCTGGCGGCCTAAACATAAACTGTTGAAGGCCCGCGTTCGACTCTGATAGCTTATACATGCAAGCCTCCGGAATTTTCTTCGTGGCTACGAACGATGAAACGTACCGGTTTTTCGCCGTATCGTAGTACTTGTAAGTCCTACCGTTAGGGGCCGAAACATCCCCCTCTTCCGCGGTGCTTATGTGTATTTCTAGATTGGGCGCCGTGGTCGAAACGAATTCTATCCGGCCCTGGTTGCCGCTATTATCGTCGTAGTAACTAGAGAGATGGGTGCGCATGCGCACTTTATATTCTCCCTCGCGGCCTCCGGAGTACTGGGACTGGAGAAGGTCGTAGATGATGAAGCACGTCGCATCCCTCCAGGCCTTGGAATACGGAGGGATGGCTAGCTCAAAGACCACAGACCGGGCATCCAGTTCACCCGCTGGGAGGGGCCACTTGTGTTGGCTCATAGCCATAGCGCCGGCCTCGTTAATACTGCGGCACCTGTTGCAGGACCTATCATAGCATACGTAGTTACTCTAGTTAGCCGATGTTATGATGTTTCGATATTTAATCTTTTCGAGGTGGAAACGGGTTATCCGTAACTGTTTTTCATAGTACGCCTCGGCTTCGATCTCCTTGCGTAACTGCTTATATAGATAATGACTTTCATAATAGCGAACAGAGAAGCTCCGTTCGCTTCCGAAAGAGGAGAAAATGGGGTCATTTCCCGGCGAGCAGTCATTGCGCCTCTTCCGGATGTACCTCTCAACTCTGTCTAGTCTTTCAAGGTCGTCTTTCGAATATAGCAGTAGAGACTCCAGGCGGTCATATGGAATCTCGGGATCATACTCGGACAAGAGGTTATCACTGCGCCTGCAAGCCGACCTATTACAGGCTACCCATAGTTCTAAGAGCGTGATGATCATGATAGACAGGCTCTCGGGAGACCCCCTATAGCGATTCTCAGTATGTCCATGGTATTGCTTTATCGCCGTCGACAATAGCTCGCAGGCATTCTCGTCTCTCAGGTGGGAAGTAGTCCAGTTAGATAGCGACTCTTTAACCCATTTTTCGAACGCCAGCAGGTTGAACGCCACCTCTTCGGAATAGGCGCCGCCCACGACCGGGAATTCGCTGGCTAGGAATGTTGAGGCTATCCAAGGAGCCTTGAATTGGGATGTGTCTGTCACGTTGTGTCGACGCCTGATGTTAACGTCGATGAATTCGTCAAGGTTTCGATAGGGGTCGAAATATACCTATAGACGGGCGAGCCTTGTAGGTACCAACACGACGCTACCTGCATATTGATACATCATCCACGGCCTCTGCCGGCCAGGCAGCCACCGAGCAGAGTGTTCACGCTGACAGCGCTGTCGAAATGATTCGTTGCCGCGCCCCTAAATGAGAGGGTGTCGTGGGTTGGTTACGACCCCTGTCGTGGCAGGCAGGAAGCGGCTACGATAATAATATCGCCTCGGCGTCTTCTGCACCTTTGCGACTTTGCGTATCGGCGTGTTGGGCTGTTGCGCGTGCCTGCTGAATCGAACACTGACTGTGTCGCGCAGGAAATCGGCCTCCACAAGCATATATAGTATCTGCAGGTCGCAGAATGTAGGCGTCGTGCGTTTTACACGATAGTTTGGCTCTCACGCCTCAGGTGTCCGTACACGTTGGCCGGTTGCGTCTTTCCGTAAGGCGATGGGTTGCTTGCTTCGCGTCTGACTTGTCCGTCTGATATTTCGTCGTCTCTCGTGGAAAAGGTCACTCGTCTAATCAAAGCCGGTGTCACATGCTATGAAGATATTCCTATTGGCCTTGGACGTGCAGACCGCGCTCGGGGCGACGGTAGCATGGGTTTAGGTAGCGCCTGTCGGTCGGTTACGGCAACGAGAGGGGCCTAAACGGAGGTGAGGACGAGGTTCTAGGTTATACCATATTCTATACCGCAACTAAATTAGGCTTAGCGCAATCGCCGCTTTTACTTAGGCTCGGCTTAGTCTATAATTAGTTAGGTAACTAAGGAATTATATTTATATAATATTTATATAGAGGGAAACGGTTCTTAAAACGGTTAAGCTTTAACCGTTAACGAAATAAAGTAACGTACGAAGCCTTATTATATCCGTACTATCTGGTTTAATTTTATATACCTTGGATCTAAAGTAGCTATTAATTAGTTTTTATATTAAAAAGAAGTAGAGCGTATGCGATATTAAAATTCCGGATAGCTTACTTAAAAGTATACTTTATCGGTAATTATAGTACGTACGATGGTCTAAGATAGATAAAATTAATATTACTTTATTAATCGAGAAACGAGGAATCTAATGTAGTTATCGTATCTTAGGTATACCCCTCGGTTATAGAGATATAGTAGTCGCTAGCCCGAAGGCAAAAGAAGTAAGAAAAGGAAAGGGGTTAAACGTAAAAGTTACTTATTCGGTTATTACGGTACGACGAAGTAACTTAAGCGCTCGTTATTAAGATAGATATATTAATCGGAAGACGAAGAATTTAATGGTAAAAACGAATCTTAAATTAAGGTAAAAATAGTAAAGTTAGTAATCTAGCTAAGTAATAATTATAGTATCGTCCGTACTTACGGAAGCTATGGTTACTTTATATAGGTATAAGGCTTATCGTAACGTATTACGTAATATATTAAGAGGGTATGTCTTACCGTATTATTATAATACGTAAGGTAAAAAGTTATACGAGATATTAAACTACTTTAGAAAACTACATACGAATAATCCTTCCCGTATAAGTATTAATCGCTACGATAGACTTAAAGACTACCTATTATTTTAGTTATGGCTTTCTTATAATCTATTATAGTATAGGATTATTAGATTAAGACGCTATTAAATAAAAGCCGATAATTATTATTATATTATTTATAACGTTTCCTTTATTAGAAAACTACTTATATCGGTATTTAAATATACGATATTACCTTTGTAGTTAGGGTAGTTCTCTAAAGTAATACCTCGATTATCTTTAGTAAATAAAAACCATACTTCTCCCGGGCCCGAATTATTACGCTATATCTCCCTTAAGCCTTCGATAATAAAAGAACGCCGATAGTCCCGAAATCTATCCTAATTTCCGTTTTTTCGGATAAGAATTTTTATCGTTCGATTATCCTATACCGGGTTTAGTTAGTTATTATCGTTTAATTTAAACCGAGGGGGATCCGAAATAAAGGTAATTAAGGCCGAGTTTTTATCTATCGCTAACGTTATTTAAGAAATAGCCTTAGTCTTCTTTTTCTTATTTCGCTAGCGCTAGACTTTAAACGTTAGGTTTCGCTACCGAAGTATTAGCTAATCTCCTATCTCGTAGTCTTAACGAAGAGCTAACGCGGAAACCCCGCCCGCGTAGTTAGAATCTCCTAGATCTTAATCTTCCTTACCTATACCTATGTTCTCGTTTTACGTATTAATACTCCGATTAAAGTCTTTATTTATATCTAAGATTTATTAATTCTATATATTACCGCTCCGGCCGTAAACGTCGTATTAATCGGTATCCTACTTATTACGTAAGCCTTAAAACGCTTAAAAAACGGACCTTCGGATAAATAAGGAAAAAATATCGATATCCTTTTATATATATTTAATAAAGTTATCCTATATAATATATAACCAGTCGTTAGAGTAAGCTTTTAAATACTAGCGATTATATCGTTTTTTAATTAACTCTTCCGGATACGAAGTAATAAGTATTAAATAAGCGTTTTTAAACATAATAAGCCGCGCTTTATTAAAATATCGAACTATAATAATTATAGAAGCGTTTAAGTCTTATTTATAATCGAAGTATTATAACGGTCGAGCATTTATTAACGCTCTCCTAGTTATTTCTCGGTCCGGGTTTAAGCGAAAAAAACGAAAGATCTCGTTAAAGTTAAACCTTAACTTTTAGGCTCGGCGTATTAATTAATACCAGGCTCTTTAATTATATAAACGGATTTTTAGGTCCTCTTTATTATCTTTTTTTAAAGCGTTTTTACCCGAGAGCTTTACGAGGTCTTATATAATAATAAGGTAAAGGGACTTTATATTCTTTAGAAAGTTAATCGTATAACTTAATCTCGCGTCGGCTTTATATGCGTTAGAAATTATCGTTTAAACCGTAATAAAGAGTCGGTTCTTTTTTAAGATTAATTACTTTATAATATTAATATATTATCGTAGGTATTTAAAATCTTATTATAATATATAAAGTATTAAGATTAAATAGTCGATTTATAGAGCTCTTTATAAGATACTTTTCTTATCGCGTTTATTTATAACGCCTTGGAATATTATATTCGTTCGTATTATATTAGATATATAACGATCGTTATAATACGATATACCTAGGACGCGGAGTTCGAGTTCCTAAACTATATCGTCGTTTATAAATTCAAGCGTAGCTTTAAATCTTATTATATAATATTATATATCGTATATGCGTTTAAAATAATAGATAACTTCCTAGGAAGTCGCGAGTTAATAGCCGAACGTTTATATCCTTAAGGGAAAGGCGTCTTTAGATAGCTTTAAAATAAAACGTACCTTTATTACGTTTTTAGCTATAATCTTCTTTTAAATAATTAATTAAAGCCTAAAACGTAAGCCCGGGATTTCTAATATATACCTAAGAATAAGTTTAAGTTATTCGTACTTAAGTAATCTTTTTAATATTTTAGGTTTACTTTTATTTAGCCTCGTTTATTATTTATTTCCGTCGATCGAGTTTAAAGGGTAATTATAAATCTTTATAATTATATATCCGTCGGAAAACTATCCTTCGTTTACGAAATCCTCGGTTAAAAACTAGATAACCTCTAGCGAAAGGTCTTAAGGGGGAATTAATACCGACTTAGCTTCTAGTCCGGGGTAGTATAACCTACCTACGTATAACTTAACTATTTACTAAGGTAATAAGCTTTTCGATCGCCGAAGCGCTTTTACGCGATACTTTCTATAAAAATAACAAATATACGTATCCGTAGGAAGGTAGAAGATAAGTAACTCGGGGCTATATAAATTAACCGGGCTTAAGTTAAATTACTATAGTAATACGGAAAGTAAGTCGATAATAATATTTCTAGGGATAATATAACTATTATTTAAACGATTATATTCTTTTCGCTTAAAGATCTCGATAAGGCGGTTAGTTTTTTTAATGTTCGACTTCTCCTTTAAATCGAAGAAGAAATAATCTAAGGAGATCTTAGTAATTCCTCGGAATTTTAACGATATTTCGGCGTTTAGCTACTATAACCGAGCCTTTAAATTAAAGTATATTATTACGAATTACGTATCCTAAATTTCGTATATCCTACGGAAGCCTTTTTATTAAGAATTATATAATCCCCTTTAGTTTCTCGCGAGGAACGTAAATCGCGGATAGTCCTACGGTCCCGAAACCGAATATAAGCTAGAAGCGGTTATTCTTAGCTACGGTTTATTTTTATACTTATCTTTATTTCTTCCTATCCCGTTAAAAAAGAAGTATTAATATAAGACTTTACTTCGATTCGAGCTAAGTACTTATATAATTATTATCGTTTATTCTTAATTCGAAATATCGATTATTAACC